TTGATTCAGTCTTTGAGGTGTTAGCTCATACAACAACGGTCAAACGTACGGAGTAGTAAGCGCGACCAAAGTTTGCTTTCCTTCGGTCCTTCACTACCCGCCAGGAGCACACGCGACTGCAATCGGGGTTCCCACAATAAAAGGGGTCGGAAGGCGGAGATTCCAATATCATTATCGATGAGGATGTAAAGATAAGAAAGAAAACGAACAAGCGTAGGGAGATACACCCTGGCGGGCCTGTCAGAGAGAACAAAAGGTGGCGCGGGAGGAGGACACAGAGCCTGTACGGCGCTGCAGCTATAAGTAACTCGACGGGCTGTGCGAGCTTCGAAGTTCAACATGATCTGATACATTAGAAGACATCTATATAGACGGAGGATGTGACGATCGGATGGCAGACCGGACGCCACAAATGTTGCACACCCGATTAGGCATTGAGTGGAGTGGCGCGATGGAGTGGAGAGTGGAGGATGCGTGGAGAGTCGGAAAGCTGACTTTTTTGAGGCGAGCGAGTTCCCGGATTTGGGCGCAATTACGTCAACGGCTGACACGCGCGCTTCGTCACGTTCTTGTGAGTTGTTCAATTACCGCCACCAGCATGAACTGCCCCACTACTTCGAAGACCAGTGCTCTCATCCTGCTCTATCTTTGAACGCTTCCTACCAACGAGGATACTTACACCCGCTCAAAGAACTGACTTGTTGCGTCTCTCATAGATCCATTTTACTACCGTCACGGTAGCGTTGCTACTCTTAGACACTAGCAACTTGTTCATGCAACACCCCTTACGATCTCGGCCTATTGTTATTAATTTGATAACCAATATCATCACGCGCTTTTGCTTCAACCTGGCAGAAGTCCATCTTGAACGCCCTCCAGAATCTCGGCCACATGATCACAGACCACCAGGATTTGAATCATGAAATGGCTACTTCACGCAGCGATGAAGACAAATACTTTATTTCGCGCTGGTCTCTCAGTCGATCTTGGATACAAAACGGCAACACTGCTATAGATCTGGTCTGGTCGGGGGTCACCTCTTCTGAATCTAATACTAGACTGTGAGTGAGGACACGAAGAAGATATCATATCCACTTACCTGCTGCGTAGAATCGACTCGTCTTGGAACTAGCTGAAAGAAGGCTTGTACATCGTAGCGGATGCCCATCCCTGCTTTTTTGCCGCTTTCGCGAACCCGGTGTCGGATGAGAGGTCACTCGCCTGGGCTGTGGCGGTCGCAGGTCTGTCCTTTGTTTCCGAGTCAGGAGTCTTACTGGCCTTGTCTAATGATAGGTAGGTTCTCAGCTCAGTTCGAACTCAGCTGGGCCGCGAAGATGCCAGTCAAGACAGAAGAGCCACTTACTTTCGATCTTGTCACCAGAGGCGGCATTGGTGACGACGTCGTTGGTGACGAGGGTAGTGGTGGACGAAGCTGGAGTAGAAGACATCGTTGCACGATAAACGTTATGCGAAGAGGGAGAGGTAAAAATCGATGTGCTGTGGAGGGCGCAGAGAAGTGGCTAGATTGTTATAATAATGGTTCACATCCACTATCCTTTTTATATGCAGGAAATGGGCCCCCTCGTATCTATGCCTGGCGGCTATCAACCCGACATGCAACTTCGTTAATTACACCGCATCGAGGACCTGTCTTGAAATGGTGCGTCCAGCCGCGCTGGCCAGAGATGTCGCCAGACGAGCCGACATGGTAATTTGATTTCTGCTTTCGATGCACGATACGAGAACAGAGGGGCGCTCAATGCAGTGATATTGTTTCAGGACTGCGTTAAAGAAACCCTTTGCCCAGCACCGTAACCGTCCCCCGGCTTCATCCCGTGTTCCTCTATCAATAGCAGTGAAATAGGGCCCTACTTCTGTTAGGTAGACCGCAATCCACAAACCCTTTGCCCACCTTTCCGCGCTAGCGGGGTCAGCCAAGAGCCGACGTACAGTCAAACTTACAATTTTGGTCAATCTCTGATGTAAGGGCGGTTGCGTGCTCATGAGAACCGTGTGCTTGAAGTTAGATTACATTCAGTGACGGCGTACGCGCAGCGTCGGACAAGCCTGGCTTTCTAGGGCCTGAGCGCTATCTCATGACTAGGTTCGAAGGCGTAGATAGCACTCTTGAGTCGGCATGTTTCCCACCATCACGGTGAATATTGTGTCGAACGTTCTCCTTAGGCATATGGACTGCAACCCTCAGCCCTATTTACCACAACCCTCTACCCTACTTCAGGGTGTAGGGGAACATTAGCTGTGCCTGCAAGGGTGCGAACACAACTTAAAAGTGACCGATGGTACTACTCGTTCGATACCAGTGCAACTTTGCCCTCGTGTAATACCATGACTACGTTCACAAGTTCACCGTCGAAAACAATTCATAGAACATGATCGAAGACCTGGCTCTCGGCTCACCGCTTAGCCGAGAGATCGGCCACAAACATGCACCCTATCCCTTTGGGATGTATTAAGGCGGGTGTCCGCTACGTATCGCAGAATGTTGATAGAACGAGTTGACGCAGTCAGGAAAATGCCCGTAGATTTGTCGAGAAAGATGAGGTATAGTACAGTGGTACGAAAACAAGCGCAGTCTAGCAATGAATTATATCTATATTGAAGCGTGGATGAGGCGTCATGCAGATCTAGTGGTAATGATGCAGAAGAACAGAAGGCAGAATCTATCGTGAAGAGTCAATAGTCGAGTCCAAAGCCATCTGTTTTCGTCTTCGCTCGCGCCATACAGGACCCCACCTCATCTCAACATATAGTAGAGGACACACTGCGATGCAGAGTCCACCCAGTAGGACGTATGTCCATCCGGGCCCGATGGCGACCAAGATGATGTCTATGACGGAGACAACTGCTGCTCCGAGGAAACAACGGACGACGTTATTCTGTAGTTCAGCAATCGAGTTAGCGGTCAACACGTAGGTTGAAACAAAAAAAATTGAATGGGACTCACACAAGCTGTTATGGATGCACTTTGTGAAGGGGCTAAGTCAACGAGTAATGTAGATATGGTGTTCATTGATGCGTTGAGTACGTAGCCAACTGTGGCTGATCTCAGCGTCTACGTTGAGATCCGATAAGAAGAGTTGGACGCACTGATGAACTGAAGAATCAATGGTCCCGCGATGTTGACCTTCGCCTGTAAGCACCACCCGTAGCCAAGGACGCATGCAATGAACAAGAAGGAGTAGATCGGCGTCGTCCTCAACCTCGCCCTCTCAATCGGAAACTTGCCTTCCGCAAACACAGCCTTCACGTCCTCTTTCTTCTCGGGATCCACGCGCATCTCTCTGAGTATACGGTCTTTAACCAATTGGTAGTCACGGTCAAGGAGTTTGCCCGTGCCTACAGCGCTAAACAGCATGCCTCCGCCAATAGCGAGGAAACACAGACCGACGTCGGTCTGACTGAGGAAAGGATAGGCTTCTTCGAATAAAGTAGAAATGGACGCTGTGACACCGTAGAAGACAGCATAGATAACGCCATTGAAGATGAGGAGAACGACGACGTCGGGATAGGTGAAGAGACGAAACGGATTGATGAAGGGCTTGTGTGGCGGCCGGTGGCCGTCTGAGGCTGATCGTTGTTGACGGCCGATGAACGGGATTAATGCCGTGTTCAAAGGAGGCGGACGAATGCTTCCATCGCCTACGAGGGCGCGAAGGGTCTCTGGAAAGAAGCTAAAAATATTCATCAGTGAAGCGCTACAGCGAGGTCGAAATCTTCAGGTTTCTGACGTACAGGAGCATGATAACGAAGCACAGTGCCGATACGATACAAAGAAACCAGAAAATCGACCTGGTTCTATTCTGAATACGGAGTCAAACTTCAGGAAAAGAATGCTTTTGCATACCTCCATCCAAGGCCATCAGACAGAGCACCGCCGATTACAGGTCCTATACATGGGCCAATCTAACATGTTTGAGAGTATATTTGGGGATATGTGAGTGGGTTACGAGTATAAGAATAGCCCGGATTACGAACCATAGGTCCTATATTAAACAACCCGAAGAAGCTACCGCGTTCCGACGGTTCCGCGATATCAGCGACCACGCCGGCACCTACACAACATATTTTATTGAAGTCATGAGCCAGAAGCCTAAAACGCTGCACTGCGAACTCCGAACTGCTTACCCAGGGCGATTGTGCTCGCAGATCCGGCTGCTTGAATGCAACGCAAGACCATGAGTAGCCAATAATCGGATGTGGGTACGAGAGCTAGGCCGACACAAGACAGCGTTAACACCGTCATGCACGCCAGAAATATAGGTCTTCTGCCGACACGGTCGGCGATTGTCCCCCATAGCATCGGGGAAATTCCCTGCATAATCATGTAGACGGTGACAGTCAAGTTGATCAACTCGGTTGACTTATCGGTGCAAGGGTCAGAAAGTAGGATAGACAAGAATATGCGGAGAGAATTCACCTTGTGGAAATCCGTAACAAGAACAGGTATTGCAGGGAAATATATATTGGCGGTGAATGGGCTAGAATTCATTATCAAGTCTTGTTGCGTGTAGTTTGATAAAAGGGACACACTGACCTCATCAAGCCCGCAAAAGCAATGATGACCACTATGAACCATTTTTCGTTGGCAGTGAACACGCTGTACGGCTTCTCCGCAATTACCTCAGGCATTCCCTTTTCGTCTGCGTGCGTTGCGTTATTCTCGTTAGAAGCATGAAGTGGCACATCGCGATGAGTTGTAGGCGTCGTAGACATATAGATACAGGTCTAGTTCGTGAGATAGTGAGACGTCGGTGAGAGCGACCTTGGAGTAGAGCGTCCGGCTGTTTCATCGTGAGAGGCAACGAGCTGCTTATAAGCAAAGGAACGGATCTGGGAGCAATGCGGTAATTTTGTTCCACGTTTTTACTGCTTTCCGATTCGCCGACAGGGGTCGGGCCTCGACGATGCGGGGACCGAAACGGGTTGCCGTTCACGATGCCGAGGTTGGGCACAGGCTTGCGGCCGAACGCCACCGAGCTAACCCATCGGAACCGCCCGCGTGGCGCCGACGGACGTTGAACACGGGAGTTCCGGTCAGACTTGCTCAAGAAAACTACTCACCCTCAGAAAATAAACACCAAGTCGGCTACCGCAATCAGCGAAGCTGTCGTTGCCATAGGTCAGCACTCGTTCATGAAAGTATACCAGCTCCGAAAATAGATTCTCAGTAAGCCCATGGGAGGACAAGGATATTTAAGAAACCTTCAGAGGCGCAAAATTCGGGGATGAACACACAAAAGCTCAAAGCTCAGATGTAGGGCAGGTATGTTGGCAGTATCTCGTGAACCGATGTCAGCGCGAGATTTCGGCCTTTCAAGATGCTCTCGAAGGAGACATGGTTCGGCGTAGGATTAGACGTTACGACGTTGTCGTCCTTTAGCTGTTCGACCTATGATGAGTATAATTTCGCGGCATGAATCAGCTTTCCCAAAGTAATGAACGACTCGGGGAAATCTTACCTGGTCACGAGTGATGGTGAAAAGATTCGGTGGAAACTGCTCCAGTAGGGCTCCTTGAATTGACCCGATGGCCCAGGGAAGAGAGAGAATCGGCCGTGTGCGATTGCCATACCGAAGGACTAGTTCCATGACTTGCCGGTAGGTGATCACTGGAACAGCAGATGAGTTTCTAAAGCAGCATCAAAGGTACTCTCGTACCGTCTGGTCCTCCTGCCTCGATGACCTTGCCCTTTACTTGCTTAAGAATTGCAGGATCGTCTCGAGTGATAATCTCCACCAATTTCGCTATATCGCCGACGTAGACGGGCTGGAACTTCGAAGTGCCGCCTCCGAATGTGGGCATGAAAGGCAAGATCTTCGACAGTTTAGTGAATCGCTGTATGTGCAGAGTAGGGGTAGAGTGAGTAACGTAGTCTCAATACGACTGATGGCCATTGAAAACATACCGCGAAGAAACCATCGCCGGGGCCAAAAACGATACTCGGACGAATAGCAGTAGCATCAGGACAATGGCGAAAAGCAGCCTGTTCTCCCAACGCCTTCGTCCTCGCATACGGAAGCTTGCTCTGCGCATCTGCCCCTATCGCACTAAAATGGACCAACCTCGCCCCCGCCTGCTTTGCCGCCGCCGCCACATTTTCCGCTCCTCTCCACTGAATCTTCTCAAACTGTTCTGGCGACCCCTGCAGCACGCCGACCAGGGAGACTACGGCGTAAGCGTCTTGAAATGCCAGTTGTAGGGTTTCTGGTTTCGTGACATCGACGTCAATGGGCGGAAGAAGGTGATCTTTTGGAATGGTTTTTGCAAGCTGAGAGTACGCTCCCTCTGGATTGCGCGAAGCGAGTTGAATCCGGCGAAACGTGTTCGATGCTAGATTACCTCCGCTAATGGCGGTTGCGATGTATCCTCCTGAAACAGAAGTCGTTTAACAATCAATAGGGGGTTTCGCGCAAGTCCAAGACCGCCGCGAGACATAAATGAGACTCACCAAGGAACCCCGCGCCACAGATCACCACCTTGTGAGCAGATTGGGCCATTCGTTTGTCCGGAAATTCGCTCAAGTCTACGAGCAGCGTCAGGTCGCGTAAGAGAACGAAGAAACACTGACAGTACGCTGCAGCTACCGTGCGAAACGATGACGCAGGGGAAACCTGGAGAGATCGCCGTCAACGATCGGAGTCCGGATTAGTTGATCTTACTTCCTTCCTGGTCCAAGCTGATCCCCGCCTCGGCTTTAGCCGACTCATCTGCTAAGTGGACTGTTGGGCCACAACGAGGAACGTCTGATACGCCGCTCGAGACATCTACCGAGGGACGAATAGAACCGCCGGGCCAGAAAATAACAAGTTGTCGGACAGGATTGAGCCACTCTGTTGAGTATACATACATCGTCTACTCACCAGCTGGCTGGCCTTTCCCTATCCCCCGTATCTCCACTACCACACCATCCTAGAGTGCTCTTCATCACTGTACCGGGATGTCCTCTATAAGATCCTCAATCTCAGTCCACTTCCCCGACGTGCTGGCACGCCCAGACTCTGATCGTCTCCGGAAGGTAAGCGGCATCCTGCCTTCAGTCGAAACATTTCGTGCAAATTATTATAACACTCACTGTGAATCCAGAAAACTGTTGTCTACCCGCGAGTGGCGCAAGTCAAGGGGCAGGGCGACAGAAGGACTTTATTGAAGGACTTGTGGGATGAGAGCACGAGGTCCAGTATTGCACCTAGCAGCGACCTGGAATGGGATCCTCCTACAACTACAAATCCACAGGTGAATTCCGCTACGTTGGGCGGCTTTGGGCTCTATCGACTGAATATGTTCTCGTCCCAGATGTTAGCCGTGCCCTCAGTCGGAAATCACACTAGACCAACAGATGGAATGAGACTCCAAATCACCACCCGCACGGACTCAGAAACGTCGTCAGCATCAGTCACTCCTCTGAACACGCCGACGTCGCAAGTTTCGTTCTGCTATGATTATTCACCGGAAGGCACCAAAAGAGATGACGCCCCCACCTTCTTGCCACCTGAGATCATGACGGCTGACATGGAGATGGAACGACTTGTGATCTTGTAGCCTGTTTAGCACTTTAGACTTCACGCCTGTCATCTATAATTTAGTTTTCTTTAACAAAAGACCCATGTATAACAACGTCATCACATAAAATACATCATACGAGGCAGAGAAGATGGATAAAACGAAGGAACCACAGACCAAGCAAGAAGTCCAACCTTAAGTCGACTCCGAAACCAATCCTGCCCTTCCCCTCCTCAACCTCTCTTCCAGCCCTCCTTGGCCTCCGAAGACCTTCTTCTGCTCGTGGCTCAAGAACTCTCCCATCCCCTTCGACTTCGCCCTCAGCCTCTCTTCCTTCTCCAGTTCCTCCTTCTCCTTCTCCAACAGCTCTGACAACCTCTCTTTCCTCTCGCTGCTCATGCCCGATGCGTTCGAAGCCATAGCAGCCAAGCGGGCGGCACGATTATCGGAGGCGTTGGATGGATTCGAGGTGGATGACTTGGATTGCGAGGTGGGAGGAGGCATGGTGCGCGGAGGGGGAGGGCTGACGCGGGCACGCTTGCCATTGAAGCGGTCATAACCCATGGGACTGACACTGCGGTCTCGTTTGCGGGGCTCATCATCATACCTGCGACTTCCACTGGCGCGTTCTCTGCTCCGGTCGCGGGCGTCGCGCTCAGGTGGACTCCGGGAGGAGGATTCGTCAGAGCGAGGCCATGGAGGACGACCTTGCCTGCTGTCCGAGTGACCGGGAGCCCGCCTATCGCTATAATCAGGGCTTCGGTCCCTGCGGTAAGACCGTGGCTCAGGACTGCGATCTCTACGCGAAGAACGGTTGTCGTGGTAGGAGCGATCTCGACTTCTGTCGTGAGAAGAGCCGGCACGGGCGGGGGAGCGAGAACGCGAGCGTCGGTCATAGCCGCGCGAGGAGTGGTGGTGGTGATAATCGCGGTCACGGTCAGGGAGATCGTCGTCCGAGCGAGGTGAAAGTGAACGACCGCGATCCTCTCGCTCTCGTCTCCGCTGCTCCTTCTTTTCCTTCTTCTCCCGCTTCTTCTCTTTCTTATCCTTCTTGGAGGGCTTGATGCCGTTACGTTCCTGCAACTCGCGGAGACGTAGGGGGTTGGACTTAAGAGCCTCAAGAGCCGCAGCTTCCTGCTGCTTGATGGCGAAGAGAGGGTCCTCGCGAATCTTGGCGGCAATATCTCGAACGTTGTTTGCGTTCTGGACAGCGATGAAGTTCTTGTGTGCGGCACCAATCTATTTACATACAGAAAGTCAGTTTTATGTGGCGCTATGAAGGTAAAGGCGACGCACCTTCTCGTTCTCGTTGCCAATCAAGATTTTGTCAACCCTCTTTTTTCCAAGGAGGTAATCCTCTAGATCGTTCGGATTCTGGTTGCTCCCCGACGCAGGAGTGGCGTACATCCATTCCAGCTTATCCGCTCGTTTCTTTCCTGTCTGCTCCTCTTGTAGGCGCTGGAGCTCTTGAAGCTGCCGCTCTTCTTCCTTCTCTTTGCGGAGCTGATCGAGCTTCTTCTTTTCCTCGAGCTACATGATGAGAGTTAAAGCATACTGATTTATGAGAGACATGACGTCTGAGAGGTGAATGAAATAGACGTACGGCCTTCTTCTCCTCGAGCCAGACCCGCTCCTGATTCTTCAGTAGGAGCGGGTGCCACGACTTCTTCATGTTCAAGTCTCCACCACCCATCTTGACTGACTTCTTGGTATAAGGGCTAAGTAAGTGTTGTTGTTGTTCCGAGCGGAAGAGGAGGAAGCAAGTCGACTTGGTGAGGACGAGTGAGAGTCAGGAACAAGAGCCGTGGGGCAACTCGCAACAGCGAACACTGCCGTCAGCAAGCGCGGCAAACGCCGAACCCACTTACCGCCACTTGCGATCGGGAGACTGGAAACTGCGAGGCTGACCGACTGACGCTGAACCAATCTGCTTCGCCACTTCTCTCATTCCACCATGGCCGCCAGGGAGGAGGACGCGGCTCTCGACGACCTCGAAGGTGGTGACCATGTCCCACTCAATCCTTCCGGATACGCAAACGGCGAATATGGAGAATCCGCTTCCGCTCCTTCGTCAAAGTGCGCACATGCTCTCTATAGCCATGCACTCTCTTTCCTTTCTTAGATCACGGCGTACTCAGTATGGGCTCTGTTCTTAATATTCTCGTGTTTGGTACAGGCCCGGACGATCAATCTATGCCCTCACACGACAGGAAATAACCAGAGGGATCGCGAACCGTTTCGTGCATTCACGAATATACATCTTGCTCTACCTCGCCATGGCGGCGCTCTCTATCACCACAGTCGTCCTCAGTCTGAAAGATGGCTGTCCGACGCTTGCATTTTATATTCTTGAGGTTATAATCAATACAGCTATGATTGCTGAAGTCGTTGTGAGGTTCCTCGCTCTGGGCTCGGTGCGTATCACTCTGAATATTCTCCATGGTCTGCTCCACAGAACGCTGACGGATGTGTTGCTGCGCGCTTGTTGGACTTTGATGAACAATTGCATGGAACTTGGGGCGTCCACTTTATTATGGTATTGGGTTGTCCTCGAACCCGAACAGCAATTCTGGAAATACCCCTTCAATATCTTTGATCTAATCGTTACCACCTTCTGCGTCCTGACGCTACTCGTCATCGTATTCAATGGATGTGGCACGGCGAGTAAGGAGGAAGAAATTCTTGATACACTCTTGCTTGTGGCACGGAATATATTACAATTTGGACGATTAGCTACTGTTGTACGACAGTGCGTATCCCTTCTCTCCTCTCCTCTTCCTCAACCTCTATTCACCCTTTCCGTGTTCGACTTCACGCGTCCCGTATGCTCTATCATCATCTGACTTTCCTTCACGCCACACAGATCCGGCCAATCCATCTTCACCCGCCCAAAACCCATCGACCTCACCGCCGCCCGTCGCGCAGGCTACAGCCTCGACATGGACCTCGACCTTCCCGACGACGACGAATCAGACGAACTCCGCGCTCCTCTCAATCGTAACCCCGTACTCTTCGACTCTGACTCGCCTGGAGAAGAGCAGAGACCGTCGCATTTGTCGGAGATGCCGAGGGCGGTGCAGGCGGTTAAGGATAGGGACGAGGAGGATGTTTGGGCTGAGATTGGTTGAGTATGGGGGTTGAGAAGAAAGTTTATGATATGATAGGTGATGGATGGTGGACGGTGGAGGACGGAAGGTGGAAGGTTGTGTATCTAGTGGTTCGGATGCCGTTTTGGACTCTCGCGTTTGGTTGCGGACTGTGCGTATAGTACTAGCTCGTATTTGACATTCGTACTTCTTGGTTTCATTCTATCTATGTGTACCTCACCTCTTCCACATTCTCTACTCACGCCACTCCGCGCGGGCTAACAAACTTGGACATGAGATGCGGATTCCGAAAGTCTTTGTATCAGTACGTTCCTACCCAGACAACTCAACATAAGCAAAAGATATAGAGGAGCAACAGACGGACGAAGAAAAAATAATACAATAAGCTATGCGAGAACGAAGAGACAAAGTCAAAGATGTGACGAGTACGCAGGCATGTAGACCAAACATTGGGAGGGGAAATGGGGAGTGGGGAGTAAACGTAGCCAGTAGCCAACGGACGGTCTAACCTATGCCTAGAGATGTGGCATAACATGGGGTACTACTAGGAGTGTACAGTAACGATATTTTACAAGTGCGGTACAGGCTCGGGGGACATTGTGATACGATATGTTACAAGAACACCGATGATACAACGAAAAACATGAAGCAGAGCGGCATTCGAACAAGAAAAGAAGAGAGAAGAAGACGACAAACACATGCTAGCGTACCGAAAGTCACCTAGAAGGAAGAGTAAGAAAAATATGCTCGGATGTTAGCCAAGCTTGAGACCATTAACGCCGTCTTCTGCATGATCGACCTCCTTAGTATCCCCATCCGCCCTTCTACCAAGCCTCATAGTTCGTGCGATAGGACTGGCCAAGCTCATCGATGACCGCATAGTAGGACTCGATGCGACACTACCAGGTCCCATGCCTCGCGACATGCCACCAGGATACGATCCTGACAGGCAGGAATATGTCGGTGAAGAGTTGACAGAAGCTGAGCCTGATGCGTAGTTATTATTTGGTGTCGGGATGGGAATGGGGATTGGCATGGAGAGTGGCGTGGTCCGTGAGCTGGACGAGGTAGAACGGGGAATATAGATCGGGGAAAGGGAGGAGTGTGAGTCGCGAAGGTAGGTGACGGATGGTGAGACGGCGCGCCGTTTGGAAGACGATGGGTAGGGATCGTATCGGTCGTCGTCTACATAAGTTCGGATCAACACACGCTCACGAGGGCAGTCAAGGAGGAGAGCCTACGTTTCCGTTTGTTTGTCCGTACTGCGGAAGCCGTGGGTGGCGGCGTGTAGCGCCAGTTATAATTAGAGCTTGTCATGCCTGCCGGTGAGCCGAACGTCGATGATGATGGCTACACAAGCGCAAAACAGGTCAGAATCGAAGACAACGAAGTATTCAATACATGAAGCAAGCCTCACCAGATCTATGTCCATGGCTCCTGCGCCTCCCGGACTGTCCACGGCAGAATCATCGCCATTGACACTGCCACTGATACTGGGTGCAGACGTCCGAGCCCTGTTATTGATATTAATAGGCTCGCTCGTTGGCGGCGCAAAGCCGAATGGACTGTGAAAGTCGTCGTCGTCGCCATCATCGCTCGGCGTGTCTTCTCGTTGGCTGTCGTCGCCTGCCTCTTCAGGATAGCGGCCTCGGTCTGATGGCGCACGCGGCGTGCGGGGGTTTGTGGGGAGTTCAGAGAACGAAGCGACGAGCCGCTGGAATTGAGCCTCCGACTTCGCTTCGGTGTCTTCTGTTCGCGACTCGGAGACGAGATTGAGAATCCTTGGTATTTTAGGCTAAAATTAGGAAATATTTAGATTAGAACAGCTAGACGACGCGACACAGTGGACACGATCGTACCGGGCACGAGAGGCGTCGAAGGTGAGTCTGATACAGTGGCGAGGATTCTCCCAGACCGTCGATATTCGATGGGGATTGTCTGGGAGGGGTGTGCGGTCGACTCGTCTTCATCGGGCTGTCGCTGTCGGTCTCTACGTCCTTCTCGCTCGCAGTCGATCCAAGTAAAGGCGGCGTGGCATTCTCCGAACTGCACGACGGCGAGTTGTCTGTCCACATGCGGTCCTGGTATTGATCAGTCTCGAGTTTGAATAGTGATGATCGAGGAAGGGGTGCGAATGCCTCGTTCGCGAGAGGGCTTGATAGTCGAGCGTCACGGTCTGCGTTTGTGGATGTGGGCAGGCTGGGACGGCGGAAACGGCGGAAGAGGAGCGGGTGGGGGTCGTCTGGGTCGTCTGGGGAATCGAGGGAGTTGTGCGAGCGGGATTTGGAGAGCGGGAGGGCAAAGTCTGAGGAAGATGTGGGTAGATACGGACGAGTGTGTTGCCGGATGTTAGACATGGCTTTGGGGGTCTCTCGTTGAATTCGCCTCACGGCTACCCGCGGTGCGCTCGCTCCCTTCAAAGCGCTCCATCGCAATCACCACGCCTTCAAATATGTCTCGTGTCGTCCTCTTCCGCCTTTACTCACACAGCCGACACCACCCCCAACCACAGGTCATGTTTGCCAGCCGTACAGCCACGGGGACGTCGCCCACTGGCTGGCTGCAGACAACCAGCTCTATTTAGTTTCTTACACAATATCCCGGAGTTTATACCTGACTTGCAAATTCGGGAGATGCCACTGGAATTGAGCGCCTATTGGTGCCACTGTGGCCCTCTCATAAGTATTGGAATGACAGTCGGCAGGGTACTTCATTCTATTACAGGCATACGTATTCTACCCTCAGACGCTTTCCAGGAACAGGTCGAGTACCGCCTTCGCAGACGCACAGATCATAGCTAGGACGGTTTGGTCAGAGAAAAAAGACAACGTGAATGGGCACAGGGCCACCTACCTAGCTGAACAATGAAAATGGTCCTTGCAGAGGCAAGTCGCTGGAGACACGCACAGGGGCAACAAGATCAGTGTTGAGGAAGGTAATGAACAAAAAATAAAACATGCCTTTTCGGGATCACCGCTTCCGTAGGAGATGGTGTAGACGACTCTCAGAATGCTGACGGCCCCACATGCAGCAGCCGCAATAGTTGGGTACTTTGAGGCAGTGACGAGTGTCCTACAGATGTCAAAAGTAAGTCTTCGAGGTTTGGAGCAGAGTAAAAATGAACTGCAGACTGACGTTGTGAGGATGATAGGGAAGTTCTCTATCGTGTTCTGATGTGCTCCTACCAGGTCAAAAAAGTCAATCAGTGATTCGCAAAGCAATAATCACAAGACGAAGGCCTACTCTGGGTGCAGTTGAAGATCCTTGCATTGAGTGAGTCCTTCTCTGCCTCACTGTCAGCGTACACTGGTGAATATAGAAGGTAAGTTCAAAGTCACAATAGAGTATATATGTCGCGATGTGGGGGCTTCGACGTCTTGTATCATGAAATACGTAGGATCTCACTTCGAGGGTATTCGACGCCTGCTTTCCTCCGAACGTCGGCGACCTTCATAGCCTGCCACTGCATTAATACTGCTGTCGAGAGCAGCGAGGCCGCGACGTAGGAGACACTAGCAACGCGTCCAAAAGTCCGTGAGCATAACGATATTGGTGTAGGGACGTACATATGAGATATGGAAGATATGAACGTACGGTTTGTCCAAGACGAAGACAGCGGGCATCTCGATTTAGTACTTGATGTTCAAGAGGGGGATTGAAAGGATTGCGAAATACGATGAGGAAATTTGCGAATCGTTCCAGCTACCTTTTAATACTGCATGCCGACGGTTTAACCTGGCTTCGTAAGACCGTCACAAGCAGCTAACACTGGTTGTTGGTCCATGACAGATACGTGGAAAGCAGCCTCAACGACCGCTTGTAAGCGCGTTGGTGAGTATGAACCATGATAGATTTGCCGATGGGCACCGTGGACACTGCCGATAAGATAAGATCCTCCTTCGGAAACCTCCGTGCAGTCATTCCAAGTTTTTGCAGCTTGTGAGCTCAAAATTCATTACTTGGTCCATCCCCACCCAGCCATGTCTAATAAACGCCCGGCCACCGACGCACCTGAATCTTCCTCAAAAGCAGTCCGCAATGGACCCACACGCGAGACTACCATGGAAACGGACGAGATGGGAGAGTTCGAGGACGCATGGGAGGACGAGATCGAGGACGATGAAGTGATGGGTGAAGAGGGAGGGAACGATGGTACGGGATTCTTTCTATACTCCCCGTATGCACTATGTACGCATAATAGACCAGCGATATCTTCACATGTTGTCTAGTCATGGACGTCGACGACGAGGTCATGCCTCCCATCGAAGAAACGGAAGAGAAACCTCCAGCACCGAGCGTCTACATACCCGGCGTACACACACTTGGAAAGGACGAGATTCTGGAGGCAGACGATTCGGTGTATATCATGCGACACACCATGAATGTGAACTGGCCATGCTTGTCTTTCGACGTGCTTCGGGATAATTTGGGAGACCAACGGCAGAGATATCCCGCCACAGCTTACATCGTCGCGGGGACTCAGGCGGATGTGGCGAAAAATAACGAGTTGTCGGTTTATAAAATGAGCTCGCTGCACAAAACTCAGAAGGACGACAGTGAGTAAGCATGCCTATCCAGTTCAAGAGTCTGGGTCCCTTATACTTTGATTACAGACAGTGATGACTCTGACGATGAAAATGACGATGAGGACAATCTCGACGAAGATGCCATCCTCGAGTCTCGTTCGGTGCCACATCTTGGTGGCGTAAACCGAGTTCGCGCACAACCTCTCCCCCCTTCCTCACTACTACCACCCGCCTCACAACCATATCACGTCGCATCATGGTCCGAGACCGGCAAAGTACACATATGGGATGTCCGACCACTTATCGAATCGCTCGACGTTCCCGGCTATACCTACGACAAGTCGCGCACACAAACACCTACGCATACGATATCCTCCCATGGAACAGCCGAAGGTTTCGCAATGGACTGGGCCGCATCAGGCTCTTCGAATGCATCTGGACTTCGTCTCCTCACAGGCGATGTTCACTCCAAAATCTATCTTACGACTTCCACACCTTCTGGCTTCAACACACTCAGGGAACCCTTCACTTCGCACACATCGAGCATCGAGGACCTCCAGTGGAGCCCTTCAGAACCGACGGTGTTCGCGTCTTGTTCGGCAGATCAGAGTGTTAGGGTTTGGGATGTGAGGAGTAAAGGGAGGAAGAGTGTGGCGGGGATGGATGTGGCCCATTCCAGTGATGTGAATGTCATCAGTTGGAACCGGAGCACGACATATCTTTTGCTCAGCGGTGGTGACGAGGGTGGTATCAAGGTATGGGACCTGCGAAACGTCAAACAGCGCGGGTAAGTCCTCTTCATTACCTGAAGTTGCAACGTCTACTCACTAAAGGCATATCAGGACTTCCGCTCCCGACCCTACGCCCGTCGCGTCATTCTCGTGGCACGGAGGACCCATTACCTCTATCGAATGGCACCCAACTGAGGACTCTATCTTCGCCGCCTCCGGTGCGGACGATCAAGTCACACTCTGGGATCTCGCCGTCGAGCAAGACGACGACGAATCGGGCGCAATGGACGATACACCACAGGGTGGTCGCGACGTGCCGCCCCAGCTACTCTTTGTCCACCAGGGCCAAAAAGACGTCAAAGAGGTCCACTGGCATCCACAGATGCCCGGAACGGTGATCAGCACTGCTCTCGACGGATTCAATATTTTCAAGACTATATCTGTATGATCCTGTTTGTCGATGTAATTCAGGAAGCGATCCGAGGATGAAGCGTGTAGCAGTTCTTTGCGGACGCATGCTATATGTGTGTATGACTGCAACATGATACAAGAAGGACTCAGTGCTGGCTCGGTGAACTAGGCTACAAGACGGCAAGACGACAGATGAGACAAAACAAGCCGTGTCCATTCAGTAAAGACCCGCGCGATTATTGCCTTTCGGGGTACGGAGCTAGGTAGATGTTCAGTGTGTTTAGCTGGGCAGCACAGGATTTCAAGCGCATGAAATATACCTTGGCGATGTTCTTGTGCAGGATGTCTGAGATTACTGCGTATATGTTACGCAAGTCTAGCAGGTTTCTGCGTGAGACATACAACTGCCTCTCGTCGTGCTCCTTCAGGGCGAACTGGATGGTTTGACAGCATGAGTTTTGTATCATGTATGCAATACTGAGATCCGTCCGAACGTACAGTATAGTCTTCGACATGAGGATACTTGATCAGCTTCGTGCAGATTTTGGCACGATTGAGGTGGTTCTGGCGTGCAGAGTCTCGGAGACCGTATGCGCTCTCTTGCGCTCGGTGCAACTCAGCGAGTACCTCTGAGAACAAGATCGAACGGTGGCTGAACTATTATAATTCGTCGTGGACGTACCTTCTTGAATCTGTACGCCTGGATTTAAGGTCAGTGGAGCCGAATAACACGACGAAGGGGTAGAAAAGCGCAACACACCGAAGTTGTCGCCACTGGTGAAGGGAAGCTACTGTCAGGGGAAATGGCGTGATATGTCCTTGAAAGTACTCACTCCTCGATCCTGGAACAAGGGCAGGTAAGTCAAATGTTGAGTGAAGCAGAAACATAAGAGGTACGTACTTGGGCATAGTCAAATTGATCCATAGCTTAACCTTGTCCTGAGAATACGATGCAAATTGGTTTCCTTCTTGAGCTACAACGGTAGAGAGAACCCACACAGTGGTCTGCAAGCTGTTCGCATTCTCCTTTGACAATCTGATGGACTTCGTCCAAGTGCTTGTTTCTCGTAACAAGATTCGGGAAACGAGCATTCTGGACGTCGTTGCTGCCGAAAGACGGTCCTATGCCACCATCGGACAGCTTACGCTTCTTAGTATCAGGTTCGTCAGAGAGATGTGTAGTGTCGGGAGGTGGATAGATCGTGGGGTCAGTAGAGCTGGCGGCATGGGACATGTGAAAGGGCGACGAAGGCGATTGTGTGGAGTCGATGAATCCCTGCAATTCGCTGAGTAACATTCACTTAGTACACAGACCAAACTCAAGGTCCATGTTCGTGCTTACAGAATCTACGAGGAAAAGTAGATGTTGACCATAATTCCTAAATCTTTGAGTCACGATGACGCGTACGTACCTTGCTGGGAAAGACACGGAAAATGACAGTCTCTGCTGCTTCAGCTACTGATTGACGGAAGTCCTACGGATCCAAGACATTGATTCTAGAGTACAACATAAAACCTGAGTACATGGACTAACATCTAGCTGTTTGGAAGTCTCCTTGTCGAGTTTTGGTTCGGCTCCCATGACGGTCTGAGTGAAGGGCAGTGAGCAAGCGGTAAACGACGCGTCCGACGCGAATATTGATCGAGGCTCGACGCCGCACGTGGCTGGCGTTGGAACAGACGCGCTGAGCCACCGCGTCGGCGCCATTACCACTGTCAGCGGCACGGTGCCACACTTCCGCTGCCTTTGCTCTCCTTCCTCCGACCTCTGCGACTTGCAATGTCGAACAGAGTTCGTTCTTTTCCGAGCTTATCTGTGTTATTCTCATGCTGACTAGAGATGTTGACAAAGGATGAAGATGACGCCATCTCGGCTTTGACAGGCTTCTCTCTCGACAATATCCTCACTGGTCTTCAGCTTCCCTCTAACGGCCTTTCCAACCGACTCGGCATCTCAGGTCTCTCTGCACTCAACTCGAGTCAAATATACAACGATCGATGGGATGGAGATGATGCTGTGGGGACAGGCCAGGGCGAGGACTTTGAAGACGAGGTGGATCGTGAGATTGAGGAAGAGGAGGAGGAGGAGGATACTGGGGTCAAGATGGAGGACGAATCTTCCGACGCACATAAGATCCCGGAACGACGAGTACGCGTTGTCAAGCGACTAGTGGAGCGGCCAAAGACCGTATATGAACGGTTCCCGACATACGAGAAGGGCAAGGTGTTGAACTTCACGGAGCTCTTCAAGGGCTACACGGGTACCAAGTCGCGACTAGTCAAGCGACCTTTCTATGGTACGTTCAGCATTATTTAGCATAGGCTCCCTTATCTCAAGATTATGCAGTCGATACTGTCTATACCAAGAAGAAAGAAGTCCCAAGAGGATTCCTGGACACCATTGTTGGAGACGCGAAAAGGAAGGTTGAGCATGAGCGTGTCGACGACGTAGTCTCGTCAGGAAATATCGAGCAGGAACTCCGTCTAGCCCTTGAGGTACGTCTCCAAATAATATAGGGTCTGTGTGCACGCATAACGAATGAACGGCTGCAGGGCCAGGACGGAACTTCCTCCGATGCTTTGTCGTTACATGACCGCTCTTTTGACCTAGTCTTGCTGTCCAACTGGGAAGATCAGATCATCTTTGAACCTCAGCCTGATTCAGCTCGAAAACTAGTCACACGACCGACCACAGACCTCTCCACGCCTACTAACAAGGTGATTGAATCTGGAGATTGGACGCAAAGTATTATCTGGGATCCCAAGACTCCGTTTAGAGACTTTACTCAAGTCGACATCCCAGGAGAGGATGCCGCAGAGGAACGCCATGCCAGTACGCGCATTTTGCTACCTGTTCTACGCTCACACTTAACGTATATCATTAGCTCAAGAAATACGTCCACGGAAAAGGCCAAGAGTGGATGGTCCCCAAATCAAGGATAAATTCAATCTATCCAATGATCACTTCTACGAGGTGGCCAAAGAAGGCGGCAAACATCGTGTCCGTCAAACCTTTGGTCAACTCGTGGTCGAGCACGCGTATCCCGCTCAGAAGCTGCAGCTGCCATTCGTAAGTGCCCCTCACTCACTCCTTCCATTTACGCCACCTGAAGGCTGGTTCGTACAGTACAAGACACGTCTACAGAAGCAAGAAGCCCGATCCTGGCATCGTCCTGCTTTGCAATTCCCCACGAACATTGAAGTCCACTTCCAAAAGGTTCGCACGGCCAAAAAGAAGAAGGACAAGGCGGGTCGAAAGTTGGGTCGTGGTGGCAATGTCGGCGAAGGTCTCCATCGGACGTCAGATTTGAGTTTGAAGGATACTAGCAACTTCGTGCTCTGGGAGTATTCGGCGAGTCTTTGCAGGTTCTCAAGATTCACGACGTTGGCTGACTTGTTTCACGGCCACAGGAGGAACATCCCCCAATTATGTCAAATTTCGGCATGGGAAGTATTCTTGTCAATTACTACCGCAAGAAGGGCGAGAAGGACGACACAATACCAAAGGTACAAATTTCATCATGTCTCACCTTTTATAAACTATCTGACCCTCTACTCAGCTCGACCTTGGAGCCCCATTTGTTCTCGAGCCGCAAGATGAATCTCCATTCATGAAATTTGGCTCTGTCGAACCGGGCCAAACCATCCCCACTCTCTACAACAACCTCGTCCGAGCGCCACTGTTCCGACATAAACCTTACCATACGGATTTCCTCGTCATCAAGTGAGTTATTTCGACTGAGTCTCAATCCAACGTGTAGTTAACGGAAATTGGGGCAGGAACACTATCAAAGGCGAAGCAAAATATTACATCCGGGAAGTCAAGAACCTGTATACCGTCGGCCAGACATACCCTCTCACCGAAGTTCCCGGGCCACATTCGCGAAAGATCACCAATACGATCAAGCATAGGCTCCAAATCATTGCCTACAAACTTCTGCGTAAGAGCAGCGGCGAGCGGTTGAAGATCGCACGGCTCATGAAGTACTTCCCCGACCAGAACGAGCTCCAGATGAGACAGCGGCTGAAGGTAATAAGCAGGTCTTGGTGGTCACCACTATCAGAAATCGATACTCATGACATTCATGACTGTAGGAATTCATGGAATACCACAGACGAGGTCCACACCAAGGCTTCTGGCGCCTGAAGGCAAACTGGAACATCCCCAACGACGCTGATATGCTCAAGATGGTCGGGCCAGAACAGGTCGTCTTGTCTGAGAGTATGCAAGTCGGTCAGCGGCATCTCCAGGACTCGGGTTACAGTGGCACAGACACTGCTGCCGATGACGATGAGTCCAACCTCTCTATCGAGCAGCAGCTTGCGCCGTGGATCACGACGAAGAACTTCTTGTTCGCCACGCAGGCCAAGGCGATGCTGAGGTTGCATGGGGAGGGCGATCCCACAGGCAGAGGAGAGGCGTTCAGCTTCATTCGTGTGTCAATGAAGGACATCTTCGTCAAGGCAGGTGAAGATTACGACCAGAAGCTTGGTACGTCCCTTCTCCTCACACTCTCTGCACCTATCATCTACCCTACCCTCCCATCCCATCTCACCATGTATGTCCCTATGCTCTTTGGCCAGCTGAAGCCGAAAGTCGGCCCAAGTCTGCCCACCGGTACAACGTCGCGGAACAACAACAAATCTACAAATCCGAGATCGAAAGGATTTGGAGAGCGCAGTACCGCTCCCTCAGCCGCAAAGACGAGCCGCAGCTTTCGGACGACGATGATGCCGAGCGCGACCGCGGACGTAACCCATACACCGTCAAGACCCAGAAACAGCTCGACCAAGTCTCACTAAAGCTGCCCAACAAGGCGTATTCGCCTGCGGGTTCCCCGATGGCTGCTGTCATGTTGCCCTCCGCGGGCCCGTCGTCTCCTGCGTTCAGTCGAGGCTCTTCCGTGGACCGTGATCGGGACGGAAGTGTAGGGCCTGACAATAGGAGGGTACTGCGCATAAAACGAAAGGTGCGCACTTATTCCATGGCCTTTGTCCGTTAAGCTTTGCCTGGGCGAGGACGGAGCAGCCTGCGCGGGTGATGCGGCCTTGGTTCCTTGGCTCTCGCTGGCGGATGGTGGCGTCGGTTCCTGATGGGCTATAATTGACTGCTGCGTTTTTCTGATTTTTTGTAGGTTGATGGCGAGTGGAAGACGGAGATTGTCAGGGACCCGGCAGTCATACGTGCTTATGTGCGGAGGCGGCAGTTAATTGAGGAGGAGACGACCATGGCGGACAGTCTCGCCCCGACTGGAGACGCAGACAGGGACAAGCGGGCCAAGAAGAGGTGAGATTCGCGTCCCGTCCGTCTTATTCGGCCTTGTTTAATTTCTGATGCTTTTCATACCCCGTAGGCTGGAGGAAGAGATCGCGCGGATGAAGAAGAACCAAGAACGCCGTTTGCACAGGAAGAATGCCAAGATCGCTAAAGAGGGTGGTACGCCTCTAACGCTGAACCGGAATACCAAGCCAGACACAACGGTAAGCCCCATTAGTGCACGCACACCTTCGACAATCTTACACCCGTGTCGCATTTGTCTGATGATGATCAACCACTTTCGACAGAGACGTTGCGGAAACTGCGGACAACTGGGCCACATGAGTGCGTGCCTTCTTTTTTTCTTTTTCTCCTCCGTTCTCTCTCCCCCTCCTCCCCCTCCTCCCGTCTCTCTCGCTCTCCTCACTTACCCAAATTAATCCAAAATTATTTTGACATCGCAGAAACGAACCGCAAATGCCCCAAATGGGCCGAATTCAACTCCGGCGACAACGCCGCCTCAGCCTCCGGTGGCGCGACCTCTCCCACCAACGCGACGAGTCCCCCACCCAGCACGCCCGGCGGCGGTGGAGGTGGTGGAGGCCTCTACAGTCCCGGAGCCGACTCGCACTCCCAAACGCACCAGCACAGACCGTTTCCCGGTTCGCTTCGTGCCACGAACGCGTTCGCGCCGGGGGCGCCGTCGCCACTGGCTACGAGTCCGCCCGTGTATGGACATAGTATGGATATGGGGATGGGGATGGATGAGGACGAGGATGAGGAAGATGCGGATGGGGAGGAGGGGATGGGCGGTGGTGGGACGAAGTTGAAGCTTATGTTGGGGAAGAGGTGAGGTGAGGTGATGATGTTTGTTGAGAGTTCCGGAGACGGAGACGGACTCGTGTTTCTGCTGTCTTTCTTTGCTTTACTACTTTGTTGTTCTCGCATCACTACTTACTACTACTTTCTTCAACCAACCTGCAATCTCTGTTACTTTGTATGTAGTACTTATACTGACTGACGCGCACGCTTAATTTATCTGGATGGCTATGTTCGGTTGTTTGGACTCGCTCATTCGAGCTGCTGCCTGTCGATGATTATTGCGCATGCGGTACAGTATGATACTACGCTGGTTGCGATTGCTAGTCGACCACCCATACGTATTCTTTTGTGTGCGGAGGTTATACCAACCTCGCAAACGCGTCGTGTTACAATGTAAGAAAGCAGCGAAATAGATAATTGAGCGAGGCAGAAGAAAGAAAGATGAGATGCGATGCGAGTCGAGTCGAGTCGGGGAAAACAAAATACGAAAATAGACGAATATATAGACTAGGGGACAGGTAAGTAATACAACAAGCTTTGATCTGCGAACGAGCACGAGCACCGACGACAACTACGATAAACCTCTACTGTCACGCACACCACTCACATCACCATCTCGACATCCCGCGATGCCGGAGGCGGCGGCGACCTCACGATATCCATCGACATATCCCTCTCCACGCTCCTCCGCGCCTGCGCCTGCGACAGCCTGAACTCGTTCCTGTACCTCGCATTGATCATGACAAGCAAGTCGCGAATCAACGCCGCGTGGCTCTCACGATGCTCAGACGGCACTTCCTTGTCGAGTTTCAGACGATCGACACCACGCGCCAGACGGTCCTCCATTGTCGCAGAAGACGAGGGCCGTACGGGCGCCGTGATCTCGCGCAGGCTCGGAAGAACGGTGGTGTTGCTGTTGCTTGTGGTGGTGGCCGCGGAGGGTCGAGGTGACGGATGCGAGGCTGTCGACGCTGGCGAAGCGGGTGGCGAAGGCGAGCGATACCTATGCTGAAGCGGTGGCAACTTCAGATCATCGTCACCAGACCTCAACAACGGATAAAGCGAGTCCGACTTGGGCAGTGTCGTCGACGAGACCGAAGACGATGACGAAGACGAGGAACCGTGGTGCTGATGCGCGCCGTTGACATTTCTCGGCTCGAGCGGTGGCAGTGTAAGGCTCTTGTCGACGACGGCAGAGCCCGGTATGGATTTGAGGGGGATGATCGTCCGCATCGACTTCTGGCTGTAATCGACAGGGCCGAGGTGCGCAGCAGGTTGAGGACCCCTCGAGATCCGGATCTGCTCGTATCCATTCGAGACCGCTGCGGGGACGTGTGGTGGGGTCGAGTTGGTCGGCGAGGAGGCGGAGGAGTGTGGTGAGCTGGTATCAAGGGGTGGTGTAGGTTGCATGTGCCCATGGGACGGGTGGGGATGATGATATCCGACCGACGCATATGGAGCACTGAGGCCTGAGACCATCGCTTGTTGGCTGGACTGGGATATACGACGGGCGTGACCGTAAGAGGGACCAGTGTTGAACGAGGCGGCTGCCATGTCCTGCACGGAGGGGTACATTGGGCCTTGCTGGGCCGAGTACTGTTGTTGCTGGGTTGGGCGGGAAGACGATGGAGTATGGAAGAAATTATTGGGCGAGAAGTTGGAGCCAGCGGAAGCGAAGGCGTCGTCGTGACCGTAGGGCGAACCAGACGATGGGATGCCGGGCATGCCGGCAAGACCAAGCTCGCTGAGCTGGGCATGGTCGAAGTACTGATAGCTTTGGAACGCGTTCGAGCCCTGGCTTTGTGAGCGCGAGTGGCTTGATTCGACGTCTCTGCCGAGGGTGAGAAGGAACTGATTGACGGCGGCCAACTCTTCGGGGGAGCGGATGTCGAGGGAAACAGAGCGAGGATTGAAGCCGGGCTCTGAGTTCGTCATTTGTTGAATGTACCCAAGATTGCTTAGGCGCTCGGCCATGTCTGTAGAGAATGTATGAGCATGGGAGAACGATATAAGGAGAGATAGTAGACTGACTGGAGTCGTATGAAGGGTTGACCCTTCGCTTCTTGACGTCGGAGAAGAAGTCATCCATGTTGTAATCGTGAGAGCGCTTGAGCCCGGAGGAAGGGGACGAGGAGCCATCGGTGCGAAGGGTCTCCCATGTCGGGAGGTGCTGAGTGGTATGGTGGGCAGAGGAACGGCTGGGGATGGAGCCGAGGGCATAGTTTATTGATCCAGGAGAAGGAGGAGCGATAACATCGAAACCGTGGCCTAAAATAGGGTTGAGCACGTAACACGTCGTAGCGGAACGGGGATCATACCTTGGTGTACAGGTCTTGAAGGCGGCTGTTTGGGACGGGCGCCAGCTTTAGCAACAAACTCCGCCAGCGAAGCGTCAACAGCTTCGGCAGAAAGAGATTCTCGGCGCGTCCTTGCGAGAGGGTCCGGGACGGTGACTGCTTTGGAGTGCTTGTGCTGAGCATGATGCTCCTCGGTATGAATCTTTTCGTGCTTTTTGAGATCCTGTGGTCGCTTGAATGACTTTTTGCAGATCTTCGAAGGGGGGTTAAGGCGGGATAAAACGACTGAAAATGGCTGGAAAAAATACCTCGCAGATGTGAGGCTTGAGAGGGGTGTGGACTGCAAAAAAGGGTGGCAGTGAGCAAGTGTGGCGAGGCTGGAGCGGAGCCGGCATACCTCGGAGGTGGCTAGTGATATGATCGCGCTTGGCACAGGAGGTTCCACAATCCTTCCACTTGCACGTAAGACAGAGATTGTTGGTAGACTTTCTGCCGATGTGGTCGTTGCATAGATGATTGTAGAGCGCCTCTGGGTCTGAGAGGGCCTTTGTGCAGTCGGCCCAGAGACAGCTGTACTGTTGTGAGCCGTCGGCGCTGTCTGCGCCAGCGTTGAGGGGTGGGGAGGGCGAGCGCGAGAGCTTGGGGGACGGTAAGGAGGACATGGTGCTGACGGAGTCGAAAGAGGAGCGGGAGCGAGTTGCAGGATGGAGGCTAGCTTTATGGGCCGCCAAGATCAATGAACAGGCGACTGACGCCAAGAGCTTTTAACCAATCGAGCGCAGCCAACAGGCCGGTCAAGGCCCCCGATGCCGCTTAGGGGTCCGCTCTCCTCAATCCTCTGCTGCGCACCGATCCTCTTTATCTTCTTGACATACTGCGCACTTGGCGCAGCCGGCAGCCTTACCTCGTATGTCGGCCATCTTGTTCTTCTGCTTGTTCTTCTATCTGCTTTATCCTGATTTCTGCAGTTTTGTCCAGGCGCGTGGAGGTTGCATGGACGGAGGACTTTCCAAAAAGGAGAGTGCTTCATATTTCCACGCTCCATGCCAAGAGGAGAGGATGCCAAGCGAGTTGTGATCAACCCCCTCTCGCTTGGCAGGCGCTCGCTGTACCTGCCACCAGCATCTTGGTGGGAATCCGTTGGCAAAATGTCCTTTTTAATTCACTATTTCTCCTTTCGTGATCCACGTCGCTCTCCTTCAGCTCCTTTCGCAGCCCTGGCTGCTGGAAGTCCGCTGGTCGTGTAGGGCTGCGAGCAGTGCTTTCTCGGACAACATCTCACGCGCACTCACCGGCATCCCGATTCCAGCTCTATTCTTGCCGCCATCTCTTCCGGGCAGGGCACCGGTCATTTCCATACCACCTAATATTAATCCTGTGTACCGCCGGGCCCACTTGGCAGATCGTGCAACCCGCACACTCGCATCAATTCCTATACTTTTTTCGACCTTATTCTCCATGCCTTCGTAGGATCGTCGTACGAACACATCGGACTCACAGACTCAGGCCTGTATGTAGAACGGGGAAGAGCGCATCCCTACTTCGGCTGCACTCTCGGCATGACGAGCATGATTTCTCCGACCCCTGTTTTCCTGAGAGTTGCGATTTTCGGGCTTGGCCTCGCCACAGCACACCATCAAATCTCTTCCTTCCCTTCTTCTCGGAGCAGATTCCATGTCTTGGCATTTCTCAGTCCTTGCCTGGCTTGGCCCTGCTTGGCCTTGGTACACATGCGCCCACCACTCGGCTATAATGTGGGGCAACCTCGACGCCCTCCAGCGCTCCAGTCTCGGTTGTGGTTTTGCTGACCATCTCCCGGACTTGATTGGCCGGTTCCACATCTCGGCATTCGTGCGAAGGATGGACAACGTCAGAGGGGCCAAGCTGTTTCTCTAATATTATAGCTCGGCACCAAGGCTTCCGCAAGCCGCGGTACCGTATGTGGCGACGAGCCGACCATTTCTATATACTTGACTTGACTTGGCCTCAAACTGCGCCAAGTCATGTACGAGAAACCGTGTACATATTGTTCCGGAGCTGGGCAAGCCGCTTTCTCTTCGCCAGCTTGGCTTTTGTCTTGACTTCTATGGAGTGGAGGGTCCTATACAGAGGTAAGTCGACATTGATATTGAGACGTACTCAGCCCTACTCAGCCTTGCGAGGGTTCTCTTCCTATGACTGGGAGGAACAGGTGATCAGTTCCGTGTTGTTCTCAAGACTCAGTGCTCAGGCCTCGGGATTCGCGTCTTCAGGATGCTCTTCGTCGTCACTGCGTCTCTCCGTTTCTTCCGTTAATGAACTTACACTGGCATGTCTCTCAGCTCACAACTCCATATTGGCAGGCATAGCTCTCACAGTCAGTGGTTCGTATTCACTCGAATCCAGTTCTCCGCCTCTCCCAGCTCTGCTCCGTCCTATTTATAAATCGAGCACTAGCGAGTTGGCGGAGCCCAGATTCTGCACAACGCGGCACCCTTTAGACAGCGCTGCAGCATCAATGGGCCGGTTATTTTTGTCATTCACACTTCAAGGAAAACTCTTCCACTGAGGCTGTAAAGTGCTCTCGAATATTATCGTATTTTCCATACGACGACGATGTCGCTCGCAGACCAGACACGCCGAACGCAGGTTCTACGCTCCGCAAACTCCCCACTTCCGTCCAACCTCAGCGGCGAAGGAGAATGTTACTGTAATTATCACGAGGCATTCGACAGAACAGCGCCCGGAGCCTATTGACTTTCTCATGCAAGGGACCGCAGTATAGCTGACATCTCACCTAACGGCACCGATCCTTTACTTACTCCATACTCGAAGCCTCAACTTAGCTGACAGAGCAGGAGAAGCTGTCCAAGATTCCAAAAGCCGAGGGTTTATTTATAGTATCTCATCCGCTCTAAATATATCCCGCAAAGTAAATACTCTGCTCGAGCGCTATTCTCGGATGGGGTATCTAATTCGGGATTCTTATTACCAGCTAGAAATAGTCTCGCTTTCTGTTTCTCTCGCTCGCTAGCTGATGGACTTCTCGTCCTCGATGGATTACCACTCGACTCTCAGCCGCTTTGCGATGCTACTCCATTGAATCGTGCGCTGCGGTCCTGCGTCATGCTCACACCGTTATCAGCGGCGAACTCGTTTTCGTGGTCGTGGTCATGCATGGAAGTATAGATAGGCAGGTATGACTTATTCTTGATTCTTGAATTGTCGAATTCTTGACAACTTGAAGTCGCGGTCGGAGCCGTCAGCGAGTTGCTTGAGAACTTCTGCTCGCGCGCACAATGCGTCTTCTAAGTATATATCGACCACATGGCATGCCTATCAATACGACTCAACTCATGCACTTCGTATCTCTACGACTGAATGGTGATATCGATATCAGCTCAGTTCGCAGCCGCCACATACCCTGCTACAGAGATTGGTCACCAGTCTGGCCTACGAGAATGTCGTCAGTTCCTCGTCGGTCAAGCCGAGTCGTGAGGTAAGATGACGACGGGTGCTCCTTACTCTTCCTTACTGCGTAACACACGGTCGCATACGTACTTTACTTATATGCATATGCATATGATTGCACCCCCGGGCGCAAAGCAAAAGGCAACCACTTGAGGGCAGCCTCGACGTTATTGGACGACCGACTGGCTGCCGCTTCGCGACTCATGTACCATCAGATATCCACATACCTGCTGATCAGCCGGGACGTTTCTCTTACCGGGGTTCGAGCACTCAGCGCTCATAAGTACTCTACGGCGTAGATCTCATGGTGATGTAGATACGTTCGTCGGAAGTCCCTTCGTCTCGTGCTCCAGTGTGTACTGCGGAGAGTATGTACGCCTGCAGTACTGTACACAATGCACATTCGCAATCGTAGGTCATCATGATACCACTGGCACTCGTGACGATTTACTGGATGCACGATTATTGGCTGGAGATTGTAATCAGCGGCAAACATGGATGATCCGAACGGTGGTCGTCGAGATGTGGTCTGTTTCGCGTTTCACGGTTGTGTACACGTATTTATTTATTTCAGGACATCCATACCCCATTGCGCCAGGGATGATCCAGACGGAAGATTTCCAGTGTCAGCAGCGCCGGCGCCCACTGGGACTGATCACTGCCAACTAGCACTCTTTTCCGTTCCATCAGTGTTTCTCTACTTTATAATAATATTTTATGATGAGGTATAAAACCGGAGATACGAGAAAACGACGAGCCTTTTCAAACTTGTCCCTGCTGTGCTGTGCCAAGCTGCCGAAATCCCGAGAAAGATGAACGTTCAAAGTGTCACTACGCATCCGGCATTTCCCGAGTGACTGCCACCAGCCCAGCGGTTCGAGCCACGGCCACGATAACCGATTCGGTCTTGACCACGACCACTGCCATTTCGGCGGGCGTCGATGGCTGCTCTGGATGCTTGTATCGCGAGACTCTTTCCTATAGACTTGGGTCTGCTTTCAACTCCTTGACATGCAACACTAGACCACTTGACGAACTTTCCTTACCGTTGTCAATGCCGGCCCGCGAGTTCGAGCATCTTCAAAAGGTCTTCGAGCGCACCGGCATAACTGGCGCGCTCTTATTGTGTCCCAGGTGTCCAGCGCTGTGAGTTTCAGGTCCTCCTGTGAGCTGCTGTTCCCTTAGCATGAGCCGACGGATTTCCGTTTATCTATTTTTAGTGTGTTCATGGCGGCAGTCACATCCCCTCCATCCGCCGCGCCGAGTCCATTTCGGGACTGCATATAATCCGATTGTGCCACGTCGATCCGGAGAGTATACCTCGTTCGCTTCCCTACTATGGATGGCCCAGTAGTTCGAGGGAATCTTGAAAAACCGGTGTCTCCCTTCACCTTCGACAATAAAATACAAAATTTGGGATTCCAGTATATCTGCATCTTTAGATGACTCCTGGGTGGTTTCTGATTTTTTCACGAGAGGGAATTATGTGCCAGTTCGATGCCGGCGAGGAGGTGGTTTGGAGGGGAAGTTCGAGATTTCTTGGCGCCAAGGCCCACTCAAACGAGTTCGAGGGCCCTTATTGTCACGCCTTCGTCACAAGCCGAAGCGGGCGTTGCGAGAGAAGTTCGAAGCCCGCTTGGGCGCGCATGGGCCGAGCCATGCGTCGGAGATCGAATTTCTGGCGAGCCGCGATTGTCACGCTCGACCCTCACATTTCGAACATCTGGGTTGGTACCATGTACATGTGCATCGGGCTCAATTTTAGTACCCAGATACACTTATATACATATCAGGACTCTACCTGATTATTGTCATGATTTTAGGAGGGCAGGATCTTTGCATAGGCAGAAGTTCAAAGTTGTTACACCTATGGAAAAGCAGGGTTGCACGCATCTTCCATTTTCTCCACCAGCAACAACTTTCCGTGCGGCCTCAGAATTTTGCACATGTATTCTTGAGATGTGAGCGGCGTCGTGTGCATTTTTACAGAGGCAGTGAGGGACGGACTGTACAGGGAGAAAAAGATTTCGACGAATCTCGAACGACTGGGTCACTTCGAACTACTGGGCCATCCATAGTATCGTAGTCATAGCTCTTCTTGATTAAAATCCTGAGGCTATACATTCTAGATTACTGGATCGGACTGTGTACTACTCTTGGCAACTTATAGTACTTACTATGGCTTCGTTGAACTCTGGCTTGGTGCTCGATGAGACTGGGTATAGACTTGATGAGGAAGAGAGCGCGTTTTATAAAGCGCAGACTGGATTAGAGGACGATGCGGCGTTGAAGGATCATTTGGTGCGGGTGCAGGCGGAGGCACTTGCTGTTCGTGAGTACCTTTCATGACGATGGAGAGAAGGTCTTCTATTTATGACCATCGTTTTGTTTTTTGTTCGGTTTAGACCCTTACGCGTGTATTCGACACTTCAGATTCACGAAGTAGGTTTTATTTATCACTATTTCTTTCACAGTTGAGCTGACCATTTATCTCTTCGTTGAAGGCTCAAGATCTCGCGATTGTTGGCATACCCTGACCTGCTGAAACTGGGTAGGGAACGCGAAGGCGCCATATTCCTTGATATTGGCTGTTGCTGTATGTGATGATACCTTTACGATCATAAATCGAGGTTGTGCTAATGTCCGTCTCTACTGTTGTTTATGGCAGTCGGCAACGATGTGCGAAAGGCAGTAGCAGACGGGTACCCAATGCACAATGCAGTCGCTTCAGATCTTCGACCAGGTGAGTTTCACGAGTTCTAAAGGACTATCTCAAACGATATATCAATATAGCTACTAACATCAACTCCGTCCACAGAATTCTGGCAGCTCGGCTACAAACTCTTCAACGACTCTCCCTCTACCTTCCCCGTCCCCTTCATACCCGGCGACATCTTCTCACCAGACCACCTCACCCCACTCCCACCTTTCACCGCCACCTCTCCACCCACGACTCCTCCTCCGCCCCTCTCTCCAACGCCAACGTCATTGAACCCCCTCCGTGGACACGTGTCCGCCATCCACGCTTCCTCTTTCTTCCATCTCTTTGACGAAGAACAGCAGTTCGTGGTCGCCAAGGCGCTCGCGTGCCTTCTGTCGCCTCAAGAGGGCAGCATGATATTCGGACAACATGTCGGGTCGCCAGATGGTCCGGATGCGGGGAAGCACGGCAAACCGCGCCCGGGGAAGATAGCTTTTGGACATTCGAAGGATAGTTGGGAGGCGGTTTGGGATGGTGGGGTGTTTGAGAAGGGGACTGTGAAGGTGGAGACGACGTGGAAGAAGAGGGTGGAGGAGATAGAGGAGATCCAGGGCAATCCGACCTGGCTTTTGGATTGGCGTGTGACGAGGTTGTAGTACTTGTTGGATGTTGCATTCCTTTATACTATACAGTGTAGTTTTTTCCCGCTCAGGACACAAAAATCTTCAACAAATCAACGGTCGGTCCTTCCTACAGACCGGACAATTTTATTGGATACTATTCCTTGCTCTCCAATGGTCTAATGGAAAGACGACGCAATTAATCACTCCACCGATGATGTTCCAGTATAACACGACCTCAACAGCACATTCATTTGCGACTGGGGCCGTTATCTTGCGCGATCTCTATTGAGATTTGGTCTGAGACTCACACTCGGCCGTCGGACTTCCGGTGGCATCTCATCAAAGCACCTGCAAAACTCACAGACAGCGCTCCAAAACCTCAGGCTTCCGTCGTAGGCGCCGTCGGACCTAACGATCTATAAAAGGCCCAAGGATCTGATCAGCGTTCGACTGCTCAGCTGCTCTTACTTCATCGACTGGACTTTCTGGTAACGTTTTTCGTCCCACATCAGATTATTTCCAATGCCGGACTCGGAGTTCAACACCTCAGCCCATTATGCTACAGAAGTTGCCCTAGACGATACTGGGTATGGTTTGGATGAAGAGGAGAGCAAGTTCTTCAGGTCGCAGACCGGGATACAGGACGAGGTTCAGCTGAAGGAACACCTTTTGAAGGTGCAAGCTGAGGCTCTTGCGATCCGTCAGTACCGTTATGTTGTGTACCTGTTCTTTCACTTTACTTACAGTCCTTCCCAACAGATCCATATCCTTGCATTCGAAACTTCAGATTCACGCAGTAAGCAGCCAGCACGATTAACCCCTGGCACTAGCTCGGTACTCATCTCTGTGGTTACGCCGCAGGTTGAAGATCTCACGTCTATTCGCCTACGAGCAATTACTGACGCTGGGACTTGAACGAGACGGCGCTATATTGCTCGATATCGGTTGCTGCTGTCCGTCTTGTCCTTCGGTCATAAAAGTATGGTGATGCTGACCTTCATATAGTTGGAAACGATGTTCGCAAGGCCATTGCGGACGGGTTTCCTGTTCAAAATGTGATAGCTTCAGACCTTCGCGCTGGTAAGTTCGGTAACACCATGTCGCGGTTCCGTACCAAGATCCAGATAAATAGAAACACTCACCCCAAGCTTCATGATCACAGAATTTTGGGATCTCGGTTATGGGCTCTTCAACGACTCTCCCGCATTTTTTCCTGTGCCCTTCATAGCCGGCGATGCCTTCGATCCATCTCATCTAGAACCCGTTCCACCCGCCACAACACCCGCTTCCGTACCTCCACCCCCTTTGAACACCTTGACCTCTTTAAACCCTCTCCGTGGACACGTCTCCGCCATCCACGCATCCGCGTTCTTCCATCTGTTCAACGAGGAACAACAGCTTTATCTCGCCAAAGCTGTCGCATGCCTACTTTCACCTGAGCCAGGCTCCATTATCTTTGGTTCGCATGTTGGACTGCCGGAGGTAGGGCTCCGAAAAGGTACAAGCGGAGGCACGAGGTTCGCACATTCGCCGGAGAGCTGGGAGCAGATGTGGGATGGTGAGGTTTTCGAGAAGGGGACAGTGAAAGTAGAGGCGAGGTTGAAAATATTCAATGACAGAGAGATAGGAGGTGAAGAGGATCCTGCGAGAAGTCGTCACCTGATGTCGTGGTGTGTGACTAGGCTTTGAGCTAGAGGGCGGCTTGGAGACTTGGATAATATGACAATCTTCGTCTTCGGAACATCTAAACTTCATAGAATCCCGTTTCGACACATTTGTTTCTGGATCTGGAAATTGTTGTACATTGCTCCCCAATCGCACACCTGGACCCACACACCTTTGAACCAATACAGATGTAGCATTGTGGGTTATAACAGTTTCCCTGTGGGCTTTAATCCCTCGAAACCTTCCGCATTTCGGTCATACACCAAGTTACCCCTCAGGTACGTTTTGTCAACACGGCCAGAGAGCATCATACCCTCATATGGCGTGAGCTTGTTCTTGAAGTTCAGAGATTCCCTCGTAACCTGTGGTCGCACAACGTGAGCTAATGGAGAACACAAGCGGTCCTTATCTGCACTTACCATATACTGAGCCTCGGGATCCCAAATCACGAAGTCTGCATCATATCCGACCTCGAGTTTTGCCTTCCTACCACTCAGAGCCGCATGCTCAGCAGTCTTGCTGCTCGTCCACTCCAAAATCTTGCCAATACTGATCCCGCGCTTCTTTCCCTCCGTCCACAAAAGACTCAGCCCTAGCCCGAGCGTGCTAATTCCACCCCAGGCGCCCATAATATCACCCTCATCGACTTTCTTCAACTCCGCCACACAGGGACTATGGTCTGAAACCACAAAGTCAATAGTGCCGTCCTTGAGAGCAGCCCAAAGAGCTTCCCTGTTCGTCTCATCACGAATCGGCGGACAACATTTGAACTCAGGACGGCCATGGGGAATGGAGTCGGCGGAAAGACAGAGGTAGTGGAAGCAGGTTTCAACGGTAAGATTGATTCCAGACGCTTTTGCGGCGCGGACGATGGGGAGTGCCTGGGCGGCGGAAAGGTGGACGATGTGACAGCGGAGGGAAGGATAGGCGCGTTGGAGGTTCGTGATCCGAGTGATGGCGTCGGTCTCGAAGGACTGAGGACGTGAGTCCAAGAAAGTGCTGTAAAGAGTCGGATCGGAGGGTTCACAGTCTTGTACGGTTGGTGAATCATCGAACTCAGCGTGGAACAGAAGGACAGAGTTCGTATCCTGTGACGGGTTCAGTTGAAGGAATTGGAGGAGATAGACTTTCATGACACACCTGCAACGCCTCCATAGCTGGTTTCAGGTCCGCTTCCGTCACACAGGGAAATTCCTGTGAACGTAAGTTAGGGTATCGAGAGGAAAAGTTATTGTTGCTCACCTCCACACCACTTTCGATCATGAAGCATTTGAATCCCTTCACTCCAGCATCCACAAGTGGCTTCAAGTGCGTCTAATCCCAACAGGTCATTTCGCAAGGTATTCAAGAGATCAATCAATGTCTGTACGAACCTGATTACCTGGGATGACGCCGCCCCAGAACGCAACATCCGTCCAACACTGACCATGAGCAGCCGTCCGCTTGCTCTCAAGATTCTCCACAGTGGTAGTCGGAGGAATGGAATTGAGAGGCATATCTACGACAGTCGTAACACCGCCCGATGCTGCTGCTCGTGTACCAGTCCAGAACCCTTCCCAGTCAGTCCGGCCAGGTTCATTGAGATGAACATGTGGACTGTGACAGTTTTCAGATAAACTCACTTGAACCGATGTAAATGGACTCACCTACTCGACTAAGCCAGGGAGAATGAACTTGTCTCCTGCATCAATCCAAGATGCGGCTACTGAGGGGTATGTATCCCGCTCGCGACGTTCGAGATGCACAGCGGTGATCTTTCCTAATTCTGGAGATACTTCGATCGTGGCAGCCTGGGGAGAGTCATGGCCAGGTAGCACAATGTGGTTTCCAGTGAGCACAAGCATTATGCACGAAGTTGTAGTTAGGTAGAGAGGCGATGAACTGATGAGATGTAAATCACAAAGTCGTTATCTTATCATAGCAGCACCGATCTAAGCATGAGGTCAATCAGAACCGTAAATATTTTGTTTTAGCTAGTTTTTATTGCGCAAATCACCACGACTCTCGATATTCGTTGGGAATTGGGAATTTACGGGGAAGGAAGAAAGTCACGCGAAATAATGGTAGGAATAAATGGGGAAATAGACGCCATCAAGCGGGCCACAGCGTCACTCAAGGATCCCAGTGACGTCAGCCCCTATTCGAAACAACATATATTCTCCCCAAAATCCGTTCTTCGATTCTCAACACATCCTAAGCCTTGAAGTTGGAACTTCATCATCACCTTCTTGTTTCCACAGCTGAAGACATCCAACATCTTACTCTTCTGCCAACATGCCCATCACTCGTAGACAGGCTGCCCTCCAAGAATCAGGTGTCGACGTTAAGCCGACATCGAAGTCTGAGAAACCGAAGAGCTCGCCGAAGAAGAGGGGCACGAAGAGGGATGTAGAAGAAGTTGAGCAGCCGGAGGGTGAAGAGGAGGAGCCACCCGAGAAAAAGACGAAGCAGAGTACGAAGAAGGGTGAGAACGTGTCAGAACCGAAGCAGGGCGAGAAGAATGAGAAAAGACCTCGCGACGGCCCTATGAAAGGTAAGCAGATGGACAGCCAAAGTACAGCCCCTGTTTGTTAACCACGTTAGCGTAGGAACCATCGAGCGCGGCCACATTTACTTTTTCTACCGTCCCAAGGTCGAGCAGGAGGAGGCTCACTCTATCGACGACGTCCAGCGCTTCCACATACTCCTTCTTCCACGGCCACCAAAATTTGCTGAGACGAGTAACGGTGATGCTAATGGCGCCGCAAAGCCGGAGGACGACGACGTTGATATGCAAGTGTTGGAAGAAGGCGCCGACGTCATCCCCGCGAAGGAGACCCGAAACAAAGCGAAGAAACGGTATCGTCTGGTGTCCATTGGTAAGAAGCAGTTACCAGATCCGGAGCACGGTCGAGGCAGAAACAACACTTTCTGGGCCACGGTCACTGCAGTTGGAGATGATTTGCACACTCTCGAGAAGGGGTTGGGAGAGAAGACCTACGAGACAAAGACCAGAGGTAGTTGTATTCTGTTTATTTCGGTTGCCACCTTCTGAATCCAGTTGCCCAAGGTACTCGCCACCAGGCTCCTTCCCGTATTGCGGGCAGAGGCGCGTATGCTATAGTCAACAGCGACCCGAAAGTCCCGTCCAAAAGGGAGACTCATCTAGGCTACCACCTGTCCCACCCATCTGATATGGGCGAAGTCCAAGAGGCCCTCGGTATTCATCCCGCCTCGTCCTTCGTCGTACAGGCGAAGAACCCGTTGGCACCACCTACAGGCGGACAGCAAGTCGGCCTTTCACCGAACCAAAGGGCGGACTATCCTTCTTGGATAATGGAAGACGTTTTTGGGAAGGGAGGCAGCAAAGGCCGGGAGAGTTACGGATTGCGATTTGCGTCCATTGAGCACATTGAGCTTCTTGACCACGAAGGCGCCGAGTTGTTATTCATTGCGGCCAGGTCTGGAGAGGATGGATTGGAGCAGAGCTTGGGCGAGGGAAGAGGACATGGTACGTGTCGGGTATTCCGTTTGATGTTCGTCTGCGTCCTAGTGCTAACGATGAAACGACAGCTCTTGAAGAGTTAGAAAAAAACGAAGGGCAAGAAAGCATCAAAGAGATATTTAAGGAGCTAGCGACGGATAGCGAGACCTTCCCCGCTGAAGCCCTTGAGGGCGAGTGGATTTGAGGAGATAACGGAGGCGTCAACAACTGTATCATTATCATTGTACATGTAAAGTATCTGGAGAAATAGTGATCAGCACAATCGAAAATATGCAGTCAATGTGGCCGCGAACCTGAAGCGTGAGCCCCTCAGCAACGAGCTAGATGAGACAGTGTGCTGCTATAGGTATAGGTCGTGAAATCATGAATGTTATACAAATACTGTGGTGTGCGCGAGACGTCTTTATGCTACAGCTTCCGGATTGTCGCCATCATCGTTGACTCGGACGACCTTCGCCCATTCTTTGTAGTTGAAATTCCCTTGGCGGTCAGTGAACGCCCCTTTCAGGAATCTGTCGATCTGAGCAGATAGGTCTCAGTAGACAGCCGTTGACGCAAGAAAGACGACCTATACCTCCTTCTGATCCATCCTATCCCCGGTATCGCTTAGCCATTTCCGAATCTCATCCCCCTTGACCATACCAGTGTCGCCTTCGTCAAAACAGGCAAACGCGTCAATCAACTCCGTCTCTGTGTCGAAGTCGATAAGGTGTTCGCTCATCATAGTGAGAAACATGGTGAAGTTGATTCCACGGTCGGCGGAGTCGTCAAGTGAAGAGGAAGAACCCATGCGATCGTGTCCGCCAGGTCGTGAGGAAAGTAGGTCGTCCAACATACGCTTTGAAGGCGTGATACCTGTCAAGTACTGTTAGCGATGGAAGTCTGGAATGGATCCATGGGTGACCGCGTACCAAGACTCGCAAATATCTCTTTTAAGTCGGCCTCGTCTACGACTCCATCTCTGTTCTGGTCGATGAGAGAGAATGCCTCCTTGAACTGTTGAATCTGCGGCTGTTGGAAGAGCGAGAAGACTCCCGAGGGTTCGCGTCGAGCGCGAGATTTCTGAGCCTTCGTAGGCTTTGAGGGCGATGAATTTGCCGTAAGATGATCAGGATAACGAGACATGGTTGACGGTATTCGAGTATATGGTTTGAGGAAGGAATGAAAGAGATCAACACAGGTTCCCTATTCGGGCCACGTTGGAAATGGTTATCGTCTGGAAGCAATCTGAAAGATCGACGACGCCCAAAAGTGATATCACGAACCTAAGCAGAATGCACAATTTCAACTACCGCTACTGGTTTCTACAAGTGACCTCCTTCCTCATTAATGTCGGATGAATCGGACAGGGCAGTGTGGCCCACTGGACCGGTGGGCGGTATGAGGGTGGCGGAGAAGGGCAGGTGTCACCGTTGGCGCAGCGGCAGGCTTGCTGTGCATCGACCTACCCCCCTTTTCAGCAACCTTACACTCTTTTCTCTTCTCTTTCATCATCTCTCCCCACTTCTCACAGTCTCCGTCGCTCTCTACTCTCAAAGCTTGTCATGGTTCCCTCAATAATATCTTGTGCGCCGGTCGCCCTCGCTTTTCTCTCGCTCGTCTCTGCGGCTACCATCGACCGGCGAGCGTCAACGTGCAATGGCCACTCAGAGGTGCAACACACTGTTTAATCGTCCTTGAATATCAACTTATGCATCTGCTTAGCTTTGCGATCGTAGTTTTGGCAATGTTACATTTGTTGGCGCCCATGATTCCTACGCTGTCGGCACCAATAACGGTTAGTTCTCCACTACTTTCATTCAGAAGCTCCTGCTGAAAGGAGATATATCGCCCTTTTCAGTGGCAACAAACCAGGACTATAACAGTACGTTTCCTTCTGCATTGGATGTCGCGCTACATACCGAGGATTTTCTATAGTCACACAGCAACTCAACGATGGGATCAGAATGCTGCAGATGCAAGCGCACAACAGTTCCGGTACCATTGAGTTGTGCCATACAAGCTGCGTACGTATCTACTACATACAATGCACTCTGTATTTCTCTCAGCTCACCCCGGATTTTTATAGCTTTTGTTTGATGGAGGTAGCCTGGAGACCTATCTTACCACGGGTCAGTTGCTCAATTTTCACGAGTGGTAGTTTCAATACTGATAGACTCTACAGTCAAGACGTGGATGGATGCCAACACTAACGATGGTATGTCTTTACCAGTCCCCTCGGCCATGAATCTATACTAATTTACTGTGTGCTTCTAGTCGTCTCCCTGCTCATCGTCAACTCTGACGGCTTCTCTGCCTCCGACTTCGCAAGCGTCTTCCAATCTGTCGGCTTGGATACCATGTCCTATTCCCCCACTTCCTCCAATTTGACCTACACCTCCTGGCCGACCTTGGGCACCCTGATCGATGCCGGTACACGTTTGGTCACTTTCATGGACACTCACGCCGACTTCTCCACCGTCACGTACATCATTGACGGTACGTATCTCACTCACAACAATTCCGAAACTTCAAACTTGCTTACAGAGCGATATTATGCAGAGTTCACAAACGTTTGGGAGACTGCCTACGACGTCACAGACCCTACTTTTGATTGCGATGTGAACCGGACTAAGGGTGATTCGACCAACCAGATGTATCTCATCAACCATTTCCTCGACACCAATCTCCTTGGCTCACCAATCCCGGACACGGCTGATTTGGATACCACCAATGCTGCCAACGGCACGGGGTCGTTGGGCGCGCAGCTCGACACCTGTGTCGGTGATTACGGTCGTAACCCCAACTTCATGCTCGTTGACGTACGTTCGCCCGCATAATTCTTTTTAGTTGGCTTGGTATTGACAAATTTGCACATCAGTTCTACGAGTACGGTGGCGGATCCGTCTTCGAGGTTGCTGCCACTGCCAACGGCGTCACCTATGATCCCACAACACCCATTGCTACACCGCTATCCTCTTCTTCCTCGTCTTCAACGTCGTCATCCAGTGGCAGTGTAGGAAAGCTGTCGGCGAACGTTCTACTTGGCCCTGCAGCGGCCTTTTCGATGTCTTTGATGGCTGCCTTTGCTCTCCTTGGATGATGTGCATGGCTCATATGGACTCCGTACGCATGCTTGGAGTTATTGACTGTCGGAATCTTGCTTTGAAGTACTTAGTATCGCAGACAATCGTTCCCAATGTGGACACATAATCCTCTACTTACGCATAACTCGTGTATACTACACTGCTCTCTTTCTGCTCTACGGCACAATTTGGACTCGTACGAAACATATTCCAGGACATTACTATTCATTGCTACATTCCGTTCGTCGACGCGATTTTGGTGCAACTTGAACTCGCTTTGCCACTACGCCCGACAAGGAGGGCTTCTCTTGTGCTTCCCAGACCGACATCCCGGCGGGCCTTGATCGGGGCCGCGTTGTCAAAATCCGTGACGGCGGTGGAGTGACTTTGTGTGACATGTTGAGTCAAGAACTCGTTTGAGTCGCAGATTTGCAGCAAGAACAGATGAGCTTCCAAAATTTCCGCCTGGAGGGGACACCCATTCAGCACTTTTCAGACCCACAACAACAAACGCCGCATAATTTCGGTCCTCCAGCTGGGACGACCATCGAATTCCCCATACCCCTCGGTCACAGTCCTGGCTCGGACCTCCAGATACAATTCCAGACTAATGCTCAGCCTGGCGGATCGTCGAGGGGGCCTTATGGTTCGGGGGATATGAATGATGGATACACGGTATGTTTCTTGTCTCACTTGTGGAATTGGGACAGATACGAATGATGATGTCGCGGCGGTCAGTTGGTGTTCCAAAATATGGAGGCCTTCGAGCAGTGGAGGAGTAAGGAGGAAGAGGAGAAGATGGTTGAGTTTGTCAAGGGGGACACGCATGGGTCCAAGGCCGTTCCTCCTCGGTTCAAGGACCACGTCAAATTGGTCTGCGCTCGTCATTCGAGGAGTGGTAGGAAGAAGTACGTGAAGAAGTTTCCCGACCGAGTGCGGAAAGTTCCCAGTCGCAAGGTATGTTGAACATTCAGAGCCGTTCGTAACATTGTTGATATCTCATCTCGCCTTTCAGCTCGATGGCAAGGGGTGTGCTGCCTCAATCAGCTACAAGACCTATTTTGATACAGAGGAGATCCGTGTTTGCTGTGGGTATCTCTCGATCGTCTTCAGGTTCTCAGTTGAGCCTGACACGATATACAGACGTATCTCAACACTCTCACGAGATTGGCCTGGCGAACCTCCCATACACTCGGCGTGGTCGACGCGAAGCTGCAGGTCGACCCCGAGAGTCTACAGCTGATCCAGATGATGACAGCCCATCCCAAGAGCTCGCATCTACACCCAGCGTCCCTCGTGCTATAGCACCAGCCTCGCCTCCTATGCGAGCCCAAGCTCCTCAACACCCAGCCTCCTTCGCATCACCTTATCCTCACTTCCCCTCCATGTCGATGCCCGTCCCCGTCGGGTTCGGAGCAACGCCTCAAATGTCTGGAGGTGGGGAACGGGAGCGTATTGAACGAGAGCGTTGGGATAGGATGGAGACGCTGTTTCAGGGCATACGGAATAATGCTCGTCAGTTCGAGTATCCCCCGCCATCGGTTGCCGCATTGGAGAGCGTTTTGATGCGGATGTATTTCGAGAGCCCATTGCAGCATCCACAGATGGGAATGCCGATGCAGCCGATGCAGATGATGCAACCACCGCACCCGGGCGCGATGGTTGCACAAGGTCAGGAGCATATGAACGTGAATGGAGGCCAAGGGGAGATGCATAACAGTAGTGTGAGTGGCGAGGAGGGCGAAGGGTCGTAGTACCGGTGAACGGAACAATTTCTCGTGATCGCAATTGTATATCTTCGTCGTGATTTTTCTTTTAGCATATTGTATATAATGACGATTCTGCCTTCTGGTACTATTTACTAGCGCCTCTAAGATTCAGAGTCATGTTCTACGCGGGGAGTCCACGGCAATGTGGCGTACTTGTACTGAGGTGGCGTGTTTAGATCTGCTTCATCTTATCTTATCGCGATTTCCTGAATTTCCTGTCAACGCAACTTTTTGAAAGGCCTCGTCCTGACTTCAACTTCACTCTTCGAGTGCCACACTTGTCCCCTTTCCTTGCTTCATCTCGATCTCCCTCTATTGAACTATGTCGTCTCTACGCAACTCTCTTCATCGTCGCAATCATAAGGAGCGCTCCCAACTCGCGCACCGTGAACGATTCGGAATCCTCGAGAAGCATAAGGACTATGTTCTCCGTGCACGAGACTACCACTCCAAGCAGGATAGGTTGACGCGGTTGAGGCAGAAGGCGTCGGAAAGGAACAAGGATGAGTTTTACTTTGGGATGAACGGGAAGCGAACGGAGGTCTGCCGACTCTCTTCTTTTCGTTAGCAACCCACTTGCTGAAGTATCAACTACGTGACAAATTGTTCGTTAGGGTGGAGTGCATGTGCAGGATCGAGGCAATGCTGCTCTACCTGCGGATATGGTAAAAGTGCTAAAGAGTCAGGATGAGAATTATATTCGGATGGTGAGGACGGCAGGGCTGAAGGTATGGACCATCACACTGTCTTAGCTTGTCGGGCGGTTACTAAAGTGAATGTGCTCAGAAAATCGAGAAGCTCAAGAGTCAACTTAGCACTCTGGCTGATCTCTTTACCTCGCCGAATGGAGACGATGAAAATGTTCTCGACGAGGACGAGTTGGAGGTGTTGAGAGACGCCGGGATCCTTGCTGGCCCATCTGGTTCAGGAAGCCGCAAGACGCGGAAAAACAACACAAAGCACATCGTTTTCGTGGAGAACGAAGAAGAAGGTCGGCTCTTGTTCATAATCATGTTTTAATTCCTGCTCATTAATATGACGACAGCACAACAATATCGTGCTGCATCTAAACCGATCTCTGATGAAACTCCTATGGACATTTCTGAGGACTCATTACTCGATCTTGGTTGGAAAGCACCCACGCAGGCCAAGGTCGCCACCAAATCCAAGAAGACGACAGGGGGAAGGAATGGCTCGGCTGCGACAGTCGATAACGAAGGAAAGAAGGAGGCGACTGTAAGTTTACCACACGACACTCCTTCCCCCCAAATCTGACGGGTATCCCTAGATTCATCGGCAGCGGTTACTCAAAGAATTATCGGCACGATTGAGCAGGGACCGCATGCTTCGGTACGCGGAGAGGGAGCTCGAGATGCAGAAGCTGCTCATGGGTAGAGGGGGCTCGCAGAAGATCCAGGGTGTCACGAAAGAAGACGATGACGACGATGATGAGGAGGAGGAGGAAGACGAAGATGCACGTCCTTCCCAGGCGAGAGGTGGCCTTCCGTCGGACGCAAAAGCGTACAAGCCTCGGGTGTACAAGTGGCGCGCTGAACGCAAGAGATGAGTTCTAAATGTCGCCGTCGTGTTCTGATAGATTTTGCCTTCAGTACAGTGGTCGACCTTGTGAGGCGTTTCGGAAAATCTCACAGTTCGGTTGAACTCTTGTATCCGTCACACGTAGACGACGGTGTGCTGGCTCGAAGCCAACTACGCTCAGGTGGACGTATCACTTGCGAATTCACATGCTCTTCGCTTTTATCTTTCCGCTTCCAGCAGATCCTACATCAACCGAGTTTAACTACTTTGTACATCACTGCACACGAACCCTTGTGCACCTGCCGGCCGCCCAACTTCCACACATGTATGCCTCAGAGTCCACACGTTACATCGACGGAATCATCCATAAGCATCAGTATCACCATGCGCTCCAAAACTTCACCGTCGTATCCTATGGCCTGATGTCCGGGCTGTCGCATGAGTACAGCGGGCTCGGTTGGACGAGATGGTGAGCCTGCATGCGCACAGGCCTGATAATTATGTGCTACGAGGTTTTTCTGATTTTATTTCAGTTGATGCGCCACACAGACCCTCAATATCGGCATTCGCCAGTACCTTGTATCTTCAAGGATGGTAGCGTACCTGCAATGGTCCCTCAAAGGATCGCCGTCACCATCAAAAAAAAAGTGACTCTTCAACGATACACATGTACGGATTGCATCCCTGAGCAGAAGCTAAATCATGAGTTTGTGCATCTCTCGAGCGATAGCCTTCCTTCCGAACAGAGTCTCCGAGCAGGCCTTTGAACTTTATATTGGGAGTTGCGAACTTTATACCGGGAGTGGTAGGCTTAGGTGTCCTGCATTCTTCACGCTGCGGAGATGAAGCCTAGATCAGCAGATCGGCACGCGTTGCTGCAGACCATTGGTGAATCTTGGTGAATGCCTTTTTGATGCTTCTGCGTGTTCTTGTCAACGCGGTTGCCCAGCCTGCCACATGCAAAGGTCCTTTGGTCTGTCACACAGAGAACAAATGTCGCTCGGAACGTCTGCCTCGAGTCGTCCTACTCCATCTATAGCCCCCGGTTTCTATAAAGGCATGCCGCCCTGGTCTGCGGTATCGACATCTTTTCCCCGTTTCCCACTCATCCTGAGTCGGGCCCTTCATTCTTTTTTGACTTTGCTGGTTCATCGCGATGTTTACAAACATGCTTTCTTCTCTCCTTTTGACTCTTCTGGCCGTGTCGCCGATCGCGTCCGTCAATGCTCTCGGTTCACAGTGTACATCAGAACTTGGGGCCGGTACTGCTGCTGCAAGCGACCCTTACTGGCTAGAGACAATCGAGCATCAAGGCACATCTGCCTTTGGAACCTCTGGATACACCGTTTTTCGAAATGTTAAGGACTATGGTGCGGTTGGTGACGGTGAGTAACTCTGTTTATCGCGTTCGAAGCCACACTGAGCTCTGACCCCCAACCACAGGTGTAACCGATGATACGGCTGCCATCAAGTATGCTGTAAATGGCTGTTGGTTAATCTCACACTTGCTGATCTACTTCCCGATGACAACAGTGCCGCAATTAGTGACGGTGATCGCTGTGGCGAGTCCTGCGCCTCGTCCTCGACTACTCCCGCCTTGGTCTATCTCCCGCAAGGGTATGTGCCACTTTATCCCAGGGCTGAAGTGGATATATACTGAGGTTATATTTTAGAACGTATCTGGTGTCTGCGCCGCTCATCCTGTATTATAACACGGCTCTCGTCGGCGATGCCAAGGTCCTCCCCACTTTGAAGTCATCTGCGGCCTTCGCAGGCATTGCTGTCATCGACGCCGATCCCTATATTCCCGGCGGCAACGGTACGCCCATCTTCTCACATATCTTAGTTTAAAAACTATCTTCTCAATCGCTGGGTGCCCATATTTAGGCGCAGAGTGGTATGTCAACCAAGTGAGTCTTTCTCTGCATCAAGTACGCTTTTTCGGGCTCGTGAGACTAAGTCACTCCCCCCAAGAATAACTTCTATAGGAGTGTTCGGAACGTACATATCGACCTTACTTCGCAACCGGCCACGACTTCGGCTACCGGCCTGCACTGGCAGGTCTCGCAAGCGACTTCGCTCTACAATATTGTAGTCGACATGTCTACTGACTCCGCCACAGCCCACCAAGGAATCTATATGGAGAATGGGTCCGGAGGGTTCATGGGCGATCTGGTCTTCAACGGTGGAAAGTATGGTGTCTGGGTCGGAAACCAGCAGTTCACCGTTCGCAACATTACTGTCAACAACGCGCAGACCGCGGTATTCGCCGCATGGAACTGGGGGTGGACCTGGCAGGGCGTCACGATCAACAACTGTGCCGTTGGTTTCGACATCACGACGGGCGATATCGACGCCAGTAGCTCGAACACTGACGCTACCCAGGGAGTCGGGGCTGAGGCCATCATCGACGTGACTGTGACGGACACACCGATATTCTTGAGGAGCTCTGCATCCAGCAGCGGTTCGCTCGATGGTTCGCTGGTTCTCAACAACATTCAAATGAGTGGTGTTACCAGCGCCGTTAGTCTCACAGATGGAACGGTCATCTTGGCTGGGTCTTCCTCTATCGATACCTGGGCTCAGGGGTAATCTCACTCTATTGCTCGTCACGGTCAACGACACTAATTTCATCTCGTACAGAAATGTCTACTCTGGCTCAAGCGCGACGGGATCGTTTGTCCAGGATACCACAACCTCCATCAACAAGCCTTCGGTCCTCTTGGATGGCAGTGGAAAAATCTTCGGCAAAACCAGGCCAACGTATGCTGACTATTCCACCGACCAAATCGTGTCAGTCAAGGACGAGGGCGCACTCGGTGACGGGACCACGGACGACACGGCCGCTCTCCAAGCCGTGTTTGACAACGTACGTTCTTTCTTATCTGATTGTGGATGTTCGTTGACATTGATCTCATGGATATCAGTACGCTGGGTGAGTTTTAGGAGCACGGGAGCTCAATTGGAGAACGTTCTGATTGCCTTTCATAGCTGCAAGATCATCTACTTCCCTCAAGGCGCCTATATCGTCTCCTCGACGCTCAAAATCCCAGCAGATGTCCAGATCACGGGTGAAGCCTGGAGTGTACGTTTACTTGTATCTCTATATTATGGGGACAAGATGCTGATGCTAGGCACGAGCAGACGATCATGGGAAGCGGTACCGCCTTTTCAGACATCACGAACCCACAAGTCGTCGTTCAAGTTGGTGCAGAGGGATCCACTGGTATTGCCGAGATTTCCGATATGCTTTTCACCACTCGTGCCTCTGCCGGTGGTGCGATCGTCATGGAGTGGAACGTCCACGACCCCTCGGGCAACCAGGGCGCGGCAGGCATGTGGGATACTTTGTTTAGGTACGGTTTATCTGCTGGGTGGCTTTGAAGATCTCCTGAACTAATACTGTGTTTCGTTTGGGTAGGCTTGGTGGAGGTATTTCTTCTACCTCTCGAAAGATTGAAACAACAACGTGCTGATACCCCATTACCACCATAGCTGCTGGCACGGACATGCAATTGTCCCAGTGCGCGAACACGACTGCGAGCACGGGTACCAACTGCTATGCTGCGTTCATGGGTCTACATCTTACCAGTGGCTCCAGCGCTTACCTCGAGGTATATCCATCCGTTTGTTCCACTTGCTTGTTGAGACTGACCAACAACCATGATTGATAGGGTCTTTGGGTCTGGTTAGGTATTGTATTCATATTATAGTGCTTTTGTCCGTCACCCACTGATCATCCATCTATCCTTTCCTCAAAAGCTGATCATGATGTCGAGGACGTTGACCAACTCGACATCACGGCGTATTCGGGCAGGGGGGTTCTTTCAGAATCTGCCGGTCCCGTCTGGATGATTGGTACCTCGTCTGAACATCACGTTCTCTACCAGTACTCCCTGGTCGGCGCGAGCAACCACTATATCGGGACTGCGCAGACAGAGACGGTGTGTGCCATTTATCTAGCAAAGCTATTCATTCTCTAATATGTCTCCTTTCATAAAGCCCTACTTCCAACCGAGCCCCTCAGCCCCTTCTCCTTTCACAACGGATTCGACCTACAGCGACCCCACGTTCTCCAGCGATCAAACTATGGCTTGGGCGCTATACGTTGAGAACTCGAGTGATATCCTCATCTTCGGTGCTGGCTTCTACAGTTTCTTCCAGGTCAGAAACCCGCGTCGCATTTTCTTCTTTGGTAGGATTGTACTGACTCTTCGTGCAGAACTACTCGCCGACATGTGATGACACAAACGCCTGCCAGACGCAGATCGTCAGCATTGACTCTGCCTCTTCTATCGCCATCTACAGCTTGTCGACGGTCTACACCACCTATCAGATCTCTCTCGACAATGTTGGGATCATCAACGAGGATTCCAATGTCAATGGTCTCGCCAGAACCGTGACGGCGTGGACGAGCTCTTGAGGGCTTCGATAGCCTCGAACGACACGAATCTCATTTGTTCGGGATTTGTCTGTTTTATTAGGTTTATTTATCCTTTACTAGCTGGGTTCTCTGTCTGTCACCTTTTTGTCCTCGAGACTGTGTCTGTCGTGCATCTAGTCATGATCTGTGATGATATTTATTTGCTTCCTTATTCTCGAGTCAGCTTTCCCCATCCCTTATACCACCTGTGATGTTGTGCGCCCGTTCTCCGATTGTACTACACTCTCAGATAGATCCTGGACAGTACAAGATGTATCTCGCTGCATGATCTGAAGGACATAGAACCATTATTGTTAGCTGTTCGCACAATAGACAGAACAAAGGACAAAAAAAATGGCCCCTTTATCACACACTTCGGTCCAGCGTCGTTCAAGTTGAGAATGTCCTTATCTGGAGCCGCGCGTGGCGATCTGGCGCACAATAACGCTGGTTTGAAATTGAACAAGGCGTGACGTCGTGTGGCCAGGTTGGGGAATGCGCCTTCCGCACATGAATATCGTCCTTTCCTTCCTCGTTCTCCTACAACACCTATCCGTTCTCTAGCCATGGCAGCCATCAGTCTTGCCAAACAAGCAGCAGCAGCTCTTTCTCGAGAAAAACCACGCGTATGCCAGCCAGGTTCACCTCATCGCATCCGTGCTCACGCTAATCTCCGATATCTGGCTTTCTGCCCGGTCTGCTTATAGTCTTCAATCACGGAATGGGTCGACATACTGACCTCACCTGGGTATGAGGACGAGGTCTACGACGGGTTAGCTGATTTCCTCACTATCGGTTGTGTTGTATTGAGAGGTTTGCTCAAGCATACCAGAGTTGATCGATTCTATCAACCTCCAAGCCGCCACTGGGTGAGTTCAATGCCTATCACTTAGGTTCACCTCTGACCAGATCATAATTAGTTCTTCAGAGGCATCGAGAGCCTTGAGGAAGAAGCTTAAGCACGGCAACGCGCACAATCAATATCGGGCTCTTGTTGTCAGTATCTCCTCACGATTGACGATTGTGGCCCCTTCTGAGATCGGATTCTCATCTAGATTCTCAAAGCGTTGGTGGAGAACTGCGGCACCAAATTCCAAAGTAAGATATACTACCTCAGATACTACACCACCACGTTTCTTACTTTCTCTTGCACGTCTTCAGCAACATTCGCCGATGGCCACTTCACCGACGCTATCAAGCAACTTTCCACTGATCCCTCCACTGATCCCAAAGTCCGGAAGAAACTCATTGCCGTGCTTGCATCGTGGCATAACCAGTTCAAGGACGATCGTAGCATGACCATCGTGGCCGGGCTCTACCGACAGTGCAGACCCGATGACAGCGCTAAACGGCAATCACAATTGAATCACCAGGCGGCGCTGGAGAGAGAGTCCGAGCACGAGAGAAAGCGGAAGGAGGAGAAAGCTGCGAAGGAGGACGCGAAGAGGAAGGCACGGATGGAGAAAGAAGCTGAGAAGGAGCGAATAAGGAAAGCGGAGGAGGACAGGAAGCGGTCGAAGAACAAGCCGAAACGAAAGCCCTTTAACTTCGAAGAGGTCCGTGATATACGCCTTTCTTGCGATGGTCTCGGGACTCATCAGAGAGACATAACAGGAGAAACCTGCCGTACTGACAGCAATAGCCAATGCTTCCTCTGCAGCTAATAACCTGGTCAATGCCATCACAGTGAGAGCACTCCATCGTTCTAAATCTCAATTACTGATTCTCCTATAGCTTGTCAACACGGAACACGACAGTCTGCAGTCGAACGAGCGGGTACAAGAATGCTTAACGAAGACAAAACAGGCCCGAAAGCAAATCGTTCGCTACATCCAGGTATATCAGACACTTAGGCTTGAACCAAGAAATATCACTGAATGAGACCCGTTACATAGCTGGTTGAAGATGAAGAGTTCATCGGGACGCTTATTGAAACAAATGAGCGGATTATAGCCGCAATGCAGTCGTATGATACAGTGAGTCTACCCCTTTAGAGTTGTTGGACTTCCGCACTGACACAAGTTGTATAGCTATCTAATCCTGCTGTCACTGAGAAGGACGTTGCCGAAGTGCAGGAGGGACTAGCTGCCGCGAACATCAACGACTCGGAAGTCTTGAAATTGCAGGAGAAACAGCGTGCCGCAGTAATGAGAGCAATGAAGCGTGGACGGGAGAAGGACTCTGAAACGGATGAGGTACCGGCACCCCATCTCCATCCTGATCTACAGGATCTCAGCTTTGGTACTTTGGGAGCGGACCAAAGGTCAGCCAACGTCTTCGTTCTCTGTAATTTAGGGAGACTGATGCCGCCTTGACGATTGTGAACAGGAATTTGCCACCTCCCATCCGCCCAAATGCTCATTCCTCAGATGATGAGGATTACCGCCGTGGTACCCTCTCGGACTATAGTGACTATGAATCCTCTGACGAAGATACCCACAATCAACGCGCCGGACCTTCCTCGGGTGGCCGACGAGACTATGGCGATGATTCGGACAGTGGACAAGATGCACACAAGGCCGTGAAGAACGCCGATGAAGATGACCCCTTCGCGGACCCCTTTGCAGACTAATGACAACAACGTACATCGTTTACGATGAAGAAATTCGAAGATGGAGGATGAAGGGTAGACAGAACATTGTATCGGAGGGTTGATCTGTATGATTGCTGGATTTAGCGGTGCGAGATTTATTGTTTGTATTTTGATTCCTTCTGGAGGGTTCTGGGCAGCTTGTGGGCCGTGTTTTGACTTACGAATGTACATGTACTTCAGTACGCTGTTGGTAATCGGTGTTGGAATACGCTTCTTTTATTTCTACCAGTACCCGTAGAGTGTGCGGCCCGGTGCGTGGCACAGGATTGCTACGTCTGGCCATTGCGACTTAGCAATACGCGTGTATCATATCCAGCGTATGATATCCCGTCCAGGATCACCCAACCAAAATGGCTGAAGTGACTTCGGCAGGTTTATTCCCACGACACGCCCCTCGTCGAATCGTGCCCCGTTCTCAAGCAGAGCGACAATGAGCCTGGGAACGGCAGCGGCGGTCCCGTTAAGTGTGTGGGCAAAGGGGAGGCTTGATGATTGTGTCGACGCAAAGGAGGGAGTGGAGGTCGAGGATGGTGATGCAGTGGGGCGATACCTGATGTGCAGTCTTCGCGCTTGGTAGTCGGTGCAGTTCGACGTAGAGGATATCTCGCCCCAGCCTCCACGACCGGGCATCCAGGCTTCCATGTCGTACTTACGATAAGCGGCAGCACCGAGTTCTTCTGTTGGCATGTCCAGCACTCTAGCATAGGGAATAATACGAATTAGTTTAACGATATGCTATTAGAACACCAAAGAGGAGAAATGAATTATACCTGAACGGCAGCCCCAAACCCTCGAATATTTCGAGTTGTATTCGCCTGATCTCTTCCATAAGCTCGTCACTCTGTTCTCTCTCTGATACAGCGAACAGCTCTAGCTTGGTGAACTGGTGTACCCGATACAGTCCTCGCGTATCTGCTCCACGGGCTCCCGCCTCCGCTCGAAATGCACGACCCAGGCCGACGACCTTGCGAGGGAGTTCTCCAGCATTGAAGATTTTGTTAGCGAAGAGTCCGGCCAGTGGGATTTCTGCCGTGCCAGCGAGTACGAGCTCGGGATGTGAGGATGAGACGTGGTACATCTGCGACACAGGTGGGTCTACAGATGGATCTCGAGGTTGAAACCCACAGCGATATGCAATATCGGAGCGGACGACGTCGGGTGTGGTGACGGGAGTGAAACCATGTCGGATAGCGATGGATAAAGCATAGTTGACCAGTGCCATCTCAAGCAAGGCTCCTTCGCGGAGAAGATAGTACCAGGATGATCCCGTTACGGTAGCAGCCGCTTCAAGGTCCAAAAGACCAAGCTGTTTCCCGACCGAGACGTGGTCTCTCGAAGAGGAAATGGGCAGAGGTTCGGGGCCATGTGTAGAGAGTGTGACGGCGGCGGATTCGGGACCCAGAGGAGTCTCGGGGTGGGTGTCATTGGGAACAGCAAGAGCCAAACTGAGCAAGCGATCAGCGATGTTGTCAAGTTGGGTCTCTAGCTGGGAGACTTCGGATTTGAGTGCCTTCGCCTCGGAGAGAAGAGATTGCTTGGTCTCTGGGTCCTTCGTACTCCTGATTTTCTCGCCGATTGTGCCCTGTATGTGCTTCTTGTCGTTGAGAGTACGGGCCAAGGTTTTATGTTGTTGATAAAGGGAGTCTATGGATTGAATGGCTCCAACTGGGAGGTTCGCTCTCCGGTTGAAAGCATTGTGGGATTTAAAGACAACATTTTCAGAAATGGAGCGGTAGTCCAGTCGTGGCTTTGGAATAGCAGTGCCGGTCTTAGACGACGAGGTGGATTTCTGGCTTGCCTTGGCGGAGTAAAACCGTGCTATCAAATGTTTTAAGGAAGGTCAATACTGTTCCTGTTTGCATGGAGGGCACATACCAGGATAATTTGGGCGACGGCGGGCAAGATGACGGACGCAGGTGAGCATGTCGCGTCGCGTCACAAGTTTGTCACACGACGCGTCGAGATCAGGACAGGTGGGAAATCTTTACACAACGTCGCGTCGCGTTGCTGTCTTCGGATTCTCCCGTTGTTCTCTTCCTCCATTATCATAGCAAAGGGAAAACGGCTTTTTTCTTGACTGGCACTCTCATCATGTCCTCAGCCGCTACCAAAGGCAAGGCACCTGCCACAAATGGCTCAGATATCCCTTACGAACTGCCATGGTACAATCTATTCATTTTTCGTGCAATCTCTGTCCACTCACTGAGGCGTACATGACCCCAGGGTGGAAAAATACCGACCTAACATACTTGACGATGTGGTCGGAAACTCAGACACAATAGACCGACTGAAGGTCATTGCAAGAGACGGAAATGTTCCCCATCTCATCATATCAGTGAGTGCGGTTTAGCTCATGACGTGTGCATAGTATTCACGTATACACGTAGGGAATGCCTGGTATCGGCAAAACGACAAGCATTCATTGTCTCGCGCATCAATTGTTGGGTGATGCCTACAAGGAGGGTGTACTGGAGTTGAACGCGTCAGACGAAAGGTGCGTACCCTCACTTTGCCGGAGACGCCATATGCTTGACTGTCTGGCTCTACATACAGAGGTATCGACGTCGTGCGCAACAAAATCAAGGCATTTGCTCAGAAGAAGGTTACTCTGCCTCCCGGAAGACACAAGATTGTAATTCTCGACGAAGCTGACAGGTGCGACATTCGTGTGTCTCTTCAAGCGCTCTATTCTGATACCCTCTCAGCATGACCGCTGGCGCACAACAAGCGCTCCGGCGGACAATGGAGATCTTCTCCAACACGACACGGTTCTGTCTCGCTTGCAATATGTCCAACAAAATCATCGAACCAATACAGAGCCGTTGCGCCATTCTGCGTTATGCTAAACTTCGAGACGCGGAGATCCTGAAGCGACTGCTGGAAATATGTGACATTGAAAAGGTAAGTCGACATCGTCTCGCGTGGCGTGTGGCGTAGGCCTGACTGTTATCTAGGTCGAATACAATGATGACGGCTTGACGGCGCTCATCTTTACCTCTGAAGGAGACATGCGACAAGCCATCAACAACCTGCAGTCAACATGGTCTGGTTTCGGTTTCGTCTCATCAGACAATGTCTTCAAAGTTTGCGATCAGCCACATCCGATCATCGTCCAGACCATCATTCGCGCTTGTATGAAGTCAAATGTTGACCTCGCGATGGAGAAGTTGTCGGAGCTCTGGGGACAAGGTTATAGCGCAGTAGACATTATTGTCACGATTTTCCGTGTCGTCAAGACATTTGATGAGTGCGTCTCCATGTCGTTCATCCGAGCTCGTTTGGCTGATTAGCACTGCGTAGGCTCCCTGAATATACTAAGCTCGAATATATCAAGGTTCGCCTCCCCCTATTCTGCGACTGAGCATAGACTGATGCGATCTTATTAGGAGATCGGCTTTACCCACATGAGAATACTGGAAGGTGTTGGCACCCTGATCCAACTGGCAGGGCTTATTGCCCGGTTATGCAAGCTCGTATGTTCAATCTTCTGTGACTTTCTTCGCATCACTAGGCTGACTGAGTCCGGCATAGAATATGAAGCCCGATATGTTCAAGATATAGCGATATAGTTCGATGGAACCTTACTGCTGTGTAATATTTGCTTTCTGTATCCTTATACGCCGTCCTTTCAGCTTCTGTGAACGTTGCTGGCCTCCTTCCTATATGCCCGTCCGGTCGCCACTCCGATAAGTTACGCTCCTTGACAAGGACGAGTCTCTTCAAGGACCGCCGTCCGAAACAAGACCGCCCGAAATAAATTCACAGAACACGCCCTTCCTGACTACTACAATGACTTACTCAGACGGACTTGTCTGATGCCAACCCCGTACGGGTCTCTTTTCACAACTTGCTGCAAGACTAGGATGGCCTGAACCCGCGCGGAACACACTGTGATACATCTGTCCTGTTGTCACTGTTTCAGCGGAAAAGTTGGACGAGGGGCGAGCGAAATTCAAGCCAATAAAACGAGTGCGGGTCAAACGTGGATGAGATGTGGGTGCTGTGGTACAAGACTCCGCTCGCAAGCTCGCGTGCCATTGGCGATTTGTACCGCGAATTTTTTTGAGCATAATGGGGACGAAGCTAATACCTGTGGCGCGAACAAGTTGGTGCAGACAGTGAACGTTTGAAGTTTGAACACCCGAATTGCTCAACAATGCGCCAGCGTGGTGGGCCTATAGATAAGATAACGCGCCACACATGAGCCATACCACCGGAAACCACATCAAAGGTTGCTTAGTCCTTTCCGATTGCTTTCAGAGCTTTTCCTGTCGCGTCCACTACGTTCTCATCACCACTCCGCTCATACAGAGGTTACAGTTGTAACGCTATGTCCACCCGCGTTCGTGAGTGACTGTAACTCTTACAAGTTGTCGTGGCTAACAGCATTACAGAGAAAGGCGGGACTGTCTTCAAACCAGTGGCGAAGGGACGACCGCGCGCCCCGACAGACAATGCTCGACGGACATCGACGCAGACCCCTGCTCCGAAAGACACACCTTCTACCGCCTCTTCTTCTGCTCAACCAGTCGCTTCGTCTTCCACAAACGCTCATGAACACGTCCAGGGACCAACTCAGAGCTCCTCTTCCGAACCATCGAATGCTCCCTACCCAACTCCTGTTCCATCTCTCCCGCACGCCACAACTGCTCAAGTTTCGATACCAAACCCTGCACCACAGCTTTTGGAACCACCATCTTTACCTCCACATGCCATTCCTGTCTATACGCCGGCGACACCCATCAGTTCTGGCACGGTCAGAGCCACTCCTATAACTATCGGCAAGAGGCAACCGTCGATGGGACCACCTCGAGTCACCCCTACAGCACCTCCAGCATCACATCCTGCCCAGAACGACCCATTCCCAACTCCACCTTCGTCTCTACCGTCCATTCAGGCTGGCCCCCCACCAATACCGCCCCAGTCAGAGCCTGCGCAAACTCCTGTGGCTACGCCACTGCCCATCCCGGATCTCTCGAATCCGAATTTACAGTTCGATACATCCCCTTTACCACCGCTTCCTCATCAATCTGAACTGTCTCATCCTCATGATCTTGGCGACATACAAAGCTCAGATGCTCAAAGGCTTCGTCTCAACTCCGACAGCGTCGTCAAACCTTCACGTCCGTCTCGACGAAAGGGATCCACAACTGAGACAGCCGACAATGGAGAATCATCAGAGAAAGGTTCCCGAAAGCGTACTCGCTCGAAGAAAGCCATCGCTGCTGCAGAGACGGACGGTCAGGTCGAAGGACAGGTCGAAGGGACCCAGGAGAAACCCCGAAGAAAGAAGGTGAACGCCCGGAAGGCGATTGAGGAAGGTGCTGAAGAGGAGCCTAGTCAACCGAAGAAGCGTAGGCGAAAGAGTGCAGCTCCGCGCGAGCGCAAAGAGTCGGCGCCTCCGTTTTCCGCTGACGCTGAGCCAGGAGAGGATTTGGACCCCACGGTGATCACTATGGCGAACCTTTGCGACGATACGGGGCAAGGTCGTGTAAGCAGCAAAGCTTCCCATATTTTCGACAATCATGCCGCTTGGAAACAATCTAATAAGGAGAGGCGGGCACGTATGAGGGCCGTCACCGAGGCGAAGAAGTATGGGAGGGACGAGGAGGATATCGACGACGGCAGACCAGCAGCCGCGTCTTCGTCTCAGCCTGCTACCAACGCTCCCAGTACATCCAAGCAACCGACTCCCGAAAGCTCCCAACCTCCTGCTGAGAATACCATCGAGGGCGACGAGGGTGGCAAAGACGATAGCGCGCAGTTTGATTACTCGCAGTCCCTAGATACCAGTCGCTTCACTGTGCAAGTTCGAATAGGACCCAACGGCGAGACCATCGTGGACGAAGAATCCCTCTTTGTCGACAGGGCTGAGGAGAATGAGACGGAGAACTACGTGCATGTTGAGGAATCCGATGCTACTAAGTTCGTCAACTCTGCTTCATATGGGAAGAAAGCAGGAGGGTCTCGTTGGAGTGGGATGGAGACGGAATTGTTTTACGAGGTAAAATCTATTCACATATATACGCTCATATTCAACTAACACGGATTACAGGCGCTTTCACAATTCGGCGAGAATTACGAACTGATCTCGTACGTTATGCCTGGCCGCGACCGGAAGGCTTGCAAGAACAAGTTCAAAGCCGAGGACAAGAAGAATCCTGCTCGCATCCAATATTGCCTTGACCATCGTGTCCCATATGGTAAGATCTCTTTCCATTCATATAGACGGATACTGATATATCTACATCGACACAGATATGCAAACTCTGTCTCGAATGACAGGGAAGGACTTCTCGGGCCCGACGCCAGAAATTCGCGCTCCTACTCGCCCGAACTTATCCCAGCTTGATGGACAAGAAGCTGACGGATCAGGTCCTGCTGCAGGGACGTCTGGCGATGGCGCTTCAACGCCTGCTAAGTCTTCAACACCTGGCCCATCTCGACCGTCCTCCGGAAAAAAGTCGAAGAAGACGCAGAATGACGGTGTGGAGGTCCTGGGGTCCATCGACAATGATGAATGGGATGGCTAACACCCGGTTGTGCCGAAGAGTTATCGTCGTTCTTGTGCGCCGCCTGCTGTCTGCTGCTTATCACTTACATGTATTTTCGCAGTTGATTGTGCGCCGTTGCTGATAATTGACATACCATCTGGATCAGTCGTTCCGAGTCCTGACGCCACAATGGGATTCGCCACGACCACGTGACGATTTGCGCGCTTTAAATGTGGCGTTTCTGAGCCACGAACGCGACTTGCTTCTGCTCCTTTTCCCTCTTTCCCCAATTACTGCTGACTGCTTCCTTCACTCGACTAACAAAAAATTGTCACATATTCAATGGTTCGCCGTAACACCGCTCAGACCGACACTCCTCAGGCCGACGCTTCTCGTGCCGGCAGTCCGGAGCCTCAGGAAGAGGCTGCAGACGATGCAGTACGTCCTTGCATCCATTGAATGCGATCATTATATGAGCTTATTTCTGTATAGGCTCCTTTTTTCGACAGTGTTGACGAGTTGCAACAGCATGTATGCATCCGTTTGGAGTCATGCCTTCTGCAAGACCATCATTAACAGGTGATAATAGGGTATCAACGTGCAAGATATCTTGAAGCTAAAGGTACGTGAATATATGCGCTCATTTTTCGCTTCAATTCCATTCAACACCAACACGTTCCAGGGATCGGCGATTCATACGGTCTCCGGAGTGAACATGACGACGCGCAGGACGATGCTTAAGATCAAGGTTCGTACATATCCCTTTCACGTGACTTCATTCACGATGTTTCATACTTGTGTATAGGGCATGTCGGAGGCGAAGGTAGAGAAGATCAAAGTGCGTTTTACTCTCGTACCTCATAACAGAGCATATGTTGACCTTCACTACAGGAAGCGGCCCACAAGATGCTTGTCCGTCTCGTTTATATTCTCTATGGCGCATATGTTGACGAGCCACGCAGGGGTCGTCGTTCGCCACTGGGCTGGAGATGCAAGATAAACGGAGGCGTGTCATGAATCTGAGCACCGGTAGTAAAGCGGTGGATGCTATGTTAGGAGGTACGTTGTTCTTTCTTCATATCAACATGCATGGTTTATAACTCTTCTCTTTTTCCTATGCTAGGTGGACTGATGTCTCAATCCATTACTGAGGGTTCGTCGTTTGCTTATGCCTTCTCTTGACGCGTCGTCGATAAAATGGAGTGTAGTATACGGCGAGTATCGTACAGGAAAGACGCAGCTTGCGCATACACTCAGTGTTATGGCGCAACTTCCTCCAGAACTTGGTGGGACGTCCGGGAAGGTGAGTATATGCGTTGTTTCTTGGCCTGCCTGACCGTTGACAAGCTTTGCAGGTCGCATATATCGACACCGAGGGTATGTGTACGCTCATGTCGATACTATCGTACTCGTTTTCACCCTTTTTTGTAGGGACGTTTCGGCCTGACCGTATCAAGTCCATCGCGGAGCGTTTTGGTGTGAATGGCGATATGGCGTTAGAGAACATACTCTACGGTTCGTCTCGAGCTTCTAGTTTTATATCATTATATTCATGTCCTGGCTGTCGTTCGTTTTATCTATAGCTCGCGCGTTCAACAGTGAACATCAGGTCCGTACCTTCCTCTGTTCTACTTGTTGAGATAAAGGCTGATATCGAATTTAGATGGAACTCATTAACGAGTGTTCCATGAGGTTTGCGGAAGACAAGGATTTCAGACTGATTGTTCGTTCCTTTCAGTCATATTGTTCCGGGCTAGGTCTCATTCAACCCTGTAGATCGTCGACAGCATAATGGCCCTCTTCCGAGTTGATTTCTCAGGACGGGGTGAATTGAGCGAGCGTCAGCAGAAAGTGAGACATTATCGTTCTAGCTATGAGTTTCATCGTGCTCATCTACCTTTTTAGCTTGGACAGGTAACAGTCACCTGGTTTACTGCTGAACGACTACCGATCTCCAATATCATTATTACAGATGCTTTCCAAACTCACCAAATTATCTGAGGAGTACAACGTCAGTGATTGTTCCATAATACTCATGTGCACCTGTAATTACTTTATCCACAGGTCGTCGTCTTGATCACCAACCAAGTACAATGTGAGTCTTTCGCCGTAGTCTTCTCCTTCAGGCAAATACTGATAATACGCTTACTCTCCTTGAAGCCGACCCGGGTGCGACGATGACGTTCGTTGCTGGCGGGGCATTGAAACCTATCGGTGGTCACATCATCTCACACGCATCCGCGACGCGCATGTTTCTTCGCAAAGGTAATCCCACTCACCTTACCCATCGCGACGCTCTTTCTGACGCATTTACTTTTGCAGGACGAGCTGAAGAGCGTGTGGCCAAACTCGTGGACAGTCCCGACAAACCCGAGTCCGAAGCGTCCTATAAACTAGATGAAGGTGGATGGGCCGACGTCTGAGATCTGATTCGCTCCTTGGCCTTAGACTTTCAGCTTCCCACCTCATCTGCATCTGCCTGCTTCGTTCTCATCTGTGTAACTATTGGTACCCACCCCTGCTGGGGCTTGTATTGCTGTTGTCTGGACCATTGCTGTATCTGTTAGCGCAGTCTCGATGTATTTTCTGCTGTACACTTCTGCATTGTATTGTCACTTCTTCTAAGTTCTTCGGGGACATTCGTATCATGATTGTGCGATTGCGAGCTCGTCCATATGCAAGCGCAGGCATCACTGGACCTGCTTCCTCAGCCTGCAGCAACCATCCACATCCGGAAGCATGATCTCATCCTCGACGGAATACGGGCGACCGCATATAAAACCACCACACTAGGTTTGTTCTCAAGTCCCCAGCTACTGTCAACTCCTCTCACAACCTCTTTGACCACCATCTTCCCTGCATAAACCGTCAAACTCACCTGCACAAAGCTACACGCGCAGTCATGTCCACCCCTAAAGGCTTCCTCCTCGTCTTCGCCGAGCCAGGTCCCGCCGTCCCCGAAGCCGAGTATCATGACTGGTACGACAACGAGCACATCCCTCTCCGCGTGAACATCCCCGCCTTCTCCTCCTGGGCACGCTTCAGCGCCGACGACGGCCAAAAACCGTCCTGGGCAGCATACTACGATCTCGAATCGTACGAATCGACGCTCGTCCCGCCTTATTCCACCCTCGCGGAAACGCGCAGCGAGCGCGAGAAAGACATTTTCTCGAAGATGGAGGTGTTAGATCGGAGAACTTACGAGGTGTATAACCCGCCTGAGGGAAAAGCGACGCCGCCCTCGGCATTATACGACCCGAAGAAGACGGCGCCGTATGCGTTGATTGTGGGTATTTCGGTGAAGCCGGAGGCGGAGGAGGAGTTCAATAGGTGGTATGACGAGGAGCATATTCCGTTGTTGGCGAAGGTGCCGGGGTGGATTCGGAGTAGAAGGTTTGTGTTGAAGGAGGCTGCAAAGGCGGGTACGAAGGCGACGGGGGGACAGCCGCCGAAGTATTTGGCGGTGCATGAGTGGGCGAGTGGGAAGGAGAGGGAGGGGACGGAGGAGTATAAGATCGCGACGAGCACGCCGTGGAGGACGAGGTTGCAGAGTAGTATTACGGATAGGGAGAGGAGGGATGTGAAGTTCCTCAAGCGGTGGGATCGCGAGTAGATGACGAGTCAGGGAAATGTTTTGAGAAGAGGTGTACGGCGCTGGTGTACGATATTTGTGGATATAAGCAAGATGGAAATAAAGCTCATCAACACTTCTCTCATTTGAACGCCTACCACGGACTATCCACCATTGCAGGGTATATGATGTTTGCGACACAATTTATTCGCTGCCTGTGTTTCCTGCATGCACGTTCGGTGGAGGTGATAAGGACGTGATGGATGATGTGCAGAGGTTATTTGACAACGTCAAGCGGCCCTCGCCGATGTCACCAACGTCCGCCCCTTCCCCGTCGCTCACCGCCAATCATAATACTCTACAGGGCAGAACGTGATGCGCCTATATCTCCCTAGAGCATGCACTTATCTCCCTTTGGGCCTTGGTCAAACATTTCAGCAGCCGTGGGGATCGTGCAGCACATGGGTCGCGTCCTCCACTGACTTCTTCGCAGGCACCATCGCGAAAACCACACTTTCTCCGGGGCGGCACATATATAAGATGCATTAACCTGCTCTGAATCTCTGGACGGAGCTACGCCCCTCTCCTAGCTTGTCTGCTCTTCGCTGTGCTTTCCAAAATGGTCTACCTCGTCGTCCTCGCTGCGCTCTTTTCTGTGGCCAATGCAGAGTATCTAGACCTCTCTCTCCGTCAATCCGTAGTACCCAACACGTATCCGAATATCTCTGCATGTGCTAGTCAACCTTTCACGTTCTCCTGCGAAAATACGACGACGATCGAGAATACGTGCTGCTCGCCTACGCCGGGTGGATTGGTACTGCAGACTCAGTTCTGGGACACGTATACGGGGTATGAGGAGGAGGGACAGTTGTTGCCGAAGGGGAGTTGGACGATCCATGGGTTGTGGCCGGATAATTGTGACGGGGTGCGTTTGTGTCCTCTCTTATCGTTCATCATTATGTTGATATTGGCGGGTATTGGCGGTGACTAGACGTATGGGCAATATTGTGATGCGTCGAGGCAGTATGATCCATTGCCTGATGATAGCAGTGTCACGGCGTATACTGGTCCTGGTGTGGATACGTTCGTGAAAGACTTCGGAAGGCAGGATCTGCTTGATTTCAGTACGTGGGCCGCTTGGGTGCATTTGTAGTGTGGCAAGACTCACTGTGATTATTTTTCTGCAGTGAACAAATATTGGGTTAGCCAGGGAGAAAAGAACGAGGGGTTCTGGGCTCATGAGGTTCGTATTTATCTGTTTTCAAGCAAGGGTCATTTATTCAACTCATATACTCGAATAGTTCTCAAAGCATGCGACGTGCACTTCTACTTTCGATGTCGCTTGCTACGGACCGGACTACAAGGAGCATCAGGATGTCGTTGATTTCTTCCAGGCTGTCATTCGTGCTTTCAAAATGTTCCCTACATACGACATCCTTGCGGCGTACGTCTTCTGCTTCTTTCTACCATCCTCTGCACATGAACTCATTCTGCTGGCCTCAGTTCCGGGATCGTGCCATCGAACAAGACGACGTATCCTCTCTCGCAGATTCAGACCGCATTGAAGGCTCAGACCGGTTCTCTTCCCTACGTCGGATGTGGAAGTAACGGGACTGTTCTGCAAGAAGTGTGGTATTACAACCACGTTCTGGGAACGGTCAGTGACACCTCCTGTCTGTTCTTCTTCACTATCGATGGCTTACCGACTATTGCAATTGCACAGGAACAATTCGGGCAGTTCAAGATCTTGGACACGACCTATAATAGCACTTGCTCTGCTACAGCTGGTATTCATTATTACGAGAGGACACCCACGTCCGAGCGTGAGGTTCGGTGAGGCGTGGAGTGTGGGAGGAGAAATTTAAAGTTGAGAGGTACCCATCATGTGGGCGAGGTTACGATTGTGAATCGAGGTTCCCTTTGCTACAGTACTACCTCCTCATAAAAGACATTTTTTGCGAGCAATAATTTTGGTCGAAGTTGTGGACGTCGGTGGGTGTCTGCAGGCCAAAATCTAATCTGCGATAAGATGCGGGCGTGGGGCATCAATACACATGCGCACGTGGCGATCTGACGCGCGACGCGAAAGTGTTGAACAGCGGAGCGCCAGGCCGCCGTTCCTGGCTGTTGGTTCACCGGGCTGCTTTCCGCCCTCATTTCTTCTCTCTCAACCCAACCGCCACCTCCCACCCCGCCCGCGTCCCCCGCCCACGACCATGGTCGTCTCCCTCAGTCTCGACGCCGCCGCTGCCGATGCCTCCCTACGCAGACAAGTCGCCGCGCTCACTTCCGCCGTCATTAAATCGAAACGCATCGTCGTCGTGACCGGTGCTGGCATCTCGTGCTCGTGTGGAATCCCAGTCCGTGTCATGCCGCGTCTTGGCTTTGTCTCCACTCTGACGCTTTTCTCCCTCTCTCTGAACAGGATTTCCGATCATCCGATGGATTGTACAATCTCGTCAAGCAACAATACCCTGACGTCGTTATGAAGGGTCGCGACCTTTTCGATGCCTCGTTATTCCGCGACCCGACATCGACATCCGTCTTTTATACCTTCATCTCCCAACTCAAACAATCCGTCGACGCCGCTTCTCCCTCACCTACCCACACCTTTCTCAAAACGCTAGACACGAAGAAGAAGCTCCTTCGGTCGTACACACAAAACATCGATGGGTTCGAGGAGCGTGCCGGCCTGCTCGGTAGCTCGAGCGATGACGCGCGGGCAGCGACTAGCAAAGGCAAGTCGAAGCTCAAGACGAAGGACGTGCGAAACGTGCAGCTACATGGCGACATCCACCGCGTGCGCTGTACGTTCTGTTCTGCCGACCTTCCGTGCACGAAGGAGTACCTCCGACTCTTCAACGAAGGCATCGCGCCTGACTGTCCCGAATGCAATGCACGCTGTACGCCCTCTTTTTTCTCCCTCTTCTTACGTCCCCACGCCCCTTGCTCATTTGATTTTTATTCTTGTTATGTCTCATGTTATCTTCCCTCTTGCTTTGTGGCGTCTCTGGATACATGCGTTCGCAGCGGAAGCACGAGTCGCGCGGTCTGCTCGGGCGCTCAAGGTCGGAACTCTCCGTCCTGCTATCGTCCTCTACGACGAACCACACCCGCTCGGGGACGACATCGGAACCATCCAGACCGGTGACCTCGCCAAGCGGCCCGATCTGCTCATCGTCATGGGCACTTCGCTCAAAGTCCACGGGCTCAAGAAGCTCGTCAAGGAGTTCGCGCGGACTGTCCACGCGGGTGCGCCCTCCCCTCCTGCTGCTGCTGCTGGCACCGGCCCTGCTGCTTCGTCGTCGAAGTCGACGTCGACGCCAAGGATGTCGCATAAGGTGATATTTGTGAACAAGACGGCGCCGGGGAGCGAGTGGAATGGGATTATCGATTATCATGTGGAGGGGACGACGGATGAGTGGGTGGAGAGGGTGGTAGAGCAGTGGAGGAGGGATAGGCCGGAGGACTGGGAGGTGCAGACAACGTTGGATGGGCCGGCGGCCTCGGGGGTAGTAGTGGGTGAGGAGGGACAAAAATTTAAGGTGACGAAAGGGAAAACGAAGGGGAAGAGTGCGTTCGCTGTCTATCGTGTCTCTCATCTCGCTTTTTCCTGACTGTACCTTTTTCTGCTTTTTCTTTTTTTGTCTGCAGAGGGAAAGAAGGCTGCGCTACCCGAGCGCGAGAACATCCCGCCCACCGACGACGCCTTCGACGTCCCCTCCACAAAACCACTATCTTCACCCACCAAACGTCGACACTCCACCTCGCACTACTCCGCACTCGACTCGAGCCCGCCCAAACGTCGCTCCTTCACCGAATCGCAGCAAAATCGACCACACCACGTGCCATCGTCAACACAACCACCACCACATGCACACGTATTAGGGGACGAGAGGGACAGATCGTGCTTCGCGAACACGACCAATAATGCAAAGGCTGACGCTGCCGCCGCTGCTGGTGGTGGTGGTGATGAGACCGATACGGACGAGGAGTTCCCGATGACGATAACGATCCCTAAGACCGGTGTGAAATCTTCGCATCGTGCCGCCGCTACTACCGTCGTTGCTCCGCTACCACCGCCACTTCGCAAGAAGGCGAGCGCGGCGCGGATGAAGTTGGAGATTCCGATGCCGCCGTCGGGGAGTCAGCGTCAGGGGGCAGTGGTGGCCCCCCTTGCGCCGCCGCGGCCACAGAGTCGGAGTCAGATGGGGAGGCGGAGTAAGAGGTTGGAGATCGATGTTTTAGGTTGAGAGTCTTGACGCGTGGTTGTTCTTGGTTGTTCTGCATGTAAGTACCCTGCGCCTCACGCAGTTTTCGTCTTTGTCTCGTTCTTGTTATTGTCCAGCTTGTACACTCCATTCAAATTCCACACATCACACATTTCTTCTTATAAAACAATGCCCAATTCTCAATTCCTTCTCTTTTTGTGCTCTGTTTCTGTTTCTGTTTCTGTTTCTTCTACGTTACACCTTCCACAACGTCACAATGCTTTCACGATCGTACACCCCGCATCGAACGCTCGAACGCACGCACATTTGCTCCACCTTTTTCGCAATCGCAGCATTTCCGCACTCGCATTGCATGCATAGTTTATTGCATATTGTATATACACCCAATTGACAGTTCGTTTCGAGTCTCGAGTCTCGAGTACGATCGCTAGTGTTGAACGTTGATGCAAACGCATGATGGACGTGAAGCTACTTTCGAGGTGACAGGACGCCCTGGATAAAGAGTAAAGAGTGCCGGGTTGGTTATGTAGGTGTGTTCGCTCCAAGTTCTGAATACGAGTGTCGATGTGGGTTGGGATTGTCATTGAGTCAAAAAGGTAGGCTACATGGGGGGATGGGGGAGAAAACCTGAAAAGGGGAAAAGCGTCGGGACACCAAAAATGAATGAATGAAAGTAGCGGAGGCGGGAGAAGAGAAGAGAAGAGGTGATCGGATGGGGTGAGGTCGGAACAAGCAGGACATGACGGGACAGGACGAAACAGTGAGAACCGGAAAAGAGGCATCAGGTCGGGAAATAAACAAAAGAGACAAAAGAGGTAAGGGAGTGAGGCCTCAATCGCTGATGAGCTCCGAGACGCTCCAGTCCTCGAAGGAGCCGTCGGGGAGGTAACGTCGGATGATGAGTGGGATTTTGCGCTGGGAGAGTTCTTTGATCGCGATTTGGAGGGCGTCGGTTTCGCCGTCTAGGGGGACGAGGATGGGGGCATTCATGCTGTGGGATAAAAATCGAAGGATGAAAGTGTTAGGGTCTGAGTTCAAGTCGAATTGTGAATGGTGCGAAGTGGTTCGGATTTGATGGGAACAGACACAGAGACGTGAAAACTCTCAAAGACACAGAAACGCACCTAATCTGCAAAGCCCTCGTCCCCAATATCCTCGCCCGCTCATACTTCGTCAAATAAGGCGTAGTCACTCTAACTTTATTCGGCTGTCGTTCGCCCACTATCGTCGCCGCTGCCCCTCCTCCTCCTCCTGCCCCATTCGTCCCGTTTGCACCTCCTGCGGCGGCGTCATCTTGCGCGTCGAGGTCCCCGTTCCCGTTCCCATTTATGCCGTTTATTTGGCCTGCTGCTGCTGCTGCTGCTGCTGTGGGGTCTGAGGGGTCTGAGGGGTCGAGGGGGTCTGCATCGGGGTCTTGGGCTTCGGGGGCTAGGAGGTCGTAGCCTTCGTCCTTTTATGCAACAGAGCGGAATAAGGAAGGGTTGGGATCTGAATTCGAGGAAAGTGAGGAATGAGAAGTGAGGGGCGTACGAATGTGTCGTCGTTGAAACCGCCTCCGCCGTACTCGTAGTCGTCTCCGGCGCCGTATCCTCCGTCGTCTGACATTTTGTGAGGGTGTTTGTGGTGGAGAGGTTGGTGGGTGTGGATTTGTTTTGTGGGGAGGTGGTGGGTGAGTAGAGAGAAGGTGGACTGTTGCCGAGACGCGGCAGGGCGGAGTTGGACTTTGATTCCGTCGGGATGTGAAAATTGGTTGGTGCCACTTTGGATTTGAATGACTCCCTTGAGAGCAACCACTTTGCCATCAACTGCTTTTGTCCAATTTATCACGGAGGAATCATAACCCCTGGTCTCTCCCGCATGTACAGAAGCGAATCTAAATAAATCCCTTCTTATGTTCTGCATTGCTAGTCTCCTCAGTCTCTTAGAGTAACCAATCGTTCAACCGGCTGGCGCAAGGATCACTCTGTCACTCTGCGTCGTCAAAATACAATCAGGACGTCGAGGAAGGGACCAATCTACTTTGAAAGGGTTCTCCGCCTCGTAATAACGACCGAAATGCGCTTTCTGCTAGTCGTTTCTCATGATTCTGAGGATCTGCACGCCGACGACCCACCGAATGCACTTCGATTGAGCTCTCGTTTCCCGGCTCCATCTTGTGCGCTTCTCAGCATTCTTCTTGCATGTCACTCCGAATAGGGACGGTCCTAATGAAGTAGCGGCGAAAACTGTGACTTTTCTGGCGATTGATTGCCTCACGAGTCGCCTTATTCGGAAGCCAGAGGTCCGCGGACTGGACGCTGGACTTGAAGAGAAGCGACCTGGACGACAATCACAGTTCCGATCGCCCAGTTCGTCATCGGGGCAGCTCCTGTCCACTCACCCGTCTTCAGATAGCCTTCGACCGACGCGACTCCATTGCCTTCGACGACGTCCGCTGGGGCAATCTATGTCGCCGGAGCGCCGTCCCTCGCTAGCTTCTGTGACTGTCAGTGTCCAGACGATCCCACTCCGGCGACGCGCTGCATTTTCTCTGTGCGCATATGCGAAAGGCGCGGATTTCCTTACTCGGATAGACAATGGCCAAAGGGAGCTATGCGCCCACGAGGCTCACGCTCCGCCACCCTCTCTGCTCGAAGCGGGCAACTCCCCGGACGCGCTTCCCCGCCATGGCCCGGGCTGCCTACTCGAGTATACCCCATCACGCCTCCCCAATTTGCTCCTCGTCGTCTCTTCCTTCTGACCCTCACCTTCTCTTGTGCTCGTCCCCCCTCCCCCATTCCTAGGACACTTGCTAGCCCGTCCAGTGTCTATCTAGCCCTCGTACAGACATATTTCCATCATTTTGTTTTGCATCTCTCTATGCCGCCAAAAGGTCTTGCTAAGCCTCGCTCGTGGGGAAATCGCTTCGACCCCCTCAACCAGCCGCGCACTCCCTCGCCCGCTCGTCAGCCAGCCAGCCCTCTGCGTATTCCCGCTACTGGCTTTTCGGCTTCAAAACTATCGCCTCTTCAGGCGACCTTTACGCCTCTCAACAGCTCTAGGCGCAGGGACGAGAGGACGCCCCATGACGCCAGTGTTTTCGTCGGAAGGTATTTCACGATCCGTACTTCCCTTTGTTTGATCAAAGGCTGACCAAAGGCCGTGCAGCCTCCCGTCCATCTATGACCCACCGGAATTAACCCGTCTCCTCACCGAGCATCTGTCTGGTTACCCTGACGCTCTCTCCGTCAAAGTCATTCGCGACGCCCGCGGTGGCGTATGCGCATTTATCCAGTGCGAGGTACCCCTTTCTTCTCCTCTTTATTCTTTTCGCATTACCGACCGACCATCGGTCAACGTACTCTCTTTCGTAGAATGGTGCTGCTGCTACTCGCCTCATCGACGCTCTTCGCTCCGAAGACCCACCACGCGCGTTTCTCGGCCGTCATCTGCGCTACGAACCTGCTCGGGCACTGCGCTCCCTCTTAATCTCTTACCGGTTAGCTTGTCCTTCTTATTCGCTGCTATATCGGGCAACGTCCTTATGTGTCCGTCTAGAAAACCCGTGCAGGCCCCGATACGTCTCGATGGCACTCCGGGCTCTATTCAGACTGCCCACAGCCAACCTGTTGAACTTGACTTGGCCTTTGCCATGAGACTCTGGCGGCCTTCGGGCTCGAAGTACGTCTCCATCCTACTTATCGAGACTTCTGCTCACTGTGCTCTCCTTAGGTATGTCTCTGTGTTGTACAACACAGAGGCTTGCGATCTCCCAGCAGCAGCAGGTGATGCTCTGATCAACAAAGACGAGACAGAACTCTGCGATGCCTTCGACGGCGAAGGGATTTTTTTGTCTCCTGTGGCATACGATGCTGAGGTTCGTCGCTACTGTCCTTTCAACACGCATATATGCACATTTTCTCATCGTGCCTATGTCGGTTAGACCATCCATAGGCTTGGTGCTGCCTTTGGACCACTCGAACATTTTGGACCCTATCGTCATGAGTTCTCCGCTCTTCACGTTCCGGGTACGTTTATGCCTGCACTCACCATGGCTTGCTCGCTTACCGTCCTCTACGTAGCGGGACACGGATCCTTTCCTTCACCTCACGACTCGCCTAGGTTGCCGCCTATGGATCCTGGGTGTTGGGAGGTCAAATGGCAACACCGGGACGACTGCGTCCGGGCTCTCATGGTAAATTTTTGCGTTCTCCGTTTAGGCACCGCTGATCCTCCGACCCGTTAGACTCTTCGCACCGTGCCTCATCTCACAGTGACATGGGCCCATAACCCTCAAGGCGGCCCCTCGCCGGCAGTCGCCCCTAATTCAGCAAGGCGTCAATTCCCCAATCCTCGGACTCCATACTCGCCTGCATACCGAGGTATGATCCTCGTTTGCCTTTGTTCGGGTACGAAAGGCTAACTATGCCCGTCAGGTGGTGCTCACCTTCCAAGCCACCTTCGGACTCCCACTTTCTCTGTCCTCTCTGACTCGGGCACAGGGGCAGGGACTATGGGTTCCCCAGTATCGTCGCGCCTCAGTCCAGAAGGCGGCGTCGACGCCTTTCAAAACACTCCTGCCCTTCTGTCTTCGCCCCCCAGCGCGGACGGCTGGGTAAACATGCCTCCTACCGTCGAGAACTCTCCTGTGGCTTCTCACTCGACGGCGACTCGGTCTATGCTCCTCCCGCCTCACGCGCTGAAGCTTTCCGAACGGGGCGGACGGTCGAATACTCTCCCGATTCGTACGTCCATGGTGTATGAAGCTCCTAGACCGCCAGCAGGTGATAATGTCCCGGAAGCGAAGATCATGTATGTTGACGCGTCATACCCTTCACGCTCTGTTTCTCTGTACTCACACCCCTGCTGTAGCACACACTCTTCCGTTCCTATAGGCCAAACATCTTCTATATTCGTGCCTCCTTCGTCTTCCCCAGACCATGACCGATCAGGCCGCGGCATCGACGCCAGCAGCACCATCTCCCAACTCACATCGAGCGACAGCTCGGAGGTACCAGAGATACCTGTCATGGACATGAAGTCAGCCGCGAAAAGGTCATCCACACCGGAGTTTGTATTTCCTCGCATCTCATGTGGTGCCAATGCCGAACAGGAGAAGTACGTCGACGTGTTCGGGACTGTCACGGAATATCCTGACGAAGAACGTGAGGGCGAGGTGTACGACAATTTCGGGAGAGAGCTCGATCTTTCGACTATCTTTGTTGGTGGGTTGGAGATGATGGGACCTCAGGCGTGGGATGAGCCGAAGGTTAGGAGGTTGTTCGAGCGGTATGGGAAGATTGAGGATATCAAGTATTCTCGTCCGCGTCAGTTTATCTCTTTCGTTGCGGTACGAAGATGGGGTCGCTGACTTATTCCATGATTTTTCTCATTGGCGCTACAGTCAACAAGAAATCGGCCTTTGCGTTTGTGAGGTTCGAAGACCCGGCTGCGGCAGCTCAAGCTGTCTCTGAGCAGGTTTGTCTATACACCTAAATGGTCTCACATACGTCTGACCGACGCTCTTCGCTTTACAGCATAATCGTGTCCACGAAGGTCGCCAGATACGCGTGCAAATTCGAACGCGCAACTCTCACCATCGCGATGCCTATAGGTATGGAGGCCGGGGCCGAGGAAGGGGACGCTACCAAAGCAACAGATACGTCGATAATCCTGTTGAGGACGGCGTTCGCTCGTTCGCCGGTAACGGGCGCCACGAGTCTCGTTCGTCACTTTCCACTATGGACAGCCACCTTCCTAGCAGCGAGAGCTCTTTCGGCCTCCAGCGGTCGAACATGCCCTTCATCGACACCACCATGCGGTCGAAGGCTCATCGTCATCCGTCCAACCAATCTTCCCCAAATTCGTCGAGCGCGAGTCAGGGTATGGTACCTCCCGGACAAGGCGTCGATGCGGCTCAGCTTGCAGGCATGTATCCTGCGTCGATGATGCCCCCGCCTGGTTCGGTCATTCCGTACCCTGGGATGCCAGGTGTCGGGTTCTACCCTCATCAGCCTTGGTACCCGCCCCCGTTTCATCCATACGCTGGCGGTTATATGGCGGGGTATCCTCCTCCTGGGTATATTATGCCCGCCGCGGGCGCACGCAACGTACCTGGTCAGTCGAGCCACGGCGATGCGAGAGATCAGACTATGGGCAATGTACCATTCCAAGTGAGTTTCGAGTCGTCATGTGTTCTTCTATTGTTCTCGTATCTGATTCGATATCGTCGTTTCAGGCCCCAGGTCCTTACGGAATTTACGGTCAACCTATGCCCGGCCCTCACGCTCAGCAGCCCCCCAAACCCCAAACGAGCCCAGGAAAAGAGGACGCCAACCAGCTTCAACACCACCACCAACCTCCCTTAATCCCAACAGGCTTCATCCAGGGCGAACACGGACTCGTACCCCTCTATGCCTCCGAGGCACTCGACGAATACATGACCAGCGGCGGCGGTCCCCATCCCTTCACTCAATCTCAGAATCGACCGTTGGCATTAGACGTACAGCGTAGCGCGTCGACTCCCGTCGGCCATGGGACCGCTACCGCCGCTTGGCCACATTACGCGGCGTATCCTGCGTACCCGCCCCTTCCTTCGCCTGGTGGATCGACGGGAGTAGGGGCCGGAGTTGGAGTTGGAGTTGGAGTTGGAGGTGCGGTTCCGATGTTGAGGGGACAGTCGCAGCCGTTGCCGGGACAGGTGCAGGTTCCGCATCCTCCGACTCATCCGGCACATGGTGCGCAAGGGGGGTGGTACGCTCATCCGCCGCCGCCGCCGATGAATATGAATTATCCGGTTCCGATGCCTTATTATCCGCACCATCAACCTCCTCCGATTATGCACGCTCCTGCACCTCCATCGAATGCCCCTTCAACGTCTAACGCCGCGAACGCGCCCGTGCCCGTGTCGTCCGGGGCTTTCGTCGGAGGTGGGAACGGAGGTGGAAATGGGAATGGGAATACTCGTGCGCCTGAAACAAGCGGGAACGAGACGCCGCAGAGACGGTATGCCCAGGCTCAAGCTAGAGGGGATCAGCATAATAACTCGAACGCCGGTTCGTACGTTGGTCAAAGCCAAGGTCAAGGGCACGGTCAAGGGCACGGTCAAGGTCAGGGTCAGAATTCAGGCCAAGGTCAGGGTCAAGGTCAAGGTGCTCAACAACCGCACTACGTCCTGCATAATTACACGAATCTGGACCTTCAGTATTCGCGCGGGCGGAACGGCTCGGCGGGGACGGTCAAGCAGCAGCATGGACACCAAGCTCCTCCGTTTGAGAATCGGACTCAGGCTCCTCCGTTTGAGAACCGGACTTCGGGGGCTTCTGCGGCGGGGTCGGCGAGCGGAGATGGGGGTACTAATAGTGATGGAAGAGGGAGTAGGACGGGGAAGGGGAGTACGGGGACTGGAAGGTCGACGCCTTCGACTTCGACGACGGGACATGGACAGGGTGAGTATGGTGGTGGGGGGAGGGGGAGAGGTGGGGGGCAGTAGAGTATGGAGAGTTTAGTTGGAAGGATGGGCGGAGCGCTTGGAAGTGTGGTACATTGGTAGGTACTATCTGGAGACTGAGACGACGTACCGTTCTAGAAAAAAGAAGAAGATGGGTATATTCTCGTTTCGTTCTCTTCTTTGTTCTTTGTTATCCGTTCTCCGTTTCGTCATTTGGTCTGCTGTATCATGTTATCGTTCCCCTTTTCGAATCAAAAATCATTTGTACGTCTACTCCCAATATTTCTTACCTTCATCTTCGTTTCCATTTTCGCTCCACCTTTACCAGTCAATATTTTCCCCCTTCATGTTCTCGACCGTTTCTTATCCATCATTTTTTGTTCCATATCATCTTAGGCTTCTTTCTTTCTCTACCTACTTTCCTCTTGTCCTTGTTCTTTTCTTTCCCGATGTTTTTCCTGTCTCCTTTTTTCTTCTCTTCCTTTCTCATATTCATCCAAACCAAACAATCAACCAACAGCATTTCACTTCCATATCCCATTTCCAATATCCAATATCCATCATTAACAAACATTTTCGAGTTTCTTCTCTCTTTCAAGTTCTCTTTCTTTTTCTTCCTCTTCCACATCTTTCGTCGTCCATACATTGACACTCAGACATCGAGACATTAGGCTGGGACACTCAACTGTCCGAAATATATACATATATTCGTATACAATAACAGTATAACACGGAGGATATTTGGTCTTCGGTCTTCGTGGCATCATGACGTTCAGGTGAATGTACACAAGGAGGTATTATGGAACCTTGGATTCAAAAGTCAGAGAGAACGGCGCCTGAAAACGGGATAACTGGACGCGGCCCGAACGTTCGGCGCGAGTCATGTCCGCTTTGGGCGACACTGTTATTGTTGGGCCACAACGCCACTGCATCATATTCACCGATCGTTGGTTGCTCATTAATCGTGTGTCATTTCATGTCATGTCACAGTGATTGATCGGAGCACGACGGTCATTGCTTCGATTCTTGTAATCTTGATCTTGATGTGTACAGGGTTGGTTATTCGATATAAGTATAAGCAGAGATCTAGAGCAGGTGATGCGATAGCGTATGTATGTAAAGACAAGTGAACGAGGCATACAAATATATATATGTGTTCCAGACAAATTTTCCCGGATAGAGATGCGATAATCCATCCTCAGGCTCCCTGTATGAAGTAAAACGTGAAAAGGTCCCCTTCAATTCATCACCATCACCGGGCAGTCGTCGTCTCAACATTCCGCAACCAATCCCCATATTCAGACCAGAACTCTCTCTGGAGGCGAGAGCCAGTCCAGAAAGGCATGATGGAGACGTGGGTCGTTCCCTCTAAGTGGTGGACGTTCCAGATGCCGGGCCTTGGTTCGGAGTTGGGTGATTTCAAGTTTGGGGGAGGTGGGATTGGAGAGTGAGTGGTCGCGCTGGTGGTGGTTTTGAGTTGTGACGGGGGGTGTTGGACTAGCGGTTCTGGAGCGGTTTTGGGCTGCGTGGGGTGGTGTAGGCAATGCGTGTCTCTGTGATAGGTAAACAGTCGGTGGCTTATTCGACGGGAAAAAAAGAGTATAAACGTACCGGCAGCGGAAAGGATGCCATTGGGAGAATACAGGCACGACACCATCGTTCGCCCAATATTCTTCTCCCAACGTGGAGGCCGTATTTGACGTCTGTGCATCACACTCGACATCAGCGCCGGGGCTCTGTTTGGATGTATCATACACATCGGCTTCATGTCTGAGGAGAAACGATGGTATTGGACGGATGGTGGAGAAGTCGAAAGAACCCATTATACGAGAGGTTAGGTAGAGTGGTGCAGAGATTATGTGGCTTATAGTAGGGGTGTGCGAGTTTGTCGTCCAGTTGGATTTCTGCGTCTAAAGACGAAAAACGAACGGCAAAATAAGTGGTATCCAGATCACCTGGCTAGTCTCAAAGGTGTGTAACTCACCATGCACGCCACATAACTCCTATAAAACGTCCCCTCACACAACCCTCCCTCACCTCTCCCTTCCCTCTCATCCGCCGCCTCAAACGTAACATCAAACGGCAACGCATCCCTACTCTCCGCCCAATCGCTCCTCCACAACTGTCTCAACAGCGAAGTCAGCGACAACTCCCGAAACGAGAGCGCACGCGACTCGGCGCGGAGGTCGAGGAGGGGTGATGTGAGGGGTGAGAGGTAGCAGAGGAGGTGGATGCCCTTGGTGAGAGCGGAGCCGACGGAGAAGGGGCGGACGGAGGGGGCGGCGTCGGTGCGTTCGCCGAGGGTGTAGACTAGTTGTGTTCCGCGGAATGGAGAGCAGACTAGAAGGATAATAAATTTGTGTTTCGTTGAATGGGATGCTTTAGTTGGGTACGAGGATGCTACATACCCGTAGTTAGTGATTTGAGCATGTCGGGACCATATTCCTGACCAAAGAACCGTTCTCTCAGCAAATGCTGTAATCTCACGATGGTCAAGCCACCCTATTACATGTGAGGTCGGGTGAGTGAGATGCTGAGCATTCAAACTAGGGCATCAAACTAAGCAACCCACGATCGAATGACCCAGAAAATGTAATGGCCGTGCAGCAGACCAACCCGGGTAGAGGCCTGCTTCGTGTGCACGTCCATAGCGGGCATGCTTATGCAGACAAGAGTGTGTGGCACCATAATCAACTAGTACCAACCTCAATCAGTTTTGACTGACAAGATATAACTCTTGTTCCAGCAAGCGTACCTTGTCCCCCAATTAATAGGTAAAACAATTCACAAGCTCTGTCGTGTAACGAGCTCACAGGCCCAACACTGCACGCACCAAAACCATCAGAGTCTACAGATCTGAATGAACAGAAGCAGAACTTGCGTACCCAGCAAATATCACCGTCCTGCCCGTATTCTCCGCAATCTTACCCTCTCCATTCAGGTAATACTCGAAATTCCCTCCAACGACCTGACCTATCCCACCCAAGAATCCTTCCACAATAACGAGCGGGATGGGCTCAGTGTCACGAACAGCCTGAGTATCATGTCGCACATCTGGCTGTCCAGTAGTTTGCTCAAAGTCGACGACAGCAGACATACGAGTACTAGATCGAGCAGTCGGTTCGAAGTCCAAGGGTGTACGAGTAAAGAAATAGAAGCGATGTCACTGTCAGAAGATGATGCTTCACTGGCGATTGTGGAGAAAGCGCGGCCAGAGTCTAGAGAGTCAGACGAGTGAACCCAGAGAAAGATTCCATCAGCCGAGACATAGGTATCCGAGACCTATATATGAACTGTGTGAGTCTTGAGTACTAGCGGGAGGACTGAGACTCAGTTGGGGGATGTTGGGGGGCTCGCCAAGTCATCACGATGCTGATTATGAGTGGATTCGATGACGACGAGTGAGCCGACGTGACCGACGGTCTCTATGTAGCGCTCCAACCTCCCGCGATGGCTTTCCCTGCAGTCGCACCCATCGAGCCCATGGCTACCCAACTTAGGCAGCACGTTAGTACAATCTCGATGCAGATGCGAAGGCGACACAATGAGGCAGTTAGGGAGTCGAGATCGACGGAATTTGAATCGTCCCACGCATTCTGCCTCCGCTCGGCCCTGTGTGCGCACCTCTCCGTCTCCTCTCGGCGATCCAATTTCTACTCTCAGGTCGACGTGCCATTGACCGGTCCGCAACCGTCTGAGTCTGACAAGAAAAAATCAAAATAATCATAGACAAGAAACTACTATCATCTGGATCATCTGGATCTAGTACACAAGCAAGCAAGTAGCTCCTGGCCACTTCCCAACGTCCAAGTCCAAAGCTCGCATCGCACCAGACTCGCTGATACTTCGATACGAGTATGTATGTACTATGTAGGCCCTGGTATGTATATTAGTAATCGACAAGAACGTAACTTGAAAGTAAAGAAGGGGACCGATCGTCCTCCGGAGACGTCAACGCCACAATACGTATGTACATGAATGAAGTCCAGATACTTTCGTGAGCGTATGTATGTGCGGCGTTCGGAGCGTCTAAGCAGGAGGGACAAGAAACGGAATGTCAAGCTCGGAGCAGCGCATCGCAAGAAATAGATCAAGATGGATCGGGTCTGAAAACGAAAGCATACACGGGACAGACGAGCGACCAAAAAATCGAATGGAAAAAACAACTAAGGAAGTAAGTATGTGAGCAACGATGGGATGGGAGATGGGATGAACACAAGAGATGGCTAGTTATATGTAGATGGATGAGTATCGAACATTGAATGGTGTTTGTATTAGGAGGTATGCGAGGTATGTGTGGGTATGAAGACACAGTTGAAATTGAATTGAGGTGAGAGACGAGAGGCGAGATGAGATGAGCGGCATGTCAAAACTTGAATATATACAAATGAAGGTAAGTATGAAGAAAAATCGGCGATCTGATCGGACAATCCGGATAGCTATGTTAGTTGAGGTGTGAGGGGTTATGGGAGTAACAAGATGCGAGTTATTGAGGCTGGATGAGTATATGGACGGTATGACGTGCGTAGGTGATGTGCAAGGGTATGGGTTGAGATGCTGTAGACGACAAAAAAAATCAGCAGGTGGCGGACGTGTGGCTACGAGAAAGCTTACAAGCATGGGTAGAGTCACAGAACAGGACGTCAATGAGCATAATGGGTCATCTTCTTGGCGGGGGTAAGACCATGAACGACAATTATGGTATGGGTGCGACACTATAGGTAGTCATAATCGTACACTATTGAGCCCTTTCAGTCATCAGGCCAAAACGGGACAAATAATTCGAGACTCACAAGAGATAGACAAGAGGCAAAATGAGAAAAATCCGACGATTCACGGTTTCTTGCCCGTGTACCAAGATAAAGACACGCTCCCAACTCCGGCGATTTGTACACGGGCGTTAACTCGGCATACCTGAGCGGCAACATGAGCTCAGCTTTTCGAGGCAGATAAGTGGACAGGAGAGTCGAACAAAGGAACGCACCGTATCCGCCACCTCGGTCCTCCTAAAATCAACGTGAAGATCTCCGTTTGGCGCTCGTGAGATCTGATTAACCTCACCAAACGACTAGTTCAGAGGATGAATGCACGCATGTCAAGATCGTCTCATCGGATATAGGGCTGCGGACATGGGCATGAGACGGAGCTCACCTCGCACCAACGCCTAACGTTCGCCAGACGGCGCTCGTCTCCTTTCGCCACTCCGCTGATGACCAGCTTCTTCTTCCGCCAGTCCTTGTGCATGGATAGCATGCTCGGAACACGTCCGATTGGTGAAGGGCTGTTGGCTTGCAGTTTCTGCGTGAAATGTTTCCGTGGTTTGCGGGAAGCGAGAGGAGCTTCGGATCCCGGAAGATCATGGAGGTGAGACGCATTGCTGGGCAGGGACCATAGAGACGGAGACGGAGGTTTAATGCGCGACGGAGTACCGCCGTTAGTAGACCCTGAATCTACAGGGAGCCCAGAAACGTGGGTCGATGCAGCGCCAGAAGAGACCGTGTTCGTTGAAGAGAAACTGGGTCGAGGGGGTGCCATGTCGCGAGGAGGCTCGAGATGCGTTGGTGAGGTGGAAGAGGAGGGATTGGGTGCAGAGAGAAAGCCCCCTAGGATCCGTGGACGTTTGAGCGTCCAATTCCGAGTAGAACGTAAGGTCTGGTGGTGAGAAGCAGGATCGTCTGTTGTACTTGTCATATCATGGGGAGCCATCGTACTCGTACTCGAAGTCCTGTAGTGATTCCCTGTACTCGTATGTGGTCGCGAGAACATCGATTGGCGAAGTGAGGGAGACGGAGGACTACGGGGAGCTGGGGACGGACGTCGTGAATTGGAAGAAAGGGGCAGATGGATATTACGGAACGCTGTGGGCGGGTTGAAAAAGCTTGAGTACAGGCGCGAGCCAGGGGGCCGCATGTGAGAAGGACCTGCATGCCGGGACTACCAGCGATAAAAACGATGCAGATGAGCGTTCCCTGACAAAGTAATGAACGGTCACGTGCGCGCCATACCTGGCCATTCTCGTCCTCGAGGAATTCACGCGGAGGTATATCAGCCTCATCTCCGGGCACGAGGACGAAACTGCCCAGAGTACCGTCATCTGTTTGGTCGGAAGAGTCGCGCGTCGGGTCGTGAGCGCCAGAAGGGGTACGATAAGCGTAGCTGTGATTGCCACGGTCCTTGGCGCGAGGCGTTGTTCGAACATCGTGGCTGGGACTGGGACTAACGCTAGGCTGCTGCTCTAACCACTGTTGGACATGGCTAGCGCGTCGGTGAAGAGACCGTGGGGAGGAGGGCCTAGCGGTGGAGCGGTCGTCGTCGCTGAAGGGGGAATATGTGCGTCTTGAAGCAGGCACAGCGGTGGACTGAGATTGAGACGGGGAGCCAGGGGAGTTGTCTTTCGAAGTCAAAGAAGTGAATGGACGGTGAGAATATGATCGTCGTGAATGGGATGGTGAGATGAATACGTACCGTGATGAGAGTGTCCCTGCTTCTGATCAGCGAAGTTGTCGAAGAGGGAAGAAAACTGGGAGTAAGTGGTGGCGAAGGATGGGTCGTGGTGGGGGTCATCACTCATGGCGGCTGGGCCGACCGTCGTTGCTGATGAGGGGAGTAAGGAAAGGGGAGAGAAGGAAAGCAAAGGGGGAAAGCGAAGAGAAAAACGTGTTGGGTGACGATCAGAGAAAAAGAAGAAAAAGGGACATGGAGGGCTGAGAGCGCAGAATGCCCGATGAGTCTTGACGAACTTGGACGAGTTCAACGTGGTGCCCGTGCTATGGCTACCGGCTGCTTTTCCTCCGTTCTTCTTCCGTAATGAACTCTCGCACACATAAATGGATTCATTTCTCCCGTCCTATTTGCCCTCCTTCCCCTCCGCTTCCGTCCTCAAACTCGAACCATTTCGTTCTATCGCGTCCTCGATATCCTCTCCGAGGCGTTTCACTGCTGCGTGCTCGGTTAGATTCATGTCTGACAAACACGGTCCATAGCGGTGGCTTTACACTCTTTCAAACCGCCCATTGACAACCTCGGCAGAACGAAGTCACCCCACTCCACCACTCCGCTCGTCGCCCATCGTAATGTCCAGATCCATCTCTACTGACCGCCACCGCCGCCACCACCGTCACGTCCGTCCTCTCGCTCTGGCAACTTCTCGAGCACTGCTTGCACGATATTCTTGAACAACTTCGCTGACGACGTCTTCTCATATCGCTCTAGAAGCGCGAACGCTCGCTCGCTCGGCTGGCTCAATCCATCTCGCTCGGTGCCGGCTCCCTCGCTCTCTTGCTCCTCTGCTACGGGCGCGGCGGCGTCCAGCAGTGTTACGAGCTCCGTGTCGACTGGTAAGCTTCCCAAGAACGGTAATCCTTCTCGCCTCGCCATCTCCTCCCCTCCTCCCGTCGAGAAGACGTTGCTGATCTCGCCACAACACGGACACACATATCCACTCATATTCTCGATGATCCCGAGCACGGGCAGCTCGACGGTGCGTGCGAACGAGAGACATTTCATCGCGTCCATTAGCGCGACCGCTTGAGGTGTTGTGACGATGACGGCCGACAGTCGGTCGTGCACGGGGGCCATGTGTTCCAGTAGCGAGAGATGCTCATCAGATGTCCCTGTGGCGCAGTGATACATATATATTGGATGTTATGATGATCTGGTCTCGGAATGAGCTCCTGAGATTTCATCGAAACACTCACCTGGAGGCGTATCTATCACCAAGTAGTCTAGTTCTCCCCACCTCACATCGCTCAGAAACTGCCTTATCATCGCATTCTTCTTCGGCCCTCGCCACACCACCGAGTCTTCCTTCTTCTTCAGCAGAAACCCGACGCTCATGCACGCTAACCTCGCTTCTGCACCGTCCGAGTACACGGGAACCCAGCCGTCGCTGCTCTGATGCACCCCGTGCCCGTCGAGACCTAACATCCGCGGTATCGAAGGGCCAGTCAGGTCGACGTCGAGAACTCCGACGCGGGCAGTCGGAGAAGAGGCGCGGAGCGATAGTGCGAGTTGGGTCGAAACGGACGATTTGCCGACGCCGCCCTTGCCGGAACAGACGATGATGATGTGTTTGATGTGTTTCAGCCTGCGGGACACTGGGGTTTCCTGTGTTGTGGAAGCCATGATGACTTCGACGCGGAATGGAGGAGGGTGGCGAGCGGGTTGCAGCAGCAGGAGAGCATTGGACTCAGACTCGTCTGCATCAGTCGTCGACTCGGAATTCGATGACCAAGCCTGATTCCGCGAGTTTTGCAAATTCGGACTCAAAACGTCAATTTGCCATAATGACGCTTTGATTGAATTTCAAATGCCTCCGTGAGACGTTCGTGTCTCCGGTTCAGCGTCCCTCATAGCATGAAGCAGGTTGTATCGCACGGAGGTAGGTTCGGTGGATGCAGTGGTACGTGGACAGCGTTATGCAGCAATAACCTCGTACTGAAAGGTATCCTCGGGCATTTTGTACAAGCAAGACCGAGTCCGGCAACTCCAGGGCCCTGACTTGAGAGCTTGAGACCCTGAGTAGCCCTGAGTGCGCTGCGTCTCCGGTATTAATTTTTACCATAACGTTGCCTCACTCAATATTACAGCTGTTTGTGCCTGAGAACTACAGACACCGAAGCTCTGATGCGGAAACACGTTGTGGAAGGTGAGTCTGGACATACCGGACGTTTTATTTTTCGTCTCGTCACCATCCTGGTATGTATGGTTTCTGCTGGTTCGAACCTCCGGCTTTCTGGTCGCCACACTAGTACTACCGAGCGCTGTATGACTGTAACATCTCTCGAGCTCGGCGATTATAAACTGGTCTTCAACTTGTGACGTGAACGGCAGCTATGCTCGGTGTTCTACACTCTATCGCCTTGGGTGCACAGGCTCTGGCTCTTCTACGATGTGTATAAATAGAGACTTCGGTGGCTCCTGGGATCCTCAGAACTTGGACTTTATTCGTATAGCTCGATTCTTCATCTGCACTACTCCGACGGTCTACTTTGACTTAAAATATGACGATCGAACAGCCTCAGCAGAAGACTGCTCTGAGTATCGTTCTTGTGCGCTCTTCTTGGCTTGAAGCGAAGTATATATTTGCTGGATATCACTGCTGTATCTCTTTCTATGTTTTGGGCGCGGTATCTCAGGGAACAGGTACCTTCGGAAAGCCCGAGGTAGAAGGCTCGAGAGTAACGAACATCAAAGACGTCGAGGCCATCATCGATGTCTTTCGACAACACGGCCACTCCGATGTACGCTTTCCCACCTTTCAACCACTCTGAGCCATCCCGTCCCTGGAATGCTCGGTTATATAACTCTGTGTATATATAGATTAATACCGCCTATATCTACAATGACGGTACGAGCGAGGAATATCTTGGGCGGATTAACTAGCAAGGCCGTGGGCTTATGATGGGTACTAAGCTTTACCCTACGGCCGTACGTCGCATTCGGTGTGCTCGGCTTAGACTTACTAGGCCCAGATACTTATTGAAGCTCATGTAGGCGAGTAAGCTTCAGCTTTCGAAGCGTAGGATCTCGCACTCGGCCGAGGTAGGTTCTCATTATATTGCTGATTTTGGTCTCGGTCGAACTGCTCGTTTGAGTTGATGCTGGACAACCCTGCTTGCACCGGGATATCCGCAAGTTCTTCGATATCCAGCTTAAGCGTTTGAGCACCGAGTAAGGTCCTGATCTCCACCGACACCTTGATGTCATTCAAACGCCTCTATCTCGGGACAATAGTAAGGTCGATCTATGGTACCTCCACGGCCCCGACCGCTCGATGCCATAAGAAGAGACACTTCGCGCCGTGGACGACCTCTATAAAGAGGGAAAGTTTGAGCGGTTTGGGATCGGTAATTACGTTACAGTGTCGTACGTCCCCCTTGTTCATGCCGACGATATCGTAACTAATTTGTCAAATGCGCGATAGGTGGGAAGTCGCAGAGATAGTGACCGTCTGTTGTCAGAATGGTTGGATTCAGCCTACTGTGTGTCAGGGGATTCATAATGCTGTTCATCGGGTAAGTCTTAGTGTACGTCGCGAATAGATAGATCCTGTGTGAGCGTGTATGCCTCAGCACCGTCGAGCCGGAGCTTTTCCCTCGTCTGCGCAAGTTTGATTTCAGTTTCTATGCTTTCAATCCCCGTGAGTCTGTATATGATCGTGTGGAGCGGATAAGGGAGCTCAATCGAGGCCATCGCAGTCGGTGGTAGGTTCTTCACCGGGAAATATAGCTCTCTCGCAAGTCGAGCCAATGCGGGCTCTCGGTTTGGCCTGAAGAAGGCCCAAGGACAGGTGAGTCAACGATTCGTCTCCTCTTTATGTTCGCAATGCCTCGAGTAGCATGTATATCACAACCGCGTACAGATCCATCGTTCTCGGTAAACTCATTTCCTCTACTTCCCTAAAATCATGTTCCTTCAATCGTACCCATCGCCGATAGACACAAGTGATTGTGCAACGAACGTAGAGGATATTTTTGCACACTAGTAGTAGTCTCGCCCTCTATATCAGTTGGTACGATAATCACAGTGGATTAGTAGTAGGCGAAAACCTCAGAGAACTAAGTTCGCCGACCGCAAGGGCATGTCAGTAATCATTTCAGTGAACCGACAAGAGCGAAAGCTATTGAAAATCTAGCAGAGCAAGTCACAAGTAAAGTTGGGCCACAGGGGCAGGTCCGAGCAACCCGCCACACGTCGGCCCCACCCGTTTTCGAGGTTGTTTTTGGATGACATGACGTCGATCGGGGATCTAGAGTTCCTAGTAGCTGTGCTGCTGGTTATCGTCGCAACCATCATCCAATCCATCCATCCTCTCCTCCTCCCTTCTTCCATCCACTACTTACCTGCACTTTTCAATTCCACCAAACACTCATACCCATTCGATATGGTAAGGCTTTGGCTAATCTTGGCGCGTCGAGAAACTAAAGTTCTATCAAATCTGTGCAGGAGAACTTCATCAGCTTGGCCAAGGAAGGATACGAGAAATACCAGGAATCTCAAGGGGGGGGAAACTCGGGCTGTACGTCCTGCTCCGCCGGGACGAGCATTTCGTTTTTTTATATCGGACTGATTCGTAACCTTGATGTCGCAGCTCAGCAGTACGGTAAGACCGGTGGCGCCGAGTACAACACTCCCAGCAACTCGAACGGGAGGAATGAAGGATCTGGAGAAGTTGGCTGTACGTCTCGCACTTGAACTGGTGTTCAACGATATTTGTCTTGATTGCTAAAATGGTTGAAAAATAGTCAACCACGAGGAGGTCATTCAGACTGCTCAGCAGCATGGATCCGGAGATAGCTCTCTTTTCTCCAGTGCGATGAGCTTCGTTAACGGTAACAAGGTGCGTCTATCACGGTCAGTAGTATTGTCTTCGGGGCTTTGGGCTGAAATATGAGGTGCAAATAGCAAGAGCACACTCAACCGGTCGATGAGGAGGCAGCACAGAGTGCCCACAGGCAGGCTTACCATGAAGGTTCGGCCAGCAACCTCAATGCTTCCTCCATGGGAAGCGCCGCTGCGCTCCAGGTACGTACCTTTTCTCACCCCATGCATCGTCCCTTTTTCGCCAATTCGGTCATATGCCTAATTCGGCCCTGCCACCATCATTCCACTCCATTCCAGGTTCTCAAGCAGTTCACCGGTGGCTCGGGCTCGGGCGGCGGTTCTCAGAGCCAACTGATCAGCATGGCGATGGCGGAGGCCAGCAAGTTGTTCGACAGCTCTTCGGGCGGCAGCGGTGGTAACAAGCAGGAGGCCGTCAACGGTGCTGCGATGACCGTTATGAAGTTGCTTGTGCAGAGTAAGTTCAGCGGTGCGACTGGAGGGAGCAACAGCGGCGGGTTGAGCTCGATGATGAGCTTGGTACGTGACTCTTGTTGTATCTTGAGGTCTTGAAGATGTGTCTGATACGATTGATTCGGGGATTTGATGCAGGCTTCCAAGTTTATGTAATCAGTTGACGGAAAGAGATCGCAGGGAAGAACAGACAATGTAATACGATGATCTGTACCACCAATTTGGGCGTGTTGTCGGATATGTGTGCGGTCTTCGGTAGTGCTTGCTCGACAATGGACTTGATATCGCACCTCGGCTTTATTTGACGCTTGCAGCTTGAGGATCTGAAGCTTGATCTTGAAGTGGACGAATTGAGGGTAGCGCTCGAGGGGTTGGGATGGTGATGATGTCTGCGATGATGCGAGACGAATGCTGAAATGCGATGAGGGATGCGTACAGACGATACAGATGCTAGGAGCCATGATGGGGTGCTGGTACAAATGCGGGATGATGCAGAACGATGCGGGAAGCAACGAGACAAAAAAAGCAGCAGGAACGGATCAGGCGACGGAAGAACATAATAATGATAGGAATAAAATGGCAGACAAGAAAGTAGAGGCATTAGAAAAAGGGAAAGCGATAATGAAGTAGGAGGCAAGTATAAAGATAGTATGAGGCATTATGAGGCGATATAATACGAATGCGTGCGATGATGTGTATGTGCGATGATGTGTATGAGCAATGTACAGAGATGATGTTTGTGTTGAGATACATGGGGCCAGCAAGGGGCGATGCGATTAGAGAACAGGCCAGTAGTATAGTGTTCATGATGGTCGATCAAACGAGAACGAGAACGATGCAGATGACCCCTGTAGGGTCTGGTCAATGGAGGGGAACCCGAAGTCAAGCCTTCCTTTTTGAAGAGGCTTCGATGTAGGTGGCGGCGATCCGAAGTGGAATCCGCCGTTGTCGTGCTCCGAGCGAGATTTTGCAAGGGAAAACAAGAGTGGCTCCGAAACATGCGATTCCGGACTGAGGATAACAGGGGACGAGAACGAGAACCCAGGTGGCGACGAAGGTGGGGTAGGAAGGGTGTCGGGCTCGGGCGAGCTTGAGGCGTCTGAGAAGGCAGGTTCCAGGGACGGTGCGCGCGACGGGGGCGAGGTAGGTGTAAAGGATGGCTCTCTTGAATACTTTTCGTTGAAAGTTGGGAACGTTGGCTCATTGGCGAGATGCCTTGAGGGAAGTGGTGCAACCTTGCGCCGTCGGCCTTTCAAAGGTGGCGGCGAGGTGGGTGACCACGCTGGCAATAGAGGAGAGGAATCTGTGGACGGTTGTGATGAAGACAGGGTGGATGGATGATCAAATACAGTCGCAAAGCCCTCCGATTCGTCGGATGCGACGGATATCGGGGGTAACATGCGCGTTATAGACGACGAGTCCAATACCACAGATGGTCTTGAGGACTGATCCTGCGAAGTGGATACTTCGGAGTGCCCGGACGTACGTCTTGATGGAAGGGGCATCATTGCGGGCTTCCCGAAGAGAGGATGAGCATTAGATGGCCGCGACACAGCTGACATGTCTGTTGTAGGAGATGAAGTAGAAGTTGCGTGGGGTGTGGAAGACACCGCCGATGTGATCGATGGCCCGTCCTTGGCGAGCGCAAGCGACAAAAATGATGACGGTGCAGGCGCACGAGGAGTAAGGGGGTAGAATACCGAGCTTGAAGAATGAGAAACATCTGTAGCAAATATCGACTTTGCATGCAGGGTCGACGATGGAAGCAAGTTCGGTTCGCTGGGTTTGAATTGGAACTCCGATGGCTGTGGCGTGGGAGTAGGTGCAGACAAAGGAGACGTCGCCTCTTTGATAGACCTTTTCGGCAAGGCAGCTAGCTTCCTGCGTCGTCCTTTTGTCGCCGGGGCTGGAGTGGAAGAGGCTGGTGGTGCAGGCATATTTAGACATATATCATGCATTGCATTAACAGAATCGGCTAGATCGACGACATGCGCAGAGTACCGTGTGCGAGACTCGGCGTAGTCGTGCGGCGACAGGATCGCGAGGGCAGAATGCTTGAGAATCTTGGGCGCTGGCAGCGAAGAAGAGTCATGTTCCTGCCAGTGTGCTTCGAAGACCAATGGAGTTTTTGTCGCGGAGACATGTGGCTGATAGAAAGTCAGCTATGGGGTGACAAAAAGTCAAGATCAACCAGTAATGCTCACTGGAGGTGTCTGAGACGGTGCCTTCCAAGATGGTTGAGAAGATACCTGAGACGTATCGTAATTAGAACGTTGATTGAGAAGTCGTAAGGTGGCACACCCAGTAAGACTTCGCACCGAAGAGTCACTGTTCCTTGCAGAGATAAGGGTCTGTTTATGTTGTATCATAAATCTAGACAATAGGTCTTCCGTCTGATATTAAGAGGACGTGAGGCAACACTCGGAAAACCGATGAGAGAAATTATGGCTCACTGGGCACGATGCTCGAGAATTGAGGCTCTTTACGAGCAGCCATTTCTGCACCATAAAAAGCGCCTCGTGTGCCCACGAGCTCTGTAGTGCCATATATCTCGAGATAAAGCCGTCTTTAAGACGAGACAAAATATCTGGTACTAAGGTTCCAGTGGCGACCGCTGCAATTTGAGCGCATGTATAATTTGTGCGATCGTACTGTTCTTCGTACAGGTCCTTCACGTCGTGGACGGCCCGAAGATAATTGAGCGAGAGGAGCTCTGCGATATCGTATCGTACGCCTAAGGAAATAAAATCTGGTGTGATGCTAAGTGGAGCCGGAAATTTCAAGGAAACCGAAAGCGTTAGGGAGGCCTGAGGATTAACAGTAGGAAACACGATAGTACAAGAGTGGGGAGATTTGGTAGCAAGTTGAAAGAGGCTGTCACTGTCAGCAGAGATAGAACGCCAGACAGTATCGATAGAATTTGTGTGCGGGGTCGACGCCATAGTCCATACGACGGCGGTAGCGGACAGCTGTGAACGGATAATACGAATATAGCATTGAGTATGTTCATCCGCGTGAGAAACAGCTTCCGCCGTTTCTTTGTCGCTCCGGCGCCGGTTCGGCATGATCAATTCAGGTTCCGCTCCTTTGTCCACTCGTATCTGACGACAAAGGCGCTTTGTACACCACCATTCCTCGCCCGCGAGCGAGCCCGCCATCTCACATCCATACCAGCGATGGTACAGCATAACCTTCATATGCGCCTGCAACAAGCGCAGAACAACATATTTTCTGCGATTGCTGGAGGCCCTTCATCTCTTCACCGCTTCCAGAAGGACTGGTTGCATCTCTCTACAGACTTCGAAGACGAATGTCGTCTGAACGGCGTGGACGAAGAGCTCAGCCAGTTAGCTCACTCCACAGCCTCTATCATTGCGACGCTATCCGGCAGTTTTCTTAGGCTTGACTCTGTTGAGAAGGAGCAACGAACACAACTACTATCTGCTATCGAAAGGAAGTCTCGTAACGTCAAGGAGGTGAGCAATTGAGTTTCTTCCACTTAAATCAATACCTGATGAGTATCACTGTAGCGGAGCAAGACGGATGGCGCCCTAGTTTGGTTTCTGGAGAATATACATGACCCTTATCCCTCAGATGCTACCTTGACGTCTTTATCCTCCGCGACATCTCGCTCTGTTGCTACCATAACCAAATCCTTCCTTGAGCTACGAAAACAAGTCGGATGGACTACCCTCATTCGTACTCATTTTGGTGGCTCTCGTCCTGCGGCAGTTGAAGCTGCACGTCGCGCATATCTCCACGTTGATTCTTCACACCCTCTCCCGGCGCGTGTTCAATCCGCATTCGACTCCATAAAGTCCAAGGCTGAAGCCCTCGTCTCACCAAAACCGACTCCTTATCCTAAGGTTGTGGCAAAGAGCAATGTCCCTTCTACCGCAGCATTCCCCAGCGTCCACGGCGAAGACGAAGACGAAGATACTACACCACCAGCTCCCATCGCCGGCCGTAAACGTCGTGTCGATGAAGCTACTGAAGCGGAGAACGCCTCGCCCTCCGTCTCTATTGATGGAAGAGCCTTGAAGAGATCAAGGTATGTTTTGAACATTCTATCTGCACGAGGCAATCACAGACCATTGTTTTTCCCAGGCTTGACCCTTCCAAGCCGTCGCCATTGAAGCCAGTGCTATTAGCCAAGATCAAATCAAAACCTAAAAAACGCTCTTTCAACTCACGCAGACCCGCGTTAAGTGTCGACGGGCATAAACCCCGAGTGTCATCACCTCTGGCCTCATCCTCCTCCATCACCCCACCCTCCACGTCCGGTGCTATCGGGCACAAGCCCAGAAACCCGTCACCTTTGGCCTCGTCTTCTACCACCCCGCCTGTCACGTCCGGTGTCAACGGACACAAGCCCAGAAAACCGTCACCTTTGGCTTCCTCTTCTATCACCCCGCCTGCCGCGTCCGGTGTCAACGAGCCCCGAAAACCATCACCTTCGGCCTCCTCTTCTATCACCCCGCCTGCCTCGTTCGGTGTCAACGGACACAAGCCCCGAAAACCGTCACCTTTGGCCTCCTGTTCCATCACTCCATCTTCCGCGTCCAGTGCCAACGGGCCCAAGCACCGAAAACCATCACCCTTGGCCTCTTCCACTACCCCACCCTCATCTGCTCCGGTCACCTCATTGCCTTCAATTCCTTCATCTCCTCCGTTGCCTCCACCACCTCCCATCAGTCGCAAGCGTCGTCCACCAGAGTCAGAGCATGACACATTGCCAGGGCACAAGCGGCCCCGATACCTGTCTAGTCCCTCTTGTCCTCAAGTGGCCCCCGAACCTCCTCCCTACCAGCATACATTTGCCGTACCGGAGCTCTTCCTTCCTAGCGATTGGTCCAACGGTCAGTTCACCTCTGTAGCAGCTCAGTGGCCTAGCGAGTCTATGCCACCCTCGTCGGCTTTCCAGTCGTTCGACTCTTTTATGCACTACCCTCCCGTTCCCACACAAGACACGATCGACACCAATCCACCCAGCTCCTTCCCATTATCGTCATCGATACCTTCGCCACCTCCCCCATCTTCTGCTGCGGCCCTGGACCACGAGCTGCAGACGGTATGCGAGTCCATTCTCGAGGTGTTTGGTACTCGGCCTCCTGAGCTTTCTGCGATGGATACTGGATCGGACGGAAGTGGGAGCGGAACGAGTAGTCCTCAGACGCCAAATAACGAGGTCTATGGGAGTGGGATGGGATGGAACCAGGGCGAAGTGTTTGCGAACATGGGCGGACTTGATGGGACGGGGGCAAAGGGCGAGCCACCTTGGATCACAGGGGGTTACCCTGGTATCCATGGATTTGATGCCTCTAACCTCGACTTCGACATGAATACCGTCCCGCAGTTCGACTTGGCCGCGTTCGCGCCACCTGCTCTACCATTCCCGTCAGATCTCCCCTTCTTCGAGCAATCCTTTGCAAGCCAGCCTGACGACGACGTTGCTACCAACGCGTTAATGGAGATGTTGATGATGCCGACCCAGCCGACATCCATGACTCCTTCTTGGGACCCCATTTCGATCGATCAGCTGCAGGACATGCAACTACAGGAGTGGTGCAGTCTCTTTACAGATTCCACCTAGTCCGTTGAGTCTATCATCCCTTTTCTTCGTTCTTCGATTTCTCCGTTCGTCTTGTTATACCTGTCTTTATTCATGGATCCCCAGCATACGACGTCGAAGGAGGTGTAAATCCACCTCTCCGTCTGTGTTGTCCGATCTTCATCTTACATCTTTTCTCACTTCCATCTTTCTATTCATGGAGCCCCAGCATACGACGTCGAAGGAGGTGTAAATCCGCCTCTCCGTCTGTGTTCTCCGGTCTTCATCTTCCTTTTTCATCTCATACTCCCATCTCGACGTCGAATGAGGCGTAAATCCACCTCACCGTCAGCATGGCCTATCTCTTTCTGTGCTCCTGCTTTACTCTCAACCACTTTCAATTCTACGCGCACCACTTGTCGTCCTGTATCCTCTAGTCCCGCATGTATTTTCGTGGTGCGCGCGTACCTCACACTGTCTGTCTTCCCGTTCACATCATTCATCTTTCCTCGGCATCATGTATCCCTCCCTCTCATGTATTTCTGCCGTGTCATCTCGTCGTCTTTCCGTCTTGCTTTGTGTTCGCTTTCGCTTTCTTCCTTTCGTCGTCGTGTTTTGCTCTCTTCCTTTGCCGCATCTTGCATCATCTTTCCGTCTTGCTTTGTGTTCGCTTTCGCTTTCTTGCTTTCGCCGTCGTATCTTGCTCTCTTACTTTGCCGCAACTTGCATCATCTTTCACCGTCCATTTTACTATACTCAGCATCATTTTTCAGCGCGGGCTCATAGTCCTGCAGTATCATCTCCCTCATCTAGACGCGATCGAACACCCATCAAGCTCCGATAACATCAAGACCCAAGATCTGCTACCCCTACAAGTCGAATTTCATGCGCGAACGCTTCCATCGACCCTCAAGACCAAGCTCCAAGTGCAACGTTCAAGAAAGCCAAGCCAAGTACATCCTCCGTCGTCCGAGTCGTCCTCCGTGAATTATACGTTGCGCTGTCCCCTTCCCTCAACGTCCAACAACACAATCGTCGAAGATACACATCACATCGCGCGAACCGTAGAACTGTGCGCAAGATTAGAGTCTGATGAGCCTGAGGGTGCGAATTTGAGGATGGCGTTAAGTTTTGGTGGAGGAAAGCACAACGATAAGTCTCTGCCCTCGTCTCGTCCAGATCATGATCGAGACCCACTCCCAGCATCCCGTCAATCGGTTAGAGCTCCAGCCCATCAGAGTGAAGACGCCACGAAGCTAGTACCCAGGTACATCAAGAGTCAGCCGCGGGTGACTGAAGAGATAGAGAGATAGATTGATGTAGAAGGCAGTCCGAGCGTGTTCTGAGCATGCATAGGACCGATACGGAACGGAGGCTAAGGTAATGTTACAGAGACTAGAAGACGTCTCTGAATATGTGAATCTCCATCCGGGGCCGGGCGAAGAAGAACCTAGAACAAGATTCGAGCGCTCAGGATTCGTTGACGAACGACCGAGAGGGGGAGCATGATGTGAAGCGTGAAACGCCTACGTCTTTCTGAGCATGTGCAAGAGCCTCTGCAGCAGGTAAAGGTCCCGCCAAGGCAGCCAGACGTTAATCGACAGCGAAGGTACGCCCATCAGTTCTCTACCTGGCGAGCGAAACAACAAAGATCTACAAGCAACTCAGCAAGGTTGATGAAGGGGCGACTGCAAGATGGAGACGAAGCACAGGACACGTCCTTTCAGATGGAGAGCCACAAAGACAGAGGGTAAGCTCGAGGTAAGCGACAGCAAAGGTACGTTCTTGAGCTCAATTTTTCTTGTACGGTCCATGGTGAGGGAGTCTGTCGTTCGATGGAGCGTCCATAATGCGGTAGTGGATCTGAGAAGGAGTCGAAGTAACTACACGCACGGAAGATAGCATTGATCATGGCGGTATGGACTCAGGAAATATAGCGAGGGTATCGCTGATATCCCTAAGGTCGAGTGAGCAGACTTGAGCGCGGCGCGACATTCACGGAGTTCCCAATACGTAGGATATATACGCACTATCTACAAGACATCACGTCGAGTTCCCGACACTCCCATCAAAGGTGAGCACTCACAGGATTTCTATTGTTCCTGTGCAAGACGCAGGGCGGCATAGAAACATGAAAGGCAGGTGAGTGATACTTTGATTTCGAGTATGATCGTCACTTGCCCGGTCTACTCTCACGAGTGACATTCTCACTCTCCCTAAAGTATGTACCGTTCGCGCCACCACCTCCTCGTCATTCCTAGATAGTTCATTTGACCATAATAAATTTATGATCTTCCTCGATCATCATTATGGCCTCCCCTGTATCTACATGTGTGTGCTCGAGCAATGAACTTGACGAAGAAAAGTCATCTCCAGGAGGTGCCCAGCTCTTCAACGTCGTCCGACTGGAGCACACAACCAATAGCCTAGTTGTAAGCACAAAGAGCTCTGGTCCTCCTGGTACATGGGGGTTTCTATCCCACGCACTGCGACCGAGCGTTGGCGTTGAAAAGTAAGCAAGACGACCAAGGATGATTGATTCCAAGCTGTATGTTCTCGAATGTCATACGACGGCTGCGCTCAAGCACGACTACACGACGGGGCAAGATACTGGTATCCGCGAGGGAAGCTACGAAGACGGTGCGTGTAAGGAGGCGAATGAGTGTTTGTCTGATGGGGAAGCCGTCTCCTATGAAATGCAGCCGTTGATGACCATGATCATTATAAAACATCACGCCCAGGTATCGGTCCACAATAACTCTGAAACAATGGGACAAGGCCACACAGCGCCCGGCCAGAGTTTCCAGCATCAGGTCAGAGGAGAAATGAGGAGGAATTTGCCGATCCACGGCAGATTATTCGTGCAAAGAACGCACCTAGAGCGATGAATACGGCGAGCCTAGCAGACATACGGAGGTCTGGTACTGTAAAAGACGTGTTCTCTGTCTACCGGGACGTGTTCCATTTAGTGGCCAATAAATGGGACCTTGTTCGGGCGTACACCTCCGTAAAAGACCCGCATCTTGTGGAGTACCTCGATCGCGTCAAGGGGGCTGTAGAGGATTTGCTTCAGAAGGTCGCTTTCCTCGAGAGTAGCCGCCTGACGCCTTAGATGAAGCGAAATGGTTCCCCGACGATAAAGAAACTGGTGGATGACAGAGGCATGACTACTCGTGGGCTGACGTACATCGAAGCAATGCTTCGACCGGCAAGATAAAGGTATGTCGTTCAAACATCGGAAAGTGAGAGCAGGGTGCTAAGCAAAGGACTGTCACTACATACCGTAGAATCTCGAAGAAGCCCACACTAGCGGTAATGCTGAAGACGCTGTGCGTTCCAGCGCCTACAAGATCCTGTAACAGCATGTGCTTCTCAGCGTCCCTGTCAGCTTCTTGCTGGGTGTCCGTAGCGGGAGGCGTACGCGCAGACAGTAACGGGAGGTAGGAAGGGCGAGGAAGAGAGATGTTTGGTATGGGTCTTTCTGACCATGCCCTTGTAGAGGATTTTGGTTTGTGCTCACCACGGAGGTTATCCCTCGCTGACGGATGAGATAAGTGGAAGTTCAACTTGGGCGGAGCGAGACGTGATACCAGTGGTCAGAGCTGGAGGGAACTGTATATCAACGAGTAGGTACGAGAATCCCAGGTGACAAGCGAGATCGCAGCCCCAGCCTCGCTAGCGCTGCAGAGTTTCGAAGAACGGTGGAAGAGGGCAAAAGACGATGACAGGGTCGTCGTCTCTCGAGGTCGTCTTGTCAGGTCTTCGGCTAACCTCGTCTTGGTCTTGTCCTAGGCGGCGGCATCGGCCGGCCTCGTCCCTCGATGTGGCGCGCCGCGTTCTTGTCAACTCGGGCTCTCAGATCAAGTTGACTCACGGCGTTCGCATGCACTTCCCTAAAGCTAAGCATTTCATACTCATGGACAGCGTCGCGTTGAAAGGGCCTTCCTTAGACGTCTTCTTGATATCTGGCACAAACGGTGGCTCGCTCTCTTCACACGTCTGCGCCACAAACCAAGATGACGACTTCAACCACCATCGATTGTCACCAATCATCTCTTCTTGCCCTTATGTATTAGCATTATCTCTGTGTTGTATAAGGTGACTAAATGTTTAGCAGGCTACAGGAATAAGCCCTTGAGTGTTTCCGTCGAACTTTCATTACCCTGGTTCCGTCGCTACTCTTCCACTTCTAGTCGTTTAGTTACAAAGTGTTAGCCTATCAAATATCGCAGCCAGGAGAACTGATGTAGCTACTGATGGCCACAGCCTCGCCCACACATGCGACTTACCGGTTTTCTGGCTGAGACCGAGGAATATCAGAACAAGGGAAACATAAAACACGTACAGTTGCTGGATCCTAAACTGTGGCTTCATCCAATGGCCATGTTCCGCATTGACGGCGAAGAACACGCTCGATTAAGTTCCCCGCATCGTGGGACACAGACACCTGCGAATAAATGAATCAGGGCGTCTTCAGTAAGGCTGTGTAAAACTCGCGACCACAAGAGGTGACGGCGAGGGATGCTCGTAAAACTACGTACACTGGAGCACGAATATTGCATAAATGGACCTTGGAAGGTCGCTGCGTCAGTATCGTGGCGTGGAAACCGAGAAAAACCATCTGGCCACATATAGAACGTGCCTGTATATGACGAGAGCTCTGTCCATAGCACCATGCAGTCCAGCGTCTATAAGCTACTGCAACAGCCTGAGACTATTCCAGTAATATCCGTCGAAGAGGGCTCAGGTAATGTCCGTTCTAGATGATAGTTGAGAACGAGTCAGCGACAGTGGGGGATAGAGTAATAGAGGGCAGAAACATCATCAACTGTTTGTTTGCATATACCGATTAAGACAAAGGTCTCGTCTCCGGAGTGCTCGCGATGGAGGAACTTGGTCTAAAGCGGTTTGATACGCTTGAGCCTCGAATGTCGAGAACGGCATACATCGTCTAGACTCTCGGGCGGTGTGAGGTTCATCAGAGATATCGTAGAATAGTTTGCGGGAGCGGATAATAACGATCCATGGGCTATGAAGAGGAGATTTTCCGGTTCCCGCCATTCCTGGAGGGTAGACCGAGCGAGTAGTCCATAGGATGTAAGTCGGAATTGCCGGGGAATGTCAGCGAGAAGATACGTCATCCTGGTATACTTATGCACAATCCGTGATGACTAGAGGCTATTGTTAAACGTGGCGTCGTCGCGAGACTCGAGGAAGCACTTTCAGTACCGTCAGAACCTTATAGTCCGCTCCCTGCAGAATTTGCCAGTGGAACGTCCGCAGAGAAGAAGGACCTGACCTAGCGAGACTCGAAGACGGAAGGTGAGAGTAGAAGGTGACCACTGCGACAGGAACAGGATTTTTATACGAACCGACAGGCCCCGGGCGAAAATATTGCTGTGTATTGTCACTCAAGAAGGCCTGACCTCACGACTTAAAAGTGTGATGTGAACTCACCAACCCACGAAACGCAGTTGTACGACGATGAAATGAGATAGGGTGCTGGAATTGCGGAAGAGACGGCCTCCTATATTCAATCATTCTTGCGGAAACGGATAGGGGTCACTCACAGAGCTCTTGTAGGTATCGTAAACAACAGGAAGTCTCCGGCCGGCAGAAATCTTGCAGAAACGAGAAGTCTTTGGTGACAATAGTTGATACATTGAACTACTCAACTTGATTGTCGTTGTGCTTGGCCAGAGTTGAACATCAATGTAGTATCCGATCAAGAAAGTGTTTGGCTTGAGTATGCGGTACGCCGAACGAAATATGGGCCGTTGAGGTTTCGAGTGTCTTGAAGAACTTGAAGTGGAAGGATGATGGCCGGGATGTGATGGTCGGATTCTGTGGGATACTAGGAGAAAGTCAACACAGAAGGATAATGCGCGAATACAGGATGACAACGGCGAATACAGGAGGACAACCGCTAATACAGGAGGACAACCGCTGATACATGAAGACAACCGCGAATACATGAAGACAATCGCGAATACAGGAGGACAGTCGCGGATACAGGAGTTTGAGCGGATACAAAGCGAGCGGCACGACAGGACGAGAGCAATGAAAAGCGATGAGGGGAAAATTGACGAGTGAAACACAAGAGGACAAGGGTCAAAACGAGATGGAAGCGGTTGCAGACAAAAAGCAAGAAGAGACGTTGAAACAGGAAAGAGAAAACCACAGCAGACAGGAGACGGGATTACAGATGTAAAGGATGGATGGAATGGGAAGCCATTAGCTATGTATGAGGATAACATGAGAGGCGCGACAACGATGAGTAAAAAAATGATACAGATGATTGAGGATGGTCTAAGATGATGCGTGAACATGGTATAAAGCGAGCGGAAAACAAGAGGGAAATCAGGATGATACAAGATGATACAAGATGATACCAGATGATACAAGACGGTCCAAGACGATACAAGGGATGAGATCAGGGGCTGACCATATATACGAATAACTTATGGCGGAGATGTGGTGTAGCGATGGTTAGGTGGCGAGGTGAGAAACCTGAACGACAATGACGACGAGCAGCAAGTCGAATGTAATAGGAATGATGGTCGGTGGGAATGATGATCATAACGGAGTCGCTGATAATTTAGAGTCCGTGAGCGAAGTGATGGGGGGATGAGTGTCAGAGTCCTGCGGCAGGGCACTGAGGGCCTTGGTGCCAACGATGATTTGCGACTGGGGGGTTGCAGTTCCTGATGCAGGAACATTCTGTAGCATCAGCAGGCGTAGTCGTCGGAGATGCATTGTGTATATGGTCCAAGCATATGGCTGCCCTCGAGGTCAGTGGTTGCCCATGGTAGGAGACGCCACCTTCGGTGGTTCTAGAAACAACCATTCGGAATGGGTCGATTTCCGCCGTGGAGCCTGGAGGAGCTGAATCAGAGAGCTGGAGACCCAACATAGAAGCTTCCGGTCTACTTCAGAATAAAGCGTCGCTTGCACCGTCTATCCAAACTCGTCTGTGGAACCGACTACGCGATCTACACCCTTCCCCTTCTGCTTGCCATAACTGACAACTGCTTCATCAGGATGGAAAAGGTCGCCTGCAATCCCTTGCAAGTCTAATCCTGTCGCTCGCCCGCCTTTGGCATGTCGCATACTGCCAAACATGTCGGGGGAGGGCGGCGCTTCATATATGGATGGATGGTACATCCATGCTTGCGAGGGAGAGCATGCAAGATTTGAATCAGGATGGCGCACCGACGTGAGCAATGATTGAGAGGGGCTGGAAGGCGGGGTCAAGAGCCTGGATGACGATGAGGACGACGAGAAGATTGAAGACGATCGGGAGGACGATGACGAGCGAGAATCGTCGGAGAATTCAGTGGCCGTGAGCGAAGGGGTGCGTTTAAAGAGCGTGTTCGATGCGCGATCGGGTGGACCGGAAGACGGAAGCAAACCGGTATACGGCTGCGCGCCTGGAGGCGAAGGTGAACTGGAGAACGGAGGTAAAATTGGAGACGGATGCAAATTGGAAATCGGAGGTATCTGCGCGGATGGGGCAGATCGCCGTTTCGGCAAAGGTGCAACCTTTCGTGTGCGGGGTGGCGTCTTAGGCTCTGATGCAGACGAAGGACTCGATGATGGATGTGTTGAGAACTTCGTGGGCATCGGTGAGTGTATGCTTTCCAGGGATACAGCCGCCTTAGAACTCGGTTGTTGGGTGTCCGTGGTAGGAGGCGACACAACCTTTGACGGCCCTCGAGAAAGTCGTTTAGGAATGGGTGCAATTTTGCGAGGCTTCCTCGGCGAAGACGTAACTGGAGGCTGGGATTGACTCGAAGACTCAGCCACGGAGCCAGTGCAGGATGACGGGGTCCTTTCCAGAGGCTTTGCAGGAGAAGGTGGAGAGTAGTGTCGAGGCACTGCCGACAGCAAGGATGGAGATGATACGTCTTCGTGTTTGGCCGGAGAGGGTTCGAAAGGTTTCGTGTCAACCGGAAAGGATAGAGGCTCAGGCGTTTTGAGCGGAAACAGGGACAACGGAAAGCTAATGGGCGGTAAAAGCTCTTCCTTCTTTACAGTAACCACGTGTGGGGGTGATTTATCTCCAGAGACTCCGTCGCTCTGAATATGTGTGTTCGCGATGCTTTGCGATAGCATATCAATATCTGAAGGCGTCGGCGACGTCGACACTTTGCGCAGACCACGACAGAGCACTGGTATGGCGAAGTCACGTTTCTGGGAAGTCAGAACTTGCCGGCGTACTTCTGCTTCTTCTGTAATGTAAGCCGCAGGGAAAGCGTATGGAGGGAGACGAGATGAAAAGGGATCCCGGATAATGGAGAGCGGCGAACGCTACAGAGGTGGACATCATTTGTTCAGTGTGCGGATCCAGACACTGAAAGAACCCTATGACCATACATATCGTGTGCCGGGGCTAGGTTTGCGCAACTTCGGCGAAAGAGTTCGGGCACGATGGGAGGCAGGCGAGGGGGAAGATTGAGATGGTGTGGCGTCTCGGACAGGAGTAAGGTTTTTGAATAGAGAGTTAAAACATAGTTTCCCCTGAGCATCAGTTGCAGCCAGAATGCTCTGGAGGATCGAAGCCATCAGAACTCCACAAATTTCTCGGATGACGGTCGTACACACCGTAAAAGAATGCGGTCGTGAGGTTGTCCAGGATAGAAACCCTTGCTGATGAAGGTTTTGGCGCGGAGGGAGGGGGGTTGGGTTCGTCTGTAGAGGAATATTAAGTTGAAGACTCATACTACTCATAGTCAGTGAATATACCTTCGGGCTCACTGCACCAGCAAGTGGTCGCTTCAGTGTCGCGACCATCAGACGCTCGCGCGTCATCGACAGCCCTTTCTGCGCCCACTGCGTCACAGTATCTGAGAAATGGGTCTCGTAAAAGACGCGTATATGTGATAGATGTTCTGGTACAGTGCAGCCATTTTGTATCGTCGCGTCGATGCACGCCCGAATGACGCGAGTACATCGGGCTTCAACCTCAACCTTCAAGCGACCTGCGGCCCATAGATAAGACCGTGAAAGGCTTTCCGCGACCGACGATTTGATTCCGAGAGCAATGAGATCGGGTGCGAGGGGCTCTGGAAGCTGTACGATAGCAGAAGGGAGAGCGCGTAAAGTAGCCGTCGACGGTATGCCATCAGAGTGCAGCGGGATATGGCCCAGCAGACTATTGATTGAATGCGCTATTGAGGCGAATGACTGTAGAAGCTCGTCATGCTGCATAGGGCGATTTGTAGGTAGAGGCATCCCTAGCTAAAATGGAGGCTAGATGAGGCGACCAAGTGGCATACTCAAATGACAAGTTCGGTGGCGCGGCTGCAGAAGAAGGATGAGAGCGAAACGGGTGGCCGAACTTTTGTTCATCGGCAACTCGCTCCCCACGTGCAACGAGGCTGACCCCACACGTTTTCCAAATCAGGCCGTATTTCTGCACACATTCCTGGCTCTCGTCGATGCTCTGCTATGGACGAATCTCTCAAACGAGAGTTGGACGACGCAGAGCCCAACTTTCTCCAGACTCTCCAAGCTGGCCCCACCGCATGGAAAACTTTTGCTTCCAGCTGGTCCCGGATTCAGTACAAACTCGAGCAAAGTGCCCAATTACGCACATTGCATACCGACACGATGTCCCTTGCCAAAGTGGTCTCAGCGCGAATTGGCATCCTCGCCGACACCTTCCTCACTGTCTACTCCGATTCCAACAAACTCACCACCGAATTCATGGGGGATGTGGACCAAACCCTCAATCAGTTCGGCATGACCTCCGACAGCACTGTGCCATCATTCGAATTTACATCGACAGAGCTTGCTCATGTGCACAGTCAGAAAGACACGGAGGACGTGAGGACGCCCTCGCCACCATTCCAGGTCTTTGACTATGAGGAAGACACTACACCACCCCCACCTATTTCTGGCGTTAAACGCCGCGCGTCGTCCTTGGACGCGTTATCCACCGATTCTCGCGACGATGTCGCACAACGACCTCATAAACGCGTCCGGTAAGGCTAATGTACATCATATCAGAGGTCAAGTCTCACTCATTGTTCTCGATTAGCACAAGTGTAACCGCCCCACCGACTCTGCCCGCAAATAACTGTTATGCAGTCCAGACTCCCATCCTCTCGCGCACATCACCATCATCTGCAGCGCGCGTTGCGAGCCCACCCGCCCCGTCATCACCTCCGTCACCACCGTCACCACCCTCTCCCCCGACCCCAACCCCAACCCAAAACACCTCTCTTCCATCCACATCACCGACGTTATCTTCGTCCCGGAAACGACGCCTATCTAATGCAGAAGACGAACGCGACACAAAGCGCCCTCGAGGTGTATCTAGTGAAAGACCTCCGTACACGGTCGCCGATCCTATACCTTTAGACCAAGCCGCTCACGCTCTCGAGTCCTATATCTTCGGAGACCTCTTTTCTGCTCCCTCAGTATCGATGGATCAGATAGACAATTCTGCTCCTTTGGATATCAGTCTATTCGATTGGAATGCGTTTAACGCCGCGTACGCGGAACCTGTCCACTCTCAATCCATGCCTTGTAAGTCTCTTGCTTCGATGTACTCTTCTGCTCGACTCACAGGATATCTAGTCCTTGCTGCATGGCCTCAACTGGAAGTCGAGGAAAAGGCCCTCCAGGGTGTGAATATTATCAACCCTGATACCTCTTCTCTACCCCCTTTCCCCGACGCTGGTTTCCTTGGGTCGCCATCAAGTCATTTTCCCGACTTTCCCTCCTACACATCATCTTATTCACCGCCATCTGATGCCGGTTCACCGGACTCCCAGAGCTCACAATCCTCTATCGACTGGAGCCTGCTCAACACCAACTGGAGCCAACCCAGTATGGGCTGGAGCGAGCTTTCCGACTACCTATCTTCCCCGAAGTCATCCCCACAATCATCGCCCGCCAGTCTTGGAACTCTTCCTTCGTTTGACTCGTTATGCGATGCATTCACGTCGCCAGGGAAGCTCACCGATACGCCTGCGCCGACATTCGATTTTCTAGAACAAGTTTCCGGAGAGTCGTGTCAATTCAGTGGTGACATCGGTATCGAGCCATCCAGCCTGTGGTCAACGCTCTCCTCATTCTGGGGTTGAGCCTCGTCAAGGTCCCATTCCAATACTGGTGAACTCATTGTTCCTATATGGGATACCGTTGAAGCTTGCTTGCAGATCAGCCTGCACAGCTTTGCGCCTCCATGTCCAGCCCGCGCTCGGCCATGCTCCGTGGCCTTATCGCTCCATCGACAATCCCAACGAAGGTCTATCCGAAGGGCCCTTCACAACCACGTCGGTCGTTGCCCTTTCGTGACACATCAAGGCCATAGCGTCTTTCGGAACAATGCATGTCGCGTCCCCGATGTCGTCGACTTACAGCATGCGAGCTCCCGAATCGCTATTATGATGCCTACCGAAGTCTTGCCACAGCAGAGTTTTATGGCGAGACTTCGGACGACTTCTTCATCATTCAGAAGGTGAGCTCCTTTTGTTCGACGAATACGATAGTTATCTAACTTAAAGTTCTCTCTAGATCCTCCTGTGTTTCCTCGGTTCGTTTGCATCCAACCGGTCTTGCCTCCCCCGGTATTTCCCTGTCTCCTCGCTTTCTTCTTCCTTCTGTGTTTTGTTCTTCCTCCTATATCACGTTTTCCGCCCTGTATCACGTTCTCCCCCTTCATCACATACTCTACTCTATTCGCTGTATTCCCGTACTGTATTATGTTCTTCTTGCTGCTCTCTTCTTCCCCTGCTATATCTCGCCCACACCTGTATCGCCTACCACAGGCACTGCCGCATATATTTCTATCGTGATGCGTATCCTTTCCTTTTTTTATTAGCCTCAGTCTCTGTACTCTGTTCCTTTCATTTTTATCGCTCACACCTGTAACGCCTACCTCTGGCACCCCCGCATGTATTTCTACTGTGATGCGTTTTACCTTTGATTTTTGCGCCTCGATTTCTGCTCTCTATTCTCCTCTGTCTCTCTCTCGCTCACACCTGTATCGCCTTCCGCTGGCGCCCCCCGCATGTATTTCTATTGTGACGCGTGTTTCTCCTATTCTTTGGTTCGACTCGATTGTTTATTCATATCTATTTCGCACTGTACTCTCCATCACTTCCTCGCTTCGCTCTGTATCCTTGCATTGTTCTGTACCCTTACTTCTCGCTGTATCGTTACTCTCCTCCTCGTTTGTAGTACTTATCTGGCGTCCCACTCTCCTCCAGTTCTCAAACAAGACTCCTGCACGACGTCCGGCTCACATCCGCCGCGTCATCCGCTCATCTCCATCGTTTGCTCCTCAAGCTCAAGGTCCCAAGCTCCATCTTCAAGCTCAAGCTCCCAATCTCAACACTCAAGCATCGCTGGAAAGTCTCCCTCGCCCTTCAAGCTTCAACTTTCGCATGTCCGCCTCAATACTTCAAGATTCTTGGTTCGGGTCTCGAAGTCGATGGATGGTTTCTACATGAGTTCCCTCTCGGTTTTGTTTTGATGCTACAGTGAGATATACTGACGAGTTAGGCCAGAAGTACAACATCTAACTCTAAGCGGTTGAACTCGAGCACCCCCTCTACTCCCTCTCACCACCTCTCACCACGCGGCAGAATAATAAGGATATCGACAGGGAATCCAGCAAAGCAGAGCGATTGCATGAGATGAGGTGGCATGTGCATGAGCAGTCGTGAGTGGAAACGAGCATAGCAGGTGCAAACAGAATCCATTCGACCATGCAAAAAGAAGAATAGTAATGTATCAGAGACCAGACAAGGTCCATCAAAACTCAATGTCTCCCAGGCTGCCCAACCTCGTCCTCTATCCTCCACCTGCCCACCTCCTTCATCGCCTCCGCATCTCCTCTCGACAACTCCGGCGCACTCAACAACGAACCGATCATCGACCACGGATCCTCGCCACCCCCGAACCTCAACACATCCTGCTTATACCTCTCTCCCATCTCCCGATTGAGCGGATCCTTCGAGAAGAGTTTCTTCCAGACTCTGGACGCGATGGCTCGGTCGAAGATATAAGAGTAGTAAGTCGCTCCATATCCGAACAGATGACCGAACTGTGTCTGCCATGACGTGCCCTCGACGAACGGGATCAGACCTTTCCGCAGATACAGATCCGCGAAACTCTTCGTCGAGTCAAAATTGGGGTCCAGAGCGGCGGGGGAATGGTAGATCTGATCGAGCGCGGCGAGCAGGATTTGGCTGTGGGTATCGATGTTGTGGCAAGGGTCTTCGTGGTGGTTGCCCACTTTGCGTGCGAGGGAGGAGTTGGTGGATTCGAAGAGGGAGAGGACGGTAGGCGAGTTGAGGAAGTGTTCCATGAGGATGGAGGGGAGCTCGACGAAGTCGGTGGCACAGCGGGTACCGGAGACGTTCTGGTATTCTGTCCGACCGATCATAGCTGCAAGAAATAAACAGGTAAGTCCGACGAAGGTAAGCACATGAAAATAGCAGGTACGAACAATGCATAGCGTGCCCCATTTCATGGAACAAAGTGATTACCTCATGCCATTCGAGCACAGCAGGTCCCCGTGATATTGATGGTCGTCCGAATTCGGTCAACAATACGACGACAGGAAGCTGGAAGACACCATCCGACATCTGCCGACGGTGACCAGCCTCGAATTCCTCCGATATGTTGACCAGTCCGTGGCCACCTTCCGGTGGTTCGAGGTCGCCGGCTACGGGATCGTCGTCTGTCCGCCGCGAACACCGAACGGTATAATGTGCTGCTCCACTTGACTTCCCTCTTCGTGCGAACAGGTCAGTGTAGATCCAACCCAGCAGCCCATCCTTCTCGTCCACTACCTCCAACTTTCGTACATCCGAGTGCCACACCTCTCCCGTGGCGACTTCTGCTGGTCGAAGCGAAATCCCGTATAAGCTCTTGAACAGTCGCGAAAGCGCACGGAAAACGGCCCCAAGTGATAATGGTGGTAAGGCGACAGGCGGTGCTGGAGGTTCTGGTGGACAATAGTAATCCCGATCCCATGCTTGGATAATCGGCATAGGTCCCGTATTCAGGTGAGTCTGTTTCCGTTCGCTGAGTGTACGAAGTGCTCTCCGCGCGTGTGGTCGTGTTTGGTCTAGGAGCGAGTCCAAGAACTGGTGTACATTTTCTGTATATAATAGAAATTGAATATATTAGCATTTGCTCTCACTCAAATTACCTGACGTTAATATGTGAAAGAGAGAGGGATGCGCACCCGGAGATTTTGCCATCTTGTCCCCCAAAGCCATATGCGCAAAACTGTCCGAACCAACCAGCGTGGCAAGCTGAGCCCGCGCTCGCAGAAGGGCCTCCAATATGTCCACTTGCTCCGGTGTGCTCGAATTAGCAGCAAGGTATACTTTCCGCCGTGGCTCTTCCAGAGGGGCGGAGCGCATAATCATATGAGCTTGTAGTGAGCCGGGATACACGAGCAAATCGCGCTGCGTGAAGCGTGACTGTTGCTGTAATCTCGACCCCAACCCGTAATCCTTCAACCCGTTGAGCTCCGAAGACTTTATGGACGCAGGCGGTCGAGCACTAGATGCCTCGCCAAGGAACTGCCGACCAAGGACTAGGATCTCCGAAGATAATGACACGAAGCGGTCTCGCTGTGCTGGTGGTAAATTGATCCCCGACTTTTCGAAATCACGCCAGAATATGAGGGCTGTCTGGTACGCTTCCCGACTGAGCGTCCTTGTGATGGAAGGGTCATTCATGACAACCTTGAGAGACTGTGCTCTCCACGAAAAAGAAACCAGATTAGATCCAGTCCTATATGGGGTATTTAGAAGTACTGAATAGAGACGTACCTCATATAGACCAACATGGGTGTTCAACACATTCATGACCTCACACACCTGCTCATACGCCTCGTTCGCCGTCTCTACCCAGTGAGGATCTGGATGTGCGTTCCGTACGAGTTCTGCGAGGTCGATGACGGAGCATAACATGTCGCTGAGACGATCCAGGTTCTTGACCACCGCGAGGAGCTCATCTCTTGACTCTCGTGCACGTACTATTCGTTCAGTAAGGAGATGGGCACGTAGCAGTGTAGCTTGTGCTAGTTGGTGAAATGCAGCTGGTGAGGATAGTGAAGGTTGACCGAATAGACCTGATGAGGGCGATGCTAAGGAAAACCTCTTCGTAAACGATGGCGGTTGGTCGAAGAAGAACGCGAGGTCGTGGTCTTCAGAGGACGTGGATGCTGCCGATGCGAGATGTCGATGACCGATATTCGTGACCCGGCGACACCGCGTGGCACGTCGGAGCGTGCGCGAGAGCGACTTGCTCGCATTCCGAGCGAGCATCAATACCGACGACGACGATGAGGGGAAGGAAAGAAAGACGGAGGACGGGGCCCGAGCCAGAGCGTTTCGCCTCTAGCGAAATCTTTGGAATCGGGCGCTTCCTGACGCCACAGTCACGAACAGATCTGGAATGCAAATTCGCTAAGGTTGATCCACTCGGCCGTTGCCGCAACCAATCTAAGTACGCAAACAACCTGTCTTCCATTCGCTGGCCACGTCGTCCACATAGTTTGCAACGTTCTAAGCCCGATAACAGCGTCGACGGCAACAGTGAATATCGGGATAAGTTATCATCTTCTCATCTTGAGTATAAGTACAGAAGAGACGTTCAACTTGACCGGGAAGCGAATATAACGGAGAGCTTTGGGCGATTGAGATCCAGAAAAGAAGGGGCGAATGTCAGGCGGTGTAAAGTGAAGGCAGATATAGAGATCGCAGGCAAGAAATCAAGAGCACGGTTGGATGTGAGAAAGGAGTGGATAAACAGACAAGGTATATACATAAAGCTCGCTGGATGAAGTTATTCCTCCATGCTCGGGGCAGGCGACAAGCTACCATCCAAAACGTGTCGGCTGGTGCGGCGTGTACCGTTTCTGCCCTTCCCACCCCCATTCCTGTGCCCATTGGACGGCTCCTGGTCGACATCCATCGCGTCGGACTGTACAGACTGGTGGCCTGATGGCGGGGCGATAGGTTCGACGGCATAGAACCAGAACTTGCTTTTCTTCCGTCCTGCCAGTTGCTCCACTGCCGTCTCCGTGGGCTTGACTGCAGCGGCTCCCGTCGCCGTAAATTTCGGAGCTGATGGCTCACGCGACCCGTTGCGCGCCGCCGAATCGTTGACAGACGGCGCGCTAGCGGTGCTTTCCTCCGTCCGCGCACGCTTTACTGGTAGTTCGTCCATCTGTGTCTCCGGGGGTGCTCCCAGACGAGAAGATCGCCGTTCTCCTTTCCACGCCATCCACTCATCACCTCCTCCTGATCGCCTACCGCTGCTGGAGGCAGCCGCTGAGCCCGCGTTGGTACGTGTGGACCGCCGCTTGCCCGCTGCTTGGGCACTCGTCGAGGCAGAGGGTGTGTCCGAGTGATTACCGAAATCGGCGTCCTCCATCGGCTCCTCATCGTACGGTTCCTCCTCCTGCTGGTACATGTCTTCATCCGCGTCGTCCTAACAAGCAGCATGTTAGCCAATAGCAGAGACAGGGCGAAGGGCCGACAATCGCAAGCCAAACTTGCCTCTTCCGGATCCTCGTCATAGACGTAATCTGGTCGTCGTGTCTGTCGTCGTGTACGAGTTTGCCGAAGTTCGGCTTGAGCCATAAGCATGTTTCGCTGTTCAGCTTTCTTTCGTTGTTTCTGAATCCTCTACAAACAGATCACCGTCAGCGAAAACCCCATAACAAAAGCCTACTAAAACCAGTTGTGGGCCACACCGCGGGCAAAACGCATTTCCCGAACATGGTCACATCGAGAAGGCAGAAAAAAATTGCTCACTAAGGTTTCATTGTCAATGACCTCCAGACGATCTTCGAGAGCTTTCATCAAGAGAACATGATGAGTATCGGACTTCGACAATTTCTTCGACTTGTCGTCTATATCGGCCGGCGCAGATGCCCTGATTTTCTCCAAAAGCGCGACATAGTCCTCACGGGTGTTAGAAACGGCGTTGATAGTGGCCGTGATCTTCCAAGGGTTTGTCGAAACGTAAACGCGTGGTGAAGCTAGATTGAGTAACGGATTTGAGATTGTGGCGCAAGAACCACGACGGCGGACGCCGCCCCAACAGAAAAGTCAGCATATTGGAGCAACGCACAAACACGCGCAAATACGCGGACGACGAGCACGGGCAGCGTACTGACCATCAACGACCCAGTACCGCTTGCGTGCGTTGTCTTGGCCGATAGGGACAAATTGCAAGCTTTCCATGCTGTTGGGGTCGCTGGGATCGAGAGGCGGAGGGTCGGGCACCTCCTTTTTCCTGTGTTTGTTGTGTACAATGCCCCAGGCGTTATCTATCGTCTTCCTTATCTCAGGACCATGGCTCAGTTGAAGCTCTACGAGTTGACGAAGAATTTTGAGCTGAAAAGAGTAAAAGGAATGTGGCGGAGAAATAAGATGAGCAAAACATTCAAGCTCTAAGAGATGGGGTTGTACGCACCTTCATATCCCAATCAGCGTTGAAAAGCCCCTGCTCCATCGTCCGAAATGGGTTGATATTTTTCTTCTGCTCGTCGTCCCAGAAGACCGAGCGTTCAGTGGTCTTCATATAGTCCGAAAACACCGCAGAGACCGTATCGGAGAGCTGGTCCGTGCTGAAGAGCGACAACGCGGTCCATGCCTGTTCAGATCACTCAGAGAAAGCCCAAGGATATCCCCTCACCTAATATTACGCGTCTGTGGTCTGAGATTGAGAATGAAACGCGTAACGACTTGGACCATTATAGGATGCGGCCCTTGCGCGAGCAACGCCTCCTCGAAACTAGAAACGAAAGCGATTGGACCAGATGAGACCTCGTGTACGCGGAGAGGGTTTGGGCACGTACTCCATAGGTGACTCTAGCCCTTCGACCTTGGTACGAAGCTGGGTGAACTTGCATATGAAAGAATAGACAAAGAGCGTCTCCCAGCGATCGCGCGGGTGTGTTGCGTCTGAAGGTGGACATACGTGACCCTTTCTCTCGGTAGAGGTGTCTACCACCGGCGTCGCTTTCTTCATGATGGAATGAAGAGAGTTGGACGACGAGAGATGCGGTGAGAGAGGAGGCCTATAACCGGTTGGAGATGAAGAGACGATCGTAGTTGCGGCGCCGTACTATCTCGTCATCCATTTTGAGAAGCCAAACAAATAATCCACAATCGAGAACCGCAAGGCACGCGGTACACTTCCGCCACTTCTTTCCCTTGATTTTTCCCTAGCCAGTCGAACAGCAATATCCAGAGAACTACTTTCATTGGAGAGGAGTAGGGTAGAGCCACACAAAAACACACGGTACACAACATAACTATCCTCCCAACTGAACGGTAACATGGGTGCGAACGCATACGGCAAATATCCTCCACAAGGAGGTACTGTTCGTCTTATCCTGGCCCAACCTGAGAACGTATAACAGTGAGGATGACGGTCCACATAGAAGAAGGACGAATGGACTGACCTTGGGGATATCGTGGTGCTCGCTGAGGGTCTCCAACTTGGCATTGAACTCATGCACACGATCCTTGTGTGTCGTATTCGCGAGTTTCTTCACTCTTTCGTTGAGCTGGTAACAGAGGTCAGATAGGAGGCACATTGATGGTGTACGTGCGCCACACACCCTCTTCCTCTGTACTGCTTCAAATCTCTTCTCAGCCGCAGTCTTACGATCCTCAGTACTACTTCCAGCAACAGCAGGTGAATCGCGACCACTGCCAGACGGTGAGTCATGGACAGGGGAGCGATCCTTCGCAGGAACTGAGATAATGTCCTTGTCGGCTTTCAACTTGGACTTCTTCTTCCTGGACGGTCAAGTCAGTCAAGTAGTGAAGACAAGGAAAGTGAACACGTACTTCTTAACAACACCGTCCTCAGCGGCCCCCTTCTTCAGCTTGAGGGAGCCGCCTGGACGAAAGTCGTAGTCGGACATGGTGAGCGCTGCTGGCTAAGGAAGGCTAGGGAGCGCTGTCCCATCACACGCGCGTAGAACCCTGAGAGGCGTGCGAATGTTGGGCTTGATTAGGAAAGTATCTGGTCTTGCACGTCGCCCGGAGTCGCGCGCCAGTTCACGGACGACCAAACAGCGCTCGGCATAGTTTTTTTTCGGTTCGTTCGCTGTATCTTTTCCAGCTCTCCTTGGAGCAGAGACGACAACAGAGACGACCGTAACGTTCTGACTTGACTCATAATGGCCGTTCTCTCCTCTCCGCTACAGCTCATCTCCTCGATACCCATCGTGACCCGCGTCTTCACTGCAACTACATTGTTGACCTCTCTGTTCTACCTCTGGCTGCGATGGCAGACTGGCGACCCTCATTGTGCTCCATACCTCACGTTGATTCCCGGAGCTAGCTATCTGTACCCGTGGACGTTAGTCACGTCCATGTTTGTCGAGACGAATGTCATCGAGGTATGCCACACCTGCTTCCTATTTGGCCCGCATTACTAATTGGGCTACAGTTGCTTGTGACACTCATCGTCATTCCGCCATCACTGCGTTACTTGGAGAGGTTGTGGGGAGCAGCGGAGACCGCGAAGTTTATTGTGGCGACTGTTGGCGTTTCCAATATCATCGCGTTCGGGCTGAACTGGCTCGAGTTCATCGTGCTCCGGAATGCAGACCTTTTCTTGTGAGCTGCTTCATTGGATCGTATCTCTCCTCAATGATCTGATGGGGTGACGTAGGTACGGGATGCAATATCACGGCCAGATGGCCTTGCAAATCGGTGTCCTTATTGCGTTTACGCAACTCATTCCGGAGCACCAAGTTCAGGTCTTTGGGGTTCTCAAGGCTCGTGTTAAGGTATGTAGGACTCAACCCCTCAACCGGAACACATATCTCACATTCCTACTCCTTAGACCTTGCCCATGGCCTATGTCACTTTTTCGACCGTCATGAGCATCATCGGCTTCCAATGTCCATATATCGTCATCCAGTTCGGCTTCCTGGTCTCCTGGATCTGGCTCCGCTTTTACAAGAAAAACATTGGAGAGGGTATGGTTGGTGGGGACTCGTATGGAGACAGGAGCGAGACGTTCGCGCTGTACCACTGGTTCCCTCCTTTCCTTCGGTGAGTTTTGGCGTGTCAACGTTGCTCCTTGCTTCTCATAATGACAATTCTTCAGCACACCTATCACCATGTTGGGCGACTTGGTGTTCAAATACGCCACTCAGTTCCACCTTATTCCTGCTTCGAGCGGAGACATCGAAGCAAATGGCTACGCCGCAGTACCCGGTGGCGCACGAGCTGAGGCCGAACGAAGACGGTAAGAATTGACGCTTTGACTATCACAGTGATAACATGAGCTCACACGTTTACTACAGTGCCATGGCTCTCAAGGCCCTCGACCAACGTCTCGCCAATTCCTCATCCGCCCCCAACGGGTCATCTCAGCCTTCTCGTCCTTCTGCTGCTGCCGCTGGCCAAGCAGATGCCCCTCCCATGCCCTCTTCGCCACCGAAGGCTACGGAAGAATCTGACGAGCCCATTGGAGATGTAGACATCGGGAGTGGGAAAGGAAAAGCTCGGGAGGACAGCATTCGGTAGTCGCTCGTCGCCCAGGACATGCATGTTGTCCACACATCGTCATCACGAAACACCACCACCATCAACGTCGTCACCTCCAGCTCCGCCACTGCCACTACCTTCATAATCATCTTTCTCGCTTCTTTTTCTTCTCCATGTTTGTTTTACCTTTTTGAAGTACTTATACATTCATACATACCTACGTTCCGGCATTGAATATTGAAGGTTTGCACTGGTATTGCGAGAATGCTAGAATTGCGAATGAATGGATTATAACTATAACTCTTTTGAAAGATCTGGGAAGACAAGGAAACACAATTCGGTGTACTCGCCACGGGCGCTAAAGGCAACAACCAGCGCGTTTGCCGCAGTTGTGGCGTGTCCCCTGCTCTACATGCGCGTCTAGCGTCAACGTACAGCGCATACCTTTTAGCTCTCCATGAACCTCTAGAGAACTTGCTTACCTGGAACCTACAGCAATGTCTAGACGGCCCTCTAATGTCTCTGTCTCCTCTGCTGCCTCAACATCGACGTTGCCCAAATTACCCATAACCTTGTCTCAGACATCTATACCCCACGGATTCAAACCACCTTCTTCACCCTGGCCACCGCGCTCTTCATCATTCTCCTCTATCTCACAACAGAACATCGCTGGAAATGTATCGGATCCTGATGAATTGTTCACGAAGCATACGGTGTCGGAGGTGAAGGCGATTCAGTACCGTCTTAGGTATGGTGGTTTCCTGTCTTTCCGGTCGACCGCTGTCGTGGCGTAGAGTTCTGGAGGTGTTCAATATGCGTGTTTAGGGCAGATGCGGATGCGAAGCAGGAGGAACTTAGGTTGATGGTCGGGTGCGTATTTGTTTACTGTGTCTGCGTCCACGTCATGAAGTACTGCTGGAGCTGTCAATCGAAACTGTAGGGAGAGGTACCGCGACCTCTTGCAGGCTTCAACATCAATCATATCCATTTCCAAATCTTCGAAACGCGTCCTCGATGCTCTGGACGAAGTCAGATCGTCTATACCGGATGGCCAACCCGAACCTAAGACGTTAAAGCGGGCGTCTGCTGCGAAGGATGGTACGCGGTGTTATATCTACGAGGAACTCGGAACTTATGTTGGAATGTTAGATTCGTACTTGAAGATGCTTCAGTCCCTGGCCTCGCATATGAAACTCCTTCTCGATACTCCGGAACATCTGTGGCGATTGATTGAGAAGAAGAAATATCTACATGCGGCTTGGTTGTTCCTCCTAGCGCGCGTCATTCATCGGGTATTAGTTCGGGAAGATGATGAAGACGAGGAGGGATGGGCTGCACAAGGTATTGATGTCACGGTGCGTATGCGTTTGACTTTTGGTGTTATGCTTGGCTTGAACTTCTTCTAGGAGCAATTTCCCCTGGCACAACGGCAATGGGATACTGTGGCCCAATTCCGTGCCCAAATCACACATAAAGCCACGCTGTCACTTCGCGAATTCTCTTCCAGCGTCGAGGTATGTCGTTTTGTACCCTCTCTACAATCGCTTCTCTAAATCTCTCCCAGGACATCTGCTCCATCCTTCTTACACTCCATCTCCTTGAATCGCGACCTCTCATAGACACACTCTCCGTCTTCCTCTCGCAACGAACCAAAAGCTTCCAGCTATCTTTGTCTCGGAATTCAACATCGAACGGAAGACCACCACAACAGAACAACGGCAGCGCAAAGACGAAATCCAGACAGCTTGTCGTTCGCGAGCTCCGCGGAAGTATTGGCGCCGTCCTAGATGTCATTTCATTCACCGTTGGCGCGGCACGCGATATCTTCTATGATGAACCATCTTCGTCCCGACGATGCCTGATCCATAGAGTTTTGGAGTTCATACAATCTGAGTCGCAAGACACAGAAACACTAGACCTCCCACCAGAACTACAGATGTCAACACAAAACCTCCTCACGAATCTGCCATCAGGCTCACAACACCTCTCCCTCCCACAGAGCATCCGTTCATACCGGCCATATATCGACCTTTCTTCCTCATCCACTTCCATCTCAGCTTCCCAGCTCTCGACGAAGCTGCACGAATGGTTCGAGAAGGTCACGAAGGAGTTCGCCACTGTGGCCCAACAGTGGTTCTCCGACCTGCAGACGCTGAAGGAAGTTTGGTCGACTCGGGCGTGGATACGGACATGGCTGGAGGGAAATGCGTACTTGGAAGATGCGGAGCGTGAATCTCTGAAGAGTATTGCGGACGGTCTCGTTCGACAACAGGCTTCCGAGATCTGGAAGGTCGCTTTGGCGGATATGCAGCAGACGTTCCAGAGTCATCTGGACTCGGCAATGTCTGCGCTCGCTGAAGGAACTGGAGAGAGCGTTCTTGGTACGCATTTTTCGCGAATTTTTTTCCCTGTCATGACCAACTTTTCGTGTAGATGCGTCGCCTGTGTCGTATCTCTTCCAGGCTCCTGCCGTCCCATCACTCTACGAGACGTCTGGCTCATCCGGCATGGCTGCCTCGTTCCGGAAATACGAGATGTCCCTGCATCGCCAAGTCGCTGGTCGGACGCCACTTCTGAACGATGTGCTAGAATCCGTCGAGACCCGTTCGGCCGCAATTCGCAAGGACTTGCGTGCGTTCAGCAAGAAGAGCGAGGCCGACAGTCGGTATGTCGAGCAGTCTGTTTACAGTGCGAAGAAGGGTTTGTTGACAAGGCCACAGAGAACTAGCGGACCAGTTAATCTCTGCGTATCAACCGGATGCAGATCAGCTTTGTGTGTCTATCGCAGAAGCGGTCTCTACGAGCGTCCAGCAAGTCGGAGATGACTCAGGTAGGCCATCTGAATATACGACATTTGTTGGATAATGCTTACCATGTTTCGGACAGATATCAGCATGCGAGCCTTGGTCTTCCTCGGGCGAGTGGCGAACGAGCTTTCGTCCTCGCCTTTCCTGCCAAATATTAGCTCGGGCACAGATGCTGGCCATGGTTGGCATTCTTGTGTTGAAGCTTGTAACAACCTTCCTCACTGATCACTGTTTGCTTTTCGCAGATTTCCGTGCAAGAATGCGAGGGTTGTATGAACTTGCTTTGGACCGGTGGCGCAGATATAGCGTGCGGACGATCTCTCTCAAGTACCACGAGTCCTGTCTTTCCGCTGCGCGGGCAGTTCGCACACCAAGTGGTACGTGAAATCAAACCCCTATCAATTCGCCAATCCCATCCCACCTAACTGACGTCCTTTTCGCATTAGCAGCACCATCGCCAGCGGGCCCCTCAGCGCCACTCTTCCAGGCATTGCTCTCCATCTCGACATCGGTACAGAATGTCGGCATGTCGTCTGACCCGTCAAGCCGAACGACTCTAGCAGAAGCGACACTGCGACATTTCACGAGCTCGGTGTTGGAAGGGTCTGCTGGCAGCGACGCATATCGGCGCGGACAGCAGTTTTTGTGGGATTTGCGATACCTTCACAAGATTTCGGCTCTGTGGGGATCTGACTGGGAGAGTACCACAACATCGCTGAAGGAGGAGATTGACCGGTCTGAAGCTGAGGTGCGTCTAGCATTATCTATTTTGATTGGCACGAGTACTCAGAGATTCAACAGACAGCGGAATCGACATCCTTGTCGGAAGACGCCATCAATGTTGCCCTTTCCAACCATATATCGCGAACCCAACTTCTTCTTGCACCTCTACTCCCACCACGTCCACCACCAACACACCCAGGCAAGGCCGGAGGTAAGGAGAGCGCGACGAGTGCGCTTTTGCCGTTCGGCGTGCCCGCGGGAGAGCAGCAGGTGCAGCCTGCGATGGAGCTTGTTAAGCCTGCGCCACGGTTCGGGCTACTACTGGTTGGTAGTACCGCTAGTCGATAACTGGTGGGAATGCATTGGTTTTCGTTCGTGAATCTAGTTTAGAACGCATTTGAAACATCATTAGTAAACCATAAGCATCAGAGTCTGCTACAAAATGAACGAGAGCTCACAATGTCAACTATCAAGTCTACAATGTGGCTCCCATCAGTCGAAAACGTCGTATGGCAGCGTTCGCACGAAATTTGGGTAATACTGCTTGACACGCTCCTGAATCGAAACCGGCACCGGACACTCCTTCGAGAACTTATGCAGGATGCGGATGCACTCCACATCAGGCTTATAATCCGGATTGTCCTTCGCCATTTCCAAAAACACCAGCTTCGTCGCCTCTTCTATCTCTCCCAGGCGGCAAAGACATTCCACCCATGCCCGCCAGTTCTCCGGTGTGAATTTATGCCCGTCTCGGCGCAGTCCCTCGAAGATCTCTTTGGCGGCAGCAGGGGCGCGTTTGTGGCCGCAGGCGTCCATGACGATGTTAACACTGATGGCGTCGACTTTGCCCGAAAATTGCATCGAATCCCAGACTTGTCGTGCTTCGGTGAACATGCCTCCTCGTTGGTAGGTATCCATAAGCTGATTCAAGCATGCGGTATCGGGAGTGATGAATGGATCCATAACAAGGAAGTGGTGTGTCTCTTTGATCGCAAGAATCAACTGAGAATACAACTCAGAGTCTTCGGAGGGAGAGATATGTTCTGACGTCCGAGCGAGCTGGCGAAGAATCTCGGTATAAATGAATTGTGTGGTGGGGAACCCGGCCTCTCGCATGTCGTGGACGATGTCAAAGTAGCTACGCCAGGGTGGGATGGTCCTGTTATCGAATCGAAGCCGACCGAACGCAATGATGATATCCGTGAAGCTTCGGGCGTCGAACTGGCCGTGGAAACGGGAAAGGAGGTGCTTGTATACGTCGAAAGCTTCGTTGAAGCTGGTAGATGACTTCATGGCGAGTATGACGAGCGAAGTGATCGCCATGCGATCCAAGGGAACTTTGCGCTGGCGAAGATCCTCGAAAATCGACATTGCCTTGGGGAAGTACTTCGCGTGGTTCGTCGAAGAGATCATTGCGCGAAGGAGTGTGTTGCATACGATGACTTCGGGCCCTCGAAAAAAATCCGTGGCCCCCTTGGTAGGAGTGTTGGCCTGGCTAACCGCGTGATAAAGACCGATGGCGGTATCCAATGACTTTTCGTCCGGGGCACGGATAGAGGATGAGCATAAGCCGCGTATGAGAGGTTCGACCATCTTGAACGAAGGAGATATACCGGCGTTCAAAGCAGCCGAATAGATCGAGGCCGTTTGGTGCATAGGTCGTGCAAGGGTCACGGAATTGCGGATGAGGAGAGTCCACGCGTCAGGGCCCCCACTGACCTCGAACTGACCCTCCCAATAAAGTAGATCGTTGGGATTACAAGAACCGCGCAGGACAGCTAGGAGTGTTTTGTGGGTGGGCCGCCACCCACGAGTAAGAAAGGACCGGTACAGCTTCGTCGCCCGCTGACGTCCATCGCGACGGACAGTTTGAGCCAGGTAATCATCGCGGTTGTCACTTTCGGAGACGGCGACGTCGGGTCGCCCACCGACACGAGAGCGGTAGGCATCTTCAGCTTGGTCGGCCTCCTCGTATTTGCCTTGACTGGTGAAGCCGTCGACGATGATGGCTAGATTTTGGCCGTCGAAGGGCAGATGCCCAGTAGCCATGCAGTCGATGATACGAAGAACTCCCTTCATAGGGTCCCGATGAGAGTTGAAGACTGCCCTGAGGAGATATCTGTACAACGTCTGGTGCCGAACACCTTTCTCCTCCATGAGATCGAAGGCTCTCCACATGTGGTCGTATTCTCTCCGTTCCTCGTACTCAGCCAGAACGAGGGTCCAATGTTCAATGGTAGGCTTGATTTGGCCAGGCTTCTGATGCATACGCGCAAGCCAAGCCAAAACATCGGTTGCACCAGGACGCTTGAGCAGGCCGCGGAGAACGGTGGTATGGGTGTCGGCAGTGACGGTACGAGAGAAAATGGTAGGCATGTCTGCGATAACTTCGTTCAGAAAAGTAATGTCTTGAGGGCCTCCGTATTGCGCCAGCGCCTCGAGTGTATCATTCCAGTCAGAGATACTCATAAGTTTCTGGAGCTGGAGAGCTGCATGCGGATCCCTAGCACGCAGAGCGTCCACCTGCCTTCGGAGGACTTGATATGTCTGCTGAAGTTCGGGGAGGCATTGGGCAGCACTGATACTGTTCCACACATAATTTCGGAACGCGTCTGTCAACTTTTGGATAGGCTGCCAGGGATCTTGGGTCGAAAATTCTATCGCAAGAGGTGCGTTTGTGCTGAAACGGGCAGGAATGGAGACATGGGGGAAAGAACTTCGACGAGGCGAGCGAGCGTGGATCGTCAAGGAGAGCAATGTCCTACGAAAGGACATCCACCTCTAACGCCCCTAGCACAGCAAACGAACGCATCAGTATTGTTTCATGGCAGACATAAGAAAAACAAGCATACGAGTTGTGCTATAGTCACGGTCGTGTTGCACAGGAAGGGAAGGGAGGAAAGTAACCGTGGGAAACGCGAGTTGGGATATCTCCACGTCACTTTCCTGCAAGCACTCCTTCAACGCCTTCTCCTTGCCAGCACCTTGTCCGACTCTCCTCGCTCACCGTCTTCCTTCGTTTTACTCCCCGCACGCCCACCCTCAGCTCGCAACCATGTCTGACAAGATGAAAGAACTCATTGAGATTCCCCAGGACTTCATTCGTGACGGCAACCAAGTGCGTCTCGTCAGCATTAACTTATTGGTCAAAGAGCTCATGCATACCCTGGTCCATAGTTCCTCACACGGTGTACCAAGCCTTCGCAAAAGGGTTAGTATCTATATGTTGTGTGCAGTCTCTCAACGAAGGTATTCAATCGGTATCCCCAGAGTTCTTGCAGATTTGCAAGGCTGTCGCCATCGGCTTCGCTGTTATGGGATTCATCGGGTACTTCGTGAAGCTCATCCATATCCCAATGTGCGTATCACCACTCCTCAATAGCTCGGTCTGTACGCTGACGAACTGCCGTCCGCCAGTAACAACATCCTTGTGTACGTTTCCTGTCTTATACTCCCCTTCCGTGCGCCTCAGACCCTCAAACTTACATACACTCATCCTCGCATAGCGGAGGTGCATAGGCCGCTCGGTTCGGTGCAGGCATCGTGGTTTTTTGGAGCATTCTTTATTGGTCTTGGCCTGCGGGGTCTGAGGGTTCGACTTGGGTCATCGCAGGTCGCGAGCTGGGGAGGGGTGTTGCAGCGTCGGTCTTATCCTCTTTTCGTCCGTCGTCCTGGGCACGCTATCTGTTTTGTCTACCCAAAAGAGCCGCGGAGGACGACCTAATTCACCCATTTTATTGTCGGAACGGATTACACGTTTACAGGTCACGGCGTAGGCAACGCCATTGTGATTGACAGACTAGCGCACCCTCTGCAAGCAGACCAATACAATTAAGATGCATTGAAGTAACTAGGCAGACACGCAAGGTAAGTATGCCGTGAACATCTGTCTACGAGCATGCATTCCAAGAGGATTCGTGTTGAACGTTCTAAAACAACCCAAAAAAGACGACCATAGTATACAACAAAGCGAGCGATTGCGAAATTACGCCTGATGAGAGGCGACTCCTCTACGGAGCGGTGTGATGTTGGTTTGGGTTGGTTGAGCAAGTGTAGGGTAGGTATGTAGATGTGGGAGTAGGCTATGTGAAGCCGTCTAGGACATCTAAGTAGCATGCAGGTCATGAAGCGATGAATAGATTAAGAGAAATCGTGAGCGGTCTCCTCGACCGAAGGGCAATCGCACTATTCAAACAACAGTGTATCAGATGCTGCAGGACGTAGACGAAAAAACTGTGATAGGACTAACGATGAGATTCAAATCGCCATAAGCATCGTCCACCCTCGAAACGGTCGGCCAGAACTTCCTCTCCCGAAGCCATGGAACAGGGTACGCAGCCGTCTCGCGCGAGTATGGCCGGCTCCATTCCTCTTCGGAGAGCGCGATGACGGAGATGGGGTGTGGTGCGTTTTTCAGTAGGTTGTTATCCTTGGGCTGTTTGCCCTGGATGATGTCCTCGGCCTCTTGCCTGATTTTGATCATAGCCTCACAGAACCTGAAAGGAAGGTATCAGATCGCTGTGACAGACCACGGTTGAATTTATATTTACCTATCGATCTCCTCGAGAGTCTCAGATTCCGTAGGCTCAATCAACATGCACGTCGAGATAGGCCAAGAGCACGTCGGAGGGTGGAACCCATAATCCTGCAACCTCTTCGCGAAATCCGATACCTTGAGCCCTGCCGCCTTGTCGAACTCCGCTAAATCGATCAACAGCTCGTGAGCCACACGTCCATTCGCGTTCTTGTACCTCAGGTTGTAGTGGCCCGACAGACGGTGGGCCATGTAGTTCGCGTTGAGGAGAGCGATCTTGGACGAATCGGCGAGGCCTTGACCACCGAGCATCTTAATGTAGGCCCAGGAGATGAGGAGAATAGAGGCGCTGCCATAGGGCGCAGCGGCGACGGCATCGATGGCCTTGTCGCCTCCGGTTGCGACAATGGGGTGCGAGGGAAGGAAGGGTGAGAGGTGTTCAGCAACGCAGATTGGACTGTCGACGATATTATCAGGAAAGAGTATATAGACCTCACGAAGGTAGGGAACTCACCCAACACCAGGGCCACCTCCGCCATGTGGGCTAGATGAACACAACCGTCAGATAGAACGAGAGACGACGAGAAGGAGGGTTACTTACATCGCAAAGGTCTTGTGCAGGTTCATGTGGCAAACGTCGCCACCACAAGTGGCTGGGTTCGTCAATCCGATTTGAGCGTTGAGGTTGGCACCGTCGAGGTAAACTTGACCGCCATTATCGTGAATGATTTTGCAGGCCTTTCGAGATTTTATATCAGCCTAAAGTCGACAACAGAGAGAAATAATTTCTTACATCTTGGACACCGTTCTCGAAGACTCCGAACGTCGAGGGGTAAGTGATCTATAAGTAATTAGTCTTCGCAGAACCTGAGTAAAGATGGCGTAGACTCACCATGAAGGCAGCGAGCTTATCCTTGTGCTGCTCGGCCTTTGACCTCAAGTCCGCAAGGTCGAGGCTACCGTCCGGAAGAGACTTAATAGGGACAACTTTCAAACCAGCCATGTGTGCGGACTGCACATGAATCTATGAGTCTACAGTTTAACAGCTGGAACCGAGAGGAAATCTTACCGCAGGATTGGTACCATGCGCGCTGACAGGAATCAGGCAGATATCGCGATGGCCCTCGCCTCGAGACTCATGATACGCCTTAATCACGCTGAGTCCAGCATATTCCCCCGCGGCACCGGAGTTGGGCTGCAACGAACAGGCGTGGAAACCGGTAATTCTGCAGAGATCTGTCTCCAATTCCTACAAGAGATGGTTCAGTCAAAGGAGCGATAAACAAGAGCAGATCAGCGAACCTTGATCATCTCGAGGTATCCTTGAACCTGATCGAGAGGAGCGAACGGATGAACAGAACCGAACTCGGGCCAGGTGAGCGGAATCATACTGCTCGTGCTGTTGAGCTTCATGGTGCAGCTACCGAGCGGGATCATAGTATGCACGAGCGAGAGATCCTTGGACTGGAGGTGGTGTATGTATCGCAGCATTTCGGTTTCGGAGTGGTGGGTATTGAAGACCGGATGGGGAAGGTACTCTGAAGTACGAATGAGGGCCTGAGGAATGGCGGAACCGCTAACAGAGGAGGACAACGAATCCAGAGTAACGGCGGGAGACCCGGCTGCCGAAGCGAACGCGTTGACGATGCGCAAGAAGTCAACAGGGCCAACACTTTCGTCCAGGGTGATGCCGACATGAGCCTCATCGATCCGACGAAGGTTGATCTCAGCCACCGCTGCGGCGGCATGAACGTGCTCCGCACTCTGTGCCGCACCTCTCACATCGAGCGTAAGGGTGTCGAAGAAACCGTCGTTTGTGGCTTTGAACCCGTAACCCTCGACGGTGCTCTTGAGCAGCTGTGTAAGACCGTGTACCTTGGTAGCGATGCGCTGGAGCCCTTTAGGCCCGTGGTAAACCGCGTACATTGCCGACATATTCGCGAGAAGAGCCTGGCTGGTACAGATGTTGCTGGTCGCCTTCTCCCTTCGGATGTGCTGTTCGCGAGCTAGTGGACCGCAATTGATCAACACAGAAGACACAGGGGCGACCAACTAGACTCACTCTGAAGGGCCAAACGGTATGCAGGTTGACCGGTAACATCTCTGCTACGACCAATAAGCCGACCGGGCATCTTGCGCTTCAGCTTCTCCGTGCAAGCGAAGAAAGCACCGTGTGGGCCGCCGTAACCAGCCGGGACGCCAAATCGTCCCGAGTTACCCAAGACGATATCAGCACCCCATTCTCCCGGTGGCTTCAACATCGTAAGCGCGAGCAGATCAGAGGCTACCACGACGAGACCGCCAGAGGCATGGACGACTTCCGCGACCTTGCTGTAATCCTTGATGCTTCCGTTAACGTCCGGGTATTGAACCAAGACACCACACAGGGTGGCGCGGAGGGCTTCATCTTTGAGAGAGGAAGTCACATCGCCAACCGTGAGACCGATACCGTAGCCTTTTGCTCGTGTGCGCAAGACGCTGAGAGTCTGTGCTGATACGTTGGAATCGACGAGGAAGGTTTTCTTCTTTTGACCGGATGAGACGAAAGCCATGACCATGCCTTCTGCTGCCGCTGTCGCTTCATCAAGCAGGGAAGCGTTTGCGATGTGCATTGACGTTAGGGACATGATCATCGTTTGGAAGTTGACCAAGGATTCGAGTCGACCTGACGAAAAAGAATAAAGAGGAGCACCATTGTACGACCACAGTAGGGCGTACCCTGAGCGATTTCCGGTTGGTACGGCGTGTATTGAGTATACCAAGCAGGATTCTCCATAACCTTTGAAGAACGTGTCGGACATCGCAAATATTACACGTAGATCAGGCAAACTCACGTTGCGCAAAATGACCGGTGGCACGACTGCGTTATGATAGCCCATGCCAATATAACTCTTGAAAGGCTTGTTCGCCGCGCCCAACTGCTTCGCCCTCCTGTTTAGCTCAGCCTCACTCAGCGAACCGATGACTTCGTCTGTCATTGAGGTGGCTGGCACCCTGATCTGCGGGGGCACCGTCTCCTGAACAAAGGCATCCATAGATTCATAGCCAAGCTTAGAGAGCATAAGAGACGCTTCGCCATCGTCAGGTCCGATATGACGGTCAGGAAACGTGTCGAGTGCTGCAAAGAGTGACGACGGCGATTTTGCTGTCGCGAGACCTCTGCTGGCTATGAGGGTACGAGGGGAAACATATCGAGAAGCAAGGTGTTTACACGGTAGAGCAGATACCAAGCGCAAGGCCGCCATCGAACAGCCGTTCTGCCGCTGAAAAAAACTGCAGACGACTGTGGTGGTGGTGAAGACGATGGCGGGGCGCGTTTGGAAGACGGCAGCGCCGCCCAGGCGAGATAAATATTAAGAGAGTGCATTCACCGAGCCATTCACCGAGTACGAGCAGCTTATCGTCTACTAACCTGCCCCGCATCGAACCAACAAGACGTAATTCCTCTCCGTATTTCCCGAGCCATCCCGTCGCGTCAAAAAACTTTTTTCTCTCTCACGCGTCCGCGATGGCTCGGAGCAATTCTCTGAGTTTTTACGCGGAGTCACGGCGTGGCGGTGGCCCGTACTCACTCACCGCGGCGAACACTCCTCGCCTTGAAAATTGTGGAACTGATTTCTACGTTTACATGCCTTTGGAAGGTCGCGTCGGTCTCTTATGGCTGGTTAGATATCAGAAGCTCAAGCGATACGGCACGGCTCAATCTCGGTGATATCAAGAAGACAACGGTAGCGGCGCTCACACTAAAAAAGACAGCAAACAATTACGAGCATCTTTGAAACTTTGAGGAAAACGCAACAACAATCCTATGTATATTTCGTACAGCAGTGCATGAGCGCCACTCATAACAACTCCGCACAATTTCTATGTCACGACCCGTAAACTGAAGGAGAAACATTGAAGTCTAACTTGAAGGCCTGAGGAATAAGGAATGAATACGAAATATGCTCACCTCAACTATAGGGCTATTGAGATTCTATTTACTCTTTATCCATCACAACCACTGGCACTAAGGCTCTCAGCCCATCCAGAGCCTTTGGAGAGAGGTGAAAACCTTTCAATCCCAACCACTTCAATGGAGCTCCGTGGTTCCTCCGCAAGTTCAACATAGCCAGAAGGCCATCCTGCAATGCCCGTGATGGTTCCTCCAGATGCTCTCCATGAAGTCGAAGATGCGTGAGGCGCGGGAATACCGTGAACGTTGCGGGCATATTTGTCGAATCCAGTTCGCTGGATGAGAAGGGAAGACATAGAAGTGGAAAGGCTTGTTCCAGGTTGATACCATTGAGCTGGAAATACTTTATGTTAGGCAAGCCCATGCTGAGGGGATCGCACCACGAGTGAGGTATACCGAGTGCATCGACAAGAATGAATGTGTCGATGTCTTTGAAAGGCAAGGAAGGAAGCATGCGGCAGGCACTCGCGCCATGGCCTGGCCGTCCAGCTATGGCAGGCACAACATAAAGACTAAGGGAGGGGGTGTCGTCGAAAGACGCAAATTGAGACTGACCAGGAACCCAGCCAGCACTTCTATACGTTTTAATGCATACATCGTCATCTGGACGGGGGCGCCCAAAATCATGGAATACGAGGGTGCGGAAAGGAGACTTTTGGTGACTTTCATTCATGGATTTCAACGTTTGGCAAAGGGCGCTGTAATCCCCCTTCAATTTACTCTCGGGTTGTGTGTCGATCGTAGAATCAATAGATAGTTTGAGCTTTACTTTAAGCGGGACCTCGAAAGTGTGCAGAAGTTCAGCACAGGAGGAGGGGGAACCATAGAAAGCGAAGGACTGCAGATGTGAGAGCATGACGCGGCGTTGATGCTGAAGAGGATTTGCAACCTGAGGGAGAGCATTGACCAGCTCTATGGACTGCAGCAACGGGTTTTGGTCTATCATATCAAAGAAATGGGCGTAATCCTGCAAGGGCGGGTCAGACACGAGTTCTATAGACATGTGCGTAAGCCCCTTGAACACTGGTCGTGTCCAATATAAACAGTGGCTAGTACTGAAGACGAAATCCACCTTTCGTAAGCAGGGAGCGTAATTTCCAAGGAAATTGTCAGAGATGAACTCATCCTCGTCGGAGGACGACAGCAGTATCGTGATAGATTCAAGAACAGCAGACGATGTCGTCAATGCCTCCTTGAAGTCGGACGACGCAACGGATGAAGGAATCATACCCCCGATAGTGACCGTCCGCGCGCGGCCAAGGTTGCACCGCAAAACATTGATCATGCACCTTGCTTCAGAAGCTGCGATCAAGGAATGACTAGGAAAGTCGTGGTGGATCACGAGAGGAGTGTCCCTCGCCCGACTCAACATTGAGGATATCCACGTGGGGCCGAGTTGAAAAGAGAGGGTGGCCCATAACGAAGGTCGGTTGAGTGCAACCTCCCTCCATCTGCTCGATACATGCGTCACAGTGATCCAGCCAAGGTGTCTCTGCTGCGCTCTCGAGAGATGGCTTTCTGGGTACGGCGGTTGGTCTATGCATGCCAAGATCTCGAAACACTCAGCGAGGATTTCCGGTGGTAACAGAGCCACAGGGGTAAGGGCATTAAGCCGCGAGTTCAGAGAGCTTATTCCGCGCCTCAGGGCGGAAATCTCGGCAGTTATTCTTTGATGTGCGGAGGACTGCACGTCGGGAGGATCATGTGGGGAGAGATGTTGATAGAGAGTTAGTCGGCCTTGGATCGCGTCGTCCCAATATTGGGCAATGCTGTCAAGTTCCCAGTTAGGTCACGGAGAAGTCACACTTGAACACAGCGTACTTACTTTTCCGTCGAAGTGTTTTCTTGAGCCATTCTTTACGGCTTGTGAGTATATTTGCAACGCTATGAGGAGGTCTTCTATAAGACAGTATAGTACACTTTCAGACGCCGGAAGACCTACGAGAGATGTTGATTGATCGTGCTCGTCCTTTGTGTCACGCTACCACGTTTCCTTGGAATCGGACTGAATCGGACGGCCGCTATCCCAGAAAGATAATATTGAACACCAAACAGGCCTGAGATTGGTCTATCTGAGTGAAGCAACGGAGCAGAGAGACAATACGAGCAACGAACTCCAAGCTGATGGCCGCTCGAGAGCTCGAGAGCAACTCTGAGGAACTCGAGAGTCGACATCGATGAGTCTCGCCGGGCTTTGCCGGTATGTACGAACACGATTCGTGTGGCACCATATGCCAAGTCGTGGCGGCAGCATAAGCAAGGTCGAAGTTTTACAACAGCATGTCAACATCGGCATAATACATACACGACAGCACGATAAGTAACAATAAGAGGAAATGATATCCATAATGAGCAGAAAATATTGGAATCACAATCACGGCATCAAGGCCATCCCATCCTCGTAGACCTGTCGAAGAAAGATGACCATATCTCTGGATCGCAGGCTGTGACAATTTCCATCATTAAGTTCTCCCAGTTAATCAGTTTCAAACACTTACGGTGGCTCCTCAATTTCCCCATCTCCGACGCCGAAAAGTCCATCCTGGTCTATGTGCTTCGCTACAACACGCATGGCCTCCTTCGCCGTACGCGCTTGCGCGGAACTAATTTTCTCCTCGTAGAAATTTGCGACGGATAGTAAACGTGATAAAGCTACACTTGAAGCGTAATTCTCTGCGGACGGGGCTCTTGAATTGAGCGCACTGGCAGAGTGCAGAGTAACTTCACATTTCCTCAAGACGGCAGACGACCGCACAATCTCGTACTGTGATGAGTATGTCCATGAGTGTTGGTAGCTCTAGTCAGCATTCTCCGTAAGAGATCACTCACTATGAACTCGTGTACAGCGCGAGGTGTTGGGAGGATGATTTCTGCCTTGACGAATGCTAGGTCTAGTAGGGTTATTGTCTGGGCTCTGAGTCAGGGGCGTGACAATGCCACGGACGAACAGAGGCGTAGAGCTCACCTCTTCTACTAGACCGATGATGTCCCCAGCAGTGATCAGGCTGTCCATCTTGTTCGCCAAGAAATCCAACAGACCAAACAGCGCTCGCCAGAGCTCCTGCCAGTGGTATTCTATGTGGTAATGAGTGAGCTGAAATAATAGGACGACCTGGCCTTCATTTGGAGCGTACCAAGGCGAATATGTTCTCTATGCAAAAACCACAAAGCACGACGGCATATCCATACAGATGTTCTACAAATTAAAATCGACATTAGTTTTTGACTAGCGAGTGGTGCTTGGCTTACAGGAGTAGACTGAGCTCTAGCCGCATATGCAGATTATGCCGCAAACAAAGTACACAGCAATCCAATAACGAGCACACCGGCGGGCTAGATGAAGACAACGAAGGGAGCACAGGCAGCCTCTTCACAAAGTCTCAGCGATGACCCGCAAAGTTCATCATGAAACACTCACTTGTCGACAGAGACGAATGGGGACAATAGCAGTCTGACACAGCATGAATATTAATTCATCTGCCTCGACCATGGTGAATAGTATGTTGAGTGATAGGTTCGCATAGGCGATTGCGCGCGCCGATGATAGAGAAGTTGCGTGGGTAACCAGGTATGACGAAAGTGAGATCAGAGTACATGGTACAGGTTCCAATTTGCGCGTTTTGTTGGTATTACTGGGTTCCTGCTTCAACGAGTCTGATAGGACCCTCGTGAACGACGTGTTCGTGTGCATGAATTCATATATCGATAGTAGTACAACGCAGGCTTCGATTGGTCTGTTCAACAAATGATAGTCAAAATTTAAACGACATATGAGGCAGGCTAGAGGAGCGCACTTGTTCTTGAATAACTCTCTAGGAGGATCTACAGGGGTTGATGCTAGAGCACGATCCGGTCGCAACGAGGTCATGAAGGCACCAAGGGCAGTCACCATAGTCGGTGGGGAGTCGTCCGAGATCTCTTGATACGCTCTGCAACACACAACATGCGATTCAATTAGAAACATCACCATGTAGTGTCAGAGATTCTGCAGCTCACTTGATTGTAGTAACGATAGCAAAATTCGCCACCCAACAGACCTTCCGCATTAGGTCTTGGTCATTCGTATCCGTGATACGAGTCAAGTACGGGTTGAGCTTCGCAGCATCTGATTTGTGAAAGTTGGCGAGAAGGGCAAGTAGCAGCAACGCCTCGAAGGCGTAACGTTCCGTTGCTGGATCTAAGACGACCTGGAACGACCCGTCAGCACACAATCTGTTTTGATGAACAGATGTGTTTGAATCCTACTGAAACGGTGGACGGGAACAAATCTATCCGGAGGAAGTAAGCTCCAGGCGAAAGTTGGTTCACACCACACATGAAAATGATAGCGAGTTGCAACACTTGGTGACGGATGTCAGCTTGAAAGACGGTTATTCAGTCTGAATCGATCGGAACAAATTCGTTTCACTGGGTGGATCTCACCAGGCGCGGTCGTGTCACCTAAAATTTGATCAATTGTCGTAACGAACTTCTGCGAGGGCATCTCACGTCAATGCTGTTGGCGGCGAAGATAATAAGCATAGATACCATAAAGAACTCGTCGCTCCCATTGACACCACCAGCAAACATCTCCATCACCTCCCATCCAGCCATATCAGGTTTTGTAAGCAATGTTCGGGTCAAGACTGACAAGATCTCGACTGCATGCAGCTTCCGAGCATCGTCGCAAGGCGCAGTTTTGAGTTGCTGTACACAGAGTTCAAACAAATTATTTATGACTGGCTACTGAAGGATATCGTTAGCATCTCCATAAAGATGCAGTGTGTCAATATAATATAGTGCTATCTATTTGACGGACCTTATGGCCATCAAGGCACTCCTCCTTGGGAAGGTTGCTAATCTTCGCGACCAAGAAAGGACGATCGACGTCTAGAGCTAGGAAGTTCGACCAGAAAGAGAGCTCATTGTCTCGAGGGCTAATCTGTGAAGGTTTGAGGCCCTGGAAGCCCACACAGCATGCTACTTAGCAGCCAGAGACCAGGTCTGATGTGAAGGAAAGCGACTTGCCTCGAAGAGTTTGCCGCAGGTCGCTGCAAAGCGCGAAGTGTATTGCAATGAAGGACGAGAGACCATGTTTCGATGACGTGCATATAGCACGAAACGAATTGGAGCTGAGTACTCGTAGGAAACCGCTCGAGTGGTCTCGACCTGTCTCGATGTGCTTGCACACAGGGAAGTGGCGAATGTCAAGAATGCTGAACGACGTCAGCTCTGTATAGGAGGAAAAGTTGAAGGCGCCAGAGATTCTGAGTTTGGGACGAGGGAGTTTGCCGGATTCAGGAAGGCAAGCCCAACTAACTAATCGTTCGAGAGTTGTGTTACAGAGTCGTGGGCTTTACTAAGTATATGGATCGCGGGCACACATGCGTGGCGACCTACCTTTAGTGACAGTGCGGCCAGTGGAATGGCGAACTTCAACTTCTGCTTCGATTGTCCTCGATCAGGAAGTGCCACAGTGGCCCCAAGAACAAGCCCGGCAATCCGGCGCACGACGCGCTCGAATATTTCCAGCTTTTCGCGACCTGACAGCTAGCACACCCCTCCGTCGTCGTCTCCGACGCAGCCTGGCCAGCTTGCGTACATAGAACCATTGTCGGGCGAGCTCAGGTGCATGCATAACTTATCCTTGTCATTTGACTACTGCTTACACCGAATATAGTCCTTTTTATGCGCTTTCACGTCCTAGGTGTCGGCTCCATCGGAGGACTTCTCGCACATCACCTACGGCAGACCCTTCCTCAAGAGCATCCGGTCGTCCTCATTCACAAGACTCTCGGACAAACCTATGATGCTCAGCGGAAAGGCAGCATCATCACCGTCGAGCGCGATGGCGTTCAGCAGCAATCTTCTGGACACAAATCCGAGGTTTGGCGTCTCAAGACGCTGGCTGGAATAGACAAGTGGGTTGCAAAGTATCCGAGGTTGACAAAGACGGGTTCTCGCCGTCCGCGCAGGTTACACGAGCCATACGCAGAAGCTGAGCAGGATTTCCTTCCTTCTGCTTCCATCGAGTCGTTGTTCGTCGCCACGAAAGCAGGCGGTGTCGTGTCTGCCATAAAGGAACTGGTACCTCGACTACAAACCCACAGCACGATCGTCCTTCTCAATAACGGGATGGGTGTATACGAGGAACTTGTCTCCAAAGTTTTCCGCAACCCCGAAGCTCGACCTCACTTCATCCTCGCGGTTAACAACAACGGTGCATTCCTCAAAGACCAACTACACGTCGTGCACGCAGGTCCCGGCTCACTGCAGTTCGGTATCGTTCCAGATCCCATGGGCCGTAATTACGAGGAAATGCTCGACGATACTTTGGCTCTGCCATTGGATTCCATCTCTAGCCGAGACGACCCCCAGTCTGAGCGATATATATCCTTACGAAATACTGTCGCCGCGCTGGCTTCCCTCGAAGGCGTAGGCGCATCGTGGAACCCCATATCGACCGTCTTACTCGCTATGAAGCGCAAACTCGTCGTCAATGCCGTCGTCAATCCTCTCTCTGCGCTCATGAACTGCCGCAACGGCGACGTCTTCCAGTCCGATTACGCACGTCACGTAGCTCAGCGAGTCTGCCGCGAAGCAGGTCAAGCGTTCGCGGCTGATCTACGCGCAGGTTTGGATATGACGCGGGCAACAGGGCAAGGACAGGATGCCATACCTCGCTGGAAAGGGAGGCTGGCTTTACTACCTGCGCCGCTAGAGCCGCGGGCCCTGGAAGAAGAGGTCCTCCGCGTAGCGCATAATACGGCTGACAATGTCTCGTCAATGCTTGTCGACGTGCGAAGGGGCAAGACGACAGAGATAGAATATATCAATGGATATCTCACGCGGCTCGGTTGGGCCCATAAGGTTCGGATGCACACCACCGCCTCGTTATACAACCTTGTCAAGATGCGGCAAACCATCCCCATCGACAATCTCCTGAGGCATTGAAAGCGCACGCTACATGTCTACTTTCCTAGTTCGTCAAAACTTTCTATAGCCTCTACGCTGCTTTACTGACTGCTTTGTTGTGTGTTGTGCTTAGCCCTGACACTCTTCTGCTCATCTATGGCTGCATCGATCCTCGCCAAATGACATAACCCCTTCCTCATGTAACCAGATCTGCGGCTCCTCATTCAGCGTATGGTCTCGAGGTCTATCTCCGAGCGCCCCATCGTACCGCTATACTTTGGTGCCCCGACGTTATAAGGAGCGGGTCCAGAGTACGGTACGCGGTAGCATGACGTGATGCTGCCGTAGTCGCTTCACTCAATTATTCCTCAACGATAAGAGTGAACGAGCCCGTGCGTATCTTCCAAATTTGCCAGGCCGCCATACAAGACTGATGATTCGACGGTCGTATTCTTGGTTTCAGAGTATTGTGCAGCGTCCCACTTGCTTTGGCCAGGCCGCCCTACAACCGCCATTAACTTACGCCCCTATCCCGAATACTTCAACCCATCTAACGGGCGCACTCCACGCTCGTGGCTGCTCTCTCGACCTCTCTCATATCGCACCTCAGCGCCACCGCTCCTGAACATACGCTTCCGTTCGGTTTGATCAGTAATGAATGATCATGTGTAGCATACAAATGCGGCCTGTGAGTCTGTGAGCGTCAATGTTCGGCCAACATCCTCGTTTGTACTCCCCGATTCTCGATTTCGCGTTGCCACTTCATCTACTCCAATCGCTGGATTGAGAGATGGGAGCGAGATATCTTCAGGTATAATCTATTTGTGCTCCAATGGCGGGAACGATGCAGATGCCAGTGGCGGCTTCCCTCAAATGTTACCATGCTGCCCGTGGCTCTTCCGTTCCTCGAGGAACCTACAATGGTACAATCTATCCTCGTATTCGATATACATTCATCCCAATCCCAAGCGGAGATGGCGCTCAAGCAGTCATGGCATTGGAACAGAGTTTGGAGAGACCCCGGACACCCCCAGATAACCTATTCCTGTGCTCTATCTGACGACATTATCAGCACCTCTCTCTCTCGTCTACTCAAGTACAAGAGTAGCTCCAGTCCTGCTTCTTTCCCCCTGTCATCCAACTGATGCATGACTTATTCAAATCTGCGGCCTATTTTTGGTCGATGATCATGAAGCCGTCTATTCTGGGTAGCTTATACACTCTGCTGGAGTGCCCATCTTCCTCCATGGAGGTTTATTCCCAGAATATCTACCGAGTATCAGAGTTCCTAACATCGTGTCGATAACGACAAGCAGCCAGCTCCCCAGTCCTCGATCTTTTTGTACAGGCCTTTATCTTTACGCTGTACGTGCAAGCGACGCTACATTCTCCAATAGGTGTCCCTCTCACCTTGACGAAGTATTTCATCGTTCTGAAACGATGCTCTGTCGTCATCGACAGACGGGGTTCTTCTATCTTAAGCGTTCAAGGAGAGTCGCAATGACGACATAGTCCGTTGGGTTATGGACGTCTCCCGCTCGTTCAAACCAGTAAGTAGCATATTTGTTGGGGATCGGAGCTCTTTGTTTGATGAAAAAAAAGTGGAACTTATGCAGCTGTCAGCTCGATTGAGCTGACTGCGGCATTTTATTTTCGGAGTTGGCGAGAACGACTGGCACAAGTCTACGAAAAGCGTTCGAATTCCGAACGACATCGGCAGGGAATGTCTATAGTCCGTCTCATGATTATCCGTAACATCAACGTCTGAATTCAGCGCATCGAATCAACCGACTCCACACCCCAGTTTCAGAGCACTTTCTTCAGCTACTGCCTGCGAGCGAGCTAGCGATCCGAACCGAATCGAATCGTACCGACGGCTTTGACTTGGTTGATCGCTGTACTGTGCACTGTGCATTGTGCACCTGTGCGCTCTGCGCATGCGCTGTCGGCTGCGTCTCGCACTCGTTAGACATGCCTGATCTTGTTTGTCTCTGACGTCGTCCTGTGATGTTTCTACAAATTCACCCCCATGGAGAGATCGCGAAGGAAGCAAAAAAAAAAAAAGCAAGGAGAGTTCGAGGTTTCCTGAACAGCCCTAGCGTTGTCCCAGGTGTGCCTTGAAAGCAACTTGAGAGGGTTTAGACCAGACGATGAGATCATGGAGCTCTCGGGACGCTCAGTAGTCGACCATACATAATGATAATGCAGCGCTACGCCAGAGGCCTCGTTTTTGGGCGTAAGTGGCGTCACGAGAAGATCAGTGCACATTGCGCCAATGGGCTCGGATGGTCTTCTATGGGCATCCTCGTGAGCGACTTCACATCGACGGGGAGATGGGGCCGTTTGGATCTTACCTTGACAGAACACGATGGTGGATGGTGGATGGCTGTGGTGACGCTCGCCCGGTTGAAATCTAGTCTACTCTGCCTTTGGGAGACTATGGTGATGGACAACTCAGAAGATCGTAAACGGGTCGAGTTTTCCGAATGAAGGCCGGTGGAAGGCCTGCCAGTGCGGTCAGATACTGTCAACCTACGGAGCAAGGAGAAAACGGCGCTGTTGCCTGTAGGGCGCGGTCTAATTGGAGCTGGGCGAGTCTCCACTCGAGATATGTCTTCCATGTAGGCCACGCATGGAAGCGACACATATAATCACGTATATTTCGTGGTGAGTGATGGCTCTCGTTGTACAGCGCGAATGAAGCCTTGATTGACGGTCGCTACATCTTGCAGATGGACGTTTTTTCTTTCTTTTTCAGATAGATTTCAGATCAGAATAAGATCCTTCACAGTGACACTCCGGCATTGCAGGAGTCCGGGGAGAATCGGCCACTTGATAAATATGCAGATGCTCAACAGAAGATGATGTTGGGCCACAGGGGCTATAGCATTGCAGCTTCTGTCCTTCGCCCATCAACCACCTTTGACGGCGACTCCGTCCACCAATTGAATGTTGTACGGTCGACTCGGGACGGTCAATAAGAAACCAGAGCAGCAGCGACATGGACGATGGATCCTGACTATCACCGCCTGCTGTCACTTCTCTGTCGGTGTCGGTGTCTCTTTACCTTTACTTACGCCACATAGAACGACATGACACAGATGCCGGTGTCCAACTACACGAGTCAGTCTACAGGCACATATTGATAGGTACTCGGTCATTCATGGCGATAGAGTCGATTCTGAAAGTGTCATGGACGTAGCGTCAGAACTTGACTGGAATGGTATTGCATGCAGCTGGCAACGCCCAGCTGCCCGCTTCAAGCCACCCGTCCTCGAGGTAGGGCGATGTATGGAACACCACCAAAGACGACATCCTGACGATAATCGCGACAAAAATACCAGCACCAGCAATAAACACGCACACTTCTAATCTACCCAAAAACCGAGGACGCTGCTAGTGTCCAATCATGCATGTCACGACGATGGTTACAGTGTACTTGGATTCGCATGCAACGAGGAGCACTATCAGAAGGCTGTCCGTCAAGAATTCTCGTACATACGACTGGAACTGGGAAGCCTGTTGGAGCGAGTAAGTACCCGTCGGCATCCCAAGCTCGTCCGTTTTGGGAGGGGGATGGGTGCCAATATACGAAAGCATTGTCACTGTCAGTGTCATTATCTTCAGCCTCGTTGACGTGCGTGCATACATGCATGACTCGGATAGTCGGAATCGAGTAAGTTACGTATGGGACGAAGGGAACTGAACGGCGATTTCGATAGCCCGCCGCTCTAAGTTACTTATCTACTGTCATTCGCTCATAGTATCTCAAAAGGACCTAATCGGACAATTATACACCGCGACAGAAGAACATATCTCGATCCTCTTTTGGACGGGCGTAACTCCAACTTTACTATCATCTCGCAGCTACTAGCCCTACAGCAGTCTCGCTATTCAAGCTAGAGTGCCACAAAAACGCCACCCGCCTTAGCACCACTGGCACCCTCAATGTAGTGAGGTTGAAAACGGACCCGAACCGAAAGACAGCATCTCGAGCTTGTTTCAACATGCCACAGGAGTGGGAACGAGCGTCCTACCTACCCACATACGACGAATATAGCCATGTTCAGGCGCAATGCGGTCGGTCGTGCTAGACGGAGTATCTTCGCTGCATCTCTATCCTCCTCCTGTCCTCGGTGGGCGAAACGAACAGCTAATAGGAATAGCTTACACTTACGCTCGTGCTGATACGGGACGGACGCACCTACGCCATGGAGTGTCGTCGCGATGGGAAGAAAGGGCAGAGAAGGATCCTGAAAGGACTCGGAGTCTGGAATATCCATTATGGTATGGAGGTATGCACATTGTCTCGTCAATCGCACTGCCAATGGTCCAGGATCGAGATATTGATGCATGAATCAATAAGTATCAGAAAGTGGAGGTGGTGGTGTATACACTACTCAAAAAATGGTCACGAAAGGTCAGGAGGGGTAGGTAGGTATGCTAGTGTTATAGTAAGTTGTAATCATATATGTTATGTTAACTTGTTGAATGATTCATAAGGTCCGAGGTATGAAGTAGATAGAAAGTCACAGTGGAACACAGAGCGCAAGGCGTAAGAATCAGAGTAACTTAAAAGTAGATGCACAACACGTCCGTATCGGACAAAAGAAGGGAGAGAAATAGAAACGGTGAGGTGAGGTGAGGTGAAGAATGTACCCACACACGAGGGCAGCCCAAGGATACAAAAACAAACCTGAAGATAAAAATGTCGTTGAGAAGGTGTAACGTACCGCCCAAAAGGATGAGGAATGAAAAGAATGTGTCTGCAGAAAAAAAAGAATGAACAGGCGATCGACGTGAAAGTCTGTATTCGTGTCCGTGCAAATCTATGGTCATATAATGAAGACGGTGATATGATCACGATGTGAAACTCCGCGCTCATCTCACCGTCAGGACGTCAAAGAATAGCTGGTAACAACGGTCAAGGAGGCGTGAACAGATAGATCATCATCAGTGGAAAGCTCGAAAGTCTAGTGGTCGTCAGCACCCGGTCGTCCCCATTGCACTGTCCTCGTGATGCCCTTGTTCCAGTCTTCCACTCGCCGTCTGGCAAGAGTCGACATTGTCGATGACGCCGTGCCGATGAAGCCCAGACCGGACGATTGGATCACTGCATCGACGAATACGGGATACCTGCACAAACGAGGAGAAAAAATCAGCAAACAAGTATTTCCACACGCAAACCACAAATATAGCCATTGTGACGACGAACACGCACCATGAATTATGAGTCTCGAGTATATCGGTCGTAATCTCTGACTCAACGAGATACCAGCCCCTCTCGCGAACCTGGTTCCACCACACCGGATCCTTCTCGTCACTCAGCACGATCACATGTTCTGGCACGACTCCATATCGTTCCATCGCCTCCTCCTGTATCTCCGCAACCCGACGGGCGTAAACGTCCATGCTCGCAAAGCAGTCCTCAAGGGAGTAATCGCCACAATAATTCTTGAAATCGCCATGGCGGGCATGGATGGCGATATACTGTTCACGCAAGGGCAAAAATAGCCGTTAGTGTCGTGTGCGGGTGGAGTAAATGCGGTGGCATGGAAAGGGGATAGGGGAACGGGGAACGGGCAATGGGGCGAGATGAGTCGAGTGCGCTTACGGGTGGAATTGGGTCACTTTCGGGAGTGTGGAAGATACGCTTGAGGTATCCATCGGCGATGTTCTGGAGACGCTCAGTCCATCGGAAATGTTTGGCCACGAAGCGCCATGCCGGACTATGGTCCGAGTCCCATTCGAATGACTACCGAAAGAACGCGTCAGTATAGATGATTGGATTTCCGAAAACGGTGAGTAGCAACGAACCGTGGACGCCGCGGTATAGTAGAGGTAATCAAAGCAAGCGAGATGCTCGTCTGGTGGAAGCGTGGTACCGTGATGTGCCGAGGGATGAGGAGCAGAGAGCGACGTTGCGCGCTTGTCGGGATAGGTCAACTCGGCGACTGACCAGAATAGCGCGTGCGGATCGTGTTCGTTGCCGGGGAAGGTTTGAATAGAAACCGGGGCGGGTGTCCATGAGATATCTGACATGTTCGATAGTAGTCGAAGATTGATCGGAGCAGCGAGACGAGCTTGAATGAGAGGCGGGATTTGGAGCTACAACAGACAAATATACACGCACCGAGTTTCTGATACTGGTCTGCATAGGTGATCCGGGGTCCCTCGCGAGTCTGTACGGCCTCCCAGACACTCCAGCAACCGAGATCTTCCATCTCTGTGCTGTCTTTGTCCTTAACATCGTCCCACTCGAGGACGGGGACGCCGATGGAGTTGCTGAGGTATTCGATATCGAAGACCTCGCTGAAGGGAACGGGTCCGACATCGCCACCGGTGTGTGATGGAAGCCAGTAGCCTACGATGGGTACACGCTCTGTGATAAGAGCTAGATAAATGAGGTTGGCCTTGAAGAACGCGAGTCAGCTAAAGATAGCGCTCATAGACGCGAGAAGTCAAGTTACATATGTCATGACATCGTTCGCTGAAACCACTTCGTCAATAAATATACACAGGTTAGAGGGCTTTAGAAGGACGTACTCCAGCCAGCAGAGATCCAGGAGGTGATGTATTGGGTATCGTTCCGTAGATTGTCTGCAAACAAGTCAGTTCGAAGCTATAATTTCTTTTTCGAAAGTAGGCGCACCTCGGAATCTAGCTGTTGGTGAGCCTACCACTGCGGACTTTCGTTCCGAGACCCAAACCACGTCGGACGGATGATGTGAAGAGGAATAACCGGGAATTGAGAGTGACACAGGGTGGTGTCCCAACGACAGCGAGGTAACGAGACCAAGTGATAACAGGGAGAGCAAAGCGCAGACAGCGAGGAAAGACTTGCGGCGAAGGATATGTGAGTAGGCCATGAGGGGGAGGGTGGGGGACATCGCTCGCGTAGGGCTGTCGAGGACGGGGTGGACGTGATAGTCGTGAAAAGAAAGCGATTGGAGTTGTTTTGCTTTTTCCATGTCGAAGACAGCCAGGGCGGAGAGGAACAGTCTGGGGTAAGGCCGCTTGTGTCCCGAACAGGGCGGCACGCATTATATCTAACGGCTGGCGAACGCATGCGAGGTGGACTTTGTCCGGCGGTGACATGTCCAGGCGCCCAGGCGCGCCACCCTCCATCTTCCGGCCCACGACTTCGGCGCAGCCATCTGATCATCTCCCGATCGAGATCCACCACCCCGCGTCCGAACGCCCGGCGCCACCCCTTCCGTGCACTCGTTCCGTCATGGCCTCTCTTCGACGCACCGAAATAAGATACACCCTCATGTCTGTCCAGACCACCGCTCATAAACCGCGCGCCTCCGAGCACTCTCCACCGTCTCCCTCCCCCCGACGACGAAGAGCACCATGGACGCCGCACCCCAGCCCCCCTCTTCGCTGCGCGTAGCGGCCGTCGTGTCCTTCTACATGGGAGCTGCCCTGGTTGTAAGCACCCCATTCGTCTTACCGAGTGTTCCTTGCTGATAGGACCATAGATGGTCTTTGTGTACGTTCGATAGTCAGGTCTTGTGCTCCTGTCCTTATCATCTGGCTTGCAGTAACAAGGCAGTCCTTAACTCCTCGCCGGATCTCCCTCTCCTCTTCCTCTTCATCCAACTCATCATCGCCGTCATTCTCCTTCATGTCTCTGCATTCTTCTCCCCGAGAATCGAGATTCCGAGACTCGACCTGCACTCGGCTAAGAAGTTGGCCCCTGTCGTCATCGTCAATATCGTCGGTCTCGTCTTCAACACACTCTGTCTCCGTGACGTCGAGGCTTCATTCTTTCAGGTAGGGCATTTCCCATGCTTTAACGGATTAAGACCTCTGATCGTTTACCGAACTAGATTGCACGCGGACTCGTTCTCCCGCTCACCATCGCTGTCTCCACCACCGTCACCCACGTACAACCGTCCAGTCGCACCGTTGCAGCTGCTGCTCTTGTCACTGTCGGTTTCTTCGTCGGCGTCGCGCCACAGAGTGGTCTTCCCACTTCGGCCGTCCCATCAACGCTCTCTTTGTTCTATGGCGTGCTATCCTCACTCTTCATAGCTATCCATGCTGTTCTCATCAAGGCATCGCTTCCCTACTGCAATCACTCCACCATTCAGCTCGCATACTGGACCAATCTGGGCTCGGCTGCCCTCCTGGCCCCATTCATGCTCTTCAATGGAGAAATCATGAATGTTATGCAGCTCGCGAGCACGCCAGAATGGAATGGCACCGTGTTCATGTGGGGCTCCCTGGTCACTGGCGTATTCGGTTTCCTGCTCTGTGTCGCCGGTCTGCTCAGTATCAAAATCACGAGTCCTGTCACGCATATGTTCTCCTCCGTACGTCCATCCTTTCCTCTCGGCTCGCGTGTGTAAAACTAAACTCATGACCGTGCTTACCTTTTTAGGCCGCTCGCTCAGTTATCCAGACTCTGCTTGGCGTGGTACTCTTTTCTGATGTGCTCACGTTGTACGTATCTATTTTCTTTCCTGAGACATCGATCCTCCTTAACGTCGCTGAACCTTGATGAATCAGTAATCGGGTCGCATCTATATTTACTATCCTCGGCGGAACGATGTACGTTGCCTTCTCCCCCGAAATAAACATCTCCTTTAGCTTTAGATGGCGTTTTGCTGACTGCTGACGCCCTCGGTGTTTCAGGTACTACACTTGGGTAAAATCCGTAGAGAGTGCGCCTATAGCGCCTCCGCCATCGCCGCGGGACGTTGACCTCGAGGCGATGCGGACGAGTGAGAGGAATGATGAGGAAGGTCGATGGACGGAGGAGAAAAAGGACGAGGGGCAGTAATCTTGATTTCTGTAAACAATTCACGGACTCTGGGACTCTGACATTACGACTACTCACCTTTTATCTTGATTTGTTGACGATGGACCTTCACGTAGTACTTACATGCTTCCAGCTCGCTTTCTTGCTATCGTTTCGTTTCTTGTATATACGTAGACGCTTTGACACATTCATCGCTCCCGAACAGCACCGACTAGCAATTCACGGCCTTCACACACCTTGCATCGATCTGACTTTCCGCCGGGTCGTGACCTGTCCTTGCTTGCTTGGACGCATGGACTAGTGGTGGTTACTAGCGCCTCGCATTCTCCGCCACGGACATTTCAGGCCGTCGAAAGTCCATACAGGACCAGACAGCGGTCAATATTTCGTATTGAAGAGTCAATAAATCGTCGTGCTCTCGCAGGACGTTGAACGCATTGGGACCTGACGCGGACGATGCGAGCAGGAATTTCCGGGTTGTCGGCCAGGATCCCGAATTTCAATCTTACATAATAATTCATTGACAGGAATGGAGGAGAACCCCATTTGGCAAGTGGGCTATAATTAAAACTGGGCTAACGTTAAACGTTGAGGTTTTCGGGGTCTTACCGCCGGGTTGAGACCCGCAGCGACCGGATTGGGAGAAATGGTGTTCTTCTTTCGGTCTGCTTTCGGGTTGTGACTTTTGCGTGTTTTGTGTCTTGCTCTTGCTCCTGAGTCCTGGGTCGTTCTGCGCTCGTGAGCACAGTTGGGATCTGCGCATGACTGCTGGTGGGCAGGTCGCAGCGAAGTAATGCGGCGCAGGACTCAAAAAAAAACATGACACTCGGTGTTTTATTAGCGCGCTTTGCTGGCGACGACGAACTCGAACACGGACGTCAAGGGGCTTTGACATCAGTGTGTGCTGTCGCATCAGCGTGGCACCTTTTTCGAGGTGGTTCATGGAACTCGGAAAACCTGTTTTCACATCTTTTTTGCTCTTCATCTCTGCGATCAGCACTCAGTTCGCAGCTGCCTGTCTTCGCTTTGCTGTCCACGTCGTCTTTCGGGGCTGCTGAGGACTCAGTCTGGCCGGCCGATATGGCTCGACTCGAGCGGAGTGATAGTTTCTTAAAATATAGCACAGACACTTGAATGCAGCTAAAATCAGGTTGTGTGGAAGGTTCTGATCTGGATGGTGTTACTGGTGGAGGTGAGGCGGCGTTTTTATGCCGGTATATGCACATCTGCGAGGAGAAAGGGCTTGCATGCATCAGCCACTGACCCATCGAGCGTCGAGGTTCTATCTCCCCGTCGTCGCCGTCGCCGTGGCTGGCAGTGGCAATGGATTGCGCACTACGCATCCAACCACGCAGACACTAAATAAATACGCGGCTGATGCATGCTGATTGCAATTCGGGTGGAGAAAACGGGCAAGTTTGAGGGAAGTGCTGCGAGCTCCACCGCCACCTGCCTGTTTTTCAAGGCGCGTTTCTCGACCCCGCACTGGTGGGCTGGGGCAGCCGACGGGGGTGATTCGGTTCGAAATTGTGAAATTGGCGGTGGATTTCGATGTGATGAGATCATACTTACGGATGGAGATGAGATGTGCGCTTGTCCCTCGTCTCGGCACGCACAAGGGGCAATTGAACTGCCCTCTTCCGGGTTGCGCTTCGATGCTTCAGTTCGTTCGCTTCAACGCTCGACAGCCTGTCTCGAAATAGGCTCGCCACATCTCGTATATATTATACCGTTCCCCGCCATGCCCCCGACGCCCCTTCCCCCCTCCCCCGAGCCTTCGTCTCTCCATCTGCATCTCCTATCCCTCCCTTTCATTCATCCATGGCTACCCTCTCGATACCCCTTGCTTCCCTGCCTACACCGGAACATTCCGACGTCGAGGACGCTCTGAGCTCGGATATACGCGAGCTCGACTTCAAGAAGTCCCTCGCAGGCCTGCGGATCGCAGAAGACACCCACATCAGCGACGCTTTTTGCTATGAAAGGCAACTCGGCGACAACGAGCTTTCGTACTACCTTCCATCTCGGGCCACCGGGGTGAATGACATGTATGTCTCACCAAACCACGTCCTCAGTTGCCCCCATGTCTCACTCCTTTTTACTTCCGTGTAAACCCCTATACCGTAGGTACCTCCACATAGGCTTTAAGGCTCCGGAACGCCTTTGTCGCAAGGCTCGTGTTCGCGCCGTGTGGGCTATCATGCGTGCGCGCCACCCCCTCCTGGCTTCGAAGGTGAACATGCATGATTACGATGATGTCAGGTTCTGGTGCGTCGTTGTTCCGTCCGGTCGCTCTTAACCCTGTTCTGTCTAGTCTGACGAACCCCCGATGTGTTGTAAAACAGCTTCACACCGCCCACATCACCCGAGAATGCTCTTGTCGAGGCCGAGCGTGAGCTCGATTACCGCGTGCAGTCGAAAGATGGTGCGTTCCTGATTCATTTGGGCTGAGTTGCTTTGTCTTCGCCTTGGGACGGAGAAAAATGTCCGTGGTCTGACCTTTTCTCCTCTCGCACCGTCCCTTTCTTTCTTTAGAGTTGATCGATGGGTACCTCAACGGCCCGCGTACGCTCTCGAACGACCGTCTTTCATACCTCATCATCTCTCGCACCCCCTCGGCGGAGGAACCGATCCCGACTCCTCCAGTCACGCCCTCTCTATCCTCCGAGTTTACGGCGGAGTCTGTGCAGCCGCGATGGACGGAACGGGCTGTCGATTTTGAGTTTATGCTTTGCGCGGCTCATTTCATTGGGGACGGCATGGCGCTCCATGCGACCGCGAACGATTTCTTTGGGCTGTTGGGGAGCGAGAAGTCGAATGAGGAGCTGGAAGCGCTCGCGGCGGGAGAGTGGAAGAAGAGGTGGGAACAGCGTGTGGAGGGTCCCGTGAGTGTTCAATTTCGTGTTTTATCCTCCCATGCTCGAACTTTAATTTTATTGTGCTCGATGTACGTGGCGCTTGCTGACTTCGAACCTTCACCCTGAGCAGGCCCTACCGCGTAATTCTGAGAAATGCTTCCCCGAGCAGGGTAGGCTGCGACGTGCGGTTGGACAGGTCGGTTTCCAGCAGAACCAGGGGAAGCAGATTGTGCGTCCTTGTTCCTGTTCCTGCTCATTATCTTTGGGGTGGAGTACTGACCATATGTTTCGATAATCTAGGGTGGTCAATCCTTCCCTCGCCAATCCGGACAGACGCGGCATACGGTCGTGCCTACCGTTCCTTTCGATGAGGAGATCACGAAGAAGATGCTGAAGAAGTGCAAGGCGAACGGGGTATCCATCGCTAGTGCGCTCTTTGCGATCTGTAATATCGCTTGGGCGCGGATGAGCCCCCGCGAGAAGCAGGAGCTGCCGATGTGAGTACTCGGATGCTCCCTTCTTTCTTTTCATTTTATTTAGGCTCAACAAATTGTTTCCTCGGTGGAATGTCAGGATGATGTACGCCGCGCTCAATGTCCGCCCGTATTTCGACCCCAAGTCCTTGAACGACTCGTTCTGGTTCTTGGCTGTCGGCTACTTCAATGTCATCCTCCCCAACTTCATACCCTCCTCCTGCGACGCGACGAAGACGTTCTGGCTTCGCGCGCGGGCGGCGAAGGAACAGAGTTCGCGAGCTGCGAAGAGTCCTATGGTCGTGTCGCACAATACGGAGATCTCGTCGAATCGTGGGAAGCAAGCGAGGGTATGGGCGAAGGAGGACGACGAGAAGGAGAAGGGGACGTGGGTCGCTCCGGCTCCGAAGCCCATGGATTCGAATGCTGCTCCTGTTGCACCCCGCGCTCCGTCTGCGGCGTTGATTGGGCTGTCGCTGCTGGGCAACCTTGACGGGATATACAAGCATGCGACGTTCCCGGACTTTAAGCTGCATACCCTCACTACGGGCTCGAGGCAGAGAAATGGGGGCATGTTGATGTTTGGGTATACGTTCGCGGGGAAGTTGTTTGTTAGTCTTGGATATGACCAGAACGGGTTCGAGAGGGAGACGGTGGATACGTTTTGGAGTGGGGTGTTGAGTGGGATTACGGAGTTCTTGATTTGAGTTTCACGATGAGGATGATGGACTTTAGATGACTATTATCAGACATTATTAGTTCTTGTTTTACTGGTTGCATCTACGTACGCTTACTTTTTTGGTTTCATGTTGGACTGTGATTTTTTTTTCTTGGACTTTGTTGGACTCGTTCACGTTTATAGTCGCTCTCGCTTCGCTGTCATACCTACGGCTAGACTCATTTGTAACGCTCTGAAACATGTACCTACACCTCACATACCAGTCAAATAAACATTTTCCGTGTACTTGCGTTGTACTTGGAAGATGATGGCGAAACCTCCCAGTGGCGCGCCACACTACTAATTGCCGATCGCGACGCGACGCGTCAATCACGTGGCCCCCCTTCAAGCACCTCGCCTTTCCGCTTTCGAGGCACCAGTGACCACAATTTCTAGCTCTGAGAACGAGTTGCTGGATTCGACGAACTGCTCAAAGGGGACGCTCTCTGGCCATAAAAGGATGTTCACGACCTTCTCTACGAACCCGAGCACACCCATCCCGACGAACGCACGCGTCGCTGCGAAACCTATGTATCGTACGCCTACGACTGCTACGACGCCGTTGCCTCAGGCTCGAGCGCAGGTTCAGGCTGCACCGGTGCAGATGGCTTCTGCAGCAGCGGTGGCTGTTTCAAATCCATTGACGAATACTACGGATGATTATGAACGTACGCTTGCCATTTTTCTTGGTTTTCTTATGAAAATGACAGGCTGACTAGGTGTACTGCTGACTTGACAGGATGGTACACCGAACAGACGACCAGTAATCGTATGGTCCTGGCCCTCCGCTCAGGCATACATACCGAAGTCTCCTGGGCCCTCGACCGTTTCTGTCGCCTATGCTGCAACGACCGATGGTTCCTGCGCACTCTCCCCAACACGATCGACGCCCTCTTCGAATGGCCAGAATGGTACATCTCAAACTGCGCCAGCCCCTCCTCCACATCCACCCTCTCCGCCCTCTTCTCCATCTCGCCCGACGAAGAACGCAAACGCAAATTCGGTCTCGAAGCGATGTTCATCATGCGCAACGCCGCCGTCGGAAACGAGACGAACGCGCGCGATCTCGCGGCGCACAAGCAGACTCGTCCGCTATTGCTTTCTGCGCTGTATAATGTACACCCGGACGCGTCGGACGCGAATACGGAGTTCTTGATCCACGCTCTGGAGTTTCTGCAGTGCGTCGCTCCTTCATTCACTCTACCATCGCCTTCAGCACCGAAAGAGACGAACCCCATCCCCGCGCTGGTGCAGATCGTCGGGAACACGACGAATAGGACGATCATCATCGCCGCATTGAGCGCACTCAACGCTCTGCTCGCAGAGCCTTCTGCAGGTCCGCACGTGAAGGCGGATTCGCCAGCTTTGACGGCGGCGGTACGATACCTCGCCCTGCTCACGGACAAGCAGCTCTTCGACGCGGCCGTGAATTATCTGTATACGCATCTATCGCATCCGCCGATGGCGAAGGCGTTCTTGTTGCATAGGGATATGCCGAGCACGCTCAAGTTGCTGGTGTGTCAGATTATTGCGGAGCAGGTGGAGGATCAGGTGAGGGTGGATGTGGGCGGGAAGGTGCATACGGCGCCGGCGCATGTTGTGGCGACGAGGACGTATGAGCTTACGAAGGAGGAGTTGGACGGGTTGGCGTCGATGCCGGAGCCGGAGCGGTGTTATGAGTGGTGGGTTTTCTCATAATAATCTTTCTGGTCGTGCTATTCCGTTGCTCATTTGTGCTTGCATATCTCTGTCGTGTTGTAGGATGCGAAGAATGTTCCTCTTCGACCCAAAAAAGGAGGTGACGCAAGTCGAACTATGGACTCTATACAGGGATAGCTTCCTCCCATACCAAGACCGCCACCAACTGCTCGTCGCCTCAGAAGTGATCAGGAACGTCAACTTCGTCTTTCCACTCGCACAAGCCATGGTCATCGAGACGACCAAGCCCTCGAGATTCATCGTCAGTGGCGTCGGTCGTCGACAAGTCGATAACCCAAACGAACGATTCAGGTGTCATTGGAATCGGTCGCAGTGCCAGGTCGCACCATGGAGTTCTGCCGGTGAACTTTATGATCATGTTTTGGAGCACATCAACGGGAGTGGCGAGGGCCAGGAGCAGGAGCAACAAACAGAGACAGAGGGACAATGCCAATGGGCGACATGCTCTCAGGGTGCATTACCAAAAACACGACTCCGAGCACACGTCCTCACGCATCTCCCAAAAGCACAACCGGACGCAAAACATCCCGAGCAGGGTAACACAATCACATTACCCTCAGAAGACGATCCATACCCCACTCCCGATCCAACGACACGTAAACCCCCACCACCTCGATCCGCCATCCTTTCCTACCCCGTCCCCCTCATCGACCCGCCCTCGAGCGCATTAACTTCACTGCTATGCATTCGGATATTATTCCGCACGGCGTTCGCGACGGTCGAGGCTGCTCCGCGCGTCGATGGGAATCATTTTGGGTTTCCGGGGGTCGTGGAGGAGGAGGAACTTGGGGAGGAGGACGAGGCGGAGGTTGTGGCGATGGAGGAAGAGGAAGAGGAGGGCGCGAGGAAGGGGAAGAAGGCGTTTGTGGGCGTCAGGAGGTTGTTGGAGCAGGTGAGGATTAAGGAGGAGACGTTGATGGGGTGGATTGAGGAGATGGTGCAGGCTTCGCTGTAGGGTGGCTTGGTGTGTCGTATATTTCCGTGTGTATATTCTTGTGTTTGTGATCGCTACTCTCAACTAGGCCACGCGCACAGTGGATTATGGCTGCTAATGCGTATGTCACAGTGCTGATGATATTGTCTTGCCCGAACTGCTGGTGTTTGGGTTCAGGGCGAATTTGTCGCTTCCATGGCCGCCGGTCGATCCTGCTATGTATAACTCCATTTTATCTCGAGGTCTGGGTCGACCAATAACTTACTCGCGTACAAGATTCGAGATCCAGGATTGACAGCGGTATCTCAATCTCTCGTGTCTCAACGTTCAAAGGCTCAAACGCCGACGTCGATCATCTCCCCGCGGCGTCTCGAAAAAAGCCCGTTTGGTCCAGAGACCCGTTTGAGTCGCTCTTGTGCCTTAATCAAGTATTGGTCTTGTCCTGCCAACATGCCAGCATGCCAGCGACCGGGGACTGGCTTTGAATGAACAAGATACATAGGTTTGAGTACGACATTGTGATACCCGGCGCATGTCGGAGCAGTCTGAGACCGTGACTCGGGCTACTGTGGTGTGCATTTGGACTGTCTTTGTGCCTATGTCCTCGAAATTTTGAATCGTTGGGGGGCACCGAGGTCCTGGAGGATCGTGGTGTGGTTGTCCTTTTAGGAACCGCCCGTTTCAAGACGTACCTTTGTCTTATGCCAGACAACTGTACTGTGATGGAAAATGATATATTGCGCGGATTACTGGGATACATGTGTGAGACTACCACTGCTCCCGCCAACGAGTCGCCACCCAGCCACGAACGCCACACTACCACTGAACCTTCGAATTCAGTCCCTGTCCACCATGGTATTAAACTACCATCGTCCAATGATCGACGACTCGAGCTCTTTATGGCACACGACGCTTCGTGCGAGCATGAGGTCATGAGGTATAATATCTTTCTCACCCCTCAAATCTAATCAGATTTAACCACCCCCATATAACCTTCAAAGCAGGACAATCTAGAGGAGATAAGTCGTCATGTTGACATCGATGGATAACACCTGAGTGTCGACGGCAGTACGTTTCGCCTGCACTGCTTCACTGCTAACTTCAGTGCAATTGTGGACTCGGATGACTTCAACGAACTCAAAATATACGAGCAAGCCGTCTGCTGTTAGCCAGTAAGTCCGATTGGACGCGTCTCGTGTACACAAAGGCGTTCCGAGGCGGGTGCCCATAGGGATACACAGTTGTGATCCTAGGACGTCCGACCTCTCGAGCTTCTAGTTTCTCCGAGATGACGTTGCTGGTATATAGCTAGGGAACGAGGCAGGACGTGGTGATACGTCTCTTTCCTTCCAGGTCGACGCGAGATACAGTTACAGGACACCAAGCACAAGCCGAGACAGGTATCGTTAGATATGGCCACAGTTGTTTTGAAGAGAACAGGGCAGAAGGTGCGTGAGGATCGTACGAAGGGATGATAGTGTTTGCTGATACGTGGTGTTTACTACGCGTAGATGCCATTGATCGGGTGAGTTATCATGCCCTCAGCTAGAGGTGTAGAGTTACTGACCGGTGCACCATCCACAGGTTTGGGCTCTGGAAGGTCTGACTTTTCAAACACACTACAGAAGATGATATTGAATGAAACGTGCACATCAGGTCACGAAGAGTGACTGCGCAGATGTAAGTCGCTAATATTAGAGTTACAGTCCATGCTGAATTTTGTTATGTGCAGACCGTCTACAATGCGATCAAGGCCGGCTATCGCCTTCTCGACGGCGCTGGTGACTATGGAAATGAGGTAGAAGCTGGGGAAGGTGTACGCAGGGCGCTGAAAGACGGGATTGTTAAACGTGAAGAACTTTGTGAGTTGACGGTCCTGTTGAATCCGAACCGGCAAGCTAAAGCTCTCTCGATAAGTCATTACCTCAAAGGTGCGTAGAAGAGTCATTGTTGAAGGCATGCCATTGTGACGCAATTGTTTTCGCAGCTCTGGGTCACCTTCCACGCCTACGAACACGTCAGTGAAATGCATTGGTTTTATGGCGGGTAAGCGACTTACGGTGGCTCGCAATTCTCATTGACTAGGCCAAAGCCTCAGCGAAGAGGCAGCTTGGGTTGTGGGGTATCGATTACTTCGACCTTTACTTGGTTCACTTCCCCATTTGCTTGAAATACGTCGACCCGGAACACCGATACCCGCCGGGGTGGTTTGGTGACGATGGAAAGGCTCATCTGCGTGAGTCGCCACTGCGCATGCTTCCGACGAACCTGTCATTGACGGATACGGTCACAAAGAGAACACACCTTTTTCGGAGACCTGGAAGGCCATGGAGGAGCTGGTTGACGAGGGGAAGACAAAGAATATCGGCGTCAGGTATGCAAGTATGCACTTCCGGCGTTGACTACGATTGCTACTGACCCGAAAGTGTATATGAAGTAACATGGGAGGAAGCCTGCTTCTAGACCTACTGCGCTATGCTCGCTACGAGCCTCAAGTGCTCCAGATAGAGCTGCACCCGTATCTGACCCAGGATGCGATGGTCAAGCTGGCCAAGCAGCTTGGCATAGCAATTACGGGGTACTCCTCGTTCGGTCCGCAGAGTTATGTCGAGTTGGGAATAGACAAGGGACACAAGAGTCTGATGGAGCAGGATTATGTGGTGAAGGCAGCGCGGGCACACAACACAAGTAAGCCAGTTTACCGCAAATGTTGTTGCGGTCTGGAGTGCACAGGTATGGCTGCTAATAATCTGGAGCAGGCCCGGCACAAATCCTGCTCCGATGGGCCACGCAGAGGGGGATTGCGGTAATCCCAAAGAGCAATTCTTTGGAGCGTATCGTGCATAACTTGGGTAGCAACGACTTTAACTTGACTGATGAGGAATTGAAGGAAATTACTTCGTTGAACATTGACCTGAGGGTGAGTACTTCGGAATAGGACTCCTTACCTCTGGCAGCAAGAAATATTGATGACTCACTTTACAGTTGAATGACCCGGCCGAGATCGACCCTCGCCTTGCTATTTTTGCGTAGATCAGCGGGAGAACGACCTTTTGTACTCGGCGAAAGACGAGTGCGAGTGCCGTGTACGCGCGTCCAGCCAGGGGGCACAGTAATATTGTGTATGCAGAACGTTAGCGGAACCGAGGACGTGGCTGTGTATTTGGGGACGTGGAGGCGCAGTGATCGGAGTTTAAAATCGTGGGGGTATATAGAGATGAGCTCAGAGTGTACCTTCTTTCGTTACCTACCAGACATCATGTCCACACCCACCCACTTCAAACTCGCAAAGTCAGATAGTCTCACTCGTCGTGTCTCCTTCGCTGCATTCCCCTCCTGGGACGAGCTTGCTGCACGCATTCAGGCGCTCTATCATATCGAAGACCCTGCGGTCTCGTACATCGACTCTGATGGAGACGCCATCGTCCTTTCCTCAGACGAGGAACTCCGCGACTTCTACCAGTCGAGCGAACTAGGACAGGTAGTCAAATTTACCGTCGTCGACCTCAGCGATGTTCGCACTCTGGATAGCAGCAGTTCAGGCAAGCCTCTTCCCGCTACTCCCTTCGATTCTTCCCTTCGGAATCCATTCTCCGGTGGGCAACTACCCATGCCATTTCTCTTTGAAGTCGAAGACGATTGGCAACGTCTTGGAATGGGCGGCACCTTCGAGTCTACTCCCATCGAGCCGAATTCCGACAGTCCCCATGCATTCGTCGAGGTGATTCCCAGCGACACCGAGCGAGCCAGTGTATTATCCGGTAGCGACAATCGGACCGTATCGGACCAACAGACGCCCACCCTTCCTCCTGTCGACAAGGGTAAAGCGAAGGCTACGAGCTCCAGCGACGATGCATCGACGGTATCAGTCTTGAATGATGATGCGCCGGACAAGCCACCCGTCCATATTCAGATTCATCGCCTTCGCAACTTCCATTCTGGCACCTTTGGTCCCACATCCTCTACAGACAAAGCTTTCCCTAACATTCCTCCCGCACCAGCTTCCCCCGAGGCAGATGCCACCGTGCTCGAGGATAAGACTGGCACTCGGTCTTCCGCCTCCCTTTCCCTCGACGAGGCTCCTGCCCAGCCGGAGTCCACCACTGATGATCCTCCCCTACCCGAGGTTGGACCTGCCCCTGGAGCAGCATCGCTCTACAACGACATCGCGCAGCTCCTCAATTCGCTTTCAACTGCCGTCTCCAGCCATCCCGAACTGTCCGAAGGTATTCGTAACGTCGTGCGCAATGCCACTAACGGCGCTTACTGGGAGGGAGGCCGCCAGTCTGTCGCCCATGTCGTGGAGGACCTTCGCCGCGCGGCACAGGAAGCTCGAGAGTCGGCCCCCAGTTCGGAAGATTTGCACCGCAGGGCGGAGGAGGAGGCCGGCAGAAGAGTTGCGGACGCGATCGGCAGTGTTTTCAGAGCTTTCGGTGAGGCGACCAGGAGCACGAGCAGTGACGATGCACCGCCATTTCCTCCATCTCCTAGGCCAGAAAGTCGTGATCACCACCAACCTCCTCCTTTCCCCCCTCTTTTTGTCCCCCAGATGACATTCCCACATGCTCGAGGGGGCGGATTCGCTCGTCGTGGTCGTGGTGGTCCGTTTAGTCCTTTCCATCATCATGGACATTTCCCCCATATTCCCTCACCCGACGCACATTTTCCTCCTCCGCCCCCGCCCGGTCAGTGGTTCCCGAGGGATCCGTTCGGTGGTCGTCAATCTCCGCCGCCGCCGCCGCCACCACCTCCGGGGCCACCTCATGCCCCACCTCCAGGGTCTCCCGCCTCTCGAAGCTCCATGCCGCCCCCTCCACCCCCTCCGGATTTTGGTATGCCACCGCCACCGCCTCCTGGTCCCCATGGTCCTCCCCCTCCTCCCCCTAGCGGTTCCTTCCCACCTCCACCTCAGCCTCCTCACGGCAGGTTCCACCATGGGCGTGGTCACCCTCGCCATTCTTTCGGACATTACGTCCCGGGGCCGCCACCTCCCCCGCCTGGACATGCTCCTCCCTTCTACAATGACTATGTCTCACCTGCGTGGAGCCAGTTCCGGACATTCCAGAGGCAGTCGACCGATGCCTCTACGCCGGCGGAGACCCCCACGGTGGAGACTACGGCAGGCGAGCAGCGCGAAGTCTCGTATTACGCCGCGTCGTCCAGATCTACACGGCCTCGAGCTGAAGATCTGAAGGCTTCTTTGGAGACAGCAAAGCAGAATTATAAGAGGGAGAAGCAAAGGTATCGTGCTGAACGTCAGGCGAGGCGTCGTGAGCGTGAGCGCGCGAATGAATCCTTTGAAAGGTAAGAGCTTTCACTTTGTGCCAAATATACCTCATTGTTGATTTTGCTGCTCTCCTTTCATCTAGCTCTGCCACTGAAAGCGGAAATGATCATGCTCCGGAGGCTCCTGAGGCGACTGCTCCTCCGCCTCCGGAGGTTCCGCTGACCTCCATGCCTGAGACCCAGATCATTAGTAACGCCCATGGGTCCTTCCCCCAGCTCGAGATGTTCAATGTTATGCGTAGCCCGGGTCACCCTCGCAGGCACCATACTATCGCGGGACATGGCATGCGCTACCGTGAGCGCCAGGCAGAAGCTCCTTCTAACGAGGTCAACGTCGAGGCGGAAATTATTCAGAGGTTGGGCAACGTATGTAATCAGCTATAGCCTCCTTTATGCATCGATATTGACTGGTCGCATTACTTTGTAGATGGGCTTCAGCGAGCGCGAGTACCCGACCTTGCCGAATGTGGTGAGTTCGTGCTTGAAGACGAATGACGTGACGAAGATGTCGAAGAGCGACCAGGATGATGTCGTCAGCTTGGTGGTCGACGAGCTTCTTACGATGCCGCCGTCCACGCCTAAGGCCTCTGGTTCTGAATTGTCCACTGATTAGGCGCGAAGTGTTTGAGCTCTTTCCTGTTTCTCCCGTTGTGGGGCTGGTTGTATGAGTAGCGCAGTATATGCTTTCATCTCACTCTATCTTTGTCTCCTGACTTTCGAGGTAGGTATCGTTTCATATTCTGGTATTTATCTTCTTGTTTGTTTTCGTTTTTGAGGACTGTTGGCGATTGTCGTTGAGACGATCAATGAGAGTTCGTCTTCTTGTCTATGCTCTTCCTTTATTCTGCAATACGAAAAAGAAACAAAAGCTTGAGTCACCTTGTAACATGTATGTATCATAATTGTTAGGAATATACGTTGGACTGGTACGAACGACACAACACTGTCGCAAAGTGGTGCACTTTGATTGTGCAGTCTGAGTGTGTTACAGCTTCTTTCTTATTACGCCATGGTGAGGCAGAAAGGTGGCCTAACAATGTTCTGAAAGTTCATCTGGGCCTCGATGACAGAAAGATATGCGGTTCGTGGTTCGTGGTTCGTTGTCATAACAAGTATGTAGTAGATGTTGAGAATGAATAAGAAAGAGTATCCAGAAGAAGTTTGGGTCATATTCGTTCTGTGCACGAACTATCGTTGACGGCATCGCCGTAAATGCGTTCGATGTGACACTTTGGTATACGTACGTGGATCGGCCAGGCTCGACCAAGACGCGTGCTTCCGCCGTGTAAGTGGGGTTCGACTGCCAAACGAGCGATCTGGGTAAGTTCATTAGCGTAGAAACGGTAGACAGGGAGGGCGTACAAGATTGAAGGGACACACTGGTATTGCACATCCTCATGGCCGTGTCAATAGATTCGATCGACGCTAGAACAGTGACAGGTCGAGAGCCAATGTGCCTCCGAGTGAATAGGCTATTGACGGGAAGAACTTGAACGTGGACTGGACTCGGCGGATTCGTTGAACCTACGAATGATTCACGCCTGAATTGCGAAAGCCACGACGAATGGTCCCAAGGCGGAACCAAGAAAAGTTGTCTGGTTGTTGGACTCGAAAGACATACTGCTATGAGCAAAACATGTACGATACGGTATTGGAGTCGACAAAGAGCCTCATATCAGTGCAGCCAGACGGAAGCAAATTATCGAGGAGGGGGGTTTGCCGGAATGAGACGAAGCGCGTCCCGGGTTTAGAGATTTCAAACTGGAACAAAACAGACCACAAAACGGATCGCCCTCAAGAGGGTCCATCTACGGCATTGATCGTCGACAAAGAGAGCCAGACAAAGTGAACGGTACGACCGCGCTTTTGACAAAGTTATAACACTGATGAGTCGAGGCAGACAGAACAAAAGCGGTAACTGGGCAACCAAAAGAGCTTCAATCTGAGCATCTGCTATATACGCAGATGCCTTTGATGCAGGTAGGCTCGTCAAGGAGCAATGCTTTGCGGCTGAGCGCAATCTCACGTCCATGGCTTGGCCGGTTGGGCACCCCATGCGGCTCGCAACATTTCTAAAAGGGAAGTAATATCGAAGCTCCCAGCTGTTGCTTTGTCTGGCTTCGCACCTGGCCGAGACTTCAAGGGCAAAATGGCACGTCAAATACCTAGCAGAGTGGCTCAGGTAGGCCGCGCCGGATGTACCATTTAATGTGGGCGAGAGACGAGAGGCATCTCTTTCTCCAGGAGCCTGCTTTGCCTGCTTCCTGGTGAGTGGCGTTCCTCCTGTCTTTATTTATGGTCACTCACAGCTTCAAATAATTGTTCTGAAGCAGCAGAATACCGCTTTCTCTGGATATATATTCTAGAATGACGACGACTTACCAAACACGCGACGAGACTAGCCTATTAGGGCGCTTGTGGGTCCGTCGGATTTTGCCCAATCCTCGACGTCTTTTCGCGCACCTTTCGCACTTCCTTTTGCGTCAGAGACAGGGGCGAGAGAGATCGGGGAAAAGGAATGAGGAGCGGTTCGGTGAGTGTTCCTCTGGCGACGCGTAGGCCCATGTGGCTGGACAAACAAGTTGGGACGTGGACCTACAAGCGCAAATATTCCCGTTTTTGGAAGCGATGTTGTTTTGCCTCATGGCACCATCGATTTCAACATGATATTTCGAACCCAGCGGGTTATAGCCTGCATTGCCCTCAATGTTCCTTGTCCCTTTTTCCTCCTTTATAAATCCGGCTGATAGACCCTGCTCTTTGCCAAAACCTCGCTTTCCCAGAACCCACTCCAACCTGTTCGCCCTCCCTTTATATGACCATACCCGAGCTACCGATAGAGATCGAGATGAACCCATCAGTGAGTCCCCTCATTTATCAGACGACATCTCGAAACTGAACATGGACACAGGGTCACATACCACCACCAGCACCACCACAACGCGATCAACAAATGCAAGCAGCAGTCGATGCTACGTTGCGACGCATACTATCTAAGGAGCCGGAGCCTCTGGAACCCGATAACGACGAGCTAAAGGCCATATTCAAGTTGTCTATCGCCGCCCGCCAGAACTTCGCGAAGTCGATGGCCTCCGCCCTCCAGCAGCCAAATGTAGATCCAAACTTGACGGCCAAGGTCATCGGTGCGCACGTCGATGCGATCAGGCTCACTTGGCGTCTCTTCCCCATCAATAAATTCCCCGTTGAAATCCTCGCCAAAATTTTCGGCATGGTCGCGTGGAGTGTTCCAGATGCGCAGGGTGGGGTCATTGCTCGTATGCGCTTGACGTGGGTTTGCAAGCAGTGGAGAGAGGTTGCGGTCAACAATCGGTCGCTGTGGAGCTCCATCTGGTTCAATGATCGCTTTCCCTACACCCGATCCCTTCTCTTTCTCGACAGAGCTGGTTCTGCCCCCCTCGATATACGTCTCAACGAACATATACGATACTTCGTGAGTAGGGGGGATCCTGCGGAGGAGCTTTCCGCGGAGAGGACGCGTTTCGTCATGGGCAAGATACTAGCGAAGGCAGACCAGATACGTAGGCTTTTCATCCTGGTCGAGAACTGGCCGGGTATGCTTGTCGCCCAGGAGATGTTGCAGAACGCTCCTCGTCCTATGTCACAACTCCAACATCTGGAGCTGCACCGCACTGGACGTTTCGATTCGACCGCTATGGACATCGATCCCAATCCATTCAGCAACCCCACGGTCCTTTCTGGACGCATCATTCCGGCTCTCACCCATCTCACTCTCAACGGCACCCACATCGACTGGCAGAACTCTTCCCTCTCTAATCTGACGACCCTTGATCTTCGACGTAACTCCGTCCGTGGGATGCCTCCCATTCACGTCTTCCTGGACGTTTTACGTGCCAGCCCCCGTCTCCACAAGCTCTGCTTGGACGGTGCCGCTCCAGCCCCACCCAACGAAACCCCCGCAGAGAACATGTCCCCCGTCGTCTTCGCCAATCTTGCGATGCTTTGCATCGGCGATTTCAGCCTCCAATATTGCATCTATCTCGTCTCTTGGATCATCGCTCCGAACGTCCTCGACCTCACGCTTCAAAATCTCAACGCAGAGGACTTCGGATTGTTCCTCAAGTCGATTACCGGGAAATTCCCGCGGGTCCACGTCCTCACCCTCACGGCGTTCGAGGTTGATGAAATTCGTCCGAACGAAAGGATTCTTTCTCGGTGGTACCATTCCATGCCAGACGTCACGTATCTGCGTCTGAGGCAGATCACCCCGATGATCCTGAACGTGCTCAATGCGGACTTCCGTTTCCACAAGAACGACGACATCCCGATAACCATGTCGTTCCAAGAGTACGAGGCGATTCAAAATGGTCCAGGTGAATGGATCCCGTTGTTGCCCAAACTCATCTCGCTGGAGTTCGGCTTTGTCCGTGTCGAGGACGTGATCCACTACGCAACTACCAGGATCAAAATAAACAAGCCCCTAACCGCCCTCCTCGTGGAAAGGAAGTATTGCGATACTTTGGATGAGTTGGTGAAGGAGAAACTCAAGAAAGTAGCCAGGGTCTACACCACGCGAATGGTACCGCCCAGCAGTCATGCTGATCTGGGGGTGAGAGGTCTGTTGTTGGCCCCACCTAATATTCGGGCGGGCTCTAGGTTGGGTCCTGTCACTCATGTTTGAGTGTGGCGGGGGACCTGGTTGTGTCGCACAAACTACGCAGGTGTGGAGAATTTGTCTCATCTATCACGTTTTGATCTTGCTTGCTTCGATCTTTGCTTTCATCTTCCGTCGTCCTGTTGCTCCTTGCTATCGTCCAACTACTTATCGTCTTGCTTTGTACATACTACTACCGCTTTCAAAACGGGGCATTAACTCTACTGGTAGAGCTTGTGCCTCATATGTTGCTTCCCAATTGTTGTCAAAAAGCTTTCTCCCATGTTGCCACACAATTACTATACATCTCTTTGGTTGTCTCGGGAATATATGGTCTTGTTGCTCGGTGGAGGTGCCACTGTGGCGCTATCAGGGGGATTCAAACTAATCACGGGACCGCGTTAGTGTGTCATTCTTATGTAAGCTGTGGACGCGTTGTTGTCCCTGCGCGTCGGCACGCGTTACGACAATGTTCGATTTTATCTGAACCATCTCAGGTCCTTTCACAACAAGATCTAAGCTCCCGGTCTGGTCTACCTTTCTTGAGAGCAGGTCTCGCCTCATATATTCAGGATGGCGTCCTATTCCTCTACTTCCAATACTTCGATGTCCCCATCTCAGTCGAGCGCGACGCCAACCGCGGAAGACGACGGCGTTTTCTACGAGACAGAATTCGTAGATGGTGCTCCGTATACGAGGAAAAGACCCTCTAGCTCTCAGATAGGTGCCCTCCAGACCAGCTACGACGCGAACCAGTACCCTTCGCGAGAGGAGCGTATGGCTCTTGCGGACAAGATTGACATGTATGTCTTCCAACTTATCTTTGAGACGACAGTGTTTAATATAGGTATAGGCCATACAGTGCTATCACCAACTGGTTCCAGAACAGACGCCAGTCGAGTAATCGCAAGGCGTGGACAGTCGCCGCTCGTAACAAGAGACGTACTCGCGCGAAGGAAGCCGCCCAGCGCCCCTCACGCATGTCGGGACTCTCCTTGGACCACGTCGCGTCTCTCTTAGAGCGTCGCTCTAACTCTCCCGTACACAGCCGCCCCAACTCATTGATCCCACTCCCTTTGACCCCCCAGAAACGCCGTACTATATCTGCGTCGGAGCTTGTGAGTCATATGCCCTCTAGCCCGCCAGAGCCGCCGTCTTCCCCGTTCGCTGGAAAGTCCCGAACCTCTGCCGACCCCACTGCGCAGATCAAGCCCGTCAAGTCGCTCGAATGGGCATGCGCGCGAGCTAGGGTGCAGCGAAGAGACAAAGAGAATCGACCCTTGACGAAGAGAGCCATTCGCTGGAAATCAGAACCGTCAAAAGGGTCCCGGTCTCGAGCAACGTCGGCCCCAGAGTTAGGAAGGCTGGACAATGAGGGGGAGATGGATGATGGATCTGAGACGGAGGTCGAACCGGACGAAGCGCTCACGCCTGTTCGCACGAAGAGTATGTCGACCGTGCGTACTCGCTCGTTCACTCAGGACCACCAGGAAGAAGGCATGAGAAAGAATTCGGGTACAGGGGCAGATATGGAGGCCGCTATGATGCTTCTAGGATTCATGAAGGGTGCTTAGTGGTAGACACGGACAGGTGGACACGAAAAAATGCGGAAGGGGATATCACCCAACGACATGACACACGATGACGGATATTCACGATTTCCCTTCTCTCTCACGCACAAAAAGCTCTGCAGACTGTTATCGTTATCGCTCTCCTCCTTATTTTTCTTTCCAAGTTTTTTCCTATCCTTTTTTTTCTGTGTTCTTATTCTTGACGCACACTTCTTGGGAAAGACTCAGTAGTTTCGGCCGAAAGTTCCAACCATACATATGGATTCTGGATTGTATTACACACATACCCATCATTGTTCCTCTTCTGAGTTTGCATTGTTGTCTTGATACGGTTATGCCCATTTCATGAACCTACCTATGACGATCCTTGCACGATTTCTTCCGCCCGGCCTTTTGTTTTCTCGGCTCGGGCATGTATGGGACTTTTTCAAGCTTTATGCTATACAATATGTTCAACAGTTGACCAAATATGACCATATACTGTCAGTCTGGGACTCACAATAACCACCACTCATCTCCACTTGCTTATCCGCGATTCACCTGAGTAACCCCGAACGTACGAGAAAGTAACTTCAGAATACGATTTTCGTCACGAAAGAAATCTGGTGCTCACGCCCTGTAACTGTACTAGAGCCCCGATATTTGGCTCAAGGTTGTGCGCAGCCCCGAGACTCGAACTTGGGTGGCGTATACCATACTTGCTTACTGTGGCCCTCCCCACCTCCTTCTCTTCTCTTCTACACACCACAGAGTACTATTCTGGCAGGACCAGAAAACACTTATTCAATACTTATTCATCTTTCACCCACACTTTTACTGCCGTGTAACTTATCATGCCTGTCACTCGCACCACCCGCTCGTCTGCTGCTCACCACATTACGACAACGTCGGCGAAAACGGCGCCCACATCCGCCGCACCCTCTGTCGGTGAGATCGTACTGGACTTGTCTTTAGCTAGTTCTGCATTCTCTGCCGAGACATCGGAGCGCGACTCCAGCTCGGCGGGCAGTGGAAGTGGAAGTGCGACCAGTAAGCAGAAGAGGTATCGCGACAGAGTCGATGGCGAACTCGAGAAGTTGCAGGAGTTGTGGGACCGTACACAGTACCCTCCGCGAAAGGAGAGGGCGGGGCTCGCAACCGCGCTTGGGATGTAAGTATACACGAGTAATCGCAGAATTATGCCACGCTGACACTCATAATTCGATTTAGAGACATCAAGATCGTTGACATCTGGTTCCAGAATAAACGCAGGGCTATCAAGAAGCAACAGCCTAAGGAAGTCGAATACATTCAGAATGAACAGTCCAGAAAGCCCGAAATGACCACTCAGCACGAAGCTACATCTACTGCCAGTCTTGATCTATCAGTTTCTGTCTATGCTACCGCGGAGTCTTCACCTCCATCCATTGCTCCCGTCAATTCTGTTCCCCAGGATCCGTCATCCCCGTCTTCTCGAGTCCAATCACCTTGCATTATTTCTCGACCTCTGGATGGATTCGGTTCGCATCTCCTGCCTTTGAAGGACATGCATCAAGGCAATCACGGCAATGCGATCTCTGCTCTTGCCCCCGCTGCAACCATCTCGATTCCTCTCTTGCAAAAGCTGAAGTCTCTGCCCCCGGATCCTCGCTCTTCGCACTATGCTTCTTCTACGAACAACCGCTACGCGCTAGTTCCTGCTCTATTTCCGCCTCAGGCCTCTTTCTCCGCTCTGAGCCCACCGGTCACGATCTTGAAGACGCCGCATCGCGACAGCCACGGTGTTCAACCAAAACACTCTCAGACCTTACTCCCTTCGGCTCTCATTTCGTCCAACTTCTCGCTGTCTGAGAATAGTCACCCCCGCGTTCATCACAACGCAGTCAAGAAGGTGAAGCACAACACCCAATCGACGGGCGCACTCGACAAGGCTTGCGAGGAACGGAGGCGAAGGCACAAGCAACATAGGGAGCGTAGACCCCACAAGGGACACAAGAAGGTGTTGGGAGGGTTCGCAGAGCAGCAGCCAAGGACCATAGAAGAGAAGGGATCTCCCGTCAACTACGATGACTCAGGCTACGCTTCTGATTCTGACGCTACAAACTCTCGATTCCTAGAATCGGATGTTCGCACCTCCTCTGAGCCGGAGCTTGTATACTCGCCGCGTATGACTGAAGCAGCCCAGATCCTCATGTCTTTCAAGACGGGGAGGATTTTCTAGAGATGGGACTGGTGGCCTTGTATTTGTACGCGCATATCATCCCCTGTGCTATGTGTATACCACGTCTTGTCTCCCTACATCTTAGCACACATTTTATTTCCTGGCTCATATTCCCTTCATGTTCATTACTCGCCCTGTATCCACTTCTCGGACATTCACTTAGATCATGTACTGCACCTCTCACCTATCTGTATCACTGCCCCATACTATACCAATACCAAGGACACATTCTCGCTCTCAAGTCATTTACCACGATAGTCGAAGTGCAACAAGACAAAAAAATGCTTATAGAAGACAACAACAAACAAAGATGCAAGAACGTAATGCGAGAAAATAAGTAACAAACGATCAGATGATTGCACGACATGAACTGCATGGACATAGACATTGGACATGGACGATGCTGAGATATATTTTTACTCTACACTGCGGTGTCATGACCCTAACGACTTTTTACGCTTCTTCCCGAGCACGGCGGGCGACGTCTCCGTCGGTATCGGCGTCCCTGTCTGCGAGGGGCTGCTCGCCGGCGAAGGGTAGGCCGACGGTGCGTCGCTACGTGAGTTAGCATGTCCGTTGCTTTTAGTGGTAGTGGAGGCGGCTCCGTTTGGAGGTTTGTGTGCGCCGTTGCTGGTTCCGTTTGTTTGTGGACGAGGAATCGAAGTGGGTGGAGGACCTGAGGCTGAAGGTACAAGGGTGTGAGCAAAAAAGGAGAGAAAATAAACGACGACAGCACAGAACACACCTTTGATAGCATGCTGCCTAAACAACTCGATGAAACCATTCATCTCACGCATATCCACGACCCTTTCTGTCCGTTCAGCAACCACAACAGGCTTCTCACTCTCCACATCCACATCCATCCCCGCGTCCTCCTCCTCTTCCTCTTTACCCTCCTCACCATCGTAGGCAGCCTCCGTTTCAACCGGACGAGGCTTCACGAAATCGCTCATGAGATCGTCGAACAACGACTCTATAGGCGGCATAAGGTAAGCCGGAGCATCGAAGATATCCTCCACACTCTTCCCATTCCACGGCTGCTGAGAAGTCGCAGAAGCCAGAGCGATCGGCTGCTGGGACACATCCGCAAACGCAGACTTCCCAAACACGTCCTGGAAGAGCGTTCTCCTCTGCGAACCAGCAGCAGCACCTCCGACGATCTCCTTCGCAGACGACCCTTCCTCCGATGGAACCTGTACGACAGATCCGAAGAGGACGACGCTCCATGTTTGGGTGATACCGACGAGGCTGAATGAGGACGGATCTTTGGAGGTCGTTTTGGAGGTCGAGACGGGATACCACGAGACGCTGTGGAGTCGGAAGGGAACTGTGTGGGTGCGGGAGGGAAGTGGTGAATTGGGTCGGAAGATGAGGACGCGGGTGGTCTGGGTGGCTTCGGTGGAGACTGTAGGGATTCGCTCGAGCAGCGCGAAAGTCTCCGTTTTGGGATGAGGAATGATGGCCTCGTTAGATGACGAGCTAGCATAGTGCCATTGGACTGTAAAAAAGTAAAAGTATTAAAAATCATAAGGTCAGTCAACGACCTAATTCATTGCTTACCTGTCTGGGTAACGAGATCCCATAGCACCACGTCGAACTGGCCCACAGCAGCAAGATACCGACCATCATAACCGACGAAGTAAGCCGAGGTTATAGACTGACACTCGGGCGTGGTCAGGGCTTGAAGCATCGCGTTCGTCACAGGATCGTAGAGAGCGACATAAGGCCCGAGCGAAACGGCCAATAGAGATCCATCGGCCGACCAAGACGCGTGTCTAGGGATTTCTTGCCTGAACGTGAAGCTCGAACGAGCAACCCAAAATACTACATCATATCAGCACTAGCGTTCTGTCTTCTCTAAACAAAGAAGAGACATACCATCTTCGTTTCCTTCCTTGTCCCTTACAGAGCTAATCCTCCAACTCTTAATATTCCCATCCATCCCCGTCGTCACCAATATCATCCCTCCACGGTCCTTCACACGCGGACTAAACGCGACCGCCGTGATCCCCTTCAACCCATGCGGACGATCGATCCTCGTGTTCAATATCCAGAACCCAGTCGCTCTATCCCACCACCAGATCTTCAGGTAAACTTCCCCGCGGAAAGACTCGTCTCCTTCTCTCGAATCCACGGTGGCCATCCATTCGCCCGAAGACGAGATGACGGCGCGTTCGACGCGGGAGGGTTCCAGCATTTTTTCGTCTCTTCGTGAGACGCGGTTCGAAGGCGAGACTTCGAGCTCGGAGAGGAGTTTTGATGAGGAGGGTGAGTAGGTTTGGAGAGAAGAAGGGTGCGAGGAAGGCAGGATCAAGGTCGATGATTGTGGATGGACAGCCAGAGGGACAGAACCGGATGCAGATGTCCGTTCGTGAGATACAGCCGGGTCTGCGAGGATAAAGCAGATCAGAAACGGCAAAAACTTCAGACTGAAAACAAAAAAACAAAACAAAAAAACTGCCACCGACCGAGTTTAATACGAGCGACCGTCCTCGAGATCTTCAGCCTCCCAGCATTCACAAACGCAAACGTCGCATCCGCCAAACCCAACAAATATTCTTCCTCCGCCGCCACCGCCCTCGAGACCGCAATACTGGCTATAGGCGCACCCACACGCGGCACGAACTCCTTCTTCCCCGTATGCAACTGCCAGATGACCAAAACCGCCTCCTCGCCTCCACTAAGCAAATACGCCCCGTTCGGCGTGAACGCCAACGCGGAGACCGCATGGGCATGCCAATGCAGCGTCGTCGTGGGTGCGCGCTTCTCGACCGCAGGAACGTACGCGGTCGCGGTATCGTTCAAACAGTACCACAGTCGGATATTACCCTTGTCGTCGCCCGTGGCGAAGTACTCTTCCGAGGGGTGGAAGGAGAGACAGGTGAGCGCTTCGGGGGAGACGAACTTCGTGAAGCCTGCTTTGAGGTTTGACGTTGGAGCGACGTATGCTTTGTGCCCGCCGATGGCGACGAGCCAGGAGCCGCTTGGGGAGACTGACAGGCCGTGCGTCAGGCGGGTTCTACCCACCGCGATGATTTCTTGAGATTTTTGGATGGGAGATTGGGCGGTGGCTGCCGTTGGCTTTAGTGAGACCCGAAGAACGGCGGCGTTGTCTTCCGTGGGTTTTCCGGCTGTAGAAGGAGATGCTTAGCATTCGACATATGATATAGCACACGAGCAGAATTGTCGAGATAGAGCGTACCTTTACTAGTCATCTTCTTACTCCCACTTTTAACGGACACGAAAACGGTATCCTTGAAGTTCTCATGCGCGGTGAGATCGACAATAGGTTGGGCAAGGTCAAAAGTCTGCAACAACACCGCATCGAGAAAGTCCCAGACTTTGATACAGCCGTCGAGCGAGGCGGTAATCAGCTGGAACGCATTTTGGGGATTAAGCACGGCCGAGGTGATGAGATCGGAATGTCCGGTGGAGGAGTCACTGCCCTCACTGCCTGAACCTGAAGGAGACGCGGAGAGAGTGGAGACGACCAAGCCAGTAGCGACAGAGTAGATCTTCACGGAGCTACCCACGACGGAGAAGAAATATCTGCAGCAGCGAATACAAACACGAACATAAAAACCAGCATAAATAAACCGAAGAGGATCAATACTTCGAGTTCGAGGTGGGGACTACTAATGATAATAACGCACCGTCCGTCCTTCGTGAATATCGCAGGCCGTTTACTCGCAGACGAGTCCGTAATCGACACCCAAGGCCACGGTGTCCCCTCCTTCGCACTCGCACTCGTCCCCGCCTCTATCAGCGTCGACTCACCTCCCTCTCCCGTGCCTACGCGTCCACCCTCCACCACCAGTGCTTTATCCTTCCCCTTCTCCTTCCGGGTCCTCTTCATCTTCGTATTCGTAGGTTTACTCGGGCTCGTGCTCGCATCTGGAGGCGGGTGCGCCGTGGCCATGGGCATTTTGGTTTTAGAGGTCGACGCTGCCATTGCAGCGGTAGCCTTAGGGAGAGAAGGAGAGGGAGGGGTAATTTACAGCGAGCGGAGACCAAGTCAGAGTCTGGCAAAGCTTGCGAGGAAACGTTAACGGGAGCGGAAAAAAATGCTGACTCAGCAAAGTCATCCAGATTTCGATCTACGCTGTGGCACCTGGCCGCCACACAGGTCGGTTTACTGTAAAGTTAAACTTCGACTTTGGGATTGGTTCATTGGAAGACAGACAGGGAGGGAGGTATAATATGAATGCAAGAAATAATTTCACAGCTGCAATTGACTGTCTATAGAAAGATAGGGAGATCCACACACACAAAGCAAGAACGTACATACAAAGACAAAGCAAATATCGTGATGAAATAAAATGATGAGATGATCATGAAAGCACAGCGACATGTGAGATGTGAGATGTCGGTTAGCGGTAGAGTCAGAGTCAGAGTCAGAGTCCCGTAAATATGAATGAGAGTGCGAGCGAGCGAACGAGCGAGAGGAGTGAGTGAAAGAGAGGGAGAGAGGAGGGAAGAGGAGAGGGAGAAAGAGAGGAGAGAGGAAATCCGTGTACAGCATATACAAAATCATAAAAACACATCGTTTCACAAGCTCAACAGACGTCAACCGTTAATTCCTTAATTCCGCTCGTCCCCCTCCCAGTCGTCCATCCCATCTTTATAGCCCGTAAATGCCCTGAACACCCGACAGGGCACGTCAAAGTCTTCGTCGGACGCCGAGAGCCGCGAGTCGAGGATGGCGCTCCGCATGCGTTCTTCTTCTAGCAGTTCCGACTTGATGAGAGGTTCGCGTTTTGGAATGGAGTAGCCCAGCTCGGATAATGAGTACCACAGCGCGCATCGTGCATGAATGTCCCTGTCACAACAAAATCGAGCGATGGTTCAGCCAAGCCCGAGTTTTGCAAGCCCAAAAAATATCGAGAAAGAAGGCAACCCAAATACTCACGACTGAAATCGCTCAAAAAGCTCATCGAACCTACTCCTCGCCTCCTGCTCCTCCACCGCCTTATCCACCTGTCCCTGCTCCACCCTCCTCTCCTCCCACCCCATCTCCGCCAACTCCCCCGGCCGCGACCTCTGCAACATCTTCAGTTCCTCCCACATCTCCTCCTTACACCCCAACACGCCCACGTACGCCCTATACAGATTCATCGCCCTCGTCCTCTCACTGAACTTGTCTAGCTCCTTCGGTTTCGGCGCCGCGGAGCGCGCGCTGGACATCGTCGTGCCTTCTGTGTCGGCGGAGAGCCAGGGTATCGAATCGCGTCGGGAGCCGGACCAGTTCGCTAGTCTTCGTTGATTATGATTTTGATTTTGATTTTGATTGACGGGTGATGGCTGTTGTGGTTGTTGTGGTTGTGGCTGTGGTCGTGGTCGTGCTTTTCCGTCTCCGTCTCCGTCTCGTTCTGGTGTAGGCGGCGGCCCAAGCGACGACCTACTCAACGTCGGCGTCTCCGGCGTATGCACCTCATCCGACCCAGACGACAACGAATGATAACCCGAAACGTCATCGTCTCCACTGCTGCTCTCCGTCCGTGGCGGTGACGAAGACGAAGAAGTGGACTCAGTCGTCCATGATGAAACCGATTGGGACGCGGGTCGGGTATGGCCGATGAGCGGTACGGTTGATTTTGGACGGGGGATGCTCGATGATCGTGTGCGGGTGACGACGGTCGGTCGTTGGGTGGCGGAGAAGCTGGCTTCTGGGAGAGGAGGTAGAGGGGCGAGGAAGGGCATGGGGAGGTTCATGGAGGGTGCGGTGAGGCATTGTTTGAAGAAGGAGGTGAAATACACGGCGAGTACAGCTGTTTATTTATTTATTTATAGACAGATGCGGTGGTCAGCATGAATGAATGAATGAATGGGACGGTCAGATTTTAGCGGGACGGGAAGGAAGCGTACCGGTAGGTTTCATGCTGATGAATCTACTATGGTATACAGATTTATACAACAGCTCTAAAATGGCATGATCGTGAGGTGGCGGTTTTCGGAATGGTGAGGGAGGCGGAGATAATGAGGCGGGTGAGAAGTAGTCGGCGCCATTTGAGGGATGTATTGTCGGGGATGTTGTAGCGCTGGCATGCAATGGCTGTGTGAACCATCGAGGGAGTACAGGGAATATTATATCTGCCGCGAAATAAGTCAGTCGGGTTCGCAGAGGAAGTGGGACGATACTCACCGTCTTCGACCACTTCCACGAAACCGCCCGGTTCGAGTACACGGTGCACTTCCTAGTGAACGGAGTGAGCAAAGCGTACGGCGTATGGCGCTAGTGATTGAGCACTGACCTGGAAGAGTGTACTCCACTATGAGATGTCGAACATTAGTCGGCGCTCTGCATACAAGCGAAGTGGTGCATTGCATACTTTGTTTTCTGGGATCCCCCTCGCCACACCAGAAATATGCACATGGTCGAACGTATCGTCCTCGAATGGCAGTTTATTCGTCAAGCTGTAACACACCACACCACACCACGCCACGCACGTTACAACTCGCCGATTAGGAGTGAGAGCAGCGGCACATGGGACGTACAAGTTACCATGCTGCCATACTATCCGCGGTGCGACCGTCTTCTCGACGCAGTTGAGTGGTATCTGTATGTTAACGAGGTCGAAGCCGACGAAATCCGCGTCGGGCCACATTCGCGCCGCCTCGATGGCCCATATTCCGTTCTGCTCGGACCGTCAGAGAGGAGGCGAGGTGCATATGGAGGATGGAGGATGGATGATAGGACGGAAGCGTACTTACCCCACAACCGAGGTCAAGAACATGCCGTGGCGGTTTACCCTTGATATCCATCCATGTGGGCGAACCCTGGAGCGTGATTCTCATACAAGTATCGAGCACGTCCCTGAATATTGAATACCGCATACCGCAGACCATAGGCATACACCGGCAAAGTCGAAGTCAAAGTCAATAGGAGTAGAGGGAGAGAGAGAGGAGAGAGGGACGCAACACGTCGATGACGTCTCTGTCGTACGAGACGGGGTACGGCGCTTTCTCCGAGCCGTACGAATGGTGTTTCCGCCCGCGTTTGTAGCAGAACTGGCTCTCCTTCGCGAGACGAACTGGTCGTCGGCCCTCGAACGACGAGTTGTTAGTCGTGAAGCTGTTTCGCCCGGTAGTACCAACAGAAACAAGCGTCGCTGAAGCCGACTGGGGCGTCGACGGCGTCGGTGGGTACGGCATTGCCATTGGGGTTGGGGTTGGGACTGGGACCGGGGAGGACGGTGTGCGATGGCGAGGAGGATTGAGATCCGACAGCGCAGAGGAGAAGAAGGCGAAGGGGGAGATGTGGGAGAGGGAGGGATAGGCGCCTGAGCGCCGGTTTGTTGGGGGCTGGCTGCGTCGTCTGCTTCCGAGTCGTCCATCAGACTCTCCGCCAACGTTCTTGTGCGGGCGGAAACGATGGGCAGAGTCGGAGGACACCGTGGACGACGTCGACGGCCTGTTCATCGCTCGTCTCACGGCTGGGCTCTCGGGCTCGCATCCCACCGTCTCAAGCTTCTGCTATATGTACTATATACATATTATCTCATATCGACATCAACCACGGGCTGTCGCCTCGCGTCCACGTTTCCATTTCTGCACATCCAATCCCAGCACAATTCCACATCTCCCGATCGCTCGGCTAACCGAGTCCTCTTCCGATTTCTCTTCGAGGTCGCTCGGCTGACCTGAACGCTTTGCTGTACGTATACACGTACGTACGTTCAAAGCCCCTGAGAAGACGTCTGCGGCCCCTATGATTATGCACCCATTTGGGTACACCGTACGCTTGCGAACCGGGGCGCTATGTCCCCTCATTATGGCAAATAAAAACAAATGTATCCCGAATAGGTAGCCCGAAAGAGTACAGTAGCGACGACATAATAACTAAGAAATGACATGTGGTGGAGTAAAAGAGAGTCCAGGTATCCCATACAGTAAAAGCAATCAAGAAGAAAAGGGAACAAGATAACACCCGCCAGGAATCAGGAAATCACTCTGCGTGGCCGTAGCCCTTGCGGCCCATAGGGATCATCAGCCCCTTCGACTTCATCATTGAAGCGAACCAGTTGCCCAGCACGATGCCCCAGAGGAACCCGAGGTACGCAACGCCAGCTTTCTGTAAACGCAACAGTCGTCAGGTCTACTCTTTATATCCTCCCGGCTGAGTCCCATCAAGGAAGGGAAGGGATCGAGGCGCACCTTTCCGTTCGTGAGAATGATCAGCTCAGGGCTGCCCTTGTATTCCTTCGCGGGTGCCGTATTCGATAGTACGCTGATCACATTCGTGGCGACGACGTCGGCGTGGGCTGCATACTTGGCGACTATAGTAGTGAAGAGACAACGAACAACAGACGACAGGGTTAGAGTAATGTTGCGCGACTACGATCACTATCACTGCGGTTGGATTTGTGGCGAACGTTACATACCCTGTTTCTGCTCGTCCCAGTCGATGACATCTCCGCATGCAAAGATGTTGTTGAAAGACTCCAGTTGCAGCGTCTTGCGAACCTTGACCTGGCTACGCCCGTTGAGAACGTTCGAGCCAAGTGTGGAAATGAACTCCGTAGCAGGACGGTTTCCATGCGTGGGTACCTATGAATGAAACCATCAACATGTCAGGGATGCATGCCATCAAAGCGCGAACAGTGAAACTTACGACCAAGTCTGCATTGATCTTCTTGCCATTGCGAGTGGTGACCGTGCCCGTTTGCGAGAAATCGTCGATGTAGTCGTTGTAGACAACTTCAATGCCACGGGCAGTAATGTCCTTCTCCGTGCGTTTGCGGAACTTGTCTGGGTATGTCTTGTTCAAGAGCTGATCGGCAGCATGCACGATCGTGACCTTCTTCTTAGGCCAAAAGTCCTTAATCTCGCCCGCATATTCTACGCAAGCAAAGAAAAACATGAGTATGATCATATGTATAAACAAGCATAAGTGACTCACCAATCCCCACAGCTCCTCCGCCACCAAGGACGATCGACTGTGCCGCCTCGAACTTACGCCTCCACTCATTAATATACTTCACAGTCTCCTCCTTCCCATCCGGAAACGCCAACGGGCCGTCCCAATGCGACCCGGGCGCGAGCACCAACGCGTCGTAAAACACGCTCTCGCCGTTCGTGAGCACGACCTCGCCTCCGCCGCCGCCCTCCTTACGATCACTGATCGACGCGACACGACCAATCTTCAGTTTCCCGTTGTTGTTCACGAAGAGTTTGTCGTAGCTGATGAGCACAGTGTTTTCGAGGTGGCCTTCGGAGGCGGTGGTCATCCGGATGGCGGCGGGCATGTGGATGGCGAAGGGGCGGGCGGTGATGAGGGTGAGAGAGAATTTGGAGGAGTCGAGTTTAGCGGAGAGTGTGCGTGCGACGGCGGCGCCTGCTCCTCCTCCACCGACGACCTGAGCCATTCATGGGAGGGTAAGGGACTGGAAGAGGTTCGCGAATAGGAGTGGCACTCACGACAACGCTTTTCTTGCTGCTGGACATGTCAATGGTCTTGTAGTGAGGTGAGTTGTGGGAGTTCAAGAAGGTGTGGTGGGCAAAGTCTCGAGAGTCGTTGGGATGATCGTGCGCGTCCCATGGTATATATACCTCGAGCTGTTGGGTGTGAGTATATTGAAGGGCCCATCAAGCAACGCGACAGGAGGATGGAAGTGGTTGTTCATCCGTCCTGCGACTTTGACTTTTTCACGTCATGCCCATCACGTCACTTGCACCTTTCACATCAAACCACGCCCAAATCGTCCAGTTCTCGCACCAAATCCCCAGTCTTGGCAAGGCGTACGTTAGCATTAATGACAAGCGCGTGCAGCAACGCCACATTCTGCTTTGAACGTCGACTGACGCTGACGAACGCTCTTCGCATTCTCCATTCGTACCCAATCACCTGCTCAGCGCCAAACACACGCGTATCTGCCATCGTACCTCACAGCAAAAACACAAATCCGTACTGACATCTTAGCTTAGCCCACACGGAATTAATGCCGGGTCGCAAAAAGCCAGCATCAACAAAACAGCGCAAGGCGAAGCTCCAGCACCAGCGCGCAATCAAACGAGGCGACGCAGAGCCTGACCCTCCCAAAGATCACAAACCTCGCAAACCCAAGCCCTCCGCGCGCACCCACAATCCCCTCACGTCAGCGTCAGCAGGATTGACGCCAGAGCACTTGAAGGCTCAGCAGATCATCGCATCCGCACGCCGTCTCCAGTCCTCCTTCGTCAAACTCTCTCCCGCCCTCCTCGAACGGAGCAAAGTCCTCGCTGATCGGGTGATACTCACGCGTCCGATCCCCCCTGATGCCGCGATCTGGAAACTGACGAGCGGGCGGATGGAGGACTCGAAAGAAGAAGCGATCAGGAAGGAGATGAGCTGCATGCGGCGTCCGAAGTGGAAGTACGAGCAGACGAAGAAGGAGGTGGAGAAGAACGAGGAGGGCGTGTATGCGAAGTGGTTAGACAGGATGGACGGGCTGGTGCAGTCTTGGGTCGATGCTGCCGATGAGGCCAGACGTGATGGCCTCGAGGTTGAGGACGGGGAGAGGGACCCAGAGTTACCGCCGAGGGAGGACGAGGGTATGCCGCCGTCTCCGACGATATTTGAGAGGAATTTGGAGGTGTGGCGACAGCTGTGCGTCCTGGCCCCTTTCCTGTTCCTGTATACCATTCGTATTCCCTCAATGTCATATACATGTCTATTCACAATGATCATCACTTTTCACTCCATCGCTCGTGTGCAGTTGGCGAGTCACCGAACTCTCGCAGATCCTCCTCATCCTCCTCGATTCGCGATGTCCACTCCTCCACTTCCCTCCCTCCCTCCAATCCTACCTCTCCTCCCCATCCCACAAACTCATCCTCGTCCTCACCAAAGTCGACATCTCCGGCCCCGAACGCTCAGCCGCATGGTCCACCTACCTCACCTCCAAATTCCCCGACGTCCAAGTCGTCATGGTCGAGTCCTACATCCCCAAAGCCACCGTAGCCGATTTCGATCCTAACGGTGAAGTAGTGAATTTGACATTGACGAAGGGGAGAAGGAGGAGGTACGAGCCGCATATACCGCATACGTTCAAAGAGCGGCTCGTGGATGCGCTCAAGAACGCACATGAGCAGTTATTGGAGCCGCCGGAGAGGGTGAGGCAGGATCCGGAGAAGTTGAAGAGGTGGAGGCCGAGGGTTAAGAGGGAAGTTGATTGGGATGCGTTGTTGACTGCTGGGGCTTCGTCGCATGTGCATGTTTCTCGTACGACTAAAGATGCACCGCAGGGTTCGGAAGAGGACGAGGAGCCGGAGTATCTTACCGTTGGACTGCTAGGTAACCGCAACCTTTCCTCCCACTGGCATAATATTAACGCTTTCGAGCAGGCCAGCCCAATGTTGGGAAATCATCACTGTTGAATGCTCTATTTGGTACCATAAAAGTCAGAGCGTCAAAAACTCCAGGCAAAGTATGTATACGCCACATTCTCGATGGTAGACTACTTATTCCATCTCATACTGACTCTTTTTTTTTTTGCTCATCCTTCACTGTACGGTAGACAAAACACTTCCAAACCCTTTTCTGGACACCCGACATCCGCCTCGTCGATTGTCCAGGCCTCGTCATGCCCGACCTCATCCCCCTCGAAATGCAGGCATGTCCACTCTCTCACTCTCCCACTCTCCCACCGTCCCACTTTCCCTACTCCTTCTCATTATTTTCTATCCGTCGTGCTCATCATGCATCACACCCCCAACTTCCTCACGACACCCGTCTGATTCGAACCCCTGACAGGTCCTAGCCGGCATCCTCCCCATCGCCCGCATGCCCGCCATACCCCTCTGCATCTCCTACGCCTCCCTCCTCCTCCCGCTCGAGAAAATATTCAATCTCGCCTCATACCATCCGTTCGTGAAGGCTCCGCCTGTGCAGGATAAAAGGACGTGGCGGCAGGGGATGCGGAAAGGCTCTGTGGCTGACGATGGGAATAGTAGTGGCAGTAGAGGTGGTGGTGGTGGTGGTGGTGGTAGTAGTAGTAGTGTTAGTAAGGAGGAGGGGCAGAAAGAGATGAAAGAGAAGAAAGACCCGAAATGGACAGCAATGGATATCATGACTGCATATGCGGATCGTAAAGGCTGGGTGACGGCCAAAGCGGGACGACCGGACGTGAATCGCGCGGGGAACGCTAGTATGTCCTTCTCTTCCTTCTCCTTCTCCCCTGTTCCCCTATCTCTTCTACCCCCCCCCCTCTCTTTTTTCCTTACTCTTCTTGCTTCTTCTTTCTACGCCTCTTGCTTCTTCTTTCGTGTTCACTCCAATTGAATGATTTTCACGATTTTCTTTTAATGAATGATAGTGCTCCGAGCCCTCGCAGAAGGTAAGATCCCCTGGGCGTTCTGGCCCCCCGGCACCGATCCTGCCACATTGTCCCAATCCCCGTCAACGAGCGCCGCACATGTGGGCGTAGGCGAAGGAAACGGGATATGGATCCCGGATCCGACGGGGGAGGAGCACGAGATTGATGACGATGAGAGCGATGGGGAGCCTGAGGGGGTTGATTCTGATTCTGACGAGGAAGAGGAGGAGGGGCCGGGTTCTGTCAATGGGGAGAGCGAAGGGGACGAGGAGGAGGACGAGGATGAGGAGGAGGAAGAGCCGGTCGTTGTTGTTGCGAAGAAAGGTGGAGGGATGTTTGGGGCGCTGGCTTTGGACGATGATGCCGAGGAGGAGGACGAAGAGGAGGAAAAAGTGTCAGAGCAAGTGTAAGTGAACGCAGGCGGACAAGTAGAACCAAAGCATTGCATGTACTGTACGATATCTCAACCTTCAAGCTCCAAGACCAGCTCCCATCACAATCACAATAATGTAGCCCATGTATCCTTAGTTCAGCCTCGTCACCACGCACAAGAAGAGTCGAATCGCTCAGTACTCAACCAGACCATTCATTTAATTCTGCATCGCATGCATGCATCCACATCGTATCGGGTATCGACATAAAAGTAACGAGTCCCTTCGTCTCGTCTCGTTTCTCGTCCGAATCTTCTGTAGCTCTATCTATTCGTAAAGGTGAAGGTGAAAGTGAAGGGGGTGTGAAAAAGGTATGATGGTATGATATGGTATGTACGAGTAACAGGTTCGGTATGTATGAATTCTCGAATACCGACGAGGTGGGACCTTGCCGCGCATTGAGTGAGGGCGATGGCGAAGAGAAAACGTAGACAGGATGAAACGTTGAATGCCGAATGAATGATCGAATGAATGAATGAATGAATGAATGAATGACGATTCAGATGCGATGTATAGATATGTGAATGGACTAGAGAAGAGAGCAAAGTGCAGCTAAAATTAAGAGGAAAGAAACAGAAGAACAAAAAAAAGATGAACGAACAATAATTACGAACACGAGCCGACTCGATATCTCGCGGCGTCGTGTAGGATTGTATGATAACGAAGAGAACTCAGGGACAAGCGGGCAAAACTAGAAAGGGTAAGGAAGGAAAGGAAGGGAAGGAAGAAAGAAGGAAGTTGCTTGCGCTCTGCGTAGTCAGAAGAAAGACAATGGGGTATGCCAGACAAACAGACAGACAACAGTCCCAAAGGCAAAGGACAAGGACAAGGAGACAAAAGACAACATCATAAGAAATATACCTGAGAATCGTCCGCGGACCGACCACAAAAAAAAAAGGATAGGATGCCCAATCCCGTAACAAAGCCTCAACACCTCCACAAGCACCAATCCATCCACCCATCCGCTCCACCTCCATCCCATCTCATCTCACCGCCCCGACCTATCCGACCCCTGAATCAACATCTCAAAGAACCCTCCCGCCGACTTATCATTCCTCAACTGAATCATATACACAATCCCCGTCCGTGCCCCATTATCGCTCAACTCAATCGCCACGCCCGTCTTACCCACCCTCTCCACCCCATCCGCCAGCACGATCGTCGAAATCAACATCGACTTGTTCTTATCCTCCGCCTCGACCACGAGCTGCTTCACGTTCGTCGGGTCCTGCCTGAACAGCTTCAGTTTCGCCGAGCCTAACGATTTCCACTGCGCGTGCTGCTGCTTCAAGAACACCTTGCACTTCATCTGCGCGCTGACCGTCGTCGTCACGGGCCCGGTGTGCACCGGCGTCTCGAATACAGGCGAGCCGGGCGGACTAGGCTCGTCGAACGATTGTGCGGCCATAGAGACTTCGCGGGTGGACATGTGCGTGGACGGGAGGAGCGCACGGGCTTGGGGCGCATGGAGCGGTGGGAGCGATTCTTGACGGGGAGGAAATTGCCCTGGTTGTTGCTGTGGTGGCATCGGCGGCGCATTGGGATTGAACCCTCCTCCTCCTCCTCCCTGATTCTGATGCTGGCTCGCGAGCGAATGATTCGATTGTACTCTCCTCACTCCGCCCTGGAACGAAGGATCCGAAGGCGCACGGGGCGGTACGGACGCATAAGGCGGATTCGGCGGACCACCAGGACCACCACCTGGATGATAACCTTGACCTGGCTGAGGGGGCGGCCTTCCATTCCCGAAAGGTTGTTGTTGTTGTTGCTGTTGTTGTTGATAAGGCCCGGGAGGTCGTGAACCACCGAGTGGGCCGGCACTGCCTGCCCGTTGGGGTGGGATGAACGAACCAGGGCCAGGCGGCATGAACTGCCCGGGTCCTGGAGGCATGATCTGTCCCGGTCCTGGCATCTGTCTTGGAGCGGGCTGCATGATCTGACCTGGTCCGAAACTCTGTCCGGGTCCTGGGGGCATGACCTGCCCGGGTCCTGGAGGCATGACCTGTCCGGGTCCGAAACCCCGCGGTGGGGGATATGGCCCACCAGGACCAGGACCAGGATGCGAAGGCAAGCCAGCCTGGAAATGTTGTGCTTGCGAAGACGTCCGTCTCGGGTATCCCGGCCCCGCAGGCGACTCGTGCATCGTGATTGAAGGCGATCTCTGCGCCCCATCCCGCTGCATCACTTCCTGGCCACCACCACCACCTATTCCAATTCCTCCAGGAGGAGACGACAGCTTCGACGAGTCGCGACCAGAGCGGGAGGACATTGGCGTCCCTGCGCCGCTCCGGGGTACTGGATCCGAGTCCCTACTCGACGAGATCCTCGCGTTTTGGAAGGCGCTCATGAGGGGGCTGGTGACCGGCGATGTGGCCCCGCCTGGAGGTGGTGGGCTTCGGCTATGACTGTGACTATGACTATGACTGTGACTGTTGCTAGAGTGGAAATCTGGTGTGGAACTGGAGGAAGGTGGCGGTTCTCGGGGTGGACCCAGAGGTGCGGATGGGGATTTTGGAAGACCGTTAAGGTTAGGAAGCGGTGGCACGGGGTGTTTACTTGAAGGGGCAACTAGGATGGATAGAAGATAGGAAGGTGGAAGGAAGAAGGAAGAAGTGAGTCGACGCTAATCATAGTTTGAACTGGACTCGCTTACTGGCAGTGGCGAACTCGATACATTCCAGGAACTCTGACATCACTCTATCTCTAACTTGCCGAGACTCGAACTCGAGTATCAGTTTCTCCTTGCGCATGATGGTGACCTGCACAGCGTTATCTTTTGTTGAAGAAAAAAATGCCTGAGTAACAGCCTTTTAGAGATTGATGAAGATGAGACACAGACCTTGACCGTCAACGGCCGCGACCTTGAGATGTTTCCCCGCTAATGGAGGGTACAAGAGCCACATATCGGCGTCTGAATTTCTCTCGTGACTGGGTATCAGCTCGCTTGTGAGGAACAGGTCTGACAAGATGAAGATGCGCCCGCGAGGATGCGAAACCTCTACGCCTGTCGAACGCGGCACGAAGCGAATATAGGTCTCCGCTGAAACCCTCATCTCCCTCTTGAAAGAGAGCGAGGGCGGATCCATTTGAAGCTTCACTTGCTGTTTCAGAATTCAGAAGTCAGAGAACAGAAGGACATGAAGCCGCGAAGGAATGAACTACCTTTGGTTTCATCGTGAAGATATCCAAGCATCGGTCGGTGCTCAAACGGCGTTCGAGATCAGATATGGGTATTGAAAGAACACCGTGTTCTGATCGACCATGAAGAGACGTGTTCCCCGTATCCGCAGACGACCTCACCCTATGACCGCACAATCAATGGTAACCAGAGAAGAACGACTGAGGGTAGATAAATACGCACGGGATTGATGAATTCGAACCACGAGCCGAGCTAGAATCGCTTCCGTGCGCAAAGTCGGGTTCTGGCGGTGGTGGCAGCGCGGCACCACGTCCATCATGCGACTCGCGAAACGAGCCTCCAATCACGACCTCGTCCTCTGTCTCTATTGGAGGGGGCAATGTACGGGTAGGCCTGATACCCGCACGGCTGTCGACCAAAGCGACGAGCTTGTCCAACTTGTCCGCAGCGCCGACGAGTAGCCGATGATCGCTTCTTCCGGGTTGGGTTCCCTTGAGAAGGCGGCCGTAGAGCTTCCTGTAGTACTTCAGCCGTGCTTTTGGAATGAGAAAGAGTTCGTCGAGCGTCCATATGGGTGGTTCTGAAGGGTGAGCGGGACCTGTCGGAGGGATTGGAGGAGGGTTGACGACGGAGAAAGAGGCGAGCATGGTGGGGAGACGATCATTTGATCTGACGGGATCCCAAGTATCAAAGCCAGAGCAGAAACGTTCACAGTAGGCCGTATAGGGCGGTTCGAGTTCGTCGATCTGCGGCAGGGAGTAAGGCAGGAGATGAGGAAGACAGAAACGTATAGATGAGGTGAGGATATTCATACCCATCGCATTAACAAGTCTCCGAGTGCTTTCGGTGACGAAGGGTTTGTGCCAATTTCTTTGAGGCGCTGAATGGAGATGGGATGAGAGACCGGGTTGCTGACGTGAAGAGTGTGTACGTACTGCGAGGAGAGAGCGGTTCGCTTTGAATATGGCCTCAAGACTGCGAAACATAATGTCGAGGTCGGGAGGGGGTAGATTGGATCGGGACCATGCCGACGCAACTTTCTGTAGTCCGGGATTGAACAGAGGGTCAAAGACGGGAGAGAACGTCGGGGAGACTGACCCTAATTATGCCCGTCAACTGGTCAACGTACACTTTCTCAGTCTCGATGAGGTCAATTAGCGGATTTGACTTCTTGACGCGCGCCTCGCCCGAGATTGAGGATGCGGAGGGGCTAGTGGGCGTCGGAGGCAGTGCATGAAGATCTGTCGAGCAAGTACGCGGTAAGAACCACGGGGAAAAGGTGCCTTGGTGGATACGGACCTCGGCCTAAGTTGTCCAGCGAGGGAGAACGGTCGAGCAAGGGCGGCGAGAGCGAGAGCTGTGGCGACTGCGGCTGGTGGTCGAAGTGAAATTTTGGAGGCGGGGCTGGAGGCTGGTAGCCGTTCTGATGTTCGCCTGGGGGCGGCGGCGGCAGCTTGTCTGCGCCCGGGTTCGGGAGGGCTTTGCGGGGCTGGTCGTGGCCGTGAACGAGGGGCGCGTTCATCGTCTAAAGGAGGGTGGAGAGAGCTGCTGTCGACGTTGGCGACGATGATGGACGCTGTTGACTGTAAAGTTATGGGCCCTTCCACTGTAGACGCTGACGGTGAGCCGGACGAGGCCTCGCCAGTAACGACGTCCCCTAATCCGTCCCTGCCCAATCACCGCCGTCCCACCACCTCGGCGGAGCGCTTCCTGCCGCGTCTCGCCACATTCATCCTTCATCCCAACAGCCATGCCGCCCATCATCTATCCCCTGCCCTATGTCGAAACAACGTTCAGGACGCGCGAACAGACAGAGGGTCTCCTCCGTCCAGAGCTCGAGCAGGGAGTTATCTCCCACCACGACTTTACCGCCGCCTGCGAGTTCTACCCCGACCCCATACGCAGACGCATGCCCGTTCGTACTCCCTCCACCTGCATCAACGTGTATGTGTTTTACTCAGAGCTCGGCCCTCTCACGTAGATAGTGCTCGCTGCAGTCTCCACCCTCTCCGTCGGCATCTACGCCCTCGTCAAACGCCCCCGTCCCTCCCCCACCCGTCTCTTCGTCACCGGCACCTTCGCCACCATCGGCGGCACAGTCCTAGGCTCCTACAGAGCCCTCAAAGCGCACAAGAACTTCGTCGATACGCTCGACAGTCCGCGTGACTTCTTCCAGGCTCTCGAGAATATCAACGCGAGGGCGGGCGGTAAACCGCTCGGGATCGTACCAAGTTCGTCTGAATCTGAGGGAGTATCATCTTCGCAAGTTCAGAATGGGACAGGGGCACGGAATGTGGCGACGATTGAGGAACAAATCAGACAGGCCGTTGCGGCGAGAGAATCACAGTCTCGCTCTGCCTCTCCGTTCGCCGACGACGCTGCACCGGAACCTGCGAACGACGGATTCACGACAACAGACTCGGAATCTAGTCCTTCATTCTCCACTGGTATGTCCAAACATCATATCATCTACAACTGCTAACCCCTTCACCAGTCCCATCCAAACCCCCCGTTCCCTCCCAAACCCCATCCTCATCAACATCAACACACCCACCCAGCCGCTGGGACGCCATCCGCGCCGCGAACACAAACGCGAACCAAGGCTCCTCCTGGGATCGTCTCCGTGCCCAGGCCTCCCAGTCCCAGTCCCAGTCCCAGGCCTCATCCCAGTCACAATCCCAGTCCCGACAACCACAACGCCCCGAATCTCAATCTCAACCAGACGCTCCCGAAGAACCCTCATCACAGGACTTCTCAGACCCCGCCGAAGCAGACCGCGCGCGCGAACAGGCAAAGTTCGACGCGATGCTCGAGGAGGAGAGGCGGAAATCGCAAGTTGGGGATGGGGCGTTGGGGGCGGAGGATTCAGGGATGAGGTCGTGGAGGGCTTGAACTTTACAGTATCAGTATGAGTGGGATGTAGCGGAGGGCTCATTACGCTGAACAATATTAACGGACGATGGACGATGTAATGAGTTACATGTTGAGCGTCGATTTGATCATCCATACTCACGAAATCCCAAATCCCATTACTGTATCAAAACCAAAATACAATCCATAGCCAATACCAGCCACCCAATCGAATCCGAATCTGAACCGATTCTACCCTAGGCCTAGTCAAGACAACAAAAAGAAAAGAAGACGGATGTGGCAAGCGACATGATAATATGCGCTATGGCCAGCCTGTATACGTAGTAGTACTGTAGGTACCCATCGGAGCGAGCTCAAGACTAGCTCGAAAACTGAAGGAGAGAAACGGGAGGGGGAACGAACAAACAAACAAGCTGAAAGTCCTCAAGTATGATACACGGTAACTAACGAGACAAGGAGTGGCAGAGACACGAACGTAAGACAAAGACAAACCGTAAACCAGAAATGGAAACGAAAACAGAAACACTGTCCAGCAGCTGAGTACGTAGACTGAGCTCGCAAAAAGGAAAGAAAGAAAGAAGTCCGTCCGGTCCATTCAAACCATCAAAAAGCAAAGAAAAGAGCAGAACACAAAAAGTGGCATGGCATGAGGATAATAACGAGCGAGTGAGTGAACCTGATCGGTCGGACCGAGACGAACGAAGAGAAAAGAAAGCGAGCTCAAGTCCATCACAGAAACAGAAAAACGAAAGTAAATGAAAAGTAAGACAAAAGTGTAGCCAGGTACACATCATGTATATGTAACGGTCCATGTCCATTCCTACCCATCACACTCCCAACCAAGACCCAAGACCAAGCATAGCACACTGACCCTCACCCTCACCGCATCCCATGGCCAATCCTCTGTCCATGTCCATGCCCATACGGCCCCGGCCTCCCATACAACACCTCATCATGCAACCCCACCTGCGCATGTACCTGCTGCACCTGTCCCAACTCCTCCAACACCCACGCATCCTGTCCCTGTCCCTGTCCCTGCCCCTGTCCATGCCCATGCCCATGTCCTCCCCCCAACTGCTGTCCATGTCCTCCCCCCAACTGTGGCCCCCCACGCCCATGCCTCTGCTCCGTACTCTCAATATTAATCTCATACTCCGGATCCACCGGCAACGGCGCCACATGCGCCAGCTCGAGCGCCCCATCATCGGCCCCTCCATGTCCATGTCCGAGTCCGCCCGCGCTTCCGGAGCCCGAGGCCGATTTTTCAAAGACGCCGGCGTGCGAGAAGGGGTAGAGCGGGATGCCTACTTCGAGGGGTTGTTGTTGGGTCGTCATGCGGACTATTTCGGCCATTAGGCCTTGCAGGAGTTTTTCTTGGCGGGCTGGGAAGGAGGTAGGGAGGGAGAGTCAGATGTTAGGAAAGCAGCAGACGGTGGAAGAGAGAATGGGAAGAGATAGCTTACTCCCGATGGGCGAGCGTTTGCCGTATTCGGTCATGGCGAATCTATTGTTGTGAGGAGAAAAGAGGAAATGCGAGTCAGCGAACACAGTCTAGCGACGAACAAAAAGAAAAATCGGAACGTACCGAAGGACGTTGATCTCTCCCCAAACGCCATACTCCCTCTCCGTGTTCCCAATCTCGATGAAATACTTACACAGCTGAATCTGCACCACAGCGGCGAGATACCAGCATATCTAAACACAAACACCCAATCACGTCAGCAACACGCAATGGTATGAAGTCAATTTCGCCGGGACGCAGCGTATGTACTCACCGTAGCGAACGGATGAAGCCGTGTGATATCGAACGAGGTGGCGGTGAGCGTATAATGCTGCGTGAGGATAGCGCGAGCCGCGTTCAGGCATCTCGTCGTCGAAAGCGACTGAGGGTCCGTGAAGTCCAGGTACGGATTATGCAGTGTGATCGCCGCCCTACAAAACACCACAGCGTCAGCCCTTTTATCAGCCCACCCAACCTGAAACCGCCATTCAAGGAGCCTAAAACCAAAACGAACGCCACAAAGCGCCACCAAACGCCACGAAAAGAAAGGGCAGGCAACAAGCGAACGACAGAAAGCTAAAGGCAAAGGCAAAAGCGAAAATCGCACTCACGCATGCGGCACCAAATGCACCATATACAAATCCGTATCCAATCCCCCAGCTCCAACCCCACCCGTCCCATCCCCCCCATAAATCCCATCCAAGCACCCAAAGCTATTCTTCCACGCCTGCGGCAAGCTCGCCAAAAAATCAACACAGACGAGCGAATCCAGTTCCTCGAACCCGGCCAGGCCGAGCGGGTCCTGACCCTTCGTCCGCGTCATCGGCGCGCGGAGGCTCGTGCGTACCCCGAAATCGGTGACCCTCCCGAAGAGCATCATCGCCTTGATCAGGAGCAGGAAGGAGTCGGTGTAGAGCGGGGGGTGGTCCGTGAAGACGGATTCTGACATCAAACTCTGTTGGTTGTTCGGGACGATGTTCTGTAGCAGCGGAAAGCAGCCGAGAGGGAGGAATGAAAGACGCCGTGTTAGCGAACTTGAAACTTTAATTCGAATCAAGAGCGTCTCCCCATTCGCGGTGAAGCAGGAAGCGAAGGAGCGGCACGCCACGGCACGCCATGCCACGAGATTTAGACTTTTCGAAGCGTGAGGGGGCGATGGGGAAGGGGAAGGGGAAGGGGAAGGGAAAACAAGAAGAAAAACACTCACGCCCGCCTCAAAATCAGCACAGCGCAACGGCAGCTCCGTGCCGATATCCCTCTCGTCCACGCCATGCACCCATCCCCCGACGGAAACGATCCTATCAAACAGAATCGTCATCCACCACGTCCGGCGCCTGAGCTCGAGTTCCTGCTGGTCCCTCGGCGGGGCGAGATAAGCTCCGGGCGAGTTACTGTTGTGCGACGCGAACGTCCCTGGGTAGTTCAGCCTGAGCGGCACGGCGACGCGCGTCTGGAAGCCCGCGAAGATCCAGACTTCGACCCATCTGCCTTCGGAGTAGAAGTACCAGGAGAGGAGGACGCAGGCTTGCATGACGGGGAAGATGTCGTCCCCGCTGGCCATCGTCCGATCGATGTACTGCCGCGTCTTTCCGGCGTGAAACTCGGCAAAACGGTCTCTTCGCGTTCCATCTGGGAGGGTCATGATGTCTGACGACGCCCAGCGCGAAGCTGAAGCACACTGCAGGAAAACACGAAACGATGAAAACATGAGTGTAGTGCGATTAGGTGATGCCACCGCAAATGATGCTGGGAATGCGCGGAAAACCTACGATCGCATGTAGGATTGCGGAGTGGGGGAATCCCGGGCTTTTGGGCGGCAATCGTAGAGAAGCCATGAGCGACGGTCTGTGGAGGACTCGCGAGCCGCATGGGTCGCAACGGAAGAAAGCCTCGACGCTGGAGTGTATCAGAGCAGGCACCGGCTGTAAGTCGAATGGACACAGGGTTCGGGAAAGTTAGACTATTACGAACCAGTGCTCCAGGACGGTAGGGTCAGGCAGATCTGGATTCCAACCGGAGTAAAGTAAGCCATCGAGGGCGTCTGAGCGTCTATTGTTCCTCAAGTGACCTGTGCTGATCAACTCTGGGCTTTCAGAATGAGCGGAGCGGTCGGTGGATAGCATGTCGAGAGAAGCGCGGGGGAGTACGATTCCGGATGGGTTGCCGGAGGAGGTGGCGCCGTTGCGATCAAGCTCAGTAGAGAAGGCAGAGGTCCGGGAGGCGAAGGGCATGGGGGGTGATGCTGAGGAGAAGGAGCCATGATGGCCGTGGGGAGGCGAACGGTGTGCTGGGGAGGAAGTGGTGCGGTTGTTGGGTGGCGGCGAGGAGCTTCTCCTAGCGCTCTTGAGCTTTTTCCTGAGGTGTGCTGGAAGGGGCAGGCGATGAGACAGGGGGACACAGGGATCGTATTTCACGTACTGATTTGCTCCTCTAGGTCTTTGATCTTCTCGAGAGGGTCGATATCAGGGGCGAGTGGCAAACCCTCGACAGGATCATAAGAGCATTGAGGTTCGCTCGGATGTCTGTGGTGCGACACAGAATGTTCAAGATAAAGGCAAGGACATGATATGGGAGCGAAACGTACGCATAGCCAGGTGGAGGAGGGACGCTGACGGTCGCCTGCCATTGTCTGCAGCCATTCCCATGGATCAATCACCGCTACTCCACAGAGTGGAAGTCAGATTACGCACTTGACACAGGTCCCACAGTGCGGCCGAGCTGCGTCGCATTTCTAATCGCAAGACGGTTGAGGCATAATCGCGCACGACGATGCAATGGATACTCACCAGTTTCCGTTTACGACACGAGAGACAGGCCTAATACAATACGATTTGGAGATGAGAGGCATACGAAAGTCGCAAACTATGAGCACATACCTGGTTTCTGCGCAACGAGGGCCTGCTGGAGGTCATTCCAGGGCTTGAAGAGACCTTGGGCATGATAAGTATCTGAGGTGAGAAGGCGCTCTGTTGGCGATTGTAATGGATGAGAGCAGAAAGATAATGGAAGGAGTGGGTCAGAAGGAAGGAGAGGGGGTCCGAGAAGAAGGGGATAGAGACGGTGAAGAGGTATATTTAGGGAGTTGCTACGGCCATCGCTCGACGGGCGCCAGGCAGTTCGCGGGCCGACTTGCTGGCTCCTTCTCCAGAGCCGATCATTTATAGCTACCGCTTCCCCGGCCCACGTTTTCCTTGCAGATCTCTCTCTACTAAATTAACCTCGGCACCGCGGTCTTGGCACAGCGCGCCACCGCCACACTACACTCCTGCACTGCTCAGAGTCGGAGCCCAGTATCAGCCTTGCCAAACAATTAACATAGTACAGCTCCTCATCAACCGACATGCCCACTAGGACCTGCGCGATCACCGAGACCTCCAGCTCTTCAAAGCACCCGTCCACAAAAAATACACTTCTGACCATTCATTCCTCGAAAAAGTAGTTTGTACAAGCACCATCATCATTCAAATCATCTACACACATCCTCCCGCAGTCACTCGGCGATTTAAGACCTATGTACGCAACTGAGCATAAGTAATTCGATTGAGTTGAGAGAACATGGGCACGGGCAGACGCACAGGATAGTAGCCACAATTCGCCTCGAGTGCGGCAGATGTCTGAATTCCGTCAGATAGATCCCTGTGGTTAGCAAGCAACCGGCAAAAGTCAAGTCAGCGAGACGTTGTATCTTTGAATCCCGCTCTCTGTCATTGTGACTCGACACGGTATTGCTTGTATGGATGCATGACTGACCTTGCCAAGTCCCCAGGTTCAAACGTCCGTCCGTAATCGGAACGGAGATGGAAGTGCCGATTAGGGATGTTTTCGTGTGTGAGACGCTGGGAAACGGGGTCGCATCGAGCGCCGACAGAATTTGTAGTACAGTAGTAGTACATCATTAGAGGGCAGGAATGCGGAATGAAAGAAGGAAACGTACGAGTCGCTACGATTTCAAAGACCGAGAGCAAGCAGCCCCTATTGAGCATAACAAACGGTGATCATCACAACGAAAAGTACGCACTCGGGGCCCTCGTCGGTATGTTTCCAGTTCAGAGACTCCGGCACAACGTTATCCAGCGCCATGTCCATATCTCTTCGCACGTCTTCGGAACAACACACAGTCAATGACGACAGAATGGCAAGAAAGGGAGAAGGAAAAGTATCGGATCAGATTCGCTCAACGTGTATGAGAATGCGTGTGTCAGACGAAGAACGACGGGAGAGCGAGATAGACGGAGATGAAAGCCAGCCCTCTCGTCTGTCGTGAGATGGAGGGAAGGGCGGGAGAAAGGGAGGGAAAGGACGGAGCGGGACGTTCTGTATGGAATGTGGAGTGGGGGGGCAGAACGCGAAAGGATTTTTGGCTGTGCGGCAACGCAACGCAACGTACCTCTATCGTAGTTCTCGTTGATCGTCAAAGCAGCAGAGGTGTGCTGTCTATATCCAGTTCAGTCCTTTTCAGTCCACAAACACCATCATCATCGTTAACATTCCCTCACATGAAGAGGAACAACATTCCGACCTATGTAAATTACACACACGACCAAGCAAGTCAGCATCCATATTCACGGTCACACCATCGATATCGCTGTGAACATCTAACATCTAGCTTAGTAGCTAGTCAGACGGATAGACATACCTGTACACCTCTCAGCCCGGACTCGAGGTGCTGTGCGATTTCATCCGTCACGAGATGACAACCCTTCCCGCGTTTCGCGAGCGTGAACGTCTTTTGCCAGCCCATCGTACGTTGTTGCGATTTGGAAAGTTGGGATATTAGTTGATTCGAAAGTGATCTGGAAGCTTTGAATTTGTAGCTGAAGCCGATGGAGATGGTAGAAGGAGGCGTTGAAGGAGGAAGGACGTCGCCAAGAGGCTCAAAGCTGCGAGAGAGATCTAAATTGATCGCCCATTGCGTCATAATTGTGCGTCTATAATTGGAACGCTTTGACTGGCTTTGTGAAGATGCTCAGATATTCGCGGTCCCTGTGTGCTTCACTTTCCAGTATTATTTATTACTGACTTGCCAGAGGCAAGCCCATCGTTGTGCATGTTGTGGGAATCAAGTCGACACAAACAGAATACGGTAGCACAAAAAATCGAAGCACCACCACTCCCACCGTAGCATAGGGCCCAACCGCCTAAGATCCCTCCGTCGACAATATCCATCTGACTAACTGAGCCATACCTCAATCTTCGTCCGTGTCGAACCGCTTCACCCCAGACCTATCAACACCACCCCGATTACCAGGAACGTTCCGATTCCGACAATGGTTCGCATAGTGACCTTTCTCTCCGCACTAATAGTAGGTATATAAAGTCAGCTCAAATCACACGACAGCCTCAAAGTGTAATACAATGCTCAACAAAAAATGAAACGCACCTTAAAGCACAAAACCTCGTCCAAATTCCTCCTCGGACCCGAATTGAACCCAGGACCTTGACCGCCTCCTCCCCCTGCACCACCACCACCACCGCCACCTCCACCACCTCCACCTCCACCGCCTCCACCAGAAAGGAAGGTACGGTCGAAATCTGCGTAGCGGCCGTAGCCGGGGGGCGGGGGGCCAAGATCGCGGTGGGAAGGGGGTTCGGGGGGGTCGTAGGCTTTTGGAGGGGGGATGTTTGGTTTTGGACTACGTGAAAGTGGAAGTAAAGGTAAGGAGGGGTGAGTCAGCTTCGGAGAGGAACGAATTGGAGTGAGGGAAGGGGGAAATGTTACGCACTGGCCTCGTGGACAGTCGGGACCTAGGGGACAGAAACCGGTGAGGTAGAGTTGGCAGGCTACTCTTCGTATATGTTTTCGAGGACATTTCGGGCCTTCGAAACCAAAGCAGGAGCCACTTTAGCTTAGCCGTAACAAGTAGATGAGAATGAGACCAAAGAGACGCACCGAGCTTACAAAACCCCCTCTTATAATCCGGACACTCCACCTTCCTCTCCTTCGGATGCGCATAGAGACACTCGTCGCCCGCCGAACAATACCCATACTTCGCATACCACCAACACTCGGGCATCCGCCTCAGGTTATACTCATGCAAGAACTCACAGGCATCGCCCTTCTTGCAGAGCCCGCGCAGCCAGTGCTTGCATACCGTCGCGAGACGTTCGCGGTCCCGGGGGTGGGTCGGGAGTTGTTTGGGGGGCTGGAAGTTTTGGGCGGAGGGGTTGGTGTGGCGGAGCGGGCAGAGGGAGGGACCGAGGGGGCAGCCGGTTTGGGAGAGGTTGAGGCGGCATATTTGTTCATCTAGGAGAGAAAAAGAAAAGAGGTATGAGTATATTGTTGTACGAGGTTGAGGAAGATGACTAGACAGACCCTTGTCGAGCTTGATGCCTAGTTCTTGCTTGATGAAGAGCTCTTCGGGGAAGTTGTTCTGGTGAAACTGAGGGTTGACGATGTCCCGTAGCACAGACGGCCCAGCGAGGGGGTGTGCAATGGCCATCTCGAGCAGAACAGGTACGGAACAGAGAACTGATTAGATTGCTACAGAGAGGTCAACGTTCAACAGAGACGAGCCAGAGTCGCGTCAGGAATAAATCTGAGATAGACGCCGGTGCTTACGCAAGCCTTCAATTATATTCGTGAGTGCGCCACGCAAGTACGGCTTTCCTAGGGACGCCTCTCTTCTCTCTCTTCTGCATGCTCCGTCTCTCCTCTCTTGTCTCGTTAAATAGCGGCCATCTTCGAATCCGTCCTCCAAACCGTCTCTTTCCCCTTCTCAACGTACAGGGCCACCGCACACCCTCCATTGTTCCCCGAAATAGGTCTTTCTCCAGCGTCCCTTCTCGTCGTGCTTTAGCCCTCGGACATACCACCGCAAACACGTCTTCGCTCCCTGGCGATCTGCCGATCATGTCTACCGCTGAGTTGCCCCAGAAGTATGAGAACTTCGATCTCGTGAAGCGCGTCAAGTTGGACTATACGGACGTCACGGTCTCGAAGTGGCGCAGCAGGGTTACGGGCCTCAATGTCGTGCATCTGGAGTATGAAGGTGCGTTGGTATTGTGCGTTGAATTGACAGTTATATTCTGAAGGTGTGTGTGGAACGGTTTTGTAGCCCCCATCGTGAACGGTTATTTTGTCATCGGGACCGAAAGTGCGTACATACATCTCGTGTGGCCCAACCCGATCCTGAAGCTTTTATCCAGTCTTCAACGACAGCGGATGTCCGCATACACTAGAGCAGTAAGCCACACATCTTTATTCCCCAATAATCCGCGAATGTGTATTCAAAAGCGATCCTCAGCTTGGTCTTCATGGGTTCCGAGAAGTACCCGTACAAAGGCATCATCGACCACCTCGCCAACCGCGGATTCTCGAACGGCACCAATGCGTGGACCGACACTGACCATACGGCGTATACCGTCTCTACCGCCGGTGAAGCTGGTTTCTTGCAGATCTTGCCTATCTATGTCGACCATATACTCTATCCGACTATCACGAAGGCTGGTTTCGTCACAGAGGTATGTTTAATACGACGAATATCCTTTTCGTTTCGTTTCGTGTTGATTGTTTTATATACTATTTATCTCAGGTTCACCATATCGACCCTCAAGGCGAAGACTCTGGTGTGGTGTATAGCGAGATGCAAGGTCGGGAGAACACTTCGGGAGATCTGATGGCCTTGGAGTATGTCATTTCTGTCCCAACTCCCAACCTATTGTTGCCGACTCATATTTTCGTTTCATAGAATGCAACGGCTCGTCAACCCTCCGGGGAGCGCATACCGCAGCGAGACTGGAGGTCTTATGGAAGCTCTCCGCAAGCTCACCGTCGAACAAAGTGAGCTCCTGCCCATCCATCTCATTTCACCATCCCGTCCTCAACAAACAACAACAAAACTTATCTCCCTCCAGTCAGAGAATACCACGGCACCTACTACGTCCCCCACAACCTCTCCCTCATCGTCTCCGGCAAACTTCGCAGCGGAACGACCTCCCTCCTCAAAGTCATCCAAGAAAAGGTCGAACCGAGTCTCGTCGCTCACGGACAGAACAAGGGTCCTCGACCCGAGGGCTGGAAACGGCCGTTCGTGGAGACGCTGAGTGCGAATAGAGGCCCGATTAAGGAGACGGTGAAGAAGACGGTTGAGTTTCCGGAGAAGGATGAGAGTGTGGGGGAGGTTATGATTTCGTATATGGGACCGAGCCCGAACGAGTTTTTGCAGTCGAAGGTGAGTCCGTTTCGAGCATCATTCAGAATTTCATATCGCATAGGCATGCTCATTCTTATGATTATTTGCTCTCGATGCGCTGTAGGCCATCTCCCTGATGGGCAACTACCTCACTTCATCGGCCACCGCTCCACTGAACAAAGAATACGTCGAGACAGAATCACCTCTCTGGTAACACTCCCTCTTTCCCCCCTTATTCATTAAATTCTGACGCCGCTTAACGATAGCACCTACATTGCGTTCTACGAAGAAGACAGGGCCACCTTCCAGGATCTGCAGATCTACGTCGGCTCGGTGCCCACGGAGCACCTCGACACGTTCGACGAGAAGCTGAAAGCGAGTTTTGAAAGGATCGTGAAGGAGGGGATTGATCTTGAACGTATGGCGATGATTATTAACCGGGATCAGCGACAGGTGCGTGTCCGCACTCTCTATGATTAGTCCTCCTCCCCCTCCTTCTCCGCACACAAATAAAAAAAGGAAAAGGAAAGAGGGAGAAATGGAGAAATGCTAAGCCGTTATCGTTGCCCCACAGCTCCGTAGCAGACTCGAATCCGACGGCGGCGACACTTTCTCAAACGTCCTCATCTCCGACTTCATCTACGGCAAAGAAGACGGCTCCGAGATCGCGCCCGCGCTCGACGAGATGCGGGAATATGAAGAGTTGAAGGGGTGGACGAGCAAACAATGGACGGACCTCATCCAACGGTTCGTTCCCCTTTCCCTCGTTCCCCTTTCCCTCTCCCACCACCACCATCCACAACACTCACCATCTATCCCCCCCTTTTTTTCTTTTGCGCTCATGCATTCATCGTCTCATTTGTAGGTACTTCATCGACCCCGAATGCATCGTCGTCCGCGGCAAGCCCTCCGCCTCCATGGCCTCCGTCCTCGAAGCCACCGAAAAAGCCCGCATCACAGCTCAAAAAGAGCGTCTCGGGCCCTCCGGACTCGCACTCGCGAAAAAAGAGCTAGACGAGGCCCAGGCGGAACACGATACCCCGATCCCGAAGGAGATCCTCACGGCGTTTCCGGTGCCGGATGTGGGGAGCATATCGTGGATTCCGGTGCAGAGCGTGCAGGAGGCGGGGAGGGGGAGGGGTAGTGGGGGGAAGCTGAGTGGGAGTGAGAGTGAGAGGGAAGAGGGGAGGGAGGTGAAGAGGCATGTGGAGGGGGATGGAGAGGGGTTGCCGTTTTTCGTGCAGTATGATCATGTTAAGGTGATTTTTTCACTCTGGATCTGGATTCTTTTGGAACGTAGCTGATCCCTGTGGTTTTTGTTTATGAAGTCGGACTTTGTCAGCGTCCACGCTTTCCTCTCACTGAAAGACCTCCCCAACCACCTCCGCCTGTAAGCACACCCTCCCCCCCTCCATCAACCCTTTTTTCTCTTGCTCACCACCTCGCCATGTTCATCACAGTTACCTAACCCTCTACATCCAATCCTTCTTCTCGCTCCCCGTCAAACGCCTCTCAGGCGACCGTCTCACGCACGAACAAGTCGTCGACAAGCTCGACAACGAGACGGTCTCGTACGACGCCGACCTCGGCGTCTCGGGCATGTTCCCGCAGACGTTGAGGATCAGTATGCGTGTGGAGGTGGATAAGTATGAGATTGCGGTTGCGTGGTTGAGGGATTTGATTTATGGGAGTGAGTTTGATAGGGAACGGTACGTTCATCTCTTGACTTGCATATATTCCGAGGAGGATCTGACTTTTGGAGCGGTTTGTGCTGTGTGGGTGCGGGTGCGATAGGTTACAGATCAATGTGGCGCAGGTTCAGCAGGCGCTCCCTGGGATGAAGAGGAACGGGAGTACAGTCCTTGCGTCCATCACCTCGGAGCTGTTCTACTCTGAAGAGAGCAATTCCAGAGCCGGCGGTATGTCACATCCGTTCGCTAGTCATTCAAGTGCATCGTCTAATCTGACAATCGTTCGTTGTCTGCGGTAGGTGTCATCGCGCAGACGGAATTCGTGCCTAAGCTCGCGAAGATGTTGCAGGAGACCCCGGATGAGGTTGTCAAAGCCCTAGAAGAGTTGCGGAGCTACAGTACGCGCCTTCTCCGCTTCCTACCTGGCTTTTCTGTTGGTTGACCGAACAACAACAAAACAGTGACGAAGCCTTCGGGGATTCGATTCTCGGTCACAGGTAACGTTTTGGACGTGCCTAACCCGCGCAGCGTATGGGCTAAGTACTTCGGGCCTGTTCTGCCGGTACGTTTCTTTCATCTAATTGACATGCGTTGTCGTGGATGTGGGCTGGTGATGCTGACGCGACGATTAATGTTGATTTTTGGTAGGAGGCGGAGCTCGCGCCTCTTTCGCTTTCATACGATACGCTGAGCAAGCTCGGGAAGAAGCCAACAAAGAAGGTCCGTTCGTCCCCTTCTTCATGCTCCTTCTCCGGGATATTAACTGTGAAATCGATCATGATCTAATCAATTCCAGGCCGTCGTCGTCTCCCTCCCAACGATCGAGAGCTCATACGTCGCCCATGCCGCGAAGGGTATCCGAGGCTTCGATCATCCCGACTGGCCGGCTTTGAGGATCACGCTCGAAGTACTGAGCGCGACGGAGAGTTTCCTCTGGGTACGAAATCATCTTCATCGTCTCCTTTCTATCTTACTATAACACAAAACTGACGGACATGTATATAGCGATACATTCGTGGTTCTGGACTGGCGTATGGCGCGTACGTAGGAGCGGATACTGAAAGCGGCTTTATAACGTTCTCGCTCTATCGGGTGCGTCTTTCCCTGCTTTTAAATCATTTAATTTACTTGTGTATGGGGAGCTTTGACTAAGCGCTATATCTCTGTGTGTGCTTGTTACAGAGTTCGAATAGCATCAAGGCGTTCGAGCAAGGTGCGCTTGTAGTCAAAGGCTTGGTCGACGGGTCTATAGAGCTCGATGAGACGGCTCTGGATGCGGCGAAGAGCAGTATTGTGTACGGTGTCACGAAGAGCGTATCGACGCCTGGTCGGGCGGTACGTCCCAAGTCATTTTTTCTCAACCTATTGACTTACTGACGGTCAAATCCAAATCCCAATCCCAGGCCCTCATGTCCTTCACGAACCAAGCCCTCAAAGGCGTCTCCCAGCGCTACAACGTCGACCTTCTCGAGAAATACCAAGCCGTAACGAAACAGGACGTGCTCGACACGCTCAAACGGTACTGCCTCCCTTTGTTCGACCCCAAGACGTCCGTCGTGATCTCGGTGACGGCGCCGGGCAAGGCGGACGAGGTGAGTAAGGGGCTGAAGGACGCTGGGTTTGAGGTGGAGAGGAGGACGTTGGAGGTGGATCCGGATGAGGGGGGCGAGGATGAGGATAGCGATGAGAGTGGGAGTAGTGGGAGTGGGAGTGAGAGTGAGAGCGACGGGAGGTGATCTTGCCTATCTATTCCTAATAGATGAGAACGATGTGCGGCGTCATTACGAACATGAAGAGATAATCACAACTTGACACTGACATGAGATAGATTCGTAGGCAAGAGACTTTGTGCATGCAGTGGAAGAAACTTCCCGTTCGGGCAGCATTATTGTGCGGACATACGTGCACAAGTCTAGACTTCAAACTTTAGGCTTCGAACTTCAGGCTGAAGCCAACTCGAGGCGAAGGCGAAATAGGTGGATATTATATAGAGTACAGTACGAGTAATGATAAGCGAACACGACAGAACACTACATCGGCCTGTAACGCGGACGAAGAAGGAAGGGGAAAAAGCAAAGGCTGGCTAACGAAACGAGATGAAACGAAACGAAATAGAGGACCGAGATAACACTGAAGATGAGAAGACGAGAAATACAATGCGGGTCTGTGAAATTTGACATATGTACGTACATACATGCATGGGCACCCGGCAGACCGTGGCGGGGACGGGGACGAGGCGGCGACGGTGTCTCGGTGTGTGTGAGTGAGTCAGGAAGGAGGGGGGTGCGAGGTGAATGGCCGGGGCACGTACGTAGTATATACGATGGAAGGAAAGGTAAACTATGAGAACTCATAGGGAACGAAACATCAAACGGTCAAACATCATTGTGACGCTACGGAATCGAGAACGAGAGACTATGGCACCAGCAAAAAATGGAAGAGAGACCAAAGACAAAGACAGAAGAAGGGCACGTCTAGCATAGTATGCGGATAGTGACTCGCAGTCCCTTTCTGGAAGCTGGGTAAAACCAGATAGCACAAGGTCGAACGAACAGAAGACGATAGATGACAGTATACGTAGTAGTACTAATACAGAGTGATCAAATCATGAGACGTCAGCAATCGAACACAACACGCACTCGAGACGGGATGAAAAAGCAAAAAAGGAAGAGCGCAACCGACCATATATATGTTCTAGCAGTACAACTAAGCAAAGCAGCGCGTTCCAGGACCACAAAGCAGCTCAAGCCCACCTCTCTCAACCAGTAACCCAACGCATGCCTTCCTCCTCCCCTCAATGTGCCTGCGCATGCGTCGCAAAGTCCATCCCGAACGCCGTCTCCGGCGCAGACATCATCGGGCCCATCCAATAACCCGTCTGATCAAACGTGAACGGGATAGGCATCCCCGCCGATGCCGGGCTACTCGTATCGATAGACGAATGGGGCGAGGGCGTCGAGAGCGGTAATGAAGGCGTCGAACGCGTGAGCGAGCTCTGACCGGAGCCGAGATCAATACTGCCGTTCAGGTTCGGGTGTGCGTGCGCGTGTGCGTTATGGTTGTTGTTCGTGTTCGCGTTCACACCGTTCCTCTCGCCCTGTCTCGGCCACCACGCATATCCCGGCAGATAGCTCGTCGACGGCTCGACCCCCGGCAGCGCGATCCCCAACATCTGCGCCAAGACCGTGTGCGTCGTCGTCGGCTCCGGGCTGTCAGGCATCGCGACGTGAGAGCTCCGCTTCGTCAGCTCGTTGTACGCGTCCTGCTGCAGCATGTTCGAGTTCTCGCGGCTGAAGGCGTCCTCTGCTGTGCGTTTGTTGCGCGAGTCGGGACGGCCGTTGCCTGGGCCGGCGGTGGGGCCGGAGGTGTAGTAGTTAAGCAGGCCTGAGTCGATGTGGATTTTTGCGCCGTGGAGGAGGTCCCAGGCTCGTTTGGCGCTGGGCCAGATGACCTAGGTGGGAGAAGGAGAGATGGGTGAGCATTGGGAGTCAGGGAAGGCTGAGACCCATCTGCTTACTTCCATCTCTTTGAGGGCAGCGAGAGTTTGAGATAATGAGATGGAGGCTTGAACATTGGAGGGCCGCAGAGTCACTACGGATGAAACAGTTGTGAGTGGTCTATCCCGAAATGCGATGCAATGGTGTGTTCCTTACGAGTAACAATGTGCATGATCCTAGAGTGTCGAGACGTGTCGTGTTCAGGAACAAGGACAAGAGAAGGCTACAGTGACATAGACTCACCCAGCAGCAAACATGTGTTGCGTGATCATGAGAGCACCACGGCGCAGGGAGAAATGTTTCTGGTACACGCATACTATTCACGGGGAAAATTTAGCGAATGGTTTTGATAGAGAGAGAAAAGTAAGGACCACATACCGATCGAGGTAATCTTGGTCGCAGCGGCCTGGCATATATCAAACGACTTCAATGCTGCAGCGTCTGCTGATGGGGGCTTGCACTGCTTCGTTTCGCTGAAAAAAAATATTCGATGAGCTTCTTAACGGCCCATACAATCACACAGCCAAAAAAAACACACACCGACTAGCGGGCATCTTCGGAATACTGTTCCACATGACACATCATCAGTCTCTACATCGGCTCAAAAAACCGGAATAACAAAAGGAACTCACAAAGCTCTATGCAGCAACATCACCATATTCCAGTACGTCATATGCAGCTGCAATATATGCGGCGGCGGCACGTAACGCTTGCTCGTCGTATCATACGCTAAACACTCCGGCAGCTCCGTGTAGAACTTGTCTAGCCTCGTCTCGAGGTGTGCTAGAGCGCACTTCTTGGCGGCTATGGACGTCGGACGGATGGGATAGATGTTCTCGATGATGTCCCCGGCGATGTTGGCTGAGCGAGTATCGGGTGGTAAGTGGGAAGAGAAGAGGTTAGGAAGGAGTGGTTGTTGAGATGGATAGGAAAGACGTGCCTAATACGCTGGCTTGACGGAAGCATGCCATGACACGACCTGGGACTGGAGGGAATTCGTGGGATGCGGGGTCGATGGGATGAGGCTGCCATTCATCATCTGCGTCAATCTATGGGGACGCAGTCGTGTTCTGTCAACGACAATGTTCTACTGACAGCGGTACAATGAATGTGTATTGCACATACCTCGGGAAGAGGCGTATCGTGGTTCATTGACGGTATCAATGAAGGTCTGCCCATCCACACGGCCGTATACCTACATGGCACGAAAACGAACAATCGGTACTCTGTACGCTTGCTTCAGAGTCCCAAGACGGACGGACGACTCACTTGTCCGCCCTGTTGCATGCCCACCAGAGTTGCTTCCTGGCCTGCAACTCCTCAGGGGTAAATAGAGGTTTGTTACCGATTTTCCACTTGTCCGAGCCTCGATGAAGTCCGAGATCGTAAGCCTGCATAGGAACGGTATTGTTAAGGATGAATAGATGTGGGATGCATTCATGAAGTACAGACCATGCGAACGGCCATTCCTTTGATGCAACATCAGTGACGAGGATCATGGAATTGAGAAAACACAGAGACATACCGACATATAGCCAACCGTGCTCCGAGGACCCTGAGGAAATGATGCACAACGAATCAGTATCTACTAACGGAGAAGAAGCCAGACAGGATGAAGGATCATACCCAATCCGATCTCTCGCAAACCTAACAAAAGTAAGGCTTGACACGTTGACGGACGGGAGTAGTGGTAGATCCGATCTGAGGACGTTAAACAACAGGATCAGCATAACTCCGCGCGCTTGTGCCACGAGGAAGGAATTAATCGCATTGAACGAACGTACTCAACAGTTCCCGGGCCTGAACCATATAAAACAGGCCGGCTTCCCACATGTTACCGGATGGCGGTGGCGCTTCTTCCTCAGAGTACCGTGCCGCGATGGCGAACATGGAGAGCAATAGCAGGTTGGAGATATGAGGTTTACTCGGAGGGGATTTATCGCCAGTAGTGTTCTCGATGCCGACATCCGGATATCTAAGATTCGCAATTTCGATATCAGTTAGCGCTCAGGATCGTCGTGGAAGGTGTGGGGATGCGGGGACTTACGAGTGTCTACAAATAACCGAGCGACGTCAGAGAATGCTTGGATTAGTGAGATTGGAGAGAGGCTTACGAAGCCTTGTATTCCCGCCAGAACATTGCCTTGTGCACCACCGGGTATATCGGATGTACATATATGAAGTAGAGGTCGAGGAGGTGTCGTTGTACCTCCATTGAAGGCATCTCGACGGGGAAACTTTCCTCTGGTATGAATTGATTCTGTGCAGGTGGCCATATCCGAGCCATTGGGAATGTCCTATGACATGGTTAGTCAGGGTAATGAGACATCTGCGATTCGCTAGACATACCATATCCCACTTGCGTTTCGTTCGTCTGTACGCTCGTTTTGATACAGAAGGGCCAAACCACTGGCTAATCCGTGGTGCCGAACCTTCATAGAGCAATTTAGTCGTGGTCAGTACCATCTCAGAGCTTTATGCTCACCTGTTTGTTCTCGTCGAGAGATAATTGCCCCAGCATCGATGAGTTCTCTTCAGACTCCTCACTCTTATCCTCGTCTTCCAGTCGAATCATAAGTGTCGAGACAAAGCGAATTCGGATAATGCAAGTGAACTAGTTACCTGAGGCATGATCCAGTGTATACATGTGATCCCAGTCTGGTTGTGTGGGACCGTTTGAGTCTAGCTTACGTCTCTGTGATGGTGGTCCACTGGTAGCTGGTCCGGACGATGTCGGATAGGGAGCAAAAGGAGATGGGTGTTGTATGTGGTGCTGACTCGAGCTTGCATAGTTCTCGGGCGCTACCCGGTCGACGATGGCGTACCGGGACGAAAGGCGGTCCTGCCATTCGAGAGTGGGACTCACGAGCATTGAATTATCTGATATATATACACGTTAGCACTTGGGGATAGAATACGCAGTCAAACGATACACACTCGATGATACTATTTCACGCGATACCCGAGACTGCCGTCGAGGGCGAGACGTGTCTCTTACTGCTTTCGGTGCGCTGTTGAGGATAGAAGCAAAGAAGTCTTCTTTCGTTACAGCGACTGAGTGATTCTGACGCCCTGTTGGTCCCTAAATGCATGGTTTGCGTTGGCCGCGGGCCTGATGGAAAAACAAAATGACAAAGAGGGACGTACAAATGGACCGACATCAACGCGGGTGAGGATATCGTTTGCGAGGTTGTCTTTTCGTAGATTCTGTATGAGGTTCTTGACTTCGGGAGAGGGAGAAGCAAGTATGGCGCCGAGCACAGATTCGACCTGGTGCCACCGTTGTTCTATGGCATGGATGTAACCCTTTGGGGGACCTCTTTTATAGCTTGGACCTAGACACAAGACGTAAAAAAGGAGACGACCTGATAGCATGCTCGCCATGCGTACCTAAATATGTGCAGGCTGCCAGCGACAAATTCGGTCATTCGGCTTTGAAATCTCCAGGTAACCGGAGTCAAGGCACTTACCGACACCAGTAGCCGCACAACTCCTGCACTGTTCGTTGTCCCCATCGTCACGTTCGCATTTACTCTTCGTCTTTCTACACTGGTCGCAGGCTACACACGAGTCGTCAGTCCTGTCAAGGTCCTGTGGTGTGCTTTGCCGCTCGCACCTCTGCTACTCCTTTTCCTATTAGATGCAGCGTCGGCCTGACTGGCATTAGCTTGTTCGTCGTCAGAAGGGTCGTCAGATGGAGGGCGTGATTGTTCGGCAGGCATGAGTGTAGTCCAAGGAATGTAGACTGGAATCGGAGATGGTGGTGGTTGAGGAGAAAGTTGCGAGGGGTCCGGTAAGCAAGGAGCCCGATCCTTTTGGACAAGATGTCTACTGAATAGGAGGGGTCTGGCGCTGGGTCAAAGGCGCGCAAGAGCGCAGGGAATCAAGAAAGCCAAAGCAAGGGAAAAGGATGAGAAGAAGAAGAGGAAAGCAGACGCAAACGATTTTCGTTATATATGCAGGACGGAGTCGAAGCCAGATGCAAGTCAACGTCGAGTCCGATCTCCGTCGAAGGATAATGCCCTCGGCATTCCGCGCCGTCGCGAGCGCCACCTTGTCGGACCCATTCCTTCTTCGCGGATTGGCCACGGCCATGTTCGGACCCGATTGGTGCATTTTCGAATTCCCCGTTTGTGCCCGCTTCGTCATACATGTAGATCGCATTCGCCGGGTTGGCTTGGTGTGCTATAAACTGCATTCATGTAAAGGTCTGTCTACTCTACAAAGGATCACCCGCAGCACTATATACAACGAAACAGTTCGGGAAGCACTCGGAACGCCACAACGGCGTTCCCGAAAATCCTACAGTATACGTACTTGCAGCAGCATTTTAATCTCGATGAGATCAATTGAGCGACCGCTTACACGCGAGAACATCCAGACACAAGATTGCTGTCTCCCGAGAGAGTGATCTGCTACGCCAGGTACGACTTTTCCCGTACTTGGAACGACAAATGAAAGCCCCCTACGACGAGATCGGAAGGACACGGGACCAAGGGTATGATGGCATAACACTATTCTGAGAGGCCCATAGCTTCATCGTGAGGTCTAGGTGGGGTATCGGAGTGATACGTAGCCAACAAAATTGAATTTTTTCTTCGAAAAAACGGAATTAATTTCGTATGGAAAGCAGGCGAACGGAGTGGCGTGACGGAGTACGAGAACGGGACAAGAGAGTCTAGATTTGATTTCGTACGCCAATGCTTTAGGAGACACAGGAAACACCATGAGGGTACTTTCGCAGCGCCTAGCACGAAGACGCAGCGCTCCGAAGAAAGAAATGGAGGAGACGTAGAGAGCAGTGAGACGTGATGCCGAGGATTTCAGACCGCAGGATGACATCTTCAGCGTCTGGAGTTCAATAGCCAGAATCAAAGTCGATGAACACGGTGAAGCATATGCCATTGCCAGCGTCAAGGCGTCAGTTGTGAGCATCTTTGAGACAGCCAGCATGCACGCTTGGTGTCAAACCTGAATTGGGGTCACGACACTGGACGACGCGGTACGCTTGGGTGCGGAGAGGCCAGAGAAGGAACGATGAACGGGCGGTTCCGGAGGAGTCATGGCTGACGAGAGCGTGTGGCCGGCCGTCGCCGCGTGGCCCGCCCCCTCAGCCTGCGCGACCCCAGCGCCGCCGTTTCTCACTCACACCCACTCCATTTCTCATCGACATCCCCTCGCCGTCCGCCCCATCCTCCTCCACCCCTCCGCCGTCCTCTCCCCCGTTTCCTCCTTCCTCATGCCTTCCGACTCTCCCGCTGCTAACCGTGACTCTGGTCCGTCTTTTTTTCACTTCGAATCTGATCTTCATCCTGACTGATCAAATCACCGATTTTTTTCTCCCCGCATCGTTCCTCACAGCGTCCCCACACCAGTCTCGGTCGCCTTCGCCTGCTGGTCAAGACGTTCTTACTCTCAGAGCTCTTGTCAGCACCAAGGACGCCGGCGTCATCATCGGAAAGGCTGGCAAAAATGTTGCCGACCTCCGTGACCAGACCGGCGTCAAGGCTGGCGTCAGCAAGGTCATCCCTGGCGTACACGAGCGTGTCCTCACCGTCACCGGAGCTGTTGACAGCGTAGCCAAGGTGCGTTTGTCGGTTTTCAGCCTTCCAATCATTCGTTATACATGCTTACTCATCCCGTATTCGGTTCCCAATAGGCCTACGCTCTCATCATCGCTCAGCTCGTGGAAGCCAACCCCGCTTCTCCTTCCGTCTCTTCCTCTTCCGGATCCCACACCTCCATCCGTCTCCTCATCTCGCACAACCTCATGGGCACCATCATCGGCCGCAACGGTCTCAAAATCAAGGCCATTCAAGATGGATCCGGTGCACGCATGGTCGCTTCCAAGGACATGCTCCCTCAGTCCACCGAACGTGTTGTCGATGTCCAGGGCTCCCCCGAGTCCATCGGCCGTGCCATCGAGGAGATTGGTCGCTGTCTGTTGGAGGACTGGGAAAGGGGTCTAGGCACAGTGCTCTACCATCCCGGTGTCGCCGACGAGCGCTCCGGTGGCAGCATGGGTGGTGCCGGCCGCCGCGCGCACAACTACTCCGGGAGTTACAGTGGCCGTCGGTCGAACGCCGGAGAGATGAGCACTCGCGCCACCAGCCCCCCTTCGCCCGAATCTCCCTCGCAGGCAGCCAACCTGCGCACCCAGAACATCTCCATCCCCTCTGACATGGTCGGTTGTATCATCGGTCGCGGAGGCACCAAAATTACCGAGATTAGGCGTCTCTCCGGCTCAAAGATCTCTATCGCTAAGGCCCCCCACGACGAGACCGGAGAGAGGATGTTCACTATCGTCGGCACGCCGGAAGCGAACGAGAAGGCGCTCTTCTTGCTCTACAACCAGCTTGAGAGCGAGAAGGAGAGGCGTGTTGGGAAGGAACAGCAGCAGGACCAAGACGAGGACTAAGCGCCTCGTCGAAGGTCTAGGTCGGGCACATCCCATCACCTCCCCGTTTTCTTTTTTGGGCATTCGTGTGTTTATTATTAGCCTCGTCTGAGAGGGTTCTCTGTCACGGGTTTGACCACTCGAATTAGTGCTTGTCGCTATCTACATGTATCGCTCCCTCTCTTCGTTGCTCCTGCACGCTTTCTATTATCTTCGCTGCGCCGCCCAAGGCAAGGCCTTGATGGACTCTACTTTGCCCCTATCCCATGCCTCGACCTTCCCACCCCTTTCCCCTCCAAATCCTTTCCCCTCCAAATCCTTTCTTGATCCTCAAAACCGAAAACCCCCTTTCAATCCATGTATCTCCTCTTCCCTCGTAGAAGCCATCGTATGCGCTCCGAGTTGTCACCCATGAGTACCTCGCTTCGCACCCTCTTGACCGGTCCCTGACACTTACCGACATCTTGCTTGTCTCGACCCACTCGAATCCCGATCCCACCTCTCCTCTTTTTACTTTCGCCTCTTCCTTCTGAGTGTCATCTCGTTGCCTCCCTGCCCTATCTTGCCCTGCCCTGCCGTGCCCCCCTTCTTACCGTACTGCTTTCGTGCAATCTGCTTACTGCAAACGCTCTTACCTCGTGTGTACAAAAACAAAAAAGTATGCATATGTTCTCGAGTACTCGGTGTATGCTTTTTTCCCCCTGCCAATCAGTGAATCGCGATCGCGGCGAATGTAATAGGGTGAGAACAACGGGACGATGGCGCCGAACAAGAGTGAACCTAAACGTGATCGTGGCCGCCAATCACATGGTCGTGCGCGACTTGTATTTTTTGGAGGGAGCGCGCGACGCGCCGGGTTCAGAGTTCTGTTACCGAACAAGTGACGAACGAACTCGGACTCTCTTCCTTGTGTTATGCATCCTCAAAATTTCCACGGGCTGCCTGCTCGTCCAAATCTCCCACCCAATCCAATTACAAATGCCGTCCATAATCCTAATCCTAATCCTACGCCCGTCGTGACCACTAGAACTCAAACTCAGGCCGTACCCGTACCGAACCTCTTTGCCAACCCGTACGCCCAGCAGCCGTCCCCGCATTACGCTCAGGCGTACGCGCAGTACTACAACAATCAGAATCCTGCGCAGAATAATGCTCAAGGATATGCTTATTCTGCCGCTTATAATCCTTCCGCTTCGAGTTCTTTCCAAAACCAAAACCAAAACCAAAACCAGGCGGTTGCGGGCCCGTCTTCTGGGTATGGACATAATGCGTTTCGGAACAATGTAGGTTCAGGTGCGGGCAGAGGAGCAAGAGGGACTGGACAACAGCATCACCACCAACAACAGCGCCCACAACACCAACAGCAGCAGCAGACGAACTGGTTCAGTCCGGGCGGTGCGAGGTGCAAGCATCCGGGATGTATGTTCGCGGGCTCGGCGAAGGCGGTGGAGATACATATGATGGATCGACATTTGATTTATCCGCCTGGGTGGGATAAGAAGAAGAGGAGGGACGAGTGGGATGCGGATCCGAGTTTGAAAGGGTGCGTGTTTTTTCTTTTTTGGAACCTATCTGTTCTATTCTATTATATACGTCTTTGCTCCGTCGTACGATGTTATCTTGCGACGGTCGGTGAGTTCGTGTTGACTGACATCCCTATGATGTGGATCTTGAATGTAGGAAACCAGTTTTCATCCAGGGAACGAGCATCAACCTCAACGACCCCGAGAACCTCGAGAAATGGATCGAAGAGCGTAAAAAACGGTGGCCTACGGCCGCGCGCGTGGATGAGAAGAAACGCAAGTTGGACGAGGCTATCGCGCGGGGACAGTTGCATCCTGACGATCCCGCACTGCGAGGACAGAAGAGACGGAGAGTGGAGGGAGAGAGCGGTGATGGAGGCGAGCGTGGTGGATTTCGTGGTGGGACGAGTGATGGTGGATGTACGATTGGAGGTACTATCTCCTCAGGGACTTCAACGTGACCATGCTCTGTCTCGTCCTCGGAAGACCCGATGTCCGCAACGAGTCCAGTGGGTGCCTTGGAGGATACAGCTTCGGGCGGACCATCGTCTGAATCCGACTGAGTACTCGAGGACTCTCCGTCTGAATGGGCCTCCTCCTTTGATTTGGCGTGACTCGAAGACATAGCCTGTTGCACACCACCTCGCCCATGTCCCCGCCCCGTCCCTCTTCCCCGCTCCGATCCCCTCCCACGGCCCCTTCCCCTTCCTCTTTCTCTGCCATAACCCCTATCAACAGCAGCCAAGGTTCCACGACATGAAGACGCCGCAATCACACCTGCACGCAAACCCGCCCCACCACAGCCCAAAAAACCACCACGAAACCCATTCGGGACGCATCCTTCCCTCCTCCGTAACGTAAGTCTTCACTAGCCTGTTGCATCGCCAAATCTATCCGATTCACTTATGTCAACTCTCAGCTCCTACTCCCAGAAATCCGGATGACGGTCTCTAATCTCTCGCAGGCGATCCATTTCTTGGTCACCAACGATTTCTTGGAAAACGTAGAGCTGAAACCTGGGCAGGCGGAGGAGAAGATGATAGAGGTCGTCGATGAGCAGAAGGACGATTCGAAACAGAGAGAGTCGCTTGTTCCAGAAGAGTCGTCGGGCGATGGTCTCAATGCCGTCCCTCTTGTGTAGGTTCTGGCTTATACGGATACTGCATGTCTTTCCAGAAATACTGTTCATTTTATTACTGTATCTGAACACGGTCGAGCTCAGGCTGCTACAGAACTGGTGTCAAGATCATATTTCTCTGAAAAGAATTTGGAATACAGTCGATAGCCTTCAGAGTGGTAATAGAAGTGTATACATCTTTAACCAGCCCCGGTACAGTGCCACCTCGCTCGCTCGACAGACTTGCGAATTATGTTTGATTCAAGCTCGCGTCGAATACACGACCACAGCGTCGGAAGGTACTTTTACATTATAAACACGGCTGAACGAACGAAGGATGATACATACACAGTTTACTTACACTATAGTATATGCTATGGGTATGGATATGGATATGAATACGAATACAACAGGCAGGGATACAACCAAGAATTATCATCATGTAAAGACCGTATGCGGGTGAGGACGGCTCGGAGAACGGAGAACAGAGAAAACGAGACAACGACGAAAGGATCTATGTGATGATGCGACGGGACAGGGAAAAAAACTCAACCAGACCAGGACGAACAGCTTGAACCACTTCACTCCCTCCCACTCAACGACACGATACACCCCTCAGCCACACCCACCCGTCCCGTCCCTCCTCAAATCGCATCGCTCATCTTCTCCACATCGACCCTAATCCCATCCACCGCCCCACCCAACCCAATCCCCAAACTCATCTCAACAGCCCTAAACGCCGCCTCATCCTCCATCTCCTGCTCCCTCTCCTTCTTACTCTTACTCCTCGTCTGATACCTCAACTCATCCGCCACATCCAGCTCCATCTCCATCGCGTTCTCGCCCACCCCGCCCATGCCCCCCTCCGGGCCACTATAAATCGCACGCTCATACCCATGTCCGTGTCCGTGTCCGTGTCCTAGACTGGATGCGGTCCTAGTCGTAGTCGTCACACCAACATTAACGCTCCCAATGGTAGTAAGCATCACCCCCGAATTGATCGTCGTCGTCTTCGCGCGGGGATGCGACCTCACGAGATTCGAAGTCGGCGAACCGAGGTTACCGCGCGAGCCGTGCGAGGTGAGTCCGCGGGGAGGACTTCCACCAGAATTGTTGCTGTCGGCGCGGAAACGGAGGCCGAAGATCCGGTTGGGAGAGGTGGTGAAGGCGGGGATGGTGCCTTCGGAGTGGGGGATCGTTTCGGCGCCTCGTTCGCGGAGATCGAGGATCTAAGTGTGGAAAGATGTGTGGGTAGGGGAGACGGAAGGTGGGAGTGGGGTAGATGGAGGGACTTACGAGACGGCAGGCGAGGACAGGGCTGAGCATGACGCTGAGAGGGATGTTGATGGCTGAGATGACTTGACGAGGCCTAAACACAAGCTCATGAGATATTGTTCATGGGTGCGAGAAAGGGATCATGAACGAACTGTAGGTAGAAGATACCGTTGATCTGATGGGTAAATACGTTAACGTTGAGAAACAGATAGGCATTAATGATGATAGCGTAGCGGCTTACCAGGTTGGCGATTGAGATCAAGAGATAGTAGAAGACGCCCTCACGAAGGAAAGTCTGGATGAGACGGCTGCTCGGGCCTCCATTACGACGGCGGATCTGGATGGCCTTCCAAACGGTCATGGAGGTGACGACGGTGTCGAAGAGCAGAGGCGCGATCTGCGCGAATAATGTAGCGTGGTCAATGAACGGTAACAAGTCGTGAGGTACGACAAAACGTACGAAGAAACCTAGAAGATCGAGAAGTTGAATCAGACACAGGAAGAGATAGCGATAGCGAACAGAGTAAGCATACCAAGGAGATGTGCAGAGTGTGGCTTCGACTCGGGGAAGCATGGTCCAAGTTGCTATTATAATAACATTACACAATATATCCACGACCATAAGGATGAAGACTTACGAATGGTGGAGTAACAAACTGAAGAACTTGATATGGACCAACATTAACATGGCATACAAAGAGGTAATTCACACGAGCAACTCACCGAGCATCTGCGAAGTATCGACATAGAGTTGGTACGCAATGACGCCGCCAAGAGCCATGCAGAGCAGGCCTAAAACGAGCCTGCTCCGATTGAAGAAGGCATAGGTGCGGATGAGGAGGACGGCTGAAGCAGGAGATATATACTGTCAACGGCGCGCATCGCCGGTGTGACATGGTAGAAAAACGTACATTCCGACCCAGCCTGGTTCCAGAGTGCCAGAGCCACTGGGATCTATGAGACTCGGGTTGAGTTGGGGACATAAGGGTGTATATGCATAGTAAGCGGCCCGACCTTATATATCCTCTCACATTCATCCCACGTATGGTCCATGACGAAGCAATAGAGAAGGTAAGGGACCGTAGCTATGACCCAATACCTAGTAAGGATGGGTCAGGGTAGCCCGCGGGACACATACGACGAGAGAACAAGTCACCTGCAAAAGAGGTAGGCGCATTTGACGGGTGTGATGGACGTTCTCCAGATCTAGAGAGGATATAAGTATGCATATGGCGGGCGAGAACGTTCATACTTACGAAACGGTATTCTCGAGGGAGACTGATGACCCAATCCCATATGACGACGGCGTCTGGAAAAAACGGAGTTAGCATCTGACCTGGGCGGGATGCATAGGAAAAAAGACGTACACATCGCTACAGAACAAGATTTAGTACAGTGTTATCCAGAAACAAACGGCGTGTATGCGTAGAAAAGTTTCTATCTTACCGCAGAAGTAAACTTGCGTGCTATGAGAACCCGGTGAGCAAACGAACCACGACAGGTAACACGAGAAAGCGCATACACGAAGATGAAATGTTGCGCGGTCTCGAGAGTATCTTGAACCATGGCGGGCGGCGTGCGATGTGCAGACTGACGGTGGGCGTCGAGAGCAAAGGCCTGGGGGAAGAAGCAGTCGGCGTGCAGTTCACTTTTCAACTTCTATGGAGCCGTTCTTGCTCGCCACGCGAGGCATCCGTGTCAGCCTGGACCGCGAGCAGATCGGGAATAAAGTCGAGCGTGCATCTGTCAGAAAGCGGGAAGCAATGACGGAACAGATTGTGAGCATGAAGTTTCGGGAGTGAAACCGTGTGGCGAAGGACGTGCGACAGAGACGCGGAGATGATCAGCGGTGAAGAACGAATGCAAGAACGATTTCATTCTCCGCCTCCGACAGCCACGCACGGTGTGCGCGGCCGGAATCGGCCCGGACCCAGCATCTGGCCCCTGTGGCAACTGCATCTGGCCACCACGCAACGAACAAGCTGCGGCTGCTCTCTTGCTGCTCTCAACCACGATGCCCAATGTACTCCTGAACATCCCCCCAGAGATCCTTCTCTACATCTGTACGTAACCATTCCTCTATATCTTCCACAGAACACACTCACAATATAATTAATTCCGAACGCACCAGTCTCCTTCCTCGATATCCCTGATCTCGCCGCGCTCTCCAAACTACACCCCTACTTCTCCCTCCTCACCTCCGACCCCCTCCTCCACCGCACCCGTCTCCTCGTCGTCGCCCCCTCCCGCGTCTCGCATGCCCTATTCGCCCTCGGACCACAAGGGCTTCCTCTCCGCCCCACAGTCGCCGATCTCGTCCATTGGGGCGTCATGAAGGGCTTCAACATCGAGCGAAGATGGAGGATGGGGCTTTATTTCTATTCACCTCTCGTTCGTGACTCTATCTCCCATACAACGCACCCATGTCGTTTCTCGTCGTAATTCATTTGTTATTTGACAGTCCGTCATCAACTACGAATCCTCCGTCCGTCTCCAGCGCCGTCACGCCTCCAACATAGTCTCCTCCAACCTCCGTCGCCGTACCACCAGCCCCGGTCCCAACATCCTCAAATCCCTCCACATCACACACATCTACCCCGACGTCGAGTCCTCCTCGCCCTCCGTCTCGCGCTCCCTCCTCCCCGTCATGCGTCAGCTCAAGTGGTCCCTCAAGCGCGACACGCTCGCGAGGATTGTTAGGAGCCAGAGCGGAGTGCACGGAGATGGGCCAGGGAAGGAACTGGGCAGTCTCGGAGCGGTGGGCAAGTGGATCGAGAGCAGGAGCGGGACTATATTGGCGGGTGAGTCTGAGAGGATTCGACTTGCGATACCTGGTCCGTTTAGGAGCAGGTTGTGGACGTGGACGAAATCGCTACTCGCCTTCCAAAACGGGGTAATTTGCATCTCCCACGCTGCCCGTTCCAGAGCTCGGCAAACAGTAGTGGCGCGGTTCCCGACGTCATACCCATCTCTTGCTCGTGTCTCAGACTCTCACTGCAAAGCTTAAGACGACTCCTTCACTAAACCTTTTTTGAAGTTCATCGACGCTGCGTACCACGACTTTCTTCCCATCTCTTTCTTGTTTCTCGTAGAATGTC